AAAAGTCAAATTAATATCTAGTTTAGTATTGGATTTATATTCTCTATTAGATCTATAATAGTAAGAATACTAATTAGGTAAGTATAATTCTATATTATATTTATAAAAACTCTATTTTTATTTAGCTTAGCTAATATAGATAACCTAGAAATTTATTTTAATAATCTTACTAATTATCTTATTATTTTTATTATATATTTTATATTTATAATATAATATTTTAAATATTCTTTTCTATTTTAAAATATTATTTTATTAAGCTTTATTTCCGAATTCTTTATTTATAATTCTTACTTTTTTATAAAAGTCAAATTATAATATCTATATTACTATTTTAGTTATCTATTTATTAGTAAGTTTTAAAATATACTAGAATAAGCAGGCTATAATATTAATATAGAAGCCCTTTAGTATTTTATAAAGTATTATAAGTAATACCAGAAATTCGAATAATTACTAAAATAATTTAAATTTAATCTAAGAAATAATATTAGCTTTAATTACTTTATTATTATTAATATTTCCTATATTTCTAATAAGCTTATACTTTATATTATTAATAAAGATACTAGATATTAAGCTAGCTAATAGATTTAAAATATTAGTATATTATATATTTGGGATACCCTAAAGTAGTATTAGATTAATACCTATTTAGGCCCTTCTAATTAGATTATAGTAAATACCAGAAAGTAGTTTACTAATAAGAAGTTTATTTAGCTTATAAATACTATAGAAACCAAGATTAAAATTATTTCTATAAAAGCTTATAATTCCGTCGGAATTATAGAATATTACTATAGCCTAATTTAATATATTTATTTTATTATTATAGCCGAAATTAATAGAATTAATAAGAATAATATACTTTAAATAGCTTTTAAAGCTATTAATAATTTTACTAGATCTAATAGTATTATCCTAATTCTTTTAGTTTATAATATTTTACCCCGAATAATTAAATATAATATCCTATTACTAATTATATTATAGTAATTAGTAGTACTTAAGAAAATAATAATAGAAATTCGGAAGCTTTAAGCTAGATACCAGATTATAAATATCCTAAATACCCGAAATAGTTCTAGTATTACTAATATCTATAAACTTCTTTTAAATTTGAATAATTTTATATAATATAAAGGAAATACTAGTTAATTTAGTAATTAGAATAGGCTATATAAGCTAGTAGCTATTAATAGAGAGAACTATATACTAGCTTTATTATATAGTAATACTATTTTCTATTTAATTTCTATAAAGCCCTTTTATATAAAAGATATTAAGGTTATTACTAATAGCCCCAAACCTGAATCTGTTTCTAAATTCTATAATAAAGCTAAAAGTAATATAAGTATAATTTCTTTTACTATTTCCGTTATTTTACTAAAGTATAATAAAGAGTACTCTTATAAAAATCCGGATATTACGGTATTTCTATAAGATAATAACCTATATAAGAACTCTCATTAAGTTAAAGTTACTAGTTTTCTAGAAAAGAATATATTTAAGGTTATTTCTAGATCTCAGGTACTAAAGGAAATATATATTTTTAATTTCCGATTTATTAATAAAATCAAAAATAAGAATATAAAGAAAGAGTTTAAGAAATTAAAACTAGTTATTTAGGCTTATAATAATAGTAAGAAATATATAGTATTAATATAATTATTTACTATTTAATATATTAGCCAGAAAATTATCCTTAGTATTACTACTATAATAATAAATACTATAAAGTTATATTTATATAATATCTTATAAGTTTATATCTAATTAATAACCTTATTTAATTATAATTTTTATATTAACTTATTTTATAAGTTTACTAGAAAGCTAAATCTAAATAATAATTCGGTTTTAAAAGTTATAAAACTATTATATAGTATACCGGAAGCTAGAAACTACTAGTTTAAGACTTACTATTTCTATTATATTAACGAGCTTTCTATAGAATAACTAACTTATAACCCTTACCTCTTCTATAATAAGTAATTCTTCGGAATTATTAGCCTTTAAACTAATAATACTCTCTTTATTAGAAATAATAATTTTATAAAAACAGAGTAACTAAAGCTCTAAGAAGCTAAATTCTTGATTAAGAAGTATAAATACCTTATTATTAATTATAATCTCAAGTTTAATAAAGATATTATTTATATAAATACTACTAGAATTATTTTTATATAGAAATACTAGTATAAAAACCTTTAAATTATTTCTATAAAAAATACTATTATTATAAATAATAAAAATACTATTTATTAAAATCTTTTTATTAAAAACTAATATATTACCTAATATATTAGAGAAATATATATTATATTAGTCTATTAATTAGAAACTTTATATAATCTATTAATTATAACTTAGACTATTAAATTTTTAGAAACTAATATAAAGGCATTTAATAAGTATATTTAATAGCAAATTGAGAATATTACTAGAGAACTGAGATTTATAAAGCTAGTAAAAAAGTTCTTATATTTAATTATTTTTATAAATACTTTATTTATAAATAATAGAAATCTTTTTTCTTAAATTAGATATATTCTAGTTCTAATAAATAGAACTAGATATACTAATATTATTTATTAGTTCTCTACTAAATATAAGAGAATTACTAGAAGTATTCTAGCTTTAGAACTCTATAATATAGCTTATGGTTTTAATATAGGTACTTTAATTAAATCTATAATTAATAGAATACTGGAAATAGAACTATTACTAGTAGTTTATACGGATTTAAAGTTATTATATAAATGTCTTATTAAATTAAGAACTACTCGAGAAAAGTATTTAATAATTAATATAATATATCTTTACTAAATATATAAATAATAAGAGATTATAAAAGTTAAATAAATTAAGAGAGAATTAAATTCTATAAATTCTATAATAAAATCGAAGCTAATAAATACTTTTAAGTACTTAATTAATACAAATATTATATAATTAGATATAGAGAAATAAGTTAAGTATAAATAGAACAAGAAATAGATATATAAGATAAAAGAATATTATAGAAAGGGAAGTTATATATAAAAGGCTATAGCCTTTAGTATATAACTAAAACCTTAGAAGTAATATAGATATATAGAGTATTTGGGAAATCTAGTACTAGGCCGGATTAGGGAATTTATATATAATTAGAGAGAGATACTATTTTTCGCGTTTTTAGAGAGTTTCTAGTATTAGTATAGCTATTTCTTTAGGAGTTATATATATAGTTATAAGATACGAAATACGCGATATAAGTAATAGAATATAGGTAATAAAATATAAGATATAGGATATAGTTATATAACCTCGCATCTTATTAGTAACTCGACTAGTAGACTAGACTTCTTTAGGCTTAGCAGATTTAGGGATTATATATTAATACTATAATATTATAATTCTTACTTCTAAATAATAACTTTATTAATCTTATATAACTAGTATTTCCACGCCTATATAATAGTACTATATATTACTAGTAAACCGATATTTATAAATAAATAATTTAATTTATTATTAAAAGCTTTTTTATTTTTATTTTTTATAAAGCTTTATAAGTTTTAATAGCTTATAATATAGTAAATTTAGTTATTATAGTAATAAAGCTTATAGTAAAATTACTATATTAAATAATAAATCTAAAATAATTATTAATAAATAGATTATTTATATTTATTTATAAAAGTAAAAGAATTAAGCTAATTTATTAATATAAAAGAAATATATATAAATAAATATTAAACTAATATTATTAATTCCAATTATATTATTAAAAAATATTCTTTTATTATTTATATTAAAAGTTATATCTAGTTAATTAATATATTAAAAAATGAAATAATAGCTTTAATAAATGTATTTTATATTTATTTAAATAATAATCTAAATAGTTCGATTTTACTTTAAGCTATTAGGGCTATAAATATATAAATTATTAATAATTATATAAAAGCCTTTATTTTGGAAAATAATAAAAATTAAATAAGCTTATTTCTAATTAGTAAAATTATAAAATATCTTTTAATATTATCTATTTAACTATATTTCTATAGGCTATTATAATTTAAATAGTTTTAAAATAATTAAAATAATAAAATATATATAAAGCTAATTAAAATAGAACTAAAATAAATAAATAAATAAATATAAATCATATATTATAAGATTTCAAATATTTAATTATTTCTCTTTCTTTTCTATTTACTTATATAAAAGCTTATTTTATAATCTTATTAATATATATTTTTAATCTTTTTAAAATTGCAAGTTTTTTTTTAGAATTATAAATTTAAGGGAATTAAGTCTAAATATTAATTAATAATAAAATAATAAATATATATCTTTAAATAAAGGCCTAGTTCTAGAAATATATAAATACGGAATTTAAATTAAAGATAATAGAATTAGTTTTAGAAGTAATTTAATAGGCTTTAGAAATAGCTTCAATTATAGTTTTAATTTTATAATAAAGTCCATTATTAATTATATTAGTATTATTAATAGTAAAGTATTACTAGAAAGAAGAAAATATAGAAAATTAATATATAATAATACTAGTAATAGTTTAGCCCAATTAATAATAATAAGTAAGAGTAGATAGTTTATAATTATAATAATTCTTCTAATATTACTAGCTTATTTTTACTGCCAAATATAAATATATTTCTAAAATAGAAGCCTATAGAGTCAGATTATATATAGGGCTAATATGCTTTAATAATACCATGAATTCTATACTTGATTAAGTAATAGCTAGAGAGGAAAGATTACAGTATATAGGATAAGCTTATGCCTCCCTATACCGCCTTATATTACGTTGATATTACAGGGCAGACAGTCTTTGAAATCTGTCTGCCCCGAGAGCGTTGGGCCTTCACAGGCCTCTATTGGTACGAGGCCAACAGTATCGTCATTAGTAAGGAAAATCCGATAGTTTTGCAACTCCGTCCTTATGCATTGAATCTCTTCATTATCAAGGACCAATTTTAAACAGTATATCAAAGAACTACTTATACTACTTATACAACTCATACTACTCATACTCCAGCTCCAGCTCCAGCTCCAGCTCCAGCACCACCAGCACCACCAGCACCAGTAGCAGCAACAGTAGCAGCACCAGTAGCAGCAATAGCAGCGAGTCCATGTCTCTAGGTCAGATGGAGCTTTCCCCCAGGTAGAAGGAGAGGTTGCCTCTCCTTGTGTCTGTCTGTGCTAGCATTTGCGTTCGGTGTGCCTCCCATCTCGTGCATCGGAAAAGGAAACGCTTAACAGTTTCTGTTGCCTCGCCGTATTCGCAATGGTGAAATCGGAGGGGAGGTCGGTTTAAGAGTATTTCATTAAGGCATCGAGAAGTTCATCTTGTGTATTATTTTGAATTTACGGGTGTGTTTTAGGGACTAAATCGAGTTTAAAGGAAGGGAACTCGTTGGAGAGTCGGATTTTAAAAGTATGGGTAGTTATTAGAGTAAAAGATGGAGGTAACGAACGTAATGTGCTTATAGGAGTAATAGCGACTATTCGCAGAGGACTAGAAGTATACAAAGAGGTCGTGGTGTGGAGGAAGAATATAATAGGGGTCCAGCGCTTAGATAAAGACACGAACCAGCGAAGAAAAGTCCTGGGCAAGGCCACTTCACGGATCAAAGCCACTTCACGGATCAAGGCCACTTCACGGGGCACCTTCTATATCAAGAATGGCATCTCATTGCATCGTACAGACAAGAAACTAAGCCTGATCAGCCCATGCCAATTACGGCGACGGCTGTCGATAAGGCAATAAAACTATCTTCTTTATTTCTTCAGGCTTGCACCATTTAAGGGAGAAGGTATAAAAGCCATTTTGAGAATATGGAAGCGTATTTCCCCTCCCAGCCAGCGCCAGTAAAGATTAAACCAGTCTTCTTGAAACGGCATTAATAGAAGGAAGATGAGAGGAGGAGAGCATGGGAAAAGAAGCAGGAGCTTGAAGAGCGAAGACACATGGCAGATGACCAAGCGAGGCTTGAAGCAGCTGGAAGCAGACATTAGGTGAGGTTAAGCTGTCAGATAATTCCAAATACGGTACTAACAACGTATTAGACGCACAGAGAGAGGATGAACGAAATAGATGTCAGAATGAGGTCAGATATCATTCATCGGCCTGTTGACGATGATGAGCCAAGGAAAAACCCTGCCGAGAGTATATCCCTGTTCCAATTTCGGGGAGGGGGAGGGGGGGGGGAAACCTCTTGCGAAACCTGTTTCGTGGAAAGCCCCAAGCAGAATTAGTGCGTCCATCATTGAGTTAAGACAAGGGCTTGAAGAAGATCGTACGTGGTTCGATATTCTCTATGCTAGTGAGTAATGAGGCAAAACTGCTGTGCATAGAGACATGCGCCGTTTTAGGCATCTTCGAAACTCTTTATACAGACTCTATACTCAAAGCCAACAAATATATCTCAGAGAAAATCTCTCAATTCCTGAGACGGGTTAGTAATGTCAAAGTATCGCAGGGAGCTCGTAAGCTTACCACGAAATTACTGCCCGTGTTTGAGTCTTCGCCTGTAGCCATTCTCGAAACAGATAACTCTGCGTCCTTCAACTTTCCTCTTTGTGCTTTTTTTATATTCTATTCAATTACATTAGCTCAATCCTTCCTTGGGATGGGATGTCGGTCCGGTGACATACCTCTTCTATCGAATCTTCCACGATATATCGGTATATATGAATATCCTTCATCTGGTCTAGTCGATCCACCCGCGCTGCAGCCTGTGTCTCAACCATTGGGTTCCAATGCGGTTCCAGAAGATGCACGTGAGTTGCAGCTTCAAGATTCAGCCTTCAAAGAGTCAGTCGAGATATGTAGGATAAGAGGCAACATACCCAACGGAGCCACTTCCATAGGAGAGGAGTAAGATTCTGATTTCTGCGACAGTGTTGAATTGGTGAATAACTGTACGTCGTTGCTCGACGGTGAGTCTTCCGTCGATGCGGACGTGGAGAATGTCTTGGCACGACAGAGCTTCTTCTAAGCAGTCTAGGGTTCGAGTCCAGTGGGAGAATATGAGACTGAGTCTTAGTTAGTTTGTGATTCAATACTAGTTCAGACATTTACCTTTTTATTGGCTCCATTCTATTTGCTAGTGAAGCTTGCTCGAGTTGTTGCAAATTAATGACAACTTTCTCTATCTTGGACGAATGACTAGTTGAGGTTAGAGCTGTCGCGGGCTGCCAGTCCATCAGTGTACTGTTCAGTTGGTTGCCACCCGATTGCCGTACGTCCTCGAAGACTGATATCACAGGCTCTTGGCAAATCCAACAGGTTGAAGGCGTGCCATTCAAAGCAGTGTCTTCGGCACCGCTCTGGTCCAGTGTACACTCATAACACACATTGTGACCACAAGCACCATGAAATGATTGCTGACAGTCATTCTGAGTATTGATCGAGTCTCCACATTTGTCACAGATGCTGTGCTCGCGAGTAGGTTGAATATCTGGTGTAGCATCAATGATAGATCCGCCGTAACTGCAGATTTGTCTGAGGGTTGATATTGCTCGCAGAAGTATACGGCCCTGAGACTTCCCCGGCGCCGAACTCAATGATCTCTTTGCGTCGTCCCGAGTAGCAATATAGCAACACCTTTCTCTCTCGTTCAAGATAACTTTCTCTACCGTTTCGATCCTTCGTCGATTGCTGCATGACTGCTTCGTTCTTCTCAACGATATTACTTGCAGTGCCAAACGAAGATTCTCCAAACCTTGAGAATCCTTCCTACTTAACGGTTCCAGGATATATTTCCGAGCATTGGCGTGGTTTTCAAGGGGCTCGAATCCTAGGAATTGCGTCAAGGAAAAGAGATCACCCAATTTGTTTTGTACTGGTGTTCCTGTCAAGCACCATCGTCGTTCTGCACGCAATTTTGTGAGTTCTTGAAAGTTTCTTGTGGATCGGTTCCTGATTTGATGTGCTATGAATATAATTAGCATATGGGTTGGTCAGCAGAGGAATGCTTGACTTTTGTACCTTCATCCAAGACGATCCGTAACCATGATATTCTAGAAAGAATGCCGGACGTTGGAGCATCAGAGGCTGCAGTTTCATATGTTGTAAGTACGATATCAAATTGACTAAGCCGCTCGCGAGTGATTCTCCGTCCGTTTCCATGGTAGATATGGACTTTGAGCGCACCTATCTGCATGTGCCTAGATTTCAATCAGCCTGATCCTAGTAAAGAACGGGTTATCGGTATATTCACTTATTGACTTGCTGCTCCCAGCCCTGGATTGCTATCCCGTTTTATCAGACTCAACGCTCCCCAAGGATGGTATTATAGACCCACTCGATTTTGGAGCAATGATCAGTGTTGCAGATGACCAGATATCATCCTTCAAGTCAAAAGGATGCCTATCCTCTTTGCTGCCTGACCTTTGACTGTGTAAAGTATATAGTATAAGGGTAAGTAGCGAAAGCGATTTCCCCATGCCCATCTCATCTGCCAAGATCCCTCCCCGGCACTCACAGGGCTTCAATATCTTGGTGGAGTGTGTAATCTCATTCTTGAACCTGTAGTCGTTTAGAAGAGCATCCTAACTATTCAGTGTGCTTACACTCGTCTTCCATTTCTGTCTACAGGTTTCCATAGGGTAAGCCGATCAGCCCCCATTAGCCCCTCTCGAGCAATCATGAACTTCAAGGCTATTAACTGGTGTCTGTGTAGGAGCGAAATGTTAGCGAGGCAATTCTTAGAAATACCTAACACATTCAGAAATTATAGATGATTTAATATAAAGCCGGAAGTTGTCACTCACTGTTTGAGGATGGACCTAATTCTTGGATCCTGTGTGACGTGAAAAGACAATTGAGGGGCACTTGGGCCATTCAGGACATCGTAAATTTTGTCCGTAAAGTTTATTTGACTCTCGGATGATGGCTCTAACAGGTAGCTAGAATTTGCATCATCCTCCTCCTCTTCATCCCATGAGAAGACGTGTGGGTTCTTGTAGGATACTGAAAGTTGGCGATTCATCGGCTCTTGAAGAAAGAGGCTGGACTGCGATAGGAGAGACCCAACTTGTACTAGAGAACTTCTCCGTCCGAAAACGAGAATTTCAAGTGGTATTCCTAGTGTCCCATCCAGGCTTTGAACCTGCTTCGTCCCTGGGGTTGTATATATCTCAAACTGCATTGATGATACGGTATTTTTGAGGGAGACCATTCCACTCGCAGTCTTCTTGTCCAAAACCCCTATTTCTTGCATGGCCGGATCTAGGATAGTTATGCCGTTGTCTCGGAAACGTGGTTTCAAAGTCGGTGCTCCTAGCCTAGAACTCGAAATTTTGGATATTGGAGAACTTTTCCATACAGAGAGGAGCCCATCTACAAGCTATTCTTGAGGTAAGCATCTGCTACGACTGAGAGGAGAACTCCATAAACCTACCATGCCAAAACAGATCTCTATTTCGTTACTTTCGTTCCTAATTTCTAATCCTTCGGTATTCGAAGTGGAGGTGGCGGGTGTCCAGGTGCTTTCTGCCGAACTGGGGACCTCGAGTGCATCACCAGGGCTCGGAGACGAGAGCCAAGGCACTGGAGAGGGTTCATGCGCTCCTGTTATATCATCGCGATAGGTATCGTGTCTATTGCGCCTGTCGATGCTTTCTGTCGTCCGTAACGAGGCGACCGACGCAGGATTTGCTCCCACGGCTTTGGAGGTCGAGACGAGTTCCCTCCTCTTGACAGAAGTGGGAGGATGTGCAGAGGATACTCCTTCCTCGTCGGGGTAAGGCCTCTTCAGGCCAGGTATCATCTTTGACCATGGAGTGCAATATTTTCCTTGAAAAGGTTGAGGTTGCGATAAAAGGTGTGCTGTGTTCAGCCTCGTTCGCGAACGGAGCAGGCGTCCTGCAAGGCAGATTCAACCCTGGGGCTTGAGCATCATCGTCCTTTGATTGATTGATTGATTTAGTCCAGTGTGGGCTCCGATAAGCTCGATAAGCGACGATTAGATAATCGCGCTAATTTTTCGATAATCGATAATCGACTATCGATTACGATAATTATCGAACTAAGGCCTTGGCAATACTACAGGGCCACTACAGGGCCACTACAGGGCCAATGCGCTATATTTATAGGCCTCATACTACCTTTTCTTTACTATAGCAGAATTCCGATTTAGTAAAGGCGGTATAAGGCCTATAAATATAGTGCATTAGCCCTGTAGTAGCCCTGTAGTACTACCAAGGCCCTGGACCCACTATTATTAATAGATTTAGTACTATAAAGGCGGTCTAAGGCCTGTAAATATAGCGTATTGGCCCTGTAGTAGCCCTGCAGTGGCCCTGTAGTATTGCCAAGGCCCTGGGACCCACTATTATCGATGGAATTATCGATGGGCTCGCTTAATGGCTGGCTGGGCCCACTTTTATTAATGGAATTATTGATAAAAGTGGGCCCAGCTATTAAGCGAGCCCCATTGCATCGATAGTATTAGCAATAATTATATTATCTATATTATAATAGACTATTAAATAGAAATATAATAGTATAGTAATAATAGTCTACTTTTATACTAATCTTCATACTAATCGGTTTATAATTGAACTAGAAAGCGAGATGTTTATGAAATAGGGCTCGCTTAATAGCTGGGGCCCACTTTTATCAATGATAATTATCGATATTAATCGTTTATCGATCGATTAGCCGATAATGATTACTAATCGATAATCCCGATCGATAATTTATCGGAGCCCACACTGATTTAGTCATAGAATGCAGAGCCTAAATCTCTAATATAATATACAAAGGAAAGACCATGGTTTCTTCTGAAATAACGAGGCACTAAGGCCTCGTAGCTCTCGTGACTGTCCAGACTTGATCCGCCAGCGAGGCAAGTAAGACAATCGTGGTAAGGGACTCGAATATAATATAGCCGTCCGTATACCTGGTGGAACTACCTGCTCATTACATTAAGAGTATAGAACAGGCTAAGCCTCTCATTCTATCCCCTTAATACAAATCCAAAGTAGTATAATATTTGGACGGTATTACTACTATCTCCACATGCAAAGGCCTTGTTGAGACATGCGTTTAACAGGTTTCCGTCGACCAAACCATCCTCCAAGATAAGAGACCCCAAGACAAGCTCGCTTTGTACTCTTACCCTCCCATATTCACGACCAGGGGCCCGAAGGAACGTGCTGCTACGTTTAATATAGATCTTTGGCAAAGGCTCGGTAATATAGTCCGATCTATTTTGAGGAATTCCGAACCCCGCAGGTTACAGAATTTTGTTGGATTTGACATTTGTTGTGGATTATCAATCGTCGTCATGTGAATACGAACGAGGCGGACACCTTAACCGCCGCACACCCAGTGGTGTTTCACACAACCAACAATTGCCACGCCGATCACTCGAAAGTTCTAGGCAGCAGAGATCTACTCCTGACTCTTCCTCGTGCTTTGTCTTCACCATTCTCCACTCCTTGCGCCATTGAATCAGCCAGCTATTGTACTCATTCTGCTTCAACTCCTTACACCCCAACCCATCCTCTCTCCAGCAATGGATCTTTCCCTGAGCCAGCCATCCTCCCCAAGGGTCTCCGAACCCAGAGAAGACGAACACGTCGTTAAGGCTGCGAAGTCCCTCCGCCGCCACATCGGTCACGAAGAGACTTCCAATGAAGACACCCCTTCAAGACAGTGGTCGCCTGGCGCCATCTTTTGGGTAGAGTCCGCTCCTCCCTCTTCTGGAGGTGCAAAGTGCCGACTCCCATGCCCCGAAAAGATCATGCCGGGAGAGTATAGGATTGCAGTAATTCCAGGGCAGCACAGCTACTACGGCCGAGACAGCACAGGTACTTGATATTAACTATACCAGCACGCACAACTTCATTCCATAATTAGTCCGTAAACTCGCGCTTGTCTAACCGTCTGATGATAGATTACTACCATATCTCCTGCTTCGAAACGATCGCAGATTTCTCACAGCTGGCATTTGTGGACCGCGTCCAACCAGTTACGCGAGACACCTGGCAGGTTAGGAATCTCAAAGCCACCAGCATACTAGATGGAAACTTCCTCATGGATGCCGGGGCCGAAAGATTATTGCTTGAGTGGAAGAAAACGGTCATATCCCTGATCGGTCATCGAGATGCTCGTGCCGGCACGCCGGAGACCTTGGAACCCGATTCATTCGATGACCTGCTAGCAAACGCTGGATCTTCCAAATTTGTACCGCGAGCTATTGCGGACCTGAGCGACTTTGATTATGATATTTTCCGAACCACTCTTGCTCCGTTTGAGAGCGATGGCCCCGACGATAATGACGAGTGGAATCTTTTTGAGCAGTACTTGGCCGTGCGAGACGGCCAGGAAGGGGCATTGGATTACCGACACAGCCTGAGCGAGACGCTGAATGCTTGGAAGCGTGATATTGTAAGCCGCCGCTCTTAAAAACTTTCATTTAATCTTTACTAATGATCATATCTCTGTAGCGCCGTACCTTTTGTCACCAGGGAAACGCAGAGGACGGTGACGGAATAGCGGAGCTTGGTCCGAAGGCTATCAGAGCAGTCACACGCCTTGCCGTTACTCCAAGGCCAGATATTCAGGGTGCTTTTGGACGGGGAAGGTGATTGTCCTGAATTGCGTTTAGTCTCACTCCCTTCGCCACTAGAAATACAATGCGGTAACGAACGCCACCCAAACGGTTACAATATAAGCTCCAACTGCAACGCACTCGAAACATCCTTCCTCCAAATTGAATACTAAACAGAAATACCACCGCTGAAAAGAAGTACCAAAAGATTCAATAGGGATACCAAAGCGACGTTCAGCCCTTCAATGACATGAAACCCCCAGCCTAGCACGTCGCCATCCGTTGGCGTTGAACGGCGCACGTCTTCCAGCCTCTCGTTGAGTTTCTTCGGGAAGCGCTCAACCAAATCATTGATACCTGTCACATTATCCAGCGCCGCCGGCAGAAAGTGATGTTCGTGATGAAGAAGACATGGTGGGCGATAAACGATAAGAAGAACTTTGACGCCTTGATCCTGGTTGTTAGTTTCAATATTGACAATCTCGGGAAGATCAGCGAGAGCTTGAACGTTCTCGAGAGGCAGAAGCAGCCGGCCTTTGTGATTGGGGAAATTGACGACGAAGACTAGTGGTGCCTCCGAAAATGAACCTGCTATAGAGGAAAGCTCAGGAGCGATATCGTAATTCCTTTGATATTTGGCTTTCCTTATTCGGGGCTGTATCACTGATTGCATTCCGAAAACCTCCCTTTTCGCCTCGCTTAAAAATGGCTGCGTTGCTTAAGCAATGCGACCGCAATTAATTAAATTTAGTCGAAAATACTGTTAAACCCGGCCGCTTGTTTTGGCAGAGAAAAGCGAGACCCTGACGTAATTCATGTAATATTAATTACAATACGATATGCGGTAAGCTAGGTTTAAGTGTTAGCAGAAAAGCCACTTAGCTCCAGTGTGTCAAATGAATAGAATAGAATAGAGTAGTGGCCTTCTATTCATCAAAATTTACCCACTACTTATATTCTATTCATATTTTAATCAAGGTATTCATGAATATTCATGAATACTTTGAGTAGTACGCACGTGATCTGCACGTGAGGAGCTAGCTATACTAGGCAAAGCTTTTTTATATGTTAATAGTCGGACTTGATGTCGCGCTAAAGGGGCCCTTTAGCGCGACGTCAAGTCCGACTATTAATTGCAGCAACTCTATCTCGGTCGTTGACCAGGAAAGCTTGATGGAGCCCCCCCCCCTTAAACTGCCGTTGAAAATCTCTCAATGCCCAAGACCTTACCCACTTTTATCGATCTACCTTTTATTCCAAAAGACGATCCAAGATCACCATCCATGAAATGATGCAAATCCAACTTGTTTCAATCCCCCCTCACTCACTCGAACTTCTCTCACCCCCGGTAGCTTGTGCCTGTACAGCGGCAACGTCACCCCAGAACCCTTTAGCCGCAGGATTTATATAGAAGACACTCCACAAGAAGTCCGCTAAGAAAACAGGCAGTTCTTCAGTTGGATTATTAATCCCAACAGCAAGACATGCGTCCGCAAGAATTTTGATAAAAAAATCCTGGTGGACAGTCGTAATGCTTGCTAATCCCCCTACCATGATGATCCAAAGCATCATTTCTGGATATGCGATCTGAAAAGCTGGTATATTGATCACTTCTAAACTTGCCCGTATCCGTTCCACGGACAGTTGGACTGGGGAGCCGACTCGACTGGGTTTGCAAACAAACACAACAGAATGTGTCAGTGCTGCGTTCCCAAACAACCCGTAAATCAGAGCATTCGGCTTCGAGGAATCTGGAACTTCGTATTGGACTATGTTAGTAAGTCGGCGCATGAGTTGATCAGTACCCAGCTGAAAGTCTTCTTTTGTAATTCTAGTTCCTGGCGGAGGCGGGATCCAGTATAATTTGTCTTTCTCGTCAACCAAATATCGTAGAAGATAGTATGCCTCAATAGTTTTTTGGCTGAGATCCTCCATGTTTGTGAGGTTAGACAGCTTGGTCTTATATCTTAAAGCTGTGGTACTGTAAAAATCCGGATACAAGGGTTCCTGATATGGAGTTGCAGTGACTAGCTCAAACCGGGGTTTGGATCCCAGTGTAATAGAACACATATTATCAACCCTAGTTATAGGTAATTAGAGCAGGGAAACAAACTTGACATGTGTAAAGAGCTGACTTACCAACATGTAAATTTCAAGATGAGGGGGTGGTCGACCAGAGCGTGAATACCACCCCTGCGCTTGACCAAAGCCTCGAGGCCATCAAGGTGGATCTTAAGACTATTGAGGCATCCGGTCGTGATCTAAAACCCCGTCAATAATTCGGAACTTTATCTGAAATACGGATGGGTAGCATCCTCAGAGAGTGGGGCGGGTTACCTGCAAATTCGCTAGAGAACCAACAGCGAATATCGTTGCATTCGAAATATCATTATGATTACAATTTGAGATTCTTTTATTTAGTAAAGTGATTGCTTGGCTAAGGTGATACGTCGAGTCAGAACTTGACTTTCCCCCTGCGAACATTCCCAAATTAATGGCCTAGGAAAGTGGGCAAATTAGTATCTCATGAAACGAGTCGGCTGGGGCTGGGGTGGTGGATTGGTAAAAGCCGCATTTAGTGGACCCAACAAACCGAGGGGCCATGCCCTTGGCGGCGTAGCAAACTTCGCTGAACTTACAATCTGACCTAGAACTGCATGTAGAACTGCTGGATCTGACATTGTGAAGTGAAGAGTGTCCTCCCTTGTAAAGGACTGGACCGCGGAGTAATATGGTGGCATATTAGGGAGGAAGATTTCATTGTCTGCTCAATTGTTAGTGAGAATCACGTGGATGGTAAGATATAGACATGCAAAGCCGTGGGGACCTTGAACTCAACGGCATATATGCCGGAAGATCTTCACAAATGCCGCGGGGGTGGGCTGTAGTGGGAAAGGGGGTCTTTCTTGCCGAGAAAGCACGACGTACATTGACTCAGTATGTAATGAGCATTGCCACGTTTGTCCACTGGCAATGCATTAAATGGGTCGTAGGAGTTGCTCGTTGGGCCGCGGTCTATCTCAATCTCATGATCCAATAAATTGAGAATCCCCAGCTTTTGGTCTCTGCCGCCATTCCAGTCTGTCTGACCAGCTAGTGGACGAGTCACGCATCTTCCCAGAGCATTCTGAGATCGCTCAATCCTTTTTCGCCGTGCCTTGGATCGGATGAGCTCCCGGGCCGTCCCCTTTGGTCGAGCAAGCCCATTCTCAGCGACAAATTGAAATCCCTGGGGCAAGGCAGTTTGTCAGCCCATGCCGGCATTCTAGTACGAGAGGGGACGGTATATACCAATCGCGGTTCTTCCGTAGCGAGTATGTTAGTTATGCATAAATGGCTGATTACACTGTTGATTCCTACCAGTGAGATCCCGATCATCTTCCTCTTCTGCCCACTCGGTCTGTGGGCAGTGGGGCCCAGCTTTGAGCACAGGTCTAGGACGAATAGGGATAGAATCCCCCATGAGTTCCATTCACAATCTCGCTTCTACTGCTTGTTTACTTCTTTAGTTGTGGCAACAGTGGCACCAGAGCTAGTTTACTGCTTTCGTCATGGGGGAAAACTTGGCGCAAAAGGAATACAAGGTTTGTAAATCGAAAGTGGGCATGAAAGATTCCTATGTAATCAGACTGCAGCTAATCTTTCGCTGTCCAATTATGAAGAAGTTGGGTGGCGCTGCAGGAGACTTTGCCGCATTGGGTAAACAAGACAAGAAGTATCCAATCACAATAGCTACAGTCTCAGGGGTATTATGCACAACGGTTGGCAAATGACCCGCCCAAATATTTTCATCCTTGAACGGATTCAAACAGCCGCGCATGGAGAAAGCGCTGAGCTGTGTGTTTGGCTTGATTACAAGATTCTTTGTACATCAAGTACCCTCCTCTTCGTTGTTGCAACTCCAGTAGTTCCCCCATTGAGCCAATCAGGCGAGTTCCGCGTCTCAGTAACATCTAGACCCAATGCATGAGAAAAATATGACCCTTCTCAGTCGTTAAGATGAGCCGGGTGATTTTTCCGAGTATCATCAGTGTGTTGGGTCATGTGATAAGATAAGATTACATTGCAGATAGATACCTCTGCACCTCTCAACCTCTTGCCACTTGATCTCAAAAAAGGGAAACAAAAATGATTATGAAGCTGCAAAGATAGGCGGAGGACCTTCAACCCCAAGATGTTGGAACACACGCAAGATTTCTTTTGGGAACCGGCTTGGTACATTCAAGGTGTACACTCAGTACCATTCGGTCTGGATCAGGTTTGTAGGCTTCATATTTTGTCTGGCATTGCTAATATCCAGTAGCCAAGTCCTCAAGACAATTCCAAGTTTATGAGCATGATCGAAGATCCCAAAATCTCAACGTGGAATATACCGGTTCTGGACGAATCTCTAAGTGAGTCCAGCACACCACGTGCTGAAACCGAGCAGCATATCGAAGCAAATAATCTGAACCACAACTCTCGAAGGCGTGATTCGAGAAAATCAATGGATGCGAAGAAAAAACGACGTGAGCAAAATCGAATCTCGCAAATGGCGCACCGCCAACGCTCCAAGAAGCAGCTCGAGTACTTTCGTAACCAGCTTGAAGAATGTACGCAGTACAATCACACCATGTATCGGACCTTGCAAGCTTTGGGCGAGAAGACACAGGAGCTAGCATGTGAGATCAAGCATGCTCTCTCCTTGCAACCTCCACAGCCGGAGCTTGAGCAATCTCGAATAGGCAGTGAAGAATTCCAGTGGCCGCCTTGGTCACATGATGGCTCTCCAACGCTGAGACGGATGGGGACGGAAGTGGCCCCTCTGATTGGGCAGTCTGAGCTCCCATGGTGGAATGGAAGGATTGAGTAAGGATTGGATATTTGGTTCAATGGGTTCTATTATCAATGAGTAGATGGAGTTGAGGCAATGTACCGCTCTGGGGTGTTTGAAAGGAGCGAAAAATCCGTCACGACAGGTTATGTTATTTTGATATTCGTCATATGCCACAGGGCATACGCCTTGAATTCTACTAATTAAACCCCCCTACCTTGGGTATTACGTTTTACTGCATAAACCAAGTCGCTGCTCAGAATAAATTTCCGATCCAGGTCTCAAGTATCATCTCGCTCACTCACGCGGAACATCTCAAGATACTAGCTTTTCAACATCTAAAGAAGGTGGGACTTTTGAATAAAAGCATGGTTTTGACACCTTCGGAATTCATTTCTAGAATTCTTATTAAAATGGAGGTAGAGTTTTGTGTCCAAATGTTTAATTACTTTGATTGAAATGAGAGTGGCCGTTGAGAGTTGGACGAGAGATCTCTAAGAATAGCAGATAGGCTGTGAAATAAAAGTAAGGGATAATGAACTCAATAACTCATATATCAAAGCGAAAAAATCCTCAAACCCCACCCAAAATACTCATATCATATATTGCTTTGCTTCCATCCATGGCAGAGGAATCCATCAGCAACATCCACTTCTTCAAAAACCACGGCTTAACTTCGCAGCTCCTTATATCACATGGCTGTTTACTCCCCAAAGGTTCCCTACTTCGAGTTCCCCGATAGTATGCCAAGCCTTCTCGAAAAATATCCCTTTTCAGTTCCATCGGATTAAACAAAGACGCAAGCGTGATTGCTCGTACTCGCAACGCGGGAAAGGGTAGAAGGCCAAGATAAGGATAATGCGGAAATAAAATCTGGGGCGGCGTTTGTTGTAGCTGAGCAGGAATCCAAGGCTTACGTGCTGCCACGAGGAGGGGTGCAGCATCATCATCTATTGTTGTGTCAGTGAGGTAGAAGGGCGATCTCATGGCAAGCAGATCTTGAATGCTGAGGCAAATGCAGCGAGCGTTGTGGAGGTATGGTAAGACTGTTGTTGTTTGGGCATGGTCAATGGAGTTTGAGTATGGATCTAGGAGCGGAGGAAGACCAAATGCTTGGCTTAAATTGAGCCGAATTCATGAAACATTGAAATTCGATACAACTGAAATTATGACGTCGACTCCTAGAATCTGATTCAAAGCTGCATCCTTTGGGATGTTGAGGACGTCCTGAGTGGCCTAAGTGTCTTCAAAACTACTAGATGTCTGATTTTGTGGCTCGCGCTGTGAATAATAGTAGCTTGGTAATAGGAAATCCGCAAAACCTTCAGACTTTGATGCAATGGAAGTGGTTACGCTGTGGTTCTGAGCGTGACCGAAATCCACACTGAAATCTTGACTTGTTGAACAAGTATTTTCCCCCATGTGACGAACCATATTTTGGTTTTGGGACAGGATTTCGTAGCTATTTGTAGAGTCATCCAGCGTACTCGAGTCCATGTTGGGGAAGGCTGCGGTCGAAACCACCCCGGGAAACAATAGCCCATCACTACTAAAGCCATGACTCAGGACCAAATCTTGCACCTCGGAACCAGGGTGTAACAAGACCAGAGATATGTCTCGTGGGAAGATGTTCTCATAAGAAGGGAGGTCCAGATTACTCAATGACTGGGTCTGCTCGAGTGTTCCCGGTCCAACCGCATGCAAGCTCAAACTTTCACCAGCGTCGAGATATGTGCAGTGTGTCAAATGATTAGGTTTGATTTGATTAGACCCCCCTACTCAAATCAAATCAAGTCAAAATCAAGCTAATCAAATCATACTTAATTATAATCAAAGATAATCAAAGATAATTAATTAGATTTATCACGTGATTATATATATGACTCCAGAGCTTCGGAAGCCGAGATAAGGCTAAAATAAGGTCTGGGCTAGCCGTATTCGGTATTACTAAAGGCGCTCTTTACTGAACCAGGCCTAGCGCTAATTAGTAAGCGAAGCCAAAGGCGCTAGAACCTCCTTGATTTCCAGTGATTCCTTGCCACTAATAAAGGAGCTATAAATAAACCCTTATAGTAATTAAAGAAGAAGAAATAAGAAAATAAGAAAATAAGAAGGGAAAAGAGAAAGAGATTTCTAAAGAAGAAAACTATTAAGATAAAGTAATATTATAGTAGTAGTAAAGAGCTTGAATTGAGCTATTTGCCAGGCTAAGGAAGTACTGGCTACATACTAAGTCACGTGCAATAGCACTATGTAACTGGTATCACGTAACAAAAACTAGTTTATTATTTTAAATTTAGACTAATTTTATACTCTTATATATATATTATAGATTTTATTTATATCTTATTAATATAGCTACTAGTTATTTAATAATTTTTAAAAATGCCTAAGAAAGTATACTTTTATATTATCACGTGATGATTATAGTTAATTATAATTAATTATAATAAAAATCAAGCTAATCAAATCATACTTAATTATAATCAATTCTAATTAATTCTAATTAATTAGCCTTGATTATTTTTTGACACACTGGATATGTGCCAAGGGACTGGCAAAGCCTGAGTTTGTGACACTTCCGTAGTAAGCCATGGCCGGGGCTGTGCCCACGCAAGAGTCTCTCTTTTTGTCTCTGACCTGTCCGTGTTGGTGTCAAGCAATTACCTACGGTACGCTTGTTGAGCGACACCATTCTGGCCTTTTCGAGTTCCGGTAATGATGCGCTTTCCATGTTTTGGGGCGGGGTTGGTACCTCCTGCCTTAGTTGAATTCATCTTTCCACGAGACTTGGGATGATCGAAGAACACTTCACTAGCTTGTTGGGGCCCCTCCTTGCTCGGATTCAATTTCTGTATGCTCCTCACTCCGTTGATCATGCAGAACTCAATGAGGGGGGGGGTTTTAAGAAAGGATTCGTGAATGATGGTGGAAGAAAGCCTCTCTTGCGGTAAGCCATTATTTGAAATTGGTGATCTCTAATCGCCGTTATTTACGAGGGTTGGATCACCATAAGCCATTGCCCACCACCTGGCTTACGGATGGCGGGCCGATAGGGCAGGATTTTAGGCGGTAAAGGGTCAAAACCCTCGAGCACCAGAACACTAAAATCATGGAATTCAAAGAATCCATGGAACTTAAAGGCTAGAATCGCATGGTACTTAAAATTAGGCTTGGAATTGCACTAAAATTATACTGAGACTCTACTTAATTACTATTAATAGGGAGCTCTTTACGTATCGCAGTGAGCTGCCCCCTCCCAGAAAGCGGCCTCCCCAGAAGTTGCCCCCCGTCCCCCTGCCCTCCCCCCTTAAGAGCTGCCTCTCTTCTTAGGGAGCTCTTTACTTATCGCAATAAGCTATTCCCAAGGAGCTGCTCCCAGGGAGCTCTTTACGTATTATAGTAAGCTGCCCCACAGGAAGCTGCCCCCCAAGAAGGTTCCCCCCAGAGAGCTCTTTATATATTATAAGAAGCTATTACCAGAAGCTGCTTTCCTGAGAAGCTCTTTATATATTATAATAAACTACCCTCCTAGAGAAAAGATATAGAAGGAAAATAATATAAATTTAGTGAGATATACCTCAAGAAAATAAATGAGGCTCTATACTTTAGTTACCTGAGGTAGTTTAGCTTTTGCTTAGCAAGCTGCCTCTCAGAAAGCTATCTGGGAGCCTCCCTACTTTCTCGCCTGTCTTGTACTCAGAAAGCTCTTTATATATCGTATATAAAGAGCTTTCTAGGAATAGCTTATAGTAATATATAAAGAGCTTTTTGGGAAATAGCTTACTATAATATATAAAAAGCTTCTTAGGGGGCAGCTTTCTAGAAGAAGCTTCCTGGAAAACAGCTTACTATAATATATAAAGAGCTCTATAGAAATAGCTTATTATAATATATAAAGGGCTTTTCGGAGGCAGCTTACTACAATATATAAAGAGCTTCCTGGAGGGTAGCTCTTGGGGGGGGGCAGCTTCTGGAGAGGCTCCCTGGGGCACAGCTTACTGCAATATATAAAGAGCTCCTATTAATAGTAAGTGCGAGTCTCAGTATAACTTTAGTGCAATTCCAAGCCTAATTTTAAGCACCATGCGATTCGTGGCTTTGAATTCCATGATTTTGGTGCTCGAGTACTCGAGTACTCGAGTTCTCGAGTGTTTTCGCCGTTTACCGCCTAAAATACTGCCCTAGCCGACGCGCCAAAAATGGATCTCTAACCCTCACGATACACCAAACATTACAGCCACAGTACTATACTATGCGGTTGTGCCCTATCACGTACGCCAACGATGGAAAATGGACGTGGGTACCGAGGCCGCAAGGGGGCATCATCTTGAGATGGTTGAGGACTAGCTGTAGTATAAGGCTAGGCTAGTCAGCCCACCTCCCGCAGACATAGGGGATTCCTCTGGGATAGCTGAGAGTGCTGGGAAACTCAGGTGCTGGAATAGCTTAGATGCTGGCATGACTCAGGTACTGGGCACAACGAATAGCCGAAGGAGTTTAGGCCGTCTTCGCCGACAAGAGGCCGTCCGTCTTGTTAGAGAACAGGCATCTCAATTTCTTCACACCATAGCACAAAAGATTGAGTCCGCCGATTGCATGGAGAGTGCCTTACCTCACGACGGTGACGTCGGCCGGGCCCCTGCTCGGGGGAGGGGCATCCTGCGGTAGTTAAAAGGTTGTCGCATATCTCAATCAGTGTTATATCAATCCTTAAGGGGGGTTTATAAGGCTGTTGAGTTTGACGGTTCGCCAACCCGCCCTAAGCGCGAACCCGCCGCACCGCTAATGGACATAACTTGGCCTGTACCCCCTCGTATAATTTTAAATCGAGTCAGTACCCCCATATAATTTAAATCAAGTCAGGACCGACTTGATTCAGGAATTATGGATAGGATCTTAACAACCAGAGGCGTGTCGCCATGAGAATAGTACCGTTAGACATCCCTTGCTCTTATCAGCAGCACACAATTAAAAAACACATCAATGCGATCTTGATGTGGGTAATGATTGTCTTGCTAAGCTAGAAGGTTTGTAGCTAGTGGAGGGTTTAATATACTAGCTGATCAATCCTGTTGCCAGGTGGCGACACCTGGTAGCAACTGGGCACCCTGTTTTCATGTCCCCTAGTCAATAGATCTCTCAAGTGTTGTCTATCTATGTCTTCCATGGGGCAAGCCACACTACTCACTCCTCGGAAACGGAGACCGCTTGAGGAAGACCGTTCGAAGTAGTATTCATGGTAGGTGGAGTGCCGGAAGCTCCATCTCTCTCTTCCACTTCCACTTCTCGAGGCATCTTAATAGTAACAGTGTTATTTTGCACATCCCGCTTGCCTGTAACGCCGTCACAGAGAAATGTGATACACGTGTACGCATCAAAAACGGCCCATTGGCCTCCAAGGCCAGGAAGGACGCAATTATCAACATAAAAGTAGTTATAACTTGGACCCATTAGCTGTGGACTCCGTGTGAACCTGAAAAGAAGTAAACTCACTAGCAATATCCAATATAATTGTTACCGGCATCATAAATAGTCAACTCGTTTGACTCTTGATTCCATGGCATATAGATGTCGCCATATCCGCAGACGTCCTGCATGTGTACAGTATAGCTAGGTGCGTTGCCGATGCCTGCCATTTCGCCACGATTCTTACCATAACACCAGCAATCTGAGTGGTAATCGTCCGATGGACAAGTGATATACACGTTTAACTCCGTCATCAAATGGAAGTCTGCTGCGGCGAAGGAGGCGGCTAAGACAGCCGCAAGCGTGAGTTTATTGATGAACATCGCGACGGCGTGGCGAAAGTGCACGGAGAGGTGGTAGATGATATCGTGTCAGGGACAGTAAACGTGAGAAGGCACAAAGTACCTTTATTGATGTCAATAACCTAAGAGCTTTGAGGAATGCTTCTACCATGGAGTGAGCGGTCGATGGATTTTATATCTTTCCTGCTTGAGTTGAGACTTGTAGCTTAATACCTCATATCAGACGTTACATCTGAACTTGTTAGGGAGGTAGCTAGTTAGAAAGAGCAGATGAAGCCTGTTGTGGTAAGCCCTAGCAAGGGGCCCGACCCTAGAGATTACTAATATCTTTATAAGAATATAAGGTAAATTCTTATTAGCTTAGTTATTCTTATATCTTAAATTCTTATATAGAGTTTTAACTATTAATATAAGCGAATCCCTTAATAGCTATTTTACTAATATAAAAGCTTTAATTAGATTTAATTTATTAACTAATAGTAAAATAGCAATTTCTATATATATAAGTATTTCTACTTTCTAGATAAGTTTACTATATAACTAGTTTCTAATTACTCCTTAATAATAGTTTCCGTATTTTGTAATCCGATCCAATGGACGCTTACTATCGGGTAAGCAGAGTAATGACACTACGCAGGTGCAGACCCTAATGTTTGCTCTGCCGCCTTGAGTTCTGCTAAGCAAAAGTCGGCTATAGCGCTTTGCTATAGGGCATTTCAGCGCAACCCCTGCAAAGGCGGTGTAACAAACATTAGGGCTTACGCCTACGTAGTAGTCGGCCGAACCCTGCTCGTACGTACTGACTACTGAGAGGCACTTTCTCTCTCTCTTTATACCGGCATCAAGTAGGGCAGGATTTTAGGCAGTAAGTGGTCAAAATCCAAAACACTCGAGCACCAAACCACCAAAACCACGCAATTGCAAAACCACCTCGCATGCTACTTAAAATAGGCGTAGAATTGCACCAAAATTAATACTTAGACTCGTACTTACTATTAATAGGGTGCTCTTTATGTATTGCAGTGAGCTGCCCTGCAGGAAGCTGCATCCCCCAACCCCCCGCCCCCCCTCTTCCCAAGAGAGCTCTTTATAAATCGCAGTAAGCTGCCCCCAAGGAGCCCTTTATTCCTTCGTCCGCTGAGACATTGCCAGGCGCTAGCAAGGGGGAGTCCTGCACTGAACAGGGGGGGCTCGCCTGGCATACGGAGCATAATAATTATGTACCTTTGCATGCAAATTTATTAGTAAGCTATATTATTTAAATGAAATCGCTACCAGTACTTCCCCTCTTTATAGAGCGGTATATTACAAAAAACACCCCCACCCTATAAGCGTTTTGGTATACTATTTACCCCTTTTCCTAAGACTCTTTTATACTTTAGAGTATATAAATGCCACGTACAAGTGCCCCTTTTAAGACGCTTTTCCTAATAGTATAAATACTAGAGTTTAGGGCCGAATAGCCTCTTACTCTCTAGCTTCCTTTATAAGCTCGCTAGCTTTGCCTTCTCAGAATACCCTAAAAGATTATAATAAAGCTCGATTCTAAATTGCAAGTATATAAGTAGATATTCTTATATTCTATATAACTAATAAAGCCTATATATATTAATATATACTATATTAATTAGCTAGTAAAATAAGGGCTACTAATTCCTTAGAATAGGTTTATAAGTTTTATATATTTTCCTAAATTAATTTACAAGGTCTATATATCCTATATATTAATTATAATTATTAATAAAGCTAGAAATCTTAAGCTTCTTTATTAATAAATTACTAAAAAATCTTATAGATAATTTATTTATTTATAAATGTCTTTATAGGCCGTTTCCTTTTCTTTTTTCGGAAATTCTCTGCCTTATCTATAATATAAATATTATTTAGATATAAGATAATACTATTATTTTACTAAGCTAAGTAAAATATATTCTAAATTATTACTATAAGTAAGGTATTTCATTCTAGCTTTTTTCGCAAATCGGGTTTTAATTATTAATAATTCTAATAGAAATAGCTTATATAGGCAAGTAGTATTTACTATATTAAATTTATAGGCTTATAGCTTTATAAATAAGGATATAGAAATAAAGTAATTATTGAGATATATTATAAAATAGTAGTATAGAAGAGAAAGTACTAGATTTCATATAAGAGAACTAGTATTTATAAGTATTAGATAGAGAATTATTTTTTGTAATTCCTTTTTTTATAAGCTTTAAATCCAATTATATATATATCTGTAATTTATAAATCTATAAATCTTATATTTTTATTTAATTAGCTTTTTAGATATCTTATATATATATAAGAAACTAAAATAATTAGTAAAATAATAAAATAAAAAAGAAGAAAATATATTTACTAAAATACTATATTATAAGCTTATTAATATTTATATTAGATAAAGGCGAGTAATATAATTAGAAGAAAGCTTAAATAAATAAAGCAAGAAGTTTAAGCTTATACTATTATATCTTATTAGAAGATAAGTAATACTTCTTTTACTTATTATTATTAGGATATAAAATATAATAGTACTATTTAATTTACTTAAAATACTAGTATAATATATAGCTTGTAATTGAATATAAAAGTCCTTTATTAAAGTCTATATTCTAATATATCTTAATTTAAGGCTTATTATATATTCTTATATATATAATAGTATCGAGAAATATATATAGTTCTTCTATAAGCAGATCTGTCTATTCTCGTATGCTTTCCCCCTTTATATATAGCCTTTGCTTGCTCGCATATCGATTAGTATTTGTAGTAATTGTCTGAAAATGCTCGTGGGTAAAGAACAGGCTATAAAAGCGCAGGGCATTGAAAACCGTCTATCTGCCAAAATGCGAGGAATACCAAAATTGCTATATTCAGAAAATTATACCAAATCTTAATAGAACGCCCGAAATTCTTCAAAAGTGCTTTATGTAATAGAAAAGAAGCAGATCTAACTTTGGCGAAATTTTTATAATAATAGAATATAATATGGAATTATGAGAATTTTGTAATGTGAGCATTAAAATTGCGCCCGTCCTCGCTTATCGAGTTGAACGGATTTTAATGCCGTGCGCTTTTGTAAAGTAATCGAAAGGGCATGGTTTTAGAGGGAAGGTAGGAGGTAAAAATGCTCTTGCTGGGTGTTTAGGTTCGGGTTGGAAGGGCTTGTAGGAAATGTCTGTAATTGGTCCAAGTTTGTGGAGTATATTTTCAAGTGATTGGATGCTTTTGAGCCCTTAGGCTATGGAGGTGGGCTAGAAGATGGGCTAGGAGAGTAGTCCATTACTGGCTGCATGAGTGCGTACTGGAGGGGCATTATTGGATACGATTTCATCCGTGCGATATAGCTTACTAATAAATTTATATACAAAGGTATATAATTATTATGCTCCGTATACCAGGCAAGCCCCCCCTGTTCAGTGCAGGACTCCCCCTTGCTAGCGCCTGGCAATGTCTCAGCGGACGAAGGGCTATCTAGTGAGCTGTCCCAAGGGAGCCGCCCCCAGTAAGCTGTCCCGAGGGAGCCGCTCCCAGAGAGCTGCCCCCTCTCCCTGCCCCCTTCCAAGAGCTACTTTTCAGGAAGCTATCAATAAAGGAGCTTTATATATATTATAATAAGTTGCCCTATAGAAAGCTGCCTTTTACTATTTTCTAAAAAGTTTTTACTAGATTTCTTACTAAGATCTAATATCAGATATAAAAGTTCTTTTTCTAGCTTGAACTCTAATTTAAATAAAGAAACTTAGATAATTCTTAATATTATTATACTAAATAAATTTAGATATATAATAATTAATTTAAAGTTTTTTAAAGTTTTATAAGCTTATAATATTTCTCTTAATCTCTAATAAAACTAAGAGTATTATTAGATTTTAATTATTTTAAATCCCGTAATTTTATAACTAAAATAATTTACTAGAAAATTCTTATTTATTAAAAATATATTCTTTAATTAAATATAATCTAATAATGAAATAGTATAGTAAAAATATAAAAGAAAACTTAATTATTTAATTAAAGAAAGAAAGAAAAAGGGAAAGAAATATTATAGACTTTTATAAAGTTATAATTTTACTAGTTTATATAATAATTATAATAGCTAGTATTATATAATTAGTTTTAGTTAAAGGAATTAATTTCAGCTAAGATTCCAAGCTATAGTTTAAACTAAACTCGCTTTTAAAACTCGGTATTTTAGTAGTTTTGGCTATATTTATTTATTTACTATTATATTTTATTTCTTTTTTCTTTAGCTTTAAATTTTATAGAATATTAGAATTATAAATCTTTATATATTATATTATTATTTTATTTTTATTATTATAATAATGCTATATTTATATATAATACTATATAACTTATTTTTTTATTATAATTTTATATTTTGCCTAGCCTAGTATCTAGTATTTAGTATAATAGGGATATAAAATACGGAGTAATATAGGAGTAAAGAATGGGCTTCCACAGCGTGGGATCACAGCGTACGAGTGAGGCGTGAAATTAGAGAGTGAAGGTTGGTTTGTTAGTTGGTTTTCTAAGAACTAAGAAGGAGAGCGGGGAATATATATGAAACCGGACGTACGGACGTCCAGTAGTCACCTGACCGCGCCACGTGACCAATAGGGGTAAAATCCCCACCACATTAGTACCTTAGCTTAGTATCTGGGTATCTAATATCTAGGGTTATATAATAGTTATATATAATAAAGCTATAATGGCTGGTATTATATGGTTGGTTTCAGTCAAAGGGGTTGGTTCCAGCTAAGGTTCCAAGCTATGGTTCAAACCAAGCTCGCTTCCAAAGCTCGGCGTTTCAGTAGTCTCAGCCATACCTACTTATCCACTGCCACACCTCACTCCTTCCTCCTTAGCTTTAAATTCTCAAGACATAGGAAATTATTAATCTTTGAGCCTCGTTCCATTGCTCTGTTCCTGCCGTCACAAAAGCTAAGGGAAGCTATATTCTGGGAAATTTAGAATACTAAGCCCTATTAGGCCGAGCTATAAGCAAGGAACTATAAATATTTAAAGGACTTTAATTCGAGATTCTCTTTTCTTTTTAACTTAGTTTTTTTAATAAATAATTCTTCTATAAGTATCTTATTTATAGGTTCTTTTTATAGGGCTATAATATTAAACTAAACTCTTTCTTTCTATCTAGAAAAGCTCTAGAATATCTTTCTTAAAACAATTATTTATTTCTAAAAAACGACTTCTTATATATAAATTATATATACCTAATATCTTTAATATAGCCTCTTATACTAATAGCCTTTCTAAAAGTCTTTACCTATATCCTATAATCCTATTTCTTATATCTAGTTCCCCTTTAATCCCTAAACTGTAGTCCTGCAGTGACTCTATCTTGAGCTCCAAATACTTGCTTTCATTAAAATTGCCAACAATTTATGTCATGGCTGCCTCCAAAAAGATATTAATTATAATTGGGGCAACAGGAAACCAGGGCTCCTCTGTGGTAGACGAGTTTCTCAAACTACCCAACCGGAATATTCGCTGCCTCACACGGAAACCCACCTCCTCCGCCTCCTTCGCTTTATCTGCTCTTGGAGCAGAGGTGGTCCAACCCGGCCTCTCGGACCTCTCCTCTCTTTCCAAAGGATTTGCCAATATCAACGCCATTTTCCTGAACACCAAATTTCTGGGAAACATTCAGGGCAATATTACAGGCGAAGCCTTCCGTCGGCGAGAAGTCAGCCAATGAAGCGGCTTTCAACACCAAAGTCCTGCATGGAAAAATGCAGCCATTGCAGCAGCAGGCGTGCCATCTCTTGAATACTTCGTCTACTCCGCTATTCCTCCCATGAAAGCACATTCGAATGGAAGCCACGGCAACGGCAATCACTGAGACACGAAGGCCATGGTCATCGAATACATCTTGAACGAGCAACCTGAACTGGCCGAGAAAGTCTCCCTCAACTACCTTTGCGGCTACAACACCGATCCCATGCTCATTCCAAGATTCAACCGTGCTAGTGGGAAGTACTCATTTGCCTTACCGTTGGCAAAGGATGTACGCATATCGATTATAGACCCCAAGGAGCCAACGGGACCTTTCGTTCTTCCATTGGTTGAGGATGAGGATGCTGGCACCAAGCTTCTTGCTTACGATGCAAAGAGCTACCTGACCATTGGAGAGATTGTCGATCTTTGGTCGAAGACAAGTGGCCAAGATGTAGTCTTGCAGAGTATGTCTTCGTGACTGCCGAGATTAGGTACTAGAAGTTTGGCATCTCAATGGAGGTGCTTGTGCGCTTGGATTCATCAGAGAGTATGGGTATATGGGTGGGGTGAATAATTTCCTCGAGCCTTCGCAGCTGGAGAAGTAGGTGAAGACGCAGTCGTTTGAGGATTGACTGAAGGGAAGAGATCGGAAGGAAGTATTGGATTATTTGAGCTCTGCCAAATAATTGGGTCTAGGTTTCCCAGAAGAAGAACAATCAACTCTGTGTATCATCATGTCTTTTGTTATCTTAATTGAAGAGAATCATTGAAAGTTACGATGTGGGAACCACGACACATCAAGCTCCCCGTGCTTACACTCGCGTCACTTCAAGAAGAGTACCAAACCATTTCATGTACTAGCAGAACCGAAATGAAAAAGCAATCAAAAATCATTGAATATACCAATTCGCTTGGCCTGACCTGGGATTACCCGTGATAGGGGGTTGAAACCAGTGTGTCAAAGGATTATTCAAGTTATTCAAGTTATTCATGAATAATTCATGAATAACTTGAATAGAATATGAGTAACGAATATCTTAAATAATTTGAGTAAAATAGAATAATTATTCATGAATAACCACGTGGAAGTCACGTGGAATTCAATTAATTATAGTAAATTGACATATATTTAAATTTTTTAAAAAAAACTAAGGTATTTATTAAGCAGCCTTATATAAGCTAAGCTAATACTCATATAAGTCTACTTAAATGCTGATTTTCTATAATAAATAAAGTAATTATCGCTAAGGTTCGATTCGCTTACCAAGCGCCACTATTACCTGATTGGGTAGCGAGGTGACGCTAGGTGCGGCCCCCCGAAGCCTTACCCAATTAGGCTAGCTCAATCACGTGCACAGATCACGTGCGTTATTCAAGTTATTCATGAATAACTTGAATAATATATGAATAAAATAAGAGTAACGACCGTTATTCTATTCTACTCTATTCATTTGACACACTGGTTGAAACTTTAGAGTGTTCAGAAGCTCCATCTCCCATCTAAGCGAGCCGGAAAAGGGTAAGCAAGAAAATTTTCACGCGCAACGCTTCGCCGCATTACCCCCCACATCTCCCCGCCAAAAAAAAAAGGGGTTTTATAGGGTAGCTTTATTTCCCATAGCAGTCATAACTTCGTATCTAGTTTCTAAAATAACTATCTTCTCAACATTAAAGCAAATACGCAACTACTACAGCACCCAACCCAACCCACCCACCAACCTTCAGCTTCCTCCCTGCACTTTTACTCGTCGTCGGCGTACTTCCACTCCCCGTCGCAGTCCCCGTCGCAGAACTCGAACTCGAGCTTGCAGTTGGAGTGGGCGTAACACTCGCCCCCAAATCCGGCAACGCGGGGTAATTACTGGCATTCGTGCTCGACACATTGACAAAGATACAATCCGCATCATACCGATACGGATTAATAAGGTTCGGGCCGGTGATATTACCAAAGGCAAGTCTGATCAGCGTATCCCTCCTCGTATCATATTCTGGCCAGCCATAAGTCGTCAATCCTTTTTGAGGATTCTTGGCGAACGCAGCCCAGGCTCCACGCATATAGTTTGCTATTGAGACTTCTTCGGAGGTGGAAGAGCCAGGCGCGGTGTCGAAGATGATAGGGATTTCAGCCGCGTGCCATGTACCTGCTTCAGAGGAGACGGCGAGGTTGGGGAACACACCAAAGTAGCGGTACCGCCAGGTCGGGTTGCCAGCAGCGATGGAGGCATTGGCACGGATTCCAGTTGGGCATGTAAATTCTTGGAGGTTGAAGTCGTCCCAGAAGGTGTCGGGGAAGAAGAGACCGGAGAGGGCGAACTCGGTGCGGAAGAGGCCGCCTTCGTAGTTGTTGTTTCCGATGAGCATGGGGACTTTGGCGGGTGTGCGCTGCGAGTAGTTGGAAAAGATGACGGTGTCATCAACGGTGGGCCCAAAGCCGCCGAGGATGGAGGCTGTCCCGCTGAGGGCGGGGATGGCATTGAGGATCGAGGTGTAGGTCTGATTTCGCATGCAAGAGAGGACAGTTGCGGGATCCGAAGAGGCGTTTCCGCATTCAAATGTCTCGGTTACATTGAGCCATGCTTCAGCAGCAACGGCTTTGGAGTTCGGAAGACCCCAACCAAACATGTTACCGGATTCGGGGATGAATCCTGCAGCAATCGGATCTGAAGCCCACGCATAGGAATATGCATCCACTGAAGCTCCACCGGCAGACTGTCCAAAGAGAGTGATTCTGGATGAATCGCCCCCAAAGTTCTCAATGTTGTCTCGTACCCATTCTACAGCCAGTCGCTGATCCAGCAGGCCTAGATTTAGCGGTCCATTGGGGTTTCCTGGAAAGCCGAGGATACTCAACCGGTAGCTGCCCCAAAGTTAGTATCTAGGCATCCACAGAGGATTAGAGTACCCACTTGAAGGAGACAACAACAACATCCTCTTGATCTGCAATATTGGCCCCATTGTATGCCGGAATCGAAGAACTTCCACTGCTGAATCCACCTCCATAGATCCAGACTAGCACCGCCTTCTTCGCATCTCCGGTTTGTGGTTTCGTCCAGATATTTAGATATAGGCAATCCTCGCTGTAATTGGCGCCTCTATTGCTCAATACCCCCAACACCGTTATTCCGGCAGCTGTAATGTTCGCGGCTGCTAATTCTTCAGCGGTAGGGAGGGAGCTTGAGCCTTGGTGGACAGGACATGAAAAGCCCTAATGGACAATCTATTAGCTATCCCTCCCACCTTTGCGAGTGAACCAGACTTACAAAAGAACTGCCATTGAGCGGCGCAGTGCCATTGAACGCAAGCGGCGCCGCGAACCTGAGATCTCCAATTGGCGCCTGCCCGAACGGAATCCCCAAGTACTCAGAGACGTCCGAATCGTTCGTTGCAGAATGTCCGTTGACAGGTCCGCTGCTCGTCTGGACTGTTTGCCCCACCGTCCAATTAGCAGCCCGTTCTTCGAGCTTAGCAGCTAGAGCATATGAGGCTGCCACTAGGGAGAAGAGTGCGAGGGACCTCATAGCAAAAACCTCCCAATGAATCGCATTGGGAAGAAGAGGATTGGGAACGAGAGGAATGGTACCAAGGAGGAAATACACGTACACTTGTACTCTGCAGCTAGCAAGTAGCAGCCTACCTACGAACAATTCACTTGTGCCACCAACAGTCACGGACTCGGCGCAATCTGTCAATAGTGAAGGACCAGCCCTGAAAGGTCGAGAATGGGACCTGCGGCGAGCGAAACCATTCCCATTGCGCTGCGCCTCGCACACCCGGTCCACACACGTCGTCACGAAGCGTACCGTAGTAGCGCCGGGCAACAACGTCGAAAGGAATCAGGGTTGCATCGCTAGGCTCAGGGAAGTGCGGAGAAGACTCCATTTCATGATGTAATGTTGGGGGTGTCAGGTGAAGTCATGTGGGGAACAGCGGGGAGCCGAGGTGTTTGCCTTTTTCGGCTGCACAATACGGGAAGGAAACTGATATTTCTTCGGAAAGCTGGCTCGATGTAGCTTGGTGGATGTGCTTTGATATCAAATCTTTCGGGACGGCAATGGAGCCAAAGTGTGAGTCGGGCGCTCTTTTCATCCGTAAAAGAGGAGTACGGCGGGTCCGACACAGGACAAAACGGGTCTCCTGTTTACGTCTGTTACAACGTTTTAACTATAACTTAAATTAATTAATACGAAGTAATATAATTATAAAATAGAATTAAGCTAATGAAATATCTAAACCCGATTTTTAATATAGTTTGTAATTAATTAGTAATTAAATTTCGAAGCATATAAATAATTTATACTTTTATATATTTTTTAATTATATAAAACGTAAGAATTTTTATATAAACTTATATAAAAATAATTATATACTTTATAACTCTTATAATATTAAAGATATCAAAAATCAGAGAACGGGGAATTAAGTACTAAAAGATATATAATAATTCTAATTAATATAATTTATATTAATTCGTATTTTGATACACTTGTAACGGCACTGGCTAGGGGCCAAAGGGGGGTGGCTATCACATAACTGGTTTCACCTAGCTAGCCGGCGTTTCAGTGGTTTTAGCTAGTATTTCCCTCCTTTTATCCCCTTTCCTTCTCTCTCTCCTTCTTCTCCTTAGCTTAGTATTCTCAATACATGGGATTTTCCTGGATCTTTGAGCCTTTGTACCATTGCCTCGATCCCGCCGTCACAACACTTTCTTTTATTTTGATATTATTATATCGGACCAACTATAAGTAGGGAAGAAAGTTAATAATAGGCACGTGTGAGCCAATGTTTCAGCCACTACTATTTGTCTCTTCTTTCCCGTTTAGAAAAGTCACGAAGTCTATTTCAAGTCGAAATTTTAGACGCCGCCTTTGGGCGATGGCATTTCATGTTTATTTAACTACTTGCTTTGTGTACGTTGGTTTATAAAGTCCTTGGTAATTATCCGCCGGGAGAAATATCTTTCCGGACCGCCTTTTTGTGAAAAACATTACATCTCAAGGTTCGTGCAGGGAAGTTTCCTCGTGTCACAGTACGGAGAGGATTTGTGCTGAAAAATGCAGTACGCACCGACATGTTCCGATATTTTTGTACTCGTGTAATCAAGAGGAACACAACACAACAGCGGCGGAATGGAAGTGACGAGGTGAAGCTCCCAGCTGTGAAACTACGAGCCGTGTGACGAAGACGACAGTCGGTCGATCATTTGATATAACACTTGTACAGTACTGTACCAGTTGAGATTTGGTTAGACTACAACGACTCAAAACCTCCCCGCGGTGCAGTCTGGGAGAGCTGATAGTCGGTCTACGGATTAAAAGAGATGGCAGGGCTCAGATTGAGTCACGACCTGCTGTCTTCTTATACATAACATACCAAACGATCCTCTGGGTATCGAGGCTCTTGTACGCCCTCTCAAATAACGATGGAATTGCTCGACCCCTAGTTCGATAGCAGTACTATATTCGGTCAGATTATACTAAGATATAAAATAAAATATTTGAAGAGCGCCTTTTATAGAATCGACCTCAGAATAAGGCTATAGTACAGATAGGTGGGAATGGGTTCTAGCCCAAAACGCTAGTAAGCGGAGAGGAATAGCATGACTCCGAGGAAGATTCCCTGGCCTTAGTTATGCGCAATAAGAGTTTTTAGAGGGGTTTACAAGGAGCGTACCTCTCCGTCACATTTGTATTCTACGGAAGAGTAGTGGTATTCGGTGCAAACTTAGAGAAAACTTAGTGCAACTCCAATGTTGTCCTAGCCCAGAAATTGATGTATAAGTCCACTCCTAGCTCCATAAACGTCGTGAGTTACAAAGAACTACTACTCCAGCATTAAAAATTCTGAAAAGCGGGACATAATACAACTCTGATGCGCCATTTCTTGAGACATTGCAGAGAGAGCTAGTGGCACCAATCCAAAACTGGCGCCCAAAGCCAGGACAATAGAAGGATTCCCTACTAGAAATCGTCAAAATCAGTGGTTTCTCAAGCGAGGGACACACCTAAAACGGAAGAGGCAAACCCGGAAAGGAAGCGGGTTTGAGCATAGGAAACTGCTTAAATTCAGTGTTTAGGCGTGCTCCAGCCAAGCGAGACAAGGAATATGTTTTTATTTCTCGGCTACAAAATGGTTTTGCCCTCATCCAATCTTCAATCAGTAACCCTGGCTGCTTCTACTTGGGCCGCATTCACTATCAAATCACTCTCCCCAGAGTCTCCTGTCATCTAGCATATATAAAGTCTCAGCAGATTCTGTTGCCTCATGGCGAAAATTGCGAAATGAGTCCATTGAATACTCTATACCCGGGACAGCTGGATGGCTCAACTGTCCTTTGTTCGCTTTCCGTCGTGGATGCTTGCTCTAGAGAACTGTTTTTCACGGTATTTGCAGTTATGTAGATGAACTTTCTCCCTCCTCTGCATCATTACTGCTTGAGGGAACACTCCCAGCTACTGGTTCAAGGTCTGCGCTGCCTGTCCCTCGTAGCTCATCCTCGACGCAAGGGGATTGACAGGGTGGTTCGTCTTCCGCCTCTTGGTGTCGTCCATCGCTACTTTGAACTGTGGTTTTGACTCGTCGAGTTTCTCTGCCGGGTGACATGCTTCGAGGGCGCTTTGAAGGGAGGTTGGAGGTGGTAAGTCTGTCAGGGACCCCACTGGGAGTTCCCGGGAGTGGTTCGTGGCTGTTTTGCTCATCTGTCACATTGCTCTGCCCCCCAGATGCTCCATGGGCCAGAACAATGATCGACGGGCTTCCAGTGCAATCACTACTGAGACGTCCATGGGTTGCCTCATCGCTAATTGAAACCTGGCCCTGCTTCAAACCTGGTGCGGAACAACAGTCGGAAAGCTCTAAAGACTTGGGATCTGGCCTTTGTTTATGCTTTTTGCCCTTGTGGATGTTGCAATCTCTCTGCGTGGAAAATCTCTTATCACATATTTCGCAAGCATATGGGAGAGTGGTTGTACTTGGAGTTAAACCACGTTTCGGTTTTGATTTTTCAGTTGGCCTGGAAAAATTGGTTGCATTTTGGTGCGTCATGCGGACTGGCGGGGATTGTTTTGTTGATTTCAATAGTCCTGTGCTTGTGGCGTCCTTGCTAGGCTTGAGGTTGTCACACCGGTTGCGATGCTCCGAAAGCTCCTTGTTACTAGGGAAGTATGCCTTACATTCTTTGCATCGCGGGCACGCATCTATTACTCTGTTAGTAATTCGTTGTAAATGTATCTTTGACGTATAAAACGTACTGGAAACTTGGTGGCGAGCGAGGTTTGCTTGGCGAGAAAATGAACGAGAGCAAATTACACATCTCCAGTCCTCCAACTTTCCTCTTTTAACGCCCTTCGCTGTATGGATCGTACCATGTTCATCCTCGCCAACTTCTAAATAACACTCATCATTGGGATTCCTCACAGTCGGCATAGCAATTGGTAACATTCCCTCATACGCTCTTTGAACATGTGGTAACTCGGTCCTGCTTCCTCTTTGTGTTTGCTGTTGAGAAGTCTCCAATGTGGGCTGTGGCACGAAGTTGATAGATTCTGTCTTTGAGGCGGTGATATAACTTGTGTGCGTACACAACTCGGCTCTTTCTTGCGCTGTTCTGGTGATGAAGTTGTTCGAGTCCACGAGGGCATCGACCAGTGGATCCTGTGGGCACACCGCCTTTGTGGGGTAGCAGTGGATTGATGCGTGACGCCAACTTGGTCTATTGTCATTCCCTGGATCTCCTATAGATATATTTCGTCTACCTAACTGAGCAGTCTGAGGTTGCTTTTCCGTTTCCCGAGTGTGTGAGGTGCCAGGTGGATAGACGACAAATTCGTATTGCTGATCAGTCGTTACTGTGGAAGCCTTCAGTCTGAGCACAGCTTCAAAGATTCCAACAAAGTGAAAGCCTCTAGTCTCCCAAACAACATTATCACGTCTCCAAGAATTGAAAATCTCGCCCTCACTTTCGTTGTCTGGCCTTGTAAATAGTCCAGCTAACACTTTCGATAATCGGGCGGCTAATTCCCTGGCCTTACGTGGAATTGTGTTTTCCTGGAAGTGGCTGCTATCAATGAGCTTCAGGTGCGCTGCCAGGTCGAGATTGTGAAGTCCCTTCCAGTTATCTGCCATTGTCAGAGTCGTCCTGATATGCCAACAGAACATGGGAAACGCTTACTTTGAGTCATCACAGCCTCCCGAGTAGCTCGTAAGAGAGGACACGGTACCGGGAGAAAGTTCGGGAATGGTGTAGCAAAAACCCACTCCCGTAGAGCGGCTGCTATCAATGCTCTAGCTACCATGCCGGGGGAGCTTGACTTCAAGATATATTTTTTGAGCCATGCAGTTTCCTGGTCAATAGGAACGCGATTGTTGGAAATACAACGTACGAGGGCTCCAAGGTCACTATTGCTGGCTATAAATGGAACGTCGAATAATATAGTCGAGTCGTTTCCGTTCAAAATAGACTCCATTTCAGAGCTGACGAAATCCATAGTATTCTGTACCTCAGAATTGATACCAGAGATCGCTTGCTGTGGATCCTTTACCGTGAAATTCGTTAGTTTTTGCATTTCCTGGACCTTTTTAGTCAAGCTCCAAATATTGTCGTTCATCTCAGACAGTTTGTTCTCGAGTGTAGCTCTCCCTGTAAGCCTACTAGCTTCTTGAGCCATTTGGAGATGCTTGATTTGGGCCCGAAGTTCAATTTCTGTCTGCGCGTACCTGGCGAGTTGTTGGCTGAACTCGTCCACTTCCTGCTGCCATTGTTCGCGGATGTTACTGATCTCAATATCTCTTCGTGTGATATCTTCTCGAAATCTTTGGTCAAGGGTACTTTCGGCTGGTCTTAGACTCGTGGGAAACGTGGAAAAGTTCAAGGCAGCTGCTGATATATTGGGACGAGTCATCGACATGTGCTCAGGCCTTGCTGGTCGTTCGGAGGCAGTAAGAGTGGGGGGGAGCACGGTCTAACTAGCTGTTACTGCCTGATAATTTGAGTCTCGTGGAGGGCATTTCCGCGTCAAACTTACATCTCCAGACAGATCCGCATTTGTAAGATTCTTGGAACAAACCCCTGCGGATCTTGTCTTAGCCCGCCTTGGAAGACCAGTTCTACCAAGCTGTCCCGAGTGTTGGTGTAGTGTTTGGGCACGAAGGGCTTCATAACAACCCAACTCCTTCTGGATGGCTTGTCGTATGGTGTTGGATAAGAAGTCTTCAAAGTATGTTGAGCCGTTTGACAAAATTTCTTCAGAAGAGTATGCCTTTGAAGACCGTCGCAAGATCGAGACGAATTTGTTTTTGACTTGCGTACTCGTGAACATGCACTCGTCGTCATCGCGCTGCGTCCTTGCTTCGGTCAAATGAGCCGGCACTGTTTCCCAGAAGTCGAGCCCATTCCGACGACAGAAGTCGAGCCAGGCAAGCGTGGCTACCAGATCAGCATCTTTGAAAACCTTGTTCGAAGCCATTGTAACTGGAAGATCGGTCTTGCGGTGGTCGAATCACTTGGAAGGAAAAGTCGCAGTTTCTTGGTCTGCTGGGGCTCATGCGAATGTGGAGAAGCTCCTTTGCCCCCGAACTGGGAAGAACCCGTTCATCTTCGAGTCTTTCAGGTTGGGGTTAGTGTTGGTTTCGATGGCTGTGGCTGATACAAGGTCAAGGTGCTGGTCAGTTGTCCGCACGGAGAGCATATCCGGTTTCTTTTAGAAGTCTGAAACTCATGGCAAAATACCAGGTATTTTCAGTGTATTAAGCCAACCGGAGGAGCCCGATTGCGTCCAAACACGCCCGAAAACATGTGTCGTTGTTGGAATTTTCTGGAAGATCGTTGATTTAAGATTGGAAAGACTGTCTATTTTGACCAGCAGAGCCAATGAGAAGAGCTCCTCGCGCCACCGTTGCAGATCTCTTTGAAATATTGCCAAAGAGTTTCAGACTTCTCAAAAGTACGAGTAGGCAACCCAAGATAAGAAATTTGCGCAGGTCAGAACCCGGGAAAGTAATTTCGGGGCGAACTCTAGCTGACAAACTGTCCATGGGGATGTATTTTTGGAAGCGGCTTGTTGCGTTCCGTGTTCGCACCGCGGGGAGGAAACCACGCTCGGGTCGGTTCTAGCGTTGCCGCTGCCATTCAGCCTCTTAAAGGGCCAAACTGACCCCTGAAACGGAATGATCTACGGCCCCTACGGGGGACAGAGTCACAGACCACAGCATACTCGGTCTGCCATTTCCCTGTTCAGAAAGTTTATTGAATGTGGCTTGTTGGCAATGAACCAGTGGCCCAGGAGCGATCATGGTGGCGTTTCGGATCAACAACCTTCGGGGTGGACTTGGACTTCGAGCTTGGGCTTGGGAAGGTACAGACACCTTGATGGGCGGACCTAGTTGATCGGAAGTCCTACAATCAGCAGCTGCCGAAGAAACAACGGAACGACTTCCAAGACTAAGGTTCTCCTCCCCTTCAGTTAGCATCAACGAAAGCTACAGCTTTGCAATTCTGATTCCCAACTCCTCTCGAGTCATTCTTGGATTAATGTAGGAGCCAACATCTTCAAAGACATACAATCCCCTCGTGATCTTTCCACTCTCGTTTGAAACTATTGAATGCAATTAGCTAATCCAGTCTGAGTCTTGAGCAGTCTCGCATTTACAACTCCGCATCTGCAAAACTGGTTGTTCCATCCCGGACATCTACGACGATGTCGGTCGCTCGTCGTGGCATGGCTTTGCCCAACGTGAACGCTTGGAATGATCAACATAGCAGCAGGAAGCAGACAAATCCAAACTCGATCTCAACCAAACCATCTAGCTCTGGACTTGGCCCAACCTCTATGCATACCCGAGGACCACATACTTCAGGTTCATCACCACGGGAAACTAAGGGAATATCCAAGTTCCAACGTTTGTATCCAACAAATAATTCGGCATCAAGGGCCACAAGTCGGAGGTCGACCTCAAGAAACAACCCACCGGAAACCGCTGTCTCACGATCAACAGAGACGCGTCCAGCAACCAAGTCCAGAGGAATGCACACTTCATCTCCCTCGCGGCGACCAAACCCCTACAGTGTTGTCCCCTCTCGTGCAGGTCACCTCGACGCGTCGGCAAGTCAGTGGGACAGGGAGAACTTCAGGAGTCCTGAGATCGATAAAAATAGGGGCGATACCCCACAAAACATTATTGTGGGAATAGATTATGGTACAACCTTCACCTCTGTCTCATATCACATCCCGTCAGACGAAGACAATCACACACGAGTCTTTTCGCACGAAGTTGGTGTCATTACTGAATGGCCACATGATGGATTTGAAGGCTCGAAAATGCATATTCCAACCGAGACCTGGTATTCTTCGGTTCCCAAATTTCGTGGCCGTCCCGTTGGTCAATTTGAACTCAGCAACTCTGACTCGGAGTCCACCTCCAGTGACGATGAAGATCCACGGGCAGGTCGCTCTACTTCAAGTGATTCCGGCCGGGATGAGGATGACTTGACCAGATTCTTTTGGGGTTATGAAGTGTCATATAAGAAGCATGTTGAACTTGCACCACGGAGTGAGCATCGCCGTATCGAGCACTTAAAATCCATGCTCCTACAAGCAGAGTACGCCCACGACGATCAGAGAGAAATACGGCCACGTATCGACAGACTCATCGCCGAGAAGATCATTCGGAAATTCGGGACAACAGAAGTCCCTGACAGTCAAGACGTGCAAGATCCTATCACAGATTTTCTTGTACCGGTCTTGCGTCACACACGGCATCAGTTGATCAAGCACGAGGGGCTCAATGATCACTGCTCTATTTCATTCGTGTTGACCGTGCCACTTATCTGGGATACTACATCGTGGCGAATTCTTCAGACTGCCATGGAAGCGGCGATTCGTGAGACAAATTTTGGGAAACTTAGCCACGGAAGCGTCGATAATCTTTTTATCATCTCTGAGCCGGAGGCGGCAGCAACCTATTTGTTGGGAAACTCTAAAGATATGCTGGTATGTAATAATAAAATTGTTTTGCCTTGTTTGGGTACCTAGATTTAGCTAACATATCCAGGCCGGAGAAACATTCACCGTTCTAGACTGTGGTGGTGGGACCGTTGATGGGACCACATATACGGTGACCAACTCCTATCCTTTGAGCCTGGGCGCGGAAGTTGGCGAACCAGGTGGTAAGATTCAGGTCTGCGGTGATATTGGCAGTATTTAACCTTAACTAGGAGATAATTGTGGGGCTAGCTATCTGAACAAGAATTATGCAAACCTTCTATTGGAGAGACTCGCCGGAGAGACATACCTGGAAGACAATGGCAACACTTTGGAAGCAATAGTCCAGGGTACAATTTACACATTTGAAAACTTCGTCAAACGCACCATAGATGTTACCAAAAATCCAAGCGGGCGCGTAAAGATCAATGGACTTCTCGGTGATCGACGGAGAGGATTGGTTGGGGCAGCAGCAAAGGGATTTGAAGACAACATTTTGATTCTCGGCCCGTGAGTATTTTATATTGAATTGAAATGCAGACCTAACCCAGCTCCACAATTTATCAAGATATGGTTTAAATTGTCTCCGATAGGGCCGATTACGCCGCCATTTTCTTGCCACTCCTCAAACGTGTAGCCAAAGTCTTGAAAGGACAACTCGACGGTGCGATGGTGAAAGGCCAACAGGTGAAGGTACTTTACTCACCCCACTCACTTTCAGATGTCATACTAAATGCGTTTATTTGCTAACACCACTTGTAGAGAGTTTACGTCATTGGCGGTTTTGGAGCCGCTCCTTCCTTACGAAGTTATCTGAAGAATTTTCTCGTCGAATACTCCAAGGAGGCCCATCTGTCTTACCCGATTCAACTGGTACTATCAAATAAGAAAACCTGGTCTGTATTCTTCTACTATCACGTCTCTTTGCTAACACTTGTGAAAGTGAAACTGCAGTCTCCAGCGGATCCGTTCTCAGAGGGGCGAATTTGAGTGGTGGCCCGGAGAGAGAAGCTTATTCCAGCTATGGATTTCTTCGGAATGAGCTCTACAATCCCGAACAATTCATGGGACATCGAAACGCTGAAACATTCATTGATCCTTGTGACGGAGAACAATACGTCAAGGTTATCCATTATTTTATCCACCATGTCAGCCCTTCACTTCTTGATGCTCAGGAGACATTCAACTAATTCCACGTAGGGCGATGTTTTACCTCCTATGCATACATACAAGCCTTTGAAGTCGGCCCATGCCTTTCCGATAGATAGTGAACGGCTTCTCTGCGACGAATTCTTGTACGTGAATGACAAACCCACCGCGTCCAACTATCCTTTGGACCATGAATACAACAATGGTGAAGAAGTTCCGCCCTGGCCACATTGGGCTCTGCTAACGGGGCAACGCACAGGTGCACGTATCGTGGGCAAGCTTGTCTCGGATATGACCTTTCTGAGAGATGATAGACTGATCCGCCCAAGAGCACCTCGGCCGAACGCAGACGGAATGAAGCAAGGCATGGCTCACTATGAGGTCACATTTGATTTGGTTGCCATCATAGAGTGTAGAAATCTGCGGTATGAGGCACGATATCCCGCGAACAATTCCGGAAAAGTCCAGAAGACAGATCAGGTCTGCATTGCTGCTGCTCTTAAGCCAGGAACTGGGTAGTTTATATCTAGTTTCTAAGTCAAAATAAAAGTCAGATGATTATTTAACTGACGTAGAATTTGCAGTAGTGTGACTGTTGAGAGCTCAGGGGTTTGCTTGTCTAAGAAGGTAGTAAGATCTACGGTTTCTTTGACAATTTATTTTACGAAAATTCAACCTGTCTCAACGCTTCAACCAAAACCATACGGTGTTACAGGACAGCAGAGATAGCCTCCGTAAGCCATTTTCAGTCTTGCGCATAATGAAGTGTACCGTAGCTTGAAACCTACATTATATCTTGCTGCAAGTTTTGATGCAGATCTGGTGGGAAATCTAATCGTTGATCAAGGGTTTTCAAGTAAACAACCACTTTCAAGATTTTATAAGTCGAGGAATCATCACAGGATGAGCAGGAACTTTACTTCTACAGTCCCAGTGACATTGTATGCCTGACTTTGATATTCGTCAGTCCATTGCATTTCCACGACTGCATAACCCTCAGTAGGTGCAGTTAGCATGGCGGCAACCAGCGGGGAAGCTACAAGCGCAAGGTTTGAGAGAATGAAGGTAAGAGGGGTGACTGCAACATCAATGGATTAATTCAGCTTCTCTCGTGAGAAATGGAAGGGGATTTCGAGATTGGCGGACAGGGTAAAGGAAACAAGGAGCACCAGGAGGAATTTGGGGAACCGAAATACTTACCTTTGGGAGTCCCCCCCTCGGCGGTGGTTAGTTTATGCACTTGTAAGGTTACAGCAACAAAAAGCTGGACACGCATTGCCAGGGGTCTCAACATATTGGTAATAAACATTAGTCTCCGAACCTCTCCTCGAATTTACTTCCCCTCCTCTGCACCAGCGTATTTGGAGACCAAGTACTCTGCGTGGCTTCACTAACTGTAGGACTCTCTGACGTCCTAATCGGCCTTCCCCTCCCCATCGAACTCGGAATCGTATAACTGTTCGGACTCACAATATGGTCCAACCCTCGCTCTCCATCGCCACTTCGTGGAGAGTCCTCCTGTTCTCGATACCCCTTTCCATGCCCCTCAACCAGTCCCCCTTCTTCAGCACCCAACTCCGCCATCGGCGTCTTTTGCTCTCGAATTGGACTCAAAACACCTGCTTCGGTTACTCCCCTCACATAACTCGGCCCGGCCTGGGGGACCTCAGCCTGCAGTTCCTGTGGAATCATAATCGGATTTCCTTGAATCTCAATCTTCTCCTGCCCATCAACCTCGGAAGCATAATTAGAAACCTGCCCACTGGCCGGCTGATCGATTCGCTTTCCGGTATCAATTTCAACAGGCGGAGTACTCGGGGGTTCAGGCCTGCGTTTTCGTCTGCGGAGACATACGAAGATGAGGGCGCCGAGCAGGATCAGTAGAGCGAGCGTGCCGATAACGATGCCGGCTATTGCTCCTCCGCTTAGCTTTTTGTGTTTTGATCCGGACCCAGAGCCCGAGGAGCCTGGGCCTGGGGGAGGAAGGGTGGGAGGAAGAGCTATCACGCGTGGGGAGACTGTATCTTCGAAGATGCATTGCGAGACGTTGAATGTGTGGCTTTCGTAGTGGCTTGTAACATACGCTTCTTGCAGGAACGCGCGACCGAGTGTGTAGAGCGTATTATCTGATGTTGGCTTGATAGGAAAGTAGTGGGACGTCTTGTTCACCAAGACCGGTGGCTTGACATCCAGGTAGAAAGCTGCGTACGGAAGGACGATATCGATTGTCGAACCCCCGGACTTTTGGTTTGCCAGGGTGAACGTGATACTGGGATTCATATTCATGAGATTCTGGTGCGTGGTGTCGTTCACCAAGTACAGCCCGGACGTTTGATCAAGCGTAAGACCAAAAGCCTTCTCGAACTGCTGGCAGACCGCAACGGGCAGCCACAGTTCCGGAACCGCCGAATCAATGAACGCAAACTCGGGAGTAGACATCAGCGTCGTATTCCCTTGCCCAGTGGTTGCCGTGATATTGCGAATTGTAACAACAATATCCCTCAGATTATCCCCGGTCATAGTAAAGACAACCCCGTTGGGCGTAAACCTCGACGCATCGTAGCCTCCGAATATCAAGTTCCCATACACGGACTTCAGCCGGTAGTATGCACCAGCAGTATAACTCCAACTCTTGCTCGAAATCGATCCGTTCGAGAATAAGGTGTCCGCGAAACTCGCCTGTGGATCGCCGTATCCTGTCAAATTCGAAGGTTGAAACCCGAGTCCTAGGATTCCGAACCAATAACTATTAGAGAAGATCGCAGAGACGACTTGATGCGTGAGCGTGGGTCCAGTATCATTCGTGTACCCAATGCCCACGGTATCGAATCCTAGTCACATTTCATCAGGGTCTTTGTTCAAGCAAGCTACCCATCCTTCCCCCCAGGAAAGATTTAACACACATACCGTATTGGCCCTCCCCATCGTATCCCAACGCCTCATCCAACCCCAGAAATTGTTCTTGGCCATTTTCCCACGTACTCGAAGTGTTATTGTCGAAAAGACCACCTCTGGCATCTCCACAATCTGGCGATACCCCAGCGCTCACATTACAATGACCTGCTGCAGAACCCCAGATGACCCATGTTTCTTGCCAGGAAGTGACGGGAAGGACGCGAAAGACGTTTGCGGGTGTGCCAACACGAATTTCGAAGGTCGACCAATTGCCGTCTACTCCTTCCCTATGAATCAGTCTTGTTAGATGGTCTGCTTTGTCATACTTGGCTTGGGGAAGGTCCGACATACCAATGTTGGCTGGGAACTGCAATAATGGGTGCTGCCAACGTAGTGTTGTCCGCATCCATCTTCTCCAGCTCTACCTCCAGTCCATCCTCATTATAACTCGCCCCACTACCCCTCACCGAATTCAACAGAACGAGAGAATAAAAAAGTTTCTTCCCCAGCGTGCGCATCCTTGAGATCAGTAGAATTAATCAACGAGCAACAATGGATAGCGTGAAGATACACATCTTGAAGAGGATCTCGCCTCGGTCTGAGTACGAAGTGGTCATGGCAGAAAAGGAAAGGAAGTAGCATGAGCTCATACCGTCAAGGGTATACAGCCGTCCCTTGCCAGGGGATTGGGACAGGTGATGCGTGCGACATAGGTGCGCGACGTTGAGCGACAGGTCGAAAGAGAGTGATCATCACACGTTGTTACCGTTTTCGCACTGTGCGGCGATGTCCTGTTCTCGATTGAAAGGGAACTGGAGCATGACGTGGGCTGGTGCAGCGAGATCTTTGGAAGAACAAGATGCCGGAAGTTGGCAGCCAGTGAGGTGTGGGGAAGTGTTTGGCGAGGGAGAGGGCAGGAAGAGCTAGTCTGGTTGACCATAGCGACCAAAACCTTCTATGCCTGATTTTCGCTTATTTTCACCTTGCATTTAAGGCCGTAAAATCTATTACTTCATGCCGCTGACCTCCTTCTATTAATATCAGTACCTTTTACATATTAAAACACGTTAAAGTTAGTACTGTGTACTGAGACCACGCTGGGTAAGTGTACTGAGCTGAGAGAGTACTGTGCTATGCGCTGAGAGATGCGCTGAGAGATGTGCTAAATGAGTACTGTGGGTTGAGAGAGTGCTGTGTGCTGAGACTGCTGTGTACTGAGAGAGTGCTATGCGCTGAGAGATACACTAAATGAGTGCTGTGCGCTGAGTGAGAACTATGCGCTAAGAGAGTACTATGCGCTAAGAGTAAGTGCCGCGTGCTATGTACTGTATTCTATACACGTTGAGAGTGCTATGCACTTAGTAATTATATCTTTAAAAGGTCTAAGACAAATTTATCGAGGTGTTCTAAGTACTATATAACCGAGATCCAAGGTCAACGCACGCCCAAGGTCAATGCACGCTCAAGTTTAGCCGAATACTCGATATTAAATACTTAATTATTAAATAACTACTAATTGAAATAATAGACTTCTTTAAGTTCTGTAAAGAGAGGAAGCCAAAAATTTAATATATAATTTTTTCTTAATTAATTTTTAACTTTTAATGATATTAAACTTAGCTTTTATTAAAATATTAAAAAACCTTAATAATTTTAATTTAATACTTAATAATTATATCTATATGAGTTCTTCAAAGTCAATATTAGTAAGAATGCTTCATTATATATAGAAGTATAAGTATGTAATATAAAAAGCTTATATTATTATATATTACTTATAAAATTTTACTTTAACTTTAATTTTTAAATAATATACTAAAAATTCTTAAAAGAAGCTTAAATTAAGAAATAACTAAAGAAATTATATAATAAAAGCTTTCTTATATAAAACCTACTTAAAATAGTTATATTTCTTATATTAAATAGTTATATAATTTGTAATTTATTATAATATAATTTAATACTATAAATAATTAATTTCTGCTTTTAAATACTATTATATATTAATTTGCATTTAATATATTCTTTATTTTTTATTCTTTACTTTATATAATATTATAATATTATAAGAAAAAATAATTAAAAATACTTTTATTTACTTTTTATTTAATTATTTTTAATAAAAAGAGATATGTTTTTAAATAAAATATAAAATATATTTTATTTATTTATTAAAGTAAATATTTCTTTTATATAATTTGAAAGTATAATATATTTAATCGTTTTTATTAAAACTTTTAATAAATAATACTATTATTTTATTAATAATAATATTTTTTAAAAAACTTAAAACTTTAAATAAATTATATTATTATATTAATATTTTATTTATACTTTTAATTAGAACTATTCTTAATAATATATTATTAATATAAGATTAATTATATGCTGGGCATGCTGGAATCTTGAGTGTGTTGTGAAGCTTAATGAATTCTGTCTAGCGAGAAGTTGCTATCTGAGTAAGGCTAAGCGAGAACGTGATTCCCTAGCATTATATTTATTATTTTCTTTCCTTTTATATAATTATTTTATAAATATTATATATTACTAATTTTCTGTTTTTAGCTTTAATATAAAAGAAGCCTTTTATATAAATTTTCATTTTTTATATTATAATTATCTTTGAAAAATAGTATACTAGTGGTATAGAAATTTTAAAGTTAATTAGGTTATTAGTTCCTCATTTATTAAAGTTCAAAAATCGGGAGTTTTGGTGTAAAATGACCGTGCATTGACTCTGGTCGTGCGTTGACCTTGGATCTCGGTTAGTATGTGCGATGCGTTGTGATAGAGATTAAGGGGGTGAACTGTGGTAGGAATAAATGCGATATTGCAAAAATTTCTATAGAAGGTTTTGGTCAATCCGGTCAACCATAGCTAGGGAACATTTAGTCATAGTAGTTCGGGGTTGCCTCCGAACCTCCGACCTCTCCAAATTTCCCCACGCTCAGCCGCGGGGCCAGGCACAGCCATCCTTCGAACAAGAAGAAAGTACCACAGCGTTTGTGGCTTGACCACGTCTTCTCAATGCGTCGCTGCCAAGGACTTTGCAGCTAAGCTCAGTTTAGCGGCTCTAGTCAGGGGTTAAGCGAAACAAGACCACCTAATAATTTCAGGTGAGTGACATGCTGTTCAGAACCCTCAAGAAGATTAATATTGGTTTGCGGCACCTCTGAGGGCCAAACCACCAGAAAATGACACTCCCAGCATGCCTATCGCTTGGCAGCAGAATCTCACTTCAAAGAAATTTCCTGGGAACTCGGCCGGTAGCTTGGCACCACTTTGGGCGCCGCCCAGCGTTGTGCTCCTCGAGAGCAGTCTTGAAAGGAGTCAGCGCAAGGTCGCACTGAGAAGCATGTCGGTCCGAGCAAGTACATGGGATTAAATTGAAAGCATGACCTTCCAGCTCTTTAAACTTTGAAAACGATTTCTATAAGTAGTATCCTATTTCCCGAACTCCACTCCCTCACAAGGCTGACGGGAAGGAACCACCCTATGGCGTTCAACTAATTACGAATCTGTAACACGAGGTTTACGCGACTTACCGGCGGGCGTTTCCTGTCTCGAGCTGCAAAAGAACCGCTGCTTGGCACCTGTGCCATTATTGTCAATGTCTCATTACGCTTAACTCTTGCCCCTCAGATAGATAATTGACGCTCTCCCTACGGCTTTCCGAGTGTGCTTCTTTTCATATCGAAATCTTTTTGTATTTATCACAGTCTTTACAACTTTGCCCATCGTTCAGTCGCGATGAAGTGGTCCGCACTACTTGGGCTCGCCTTTGTGGGAGCTGTCCATTCGTTTGCTTCTACCGACTCTCTTCAGGATGCTGTGAGTTGCAATTGCCCACAGCTCCCCCAGGGATGAATTCTGATATTTTGATAGGACCCTGCACAATCTGGCTACCTGCCAAACCATAATATGGACCCCAACAAACTTAGCACTTTCAAGCAAGGATGGAAGAATACATACAACGCGAACGAGGCATTCTATGCGAAACCGCTGACCTGGACTCCAGCAGGCTCGAACGCTGAGCAGGTTATTCTCGTTTCCAATCAGAATATTATTAGGATAGTCGATGGAGCAACGGGAGCACTTCTGAATTCTCGAACCCTGGATCCTCCTTTCGCAGCGACTGACAGGTATGAATGTTGCTTATGACAGTAGAGGGTTTCTAATTTCACTGGGCAGTAATTGCGGTGACATTCCCAATACCATTGGTATCACGGGCACTCCATATATTGACGGCAGCACGAATATAATGTATTTCTTCTCCAAAGGATATAAAAACGGTGCACCAACGGGCTCTGGAACTTTGAACGGTACACCAAGAAGATTGCTCCCAATTATCTACCTTTCTCACTGCTGATCTTACATAGGACAATACAAATTCTATGCAGTCCAGCTACCAAGCCTTAACGATGCCAACGGGTTCCCAATAGTTATCGATGGTAACCACGCCGACAACGACCCCACTCGCTACTTCCTTGGCGGTACCGTCCTCCAAAGACCTGCGGTGTCTTCTATTGGCAATATCGTCATGGGTGGCTTTGGTGGTCATTGTGACAATTTCAATTATACAGGAATGTTTGTGGCAGTGAGCAAAGTACCTGGTGTTGGTATAACCAACATTCAAGCTATGGAGGCAAATCCTGGAGCTCCGCAACCGCAAACACTGGATTATCTTAACCAAGGCGGTGGGAAAGCCGGTATCTGGATGGGTGGCATGGGAATGGCGACTGATGCGGCAGCCGGGAGAGTTTACTTCGTTACTGGGTATGTCGACTCTGAGATACTTCGATATTTGCTAACATTCTTCAGCAACGGACGTGGAGCTGGTGATAATGGTGGTGGAGCACCCGCATCTGGTAAAAAGTATACGAGCACACTCCAGCAAGTGACAGTCCACTTCGATGTCTCGCCGAGCGGCGTTCTCACTCAGGCTGACTACTTCGAGCCATATGAGTACCAAAGTCTCAACGGAGGTGACAGAGACTTTGGATCTTCCGGTGCTGCTCTCCTTGATCCTGTTTTCTCTGGCAATGGGGTCAGCCGAATCATCATTGCAGGAGGAAAGAGTGGCAAAATCTACATCATGAATGCGGACAATCTTGGCGGTTTCGCCAATGGACCAGGCGGGTCGGATAGTGGTAGGTAATTCTTCCTCTTTTCATTTCTTTTTGCTAACTCACTTTAAGTGATACAAACAATCCTTGCGCCGGGTTCGATGTTGAGTGGTGTGGGTAGTTATCCTCTGGAAGGGGGATATATCTAGTATGTTCAAAAGATCAGCCTTCTTTGGCCTATGTGCTAATTGATTGAAAGTTTCGCCCCCTCGGGATTCAGTTTGTTTGCCTACAAGTTCGGCACGGATAACCAAGGCAATCCCGTCTTCACGCAAGCTGGGAAATCAGCATTGACTTTTGCCGGAAAGACCATTCCGACAATCACCACCCTTAATGGGCAACCTGGAACAGCCATTGTGAGCGGCTTCTGCGCGCGAATATCAGCTTTTACTAACGTACCTTTAGGTCTGGATGGCTGATGTCAACAATGGCTTGGTAGCATATAACGCGATTCCACAGAACGGAGTTCTTGTACCATATTCGATTCCCGCCACAGGACGGCTGCAAAAGAATCAACGACCCGGATTCGGCAACGGCCGCTGTTATTCCTCTTCTACAAACAACGTTATGATGATTGGTGGAAGCAGTACACCTCCCCCTCTTACCTGCACACCAAGCCCCCTTAACTTCGGGTCGGTGACTGTCGGCCAAACCAAAACTGTTCAGGTCACCTGCACCGCGGGCACGGCCCTGAATCTCCAAGGTTGCACCACAGGTCTCGGAACATTCTCATGCTCTGGCATTCCAGCTTCCGTAGCCAGCGGTGGCCAGTTCACCTTCCCTGTTACTTTTGACTTGACGGATAGCAACATTGAAAAGGTCAGACAAGGAGGCTTTCAAGTGCTACCTGGAGCCGAAGGAACTACACTGAACATCTTGAGCAGCACAGGAGCGTTGCAGACGAGTGTTCAACTCACCGCCACCGTCGTTGCATCTGGTGGGTTTATTGTTTTTGGTGCCAAAACAGTGGACTTCGGTGGCCTGACTGTTGGTGGCTCATCGACCGGCTCAGTAACCGTTACGAACAAGGGTGCAGGTGTGTTGACTTTGACTGGCTATGCTTGGCAAGACCTCACAACCACCGGTCCCCCTTTCATTAACGTCACCGCTTCCAACCCGAACACCGTTATCGGAACCGCTTTCACCTCTACCAACTTCCCTGCTCTTGGTCTTCAAATCCAGCCTGGCGCATCGATTTCAATCTCGATGGTATTTTCTCCTCAGTCGGCTGGCACATCCTCTTCGATGCTTACAATCTGGAGTGATGGTGGTTTCTCAGACGTCATGTTGGTCGGCACTGCAGCTCAAGGAACGTCATCCTCATCGTCCTCCAGCAGTTCCACAAGTACACCAAGCTCATCCTCGAGTTCTTCATCGACAATCTCGTCAGCGAGTACCTCTTCATCAGTATTCTCTTCATCTAGCAGTGCACTTACATCTTCTTCCACCACCTCCAGCGGCCCAAGCTCCGTCTCCGCAACCACAACAGCTTCAACATTCAGCACAATCACCACTTCCTCCAACCCCACCCCCACCGTTTCCGGCACACCGGGCTCCTACAACTATATGGGATGCTTCTCTGACCTCTCTTCTGGACACGCGCTCCCCCTCCTCTTCCGCAATAACAGCGTGACACCCGAACTCTGTGAAGCATATGTCTCCTCGCTCGCGCACAAACCAACGCCGACCGTGCTGCCCTATTACTATGTCGAGTATCACAGAGAATGCTACGGTGGATCGAGCTTCAGCTTCGGGAGCTCCGCGATCACGAGTTTGGTCGGCACGAAGGCTTGCTCCATGGTGTGCAGCGGCAGTATTGGGGCGCAGGTCACTGGCACAGCAAAGTGTGGTGGATCCAAAGAGTTTAACTTATATGCAGCGGGAGGGTTGGTCAGCTGGGCGGGTGTGGCGACTACGGTTACGAAGTAGATTGACGGAAAGGGTGTTAGGGTACGGTTGCTGTGGCTTCAAGCAAAAGTTGTAATTTTAATGGATTTGTTACGGATTTATCTTTCTTTGAGCTTGCGTGCCGTATTTACTGAAGGTTTCCAGCCACACCTTTCCACGGAGCTGCATTATAACACTTTCAACTCACCCGCTGCCGGCGAGACATGTGACAAAGCATTTATTGTATGCTTGACAAAAACCTCCAGTAACACAACATCAAACAAGTTAACAGGACAAATCTCAAACTCGACAAACCCCTTTGTGATAAAATATAGGGGGTTCTCTTTGCCATCGCACCCCGCTAAATTTCCATGCACGTCCTACGTCATCCATCCCCCCCACCCCACCTCATCTTCCTCCAACCACCATCACATGCAACAACCACCACGCCCTTATCCGAAATGTCTTCCCAACCAAGAAAGCGCCTCGGTGCAGAAGAGAAAGAAATCAGCCCTCCTCTCTTGCGGCGGAAACTGAATCACGATTACGACACGAAGCCAGCATCGGAGCCTCCGCTCAGAAGCAGATCTGCGCCGAAGGAGGCCAGAGAGGGAAAGGAAGGAAGAGCGAGATTTGAGATCCTAAGCTGGAACATAAATGGAATCTCTCACCTTCTTCCTCAAACCCAACCGAGCATCAAATCTTTCTTCCGCAAATCATCAGGAAGTGGCACGAGGCAAACGCCCGAAACTGAGGATGAGGATGAAACTCGGCAGTACGCAACTGCGGAGGCACCGTTGAGGAAGTTTCTAAGGAGACATGGGTTTCCTCAGATAGTCTGTTTGCAAGAAGTCAAGATCTCACCGAAGGATAAAATGGCCAGGAAGGCTGTAGAGAGAGCCGCCAATGGGGGAGATGCGCCGGGGTATAAGGCGTCGTTCGAACTGCCGAGAGATAGATTCAATGCTACAGGGTGGGGAGGCAAGGTGTATGGTGTTTGTACGCTGGTGAGGGAGGATGTGGAGGAGCAGTGTGAGAGGCTGGGCACCAGGGGTGTGGAGTGGGACAGTGAGGGGAGGGTATTAATTACCGAGCTTGAATTCAGGAGCGAGAGGGAGAGCGCAGGAAGGAAGATGGAGAAATTGATAGTAATCAACGGATACTGGCCAAACGGAACTGCAAATACATGGCGGGACAGCAATACTGGTGTTGTCAAAGGAAGCCGCCACGATATGAAACGAACTTTCCATTCTCTCATGCTTACTGAGGCGTTGCGGCACCAAGAAGCAGGATGGCAGGTGGTCCTTATCGGGGATATCAACATTGCTCGCTTATCTCTTGACGGATATCCTGGGATCAGACTGGGAGCAGAACATGTCAGGAATCGGAAAGAGTGGAACGAGTTATTTATTGAGAGCGAAGAAGGGTTGAGGGGTGTTGATAGCTGGCGATGGATACACAGCGAGAGGAGGGGGTATAGTTATCATGGAGAGAAGGTAGAGGAGTGGGGACGAAGTTGTGATAGAGTTGATTTGGGGATTGTGAGTCGTGGTTTCATTGGGGAAGGAGAGGGAGAGAAAGGGACGGGGACTTCGATGAGGTTGGTGGGAGCAGAAATTTGGGAGACTATTGAGGAGAGGGGTGCGAGTGATCATGTGCCGATTTCTGTGGTGCTTGATTTGGGGGATATTAGGAAAGGAGACAACGGAGATGGGAGAAAGTGGAATAATTTGTCTGAAGATTAAATCAGAAGACCCAAAACGTGAGTAAATTGGAGATTCCAGAATCTCTCAACCTCTTCACCAGACCTTGGACATTGCGTATAAATCTTTGGACTGATTTATTCTACCGATAGTGTTAAATGGTCGTCGCTTGCATTACTTTAACTCGGCCTCCCCTCCACCTCTCCGTCCACCAAACTCTGAATCTCCTCTCCTCGTGCCATTCAGGCCTTTCAAAGAGATACTAGCAGTCGCTCATGGACTCTAAATCCATCTTCTCTCCGTAAGCCCCTCAAATTCCGCCTCTCCTTACCCACGGCCTTCACGTGGCAAGTGCTAAGTATAAATAATAATAAGCCCTAATTATAAAGGAGTACCTTTATATAATCAGAGGAAAGATTAGTTACCTTATAGTAGTAACCATAATAATATAAAGACCCGTTTTTATAATATTATACTAACTTAACTTTTTCACATGAGAGATTATATATAAAGTATAGCTAATCAGCGACTTATTAGCTTCTCAAGCTAAGCTAATTAGCTGGCAGGGACGTTATAAGCCAATAAGCTTATAAATATCCTTATCTGATGACTGACTGTCTTACTGTATTGCCCAGCCTGACACTGATTATTGGCCAAAAGGTCACGTATGCGGGAAAAACTTACTTACTCGGCTCGAATGGCGACTTTATCGTTGGGTCTCAGACCCTTAACCCAGGCGAACAAATTACGGACTCATGGACAACATACTCACGAGCGTCTGACGGGGCCACGTTGGTCCTTGGAGCGAGCGGTGTCACAAGTACCCAATTGCTCTACACGCCAAATCCTATATATTCGGCCTTTGTTATTGGTACCGAGACGCTCCGACCTGGCTCCCAAATCACAGTATCGAGAACAACTTACTCACTCGCAGCGGGAGGCGGGACTGTGATTATTGGTGGGACAAGGACGCAAGTAATTGGCACCATAACACCCTCAACTTCTCTTGGGGGTCCTTTCAGTGCGTTGAGCAAGGGGCCAGCTTCAACCGGCACTCGCGAGAAGTCTTCGTCAACAAGAGAGACAAGCGTCCGGCTGTCAGCCTCGAGTCTTCTAATCAGTCTATTGTTCGCTCTGGAATTTTAATAGAAGTAGACGGGAAGGGTTTGGGGGTGGTGTTTACTAGTGTTTTTCTGTCCAATCAGGACTCTTCGGTCTAGCGCGGAGTTTAGGGTCAGAAACGGGAACTAGAGTTTGACTATCTTCCGATGTTAACGACGTGCATCTAATTTTGTAAATTATTGTAAGCACGTCCAGCTGTGAAATCAACACTCCTATTTGAATCGTGTATAGTTTCCCAAGAACTGCTGTACCTACGGTGGTGAAGTGACGTCAAAGAGTCCAACCAGATGCTTCTCACCGCCGATTCACACACGGCCTCAGATATCAATCTGATTGCTCGATTTCTCGCCCACGAACAAATTCAAAATCTACCATCTCACCCTCCGGTTGATTGCATTATCATATGTGCCTCGGCAGTTCTTTATCAAGCAGAAATGCTCTTCCGAGCCCTAGAATCGCGACCTGATCTCGCCAAAACAGTCGTTCTCTGTGGAGGTATTGGTCATTCCACCCCACTTATCTACGAAGCCGTCGCCAAAAGCACGAAGTACCATGCTTTCGCTGTAGAAGTTGTTGGCTTACCTGAAGCTCGCGTCTTGGAGAAGATTTTGCAACGATACTTCGGCGTTTCTGCCATCACCAGAGCCGGGAGCGAAGTTCTGATCGAAGACAAGTCGACCAATTGCGGTGCCAACGCCTTACAATCGAGGAAAGTGCTCGAAGCAGCTGGTGTGCCTACGCCAAGAACGTGCATCATCATTCAAGATCCCACCATGGCGTTGAGAACTGTCACATCTTTCCAAAAGACATATAGTGACTTGGAAACTCCACCAAAGTTTCTCAGCTGTCCTGTTTTTGTCCCGCAGGTGCAAGTGATGGCTTCAGAATTCCAGTACTTGGTTGGGGGAGTATCAGGGTCTGAGCTGTGGCAGGCGGGCCGTTTCTTTGACCTGATCATGGGTGAAATTCCTAGGCTGAGGGACAATGAAGCGGGGTATGGACCCAAGGGCAAGGGTTTCATTACTCATGTCGATATCTCTGAAGAGGTTGAGAATGCATGGCAAAGACTGGAGAATGTTTTGGGCAATCGCCGATGAAGAATCGATCAGATGGTTGAACCTTTGCAACTTTGTAGTTGGTGTAACGTCGTTAGAAATCTGAACCGATGCCTTCTCTTCGTATCTCTTTTTCTCTCGGAGACAGCGTCTGCAGGATGAACAAGGGTCGTAAGCTTGTCTTGGAGCGTGGCGTGTCTTGCTTCGGCATGATCTGTCACGAAACGTGCGCGTTACCACGAGATGTAGGCTGCAACGATCTTACCGGCCAATGAAATGCCGTTCTCCTGACCGCTCCGGCGACTTCGGGGAACCAGATTCAGCGAGGTACATGAAATGTGGCGTTGCGATCCTCCTCAGATCGATATGACGTTTTTAATTCTGTGAAGTAAGTCGGCTAGTTGGTTATACCGATTGCTTGAAAGTCTGATTGCACCTCTTTCCTGAGGACACATATGCAACTTCGTCCCCTGCCACGGCACTAGAACTTGTGAGTTACTCCTGAGCCTTATTCAGGAATATCTTCTGACTTTCTTCCTTGGACGGGTCACTGCTCAAGTTGTCGATTAAAGCCGGTCCATACGAGCAGGGTCTCCATCTCATAACCAACCAGTATCCTATTCATCCCGCAGCTACTCAGCAACTTTATTCGAACACACTTTCTTCTATCCCTCTAGCTTCAGAGCTCCCTGATTTACAATCATGTCTGCCGAAGTAAGTCTTCATTTGGCCCCTTCCCTCAAATTATTGTACCAACACGCGTGTCTAACATGCTACATTTGCACTAGATTTCCAATGACCAATATACCAAAGTTGGCATTTGGATCCCCGTAACCGATCCAAGCCGTGCCCGCAAGTTCTACTCGTCTGTGTTCGATTGGAAATGCATGGAGACAGGCAGCCCTTCGCTACTCGAGGGTATCAAGGAGACTTACTTCTTCACAAAAGGAGGTGCTCTTTATGGATGCTTCTTCCTCACGGATGAACCCAAGACTACAGAAGCTTCAGTTAGCCATATCGGCGCCCATACCGTTTTCTCCGTGAAGGATATTGAGGAATCTCTGAATCTCATTGCGAAAAGTGGCGGCTCCACACATGCTGGAAAGACAAGCTTTGGTCCATTTGGGGGTTCTGTTGCCCGATTCGTTGACACCGAGGGGAATATAATGGGAATATATGCTATGAATTGAGAAGGAAACTGTCACTCTATTTCTAGAATCGTTGAGTCTGCAAAGTCGGAGAAAATTCGGATATATAGTGTGTTCGGAAGGCTAACTTTTCCGTGGCGATCAGCGAAATGGAGTTGATCCCCCTTCGTTGGACGAGTTTGGAACTTGGAAAACTTCATCGACAGAACCTTCAATATCACCATGATATTTCGAGCGAAAGCTGACGAAATTGGAAAAATCCATGTCACGTGACATGACTTTCTACTTCACTTTGTTGAAATTAGGGGCCTGAGGCCCCTAATAGGCTTAGTAAGCCCTGGGACGGAACGCCATGGGGCTTTATACCCTGTATAGCTGGAGTACCCTGTCCAGCTGGAGTACCCTGTCCAGCTGGAGTACCCTGTCCAGCTGGAATACCCTGTATAGCTAGAATACCTTGTAGTATGCCCTGTAAAGCTGAATTGGTTCAGCTGGCATAGGTAAAAGGCTCAGCAGGTTTAGGGGTTTAGTGCATGTGATTTAGGGGGGTTCAGGGCTATATATACGGGCTACTTACCACTGTAGAACAGCAGTCAATTCAGTATCGTTTACTTGGTTTACATCGCAAGCACGTGACCCTAGCTTTATTATTAAGCTAGTTCAACACACTTCTCAACCAATCAGCAGCAAAGACAGTATCAGATGACCTCTCAAGTTCATCTACTAGGTTTCTGTCATTCCGTTCAACTCTTTAACGTATCCATAGCATATTAGGATCAAATTCGGGGTTGTTTCCAAACGCAAACAAAAAGCAGGCTATTTCATCTGCAGAAAGGATGCTCCCTGCCCCGCCCTTGACGAACAGGCTAAATTCGTAAATATTAGTCATGCTGCAAATTAAACTTATTTTTGATATTTCCAAGCCAGTTTTTCTTTCCTATTTCATTGACCATCTTTTCAACACTCAAATCACGATGGGAAAATTCGACAAATTCACAATCATCAGCGCTGACTACAAAAAGGTTGCAGGCCAAGGCATTGTAGTGGACTTGTTGATACCATCAAAATTGACCGCTGGCTTACGTCCTGTTATTCTACGTTTCCATGGAGGCGGTTATGTAAGTGGAACCTATGTGCAAGTGCAAGCCAAAATGTCCATACCTTGTCGTTGTTGAACCAGAATACTGACCAAGTCCTCAGGTCAGTGGGTCAAGTCTCTTTGAACCGTGGTTCCCGCAATGGCTCCTTGAGTTAGCTATTGCGAAAAATGCAATCATCGTATCCCCAAACTATCGCCTCTTGCCAGAGTCCAGCGGGCTAGATATCCTGGAAGATTTAGACGACTTGTGGCGTTGGATGAAATTTGGGATTCAGCTGAAACTGAATGATTTCTCCGTTGGTCTAAGGGCGGACTTGGATCGAATAATCACAGAGGGAGATAGTGCAGGTATGTCCGAAATGCCTCGCCTCCTTTATGAACGGGATGGGCTGGAACCTTCTTAGGAGGCTACCTTAGCATTCAATTTGCAATGAGCCACCCGGACGAAATCAAAGCTTGTATAGCAGAATTTCCCTCCCTCGATCTAGAATCACCTCATTTTGCCGGTGTTGGCAATGATATCCCACTGGGATCACCAAGCTTAGTCGATCAACATCTCGCGTCGGTTGGAAATGTCAACAAAGCTAGTTCGGACATGACTCTTGCGCGGTCTCCTCTCATCAACGCGCTGATTCAAGAAGGAAGATTTCTGCATTTCTTTGGAAATGGGCCTCGCTTGTTTCCCCTCCGAAGACTAGAATCCGGGGCCAAACTCCCCCCGCTGTTTATTATCCACGGCGCTGGTGATACCATTGTGCCTGTGGAAGGTAGTCAGAAGTTTGCAAAGTTATTGCTTGAGAAGGACCCTGACGCGAAAGTTGTACTCACTGTTCAACCGGGAGAGCATGGTGTTAGTATTCCGTTTGGAATGAAACATCCGTGGTTGGCTGAGGGTCTCAAATTGGTCACAGATGCTTGGGAAACTCAGAAGGGGTAATGCAACTCTTATTCATGTCCTGTTCTGGTCTCAACACCCATTGACTTTTGTGTTCTGCCAGCCCCCACAAGTTGGCTGTGCCTAATAAAAGCACTTCACAACACCAGAATATGATGGTTCAGCAAAGAGTACATTGCTTGACTCCCACACAAGTAGATCCCTGGTAATGTAGATTATGGATACTATGCGACACAACTTCACCTAGAGGCGATGCGTTGAACCATTGTGCTCGCCCTCTCCTGCATCGTCTCCTTTACTTCCTTCCTGCTCAGAGTCCTCCATTGCCATCTGTCCAGCATCCTTCATACTGGAGTCTGGGAGGCGTATCTCCTCGGAGCTAACCTCTCAAATAGGAAAGCTAATGTAAACGGCTGGTGAAGAATTCAATAGAATCAAATCCTTTAGTGATATCTACTTCCGCAATAAATGCCCTAAATGGTTTTATATGGCCCATTGAGACCTTCTCGCTTCTGGAAATAAAACCGGTGGGTATTACGAACCATGAGTCTGAGTCCGTTCGCTGTAAAAAGTTGGTATAGGTTTTGAAGTGAGAAAAAACCCATCGCTGTAGCGCCACCACTGTCCATGAGATAGTTTCCATCGGCTTGCCAGTTGATGTAGACCGTCGGTGGCAATGCGAAGTGATATTCTGAGATTATGTCGATAGTCAATCCGAATTCAAATAATACCACATCATTCCTTCTGCTCGAGCTTCTCCGTTCGCATATAGGATGGCGGGAGGACGACATCTGGAATGATAAGTGAAGAACGGGTCCATAGCCATTACATCCAGCGAGATCTTAGTGCCAAGGGTTCGGGGTTAGGCTTGGCCCCAGATGGTGAGTGATATCGAGGTTGGGGGTAGCGAAGCAGGCTTCCCTCCAGAAAGCAGCCTAATTTCGGGAAGAAGCTTGTTGAATTTGGGAAATTCTTCGAGAGTGGCTTGATTAGTGCTTGGAAGCATCGCGATGACTCGATTTCGGGAAGTGTAGTTTTCGTGAAGAAACTCGATTGTGTTGATCGGTTCGTCGGGAAATGGTTACCAGATGTGAGGAATTGAGGAAGTGAGATAGAGTGTGACACAGTCACACAACTAACGAGATACCTCTTTGTGCTTCCATTGTTAGCTGAAATAACGGAGTGCCCACACGCAATCCAGTGACGCTGAGTCATGATGCTTCTGGAATTCTGGACCAGACAACTAGAATTGTCCTTCGACATCAAAAGACCTGGATAGAACTCGAAACTATGTATTCAGCCAGAACAAAGATGTCCCAAAAGCGAATTATTCCACGAACACTGAACACCCCACGGTTCTCTTCATTGTACAAGACGAACTAACTTCACAGCCAAAGGATCGACGCAACCGGTGCTTCATTGACCATCAACTTTCAAAACCAAAGCCATCTCCTCTTCAATTCTCTGCCTCTCCGCAACTACAACATTAACAATATCTTTATACGCGCCCTCATATGCATCATTATCCTCTCCTCTAGCCTCATACTCTTCTCCCCGATCTCCTCATAAAACACTGCCTTATAATAAAAACAACGCTCCCTCCTCGAAATCAACTCCATTAGGCCATATTCTCCTTACATGCCACTCCAGAGCCCCACTTTGCAGATTACGCGCCAGAAACCTCAACTTATCCTTCGCATACTTCTCCCGTAAATCATTCGAAGTAAGCTGGAGGTACCTCAAAGGACCCCGCTCCACCAAAACCGCTCTATACACCTCCCAATTAATCTAGACATTTGGCCTCACCGCCTTCTCTAGCAACGAAAAGGTCAGCGTACTTCCGAAATCCAGAGAGTAATATTTTAGGGCTTCGGAGCACGACTCGCGGTTTACAGATAATGAATAGTGCTCGGTGTTTCCACGACTTCAATAAGCGAGTTTTGGCGCGTCAACAAATCGTGTTTGGATTGGTTGTTGCTAGGATTTCCCTCAGCAGAAATATAAGTCGAAGAAAAAATGACGCCACTTCAGTCTACGAAATACTTAATGCGCTGTGCCACAGCGGTACAATGCAACAGGGCAGCAGGCCAGCGGCCTCTGCCCTCGCTCGCTTAGCAGCTCAGGGGTATTTTGGGGGTCGGGGGTCAATCTTAGCGCAACCTACCATTACCACTTTCTAGGAGATGGAATAAATTGATATTATTACATTATGGATTCAGCTTTGTTCGCAGCGTTGATAAGACTCTGGGCAAGCGGATTCTTCTATGTTTGCAAATATACGCAGTGTGCAGTCGTGTCGTTAATCGAGCTGCTGCACTCGGAACATAGTCCAGTGCCATTCTTGCCGTACAGCCCAATGCTATAATCGTTACCTAATCTGGCACATAATTTGCCATGCCGTGGGTCTGTAGCGCAAGTACACTTCTGCGCTCCTGGTTTGGTGGTAGTGAAGTAGGAGCAGCTATTGCCTCTGTCATCTTTGAAGTTGCCAATCCGAGTGGGAAACTGCCATTAACTTTCCCAAGTAGACTAGAGGACACACCGACGTTTAGATATTTTAGCAGTGGCGCAGGGACGGTAGTATGTGGAGGGGGTACCTTCGTTGGATACAGATGATATGAAGCACGCAATATTGAAATCGCTTTCCCATTCGGTCATGGTCTCAGTTACACTAGTTTCACTCTGAGTGATCTTACGGCCACTGACACAGCAGCTGCTTTTACGATCAACAATGCCGGCAAACACTCCGGCGCCGAGATTGTAATACTCTATATCTCGCGTTCCTCGTCCAGTAGCCTCAAGATTCAGCGTCTTCAAAGTCGGTTGAAGGGATTCGAGAAAATATACTTGGAGAAGAGAGAAGGAAAGCAATTGCAGATACCTATTGACAGATATACTACCGCACCGTGGGACAGGAGAGAAGAGGGTATATAGCACATAAGTCTAGTGGCTGGTGCTGAGAAATTGGGTGGTAAATTAGTTTTGACCGAGTCGACACGGTGAAATGGACTTTGATTTACAGCGCCTGTATGCTGGCGCTGGCATCACCTGGAGATGCTCAGTTCGCCAATAACTGCAGTACTTTTGGTGGAACTACCCCCCCGAACTACTAATTTGTGATGAAGTCCTGCATTATTCAACGTTTCCACGGTCGCCTAGCAGCTTTTGTCGAAGTCGACCAAAGTTCCGTATGTTGGGCATCGTGAGCAAGTGATGTTCTCTTGCAGTGTTGAAATTGCATTAAAATAATCATCCTTTTTTATTCTACGTAATCTTTGCCCTGTAAAGATATTAAAATCTAGCTTTTAACGGTGGGGAAATGCGTTGTGTCGCGTGGCCGTTCTGCAATGGAATAGTTGAGAAAATCATGAAAGCCCAGGCCGAGATTTGTACTTTAAGCTTGGAAGAGACTGGCGATATTTGGACATATTTATCGGAATCTATTCACATTCTTTCCGGGATCAAATAATGCTCCGGCTCATCACCAATTTCCACCATTTTGTGGTCGAGCTCCGCTTTCATCTGGCTGAGAATTTCCGCATATTGTCCATCATTGGCGATATTCACCAGTTCCAGTGAATCTTTGTCACAGTCAAACAGCTCCCATTCCGTCTCCTCTCCGCCATCTTGGCATCCAGGGAGTCCAAAACCCTTGTTGTACCAATATATCAGCTTGTATTGCTGATTCCGTACTCCATAATGTGCTCGTGCGTCATGAATCGTATCACGGTGCATCCAGTAGCGGTGATACGCAACTTGTGACCAGTCTTCTGGCGTCGTACCTTGCAACAAGCTCGCAAATGACCGTCCCTGCATGTAAGACGGAACCGGAAGTCCTGCGAGATCAAGAAAGGTGGCTGCAAAGTCGACATTGCACACAATATCTTTGCATACCGTGCCAGGCTTGATCATTCCCGGGTAGCGAATCATGAACGGCATTTGAAAAGACTCTTCGTACATGAAACGTTTGTCAAACCAACCATGATCACCAAGGAAGAATCCTTGATCGGATGTGTAAATTATCACAGTGTTTTCCGCAAGCCCTTCCGAATCGATGTAGTTGAGCATTCGTCCAACATTATCATCGATAGAGGCTATCGTCCTCAGATACCTTTTCATGTATCGCTGGTATTTAAAGTATTGCAGTTCATCCTGGGATTTGAAGGTGAACACCTCCCCACTATCCTTGTCGATGAGTCGTATCTGTGTGACGTTTTCTAGATAAGGGACCTTTCGTTGATTGAAGGCGGGGCGGTTTGGCACAAGCAATTCGCCAACCTCGGATCCTCCGTCCGGCTGAACCAATCCCAGGTCATGATAAGTGAGATCTGTAGAAACTTTCATCTTGGCCTGAGCCGCGGCCAGAGCTCGAGTTTTGTAGTCGTCGTCAAACGTTTCTGGGACTTTGACGTTTTCTTGGTAGAGGTGTCTGTGCTTTGGATCGCATTCCCATGATCGGTGAGGCGCCTTGTGGTGACACATAAGGAAAAACGGCTTGTCCTTTTGACGGTTGCTTATCCAGTCGATACTTTGGTCTGTTATAACATCCGTTGCATAACCGGGAAACACCTTCCTCTGTCCCATTTCAATCATGACTGGGTCAAAGTAGTCTCCCTGGCCAGGCACAACTGACCAAAAGTCAAAGCCTGATGGCTCATGATCCGTACCTTCTCCGAGATGCCACTTCCCAATCATAGCAGTCTGATACCCGCCAGTTCGAAGGTGCTTCGCAACGTTGGGGAGATGCTTGTTGATCTTGCTGTCCAATGTCACAACTCCGTTGACATGATTGTACGTCCCCGTCAGGATGCTGGCTCTGCTTGGCGTGCAAATAGAATTGGTGACATAGCAGTGATCAAAGCGCATTCCATCATTTGCAATTCGATCGAGATTTGGGGTTGAGTTTATGTTCGCACCGTAACAGCCGATGGCTTTGCTTGCGTGGTCATCCGCCATGATGAAAATGATATTGGGCTGCACTGGTGCCATTTTGCGGGAGAGGTGGAATATGTTCCGGAGCCAGAAAGTGTATATTAGACCGGTAAACAAAGGAAGGGTGAACGCGTTGGAGGAGGCGGCAATCTTCAGTGCACGAATTCTAATCAAGATTGGACTACGGTCATGGGCCGTGGGCCGTTTCAAAGATAAGGCAGAGATCGAGAGAGAGAATAAAAAAAAGGAGAAGGTGAGATTGCAAATCTGTTTACCTGGCGAGAAAAGACCCACACAAAGAATCGCTAACCGAAGTTGGGACTTGCAACTTTACGAATATGCGAGCTTCTTCGGATCTTGCCACTCCTGGTTCGGAGTGGGAATGGTAGTCGATCAAGTTCGGGAAAGAAATGAAGCTATTTTGGTCTAGCGGTGGTGCGAGAGCAGACCTTCTCGCGGGGAACCCATCTTCGGGGAGAATGTCGGGACAAGAATAGTGCCAGCATCTTCACGTGCAACACATCCGCTTAACCTCTTTTGGTGTATCGACCTCCGTAGCGCTTTATTACTAGAATTGCAGCGAATGTAGTAACCTCGTTGTGAATTGTTTCTTCCTGAACCTCGATCTCCTAAGTACGGAAAGCGATAAGGATCAGGAGACCAAGCGATTTTCGAATCTGGTTTTCGACTTTTGATGTCCGACTTGTGACACATGCTCACCCTATCAAAAATCGCCCACATATACTGAGGTACGGGCTCCTTTAAGGACGCTACTGCATCTATTATTTTTTTCGCAAATCGCGAAAATCAAAATTATGATATTTTTAAAAATGTACCATTATTAATAATCTAGCTGATTCATGTGGTAGAACATAATTAAAATAGTCGATCTATATGGTGATTTATCGCATTCCATGGTGGGAATGTAATAGGGTAGGAAATTCAATAAAATACACGTGACATGCCTCCTGGTAGCTACTGGCCCACTACTAGCATGCTTCTTTTATACTTCTGTTCCTTTATTATTATTAATTCCTTGATTTATTATTATTAACCTCTTTGTAATGGCTCGTTTAAAGCTTAATATTAATTGTTATCAAGCCTATATTCTTTGTTTAATTAAGTAATAGCTATTATATAAGGAGATTATTAAGAGGTTATAGCATGACTTTAACGTTAATATTTCCCTTAGAACTCTACATAATAGGCTTTCCGAATGGAAAGTACCTTCCCAATACTCGATATTCGAGCCTTCTCCTCAGGTAAAGGCTCTTATTATATAGTTCTTTTGTAATATCTATATAACTAATACTAATATACTTACTAACCTCTGGAGCTTAGGATATAATATTTCTAATCTATAATTATTATAGCAGGTTCGCCGAGCTATAGGGCTTTAATATTAAATACTTAAATTACAAGTTAAGCTAGAAAAGAAGTAATTTTGCTATATACTCAAGTAATATATAGTAGATAAAGGCCTATAAGGTAATACTAGAAGTTATAGATACCTGCTTCTATATACTTATCTTAATTCCCTAGATAATAGCAAGAAGTTTTCTAGGAATAGAATAGCTTCTATAATATAGGAATTTAATCCAGAAAGTATATAGTATTATTCGGAAGAAATAAAGGTAACTAGAGGGAAATATAATATTTATAGGCCGAACTTTATTTAGTTAATTAATAGCTATTATAAGATAAGTATAGTATATATTTAACTTTAAAAATTATTATCTTAATAACTACTAATTCGTTTATTTAGCTGCAATTTTATAGAATTAAGATATATACCGGTATTAATACCTATTTATAGTTTATATCTTGGATTTATATTAGAATCTCAAATAGTTATACTATAAGTAGTAGTATTTCCTAATTCGGTATAAATATATTTCCTTAAAAATACCAAAATTCACTTAGTTATAATTCCGGCTATATAATTCTATAGTATTATAGAGAACTAATTATGTGAATTATACTTAATTTAGCTAATAAAACCCTTGAATCTCTATACTATATTTTCCTTTAGGCTAATTTATATTATACTAATATATATTTACTTATACTACTTTCCAGGTTACTATTCTAGTTTAATATCTTGACTTAGTAAATAAAATAGAGATTATTTCACTTTATATTTAATTAAATAGAGAATGCGAAATACTTATAATTACTAATATTTATTATATCTTTTATAAAGTAATATATTAGATAAAGAATATTAATCTATATTAGTTCTCAGATCTCTATTAGTTCGGAACTAGTATAACTAATTAATATATTAAGATATAATAGAGGCAAGTTATAAAGGTAATTTATTTATACTAATTTTATAGAAACCTATTTAATTAACTAATATTTTATATAGAATATATTAAATAAATAGAAGATATTTTTCAAGAATTTATACTTTTAAAGGCTTTATTTTTATAAGCTTTTACTTAACTATATTACTATATTTTTCGTCTATTTACCTATTATATAAGAGTAAATTAAGGAGTTTATAAAGATATAAAATATATATTTAATTAGAAAATAATCTAATTAATTATATATTATTTCTAAATAACTTTTCTAGAACTATATATTTTTAGAATAAATAAGAGTTAGAAACTATAGTATTTCTATTAATATTAATAAACTAAATAAGCTATATAAAGAATATACTAGCTATAATAAAGATATATATTTACCGGAGATTATACTTAAATAATATAAGTAAGAGCTTAAGAATACCGGCTTTATTTTCCTAATTATAGAAACTATATATAACTCGAATAGAAATCTAAACTACTCGAGTATATATATATCTAAGAGAATTAATTAATAATTACCTAATTAATATAAAGAATACTCGTCTAAAGCTAGGGCTTTTATTAATACTTAAGAATATATATAATTAGAATTCATTACTAGAGGTAGCTATAGAACTAGAAGAATTAAGGCTAAAGAATTATAATAATTAAGATAGTATTTAGTTTATTAATAAAGAGAGAGATACTAGTTATAGAAATAAAGATCTTACTTATATTAGCTCTAATAATAAAGCGGAAATTAAAGATAATATAGAGAATACTAGATTTACTATAGATAGTATTACTTTTAATAAAGTAAATAGTAATTGGATTATAAATAGTTAAGAGTATAGATAGTTTATAGAAAATAGATATATATTTGAGTCTAAAATAAAGGAAAAAAATAATCTAGAAATACCTCCTATAAATATTAGTTAATTTATTCGGCCTTAAAGAGGCTAAATAAGGATATATTAATATATATCCTAAAGAAAGAATTATCTAAAAATATTAATATTTACTAAAGTAATTAATTATAGAAATTAATAATAGTCTGCTTAATTAGTTAAATTTATATAGCTATAGGTAATTTAATATTAAAAGTTATATAATTTATCTTATTAGAAAATCAGTTCTTATTCTTTTAATTTCTATATCTTCTATAATTATTCTATTAACTTATTATTTTAGTAATAAGAACTTTATAATATAGATTAAGTTCTTTCTTATTACTAGCTCTATTAAATTAATAGTTTTTAAGAACTTTTAAAGTAATTATAAGATATATTTAGTAAAAATATTTCTTTTTATATAGAATTTAGTTTCCCTCTCTTAATTTCTATAGCTCTTTACTTAATTATTTATAGCCCCTAATATAAGAAACTATAGTTTATATAGAAATAATACTAGAAATAAATAAAATATATCCGAATTTAACTTATATTAAGAGATATTTTTTATAGTTTTTTTATTTATTTCTTTTTATATATTAGTAATATACTACTATTAATAACCTCTAAAATAAGTCTCTAATATATAAATTCTTTAGGGAAAAAGTTATAGAAGTATAGGCTAAGAAATTAAAATATTATTAATATATTATAGTTTTATTTTACTAGTTAACTTTATATTACTATTTACTAAATTACTAGATTTATTAGCTATATTTTTCTTTTAATATTCGATTATAAATTAGATTCTTATTATTTTACTTCTATATATTTCTAATAAGTAATTTCAATCTATAAAACTCTTGTTTTATACGGGAGGTACTATATTTCCTTTCTATAGTAAAGTATTTACTATATAGTATAATTAATTCTATTACTCTTTTTCCGGCTCCTATTACTCTTATACTAATTATTATATTAGATAATATACTATTTTCTAGTTAAATCTAACTTTAAAATATTATTATCTAATTATTAAGAGATTAAGGAATTAATATCTTAGCTAATTCCTATTCTTTTTACTATTTTCCGAATATAGATCTCTTAGAAAAGGTCCTTAAGGCAGAAGTATATAAGAGGAAGTAGTAGGCTAAGCTTAAATATTTAGAGTAATTATATAGTAATTTTTATTAGAAAGCTTAAGGCAAAAGTATATATCTATTTATTTAATTTCTAAACTTCTAATATTAATATATTATTTATTAATTTTATTAGATTTGGTCCAGAAAAGAAGTAAAGCCTTTAGATCTCTTACTTTTAGCTAGAAGGCATATATAAAAGCCTTTAGTAAAAGTAAATTAATAATTTCTTCTATTTCTATTATTAAAAAACAATATAAGGTTCTTATTTCTATTATACTATATATATATAAAACAAAAGAAATTAAGAGTAGCTTTACTAGAAGAAATATATCTACTTTAACTATAAAGAAGTTCCTTAGCTTAAAAGAATACCGGAAGGCTCAAATTATTTAAATTAAGCTATAAATAATAAAATAGTTTAATATATATATATATAAAGCTTACTTATAGAAATACTACTTTACTAATATAGTTTTTTATTATAGTTAAAAACTAATATATAAGAAATTTACTATATATTTAGCTAAGGCTTTTTTATTATTAATTCCGTTACTTAAAGGCTAGAAGCTTAATTAATAAATTATAATCTTAGAATATATAAATAAAGTATCTTTTATAAGTAAAATAAGCTAGTATTTATTAGTATTCTTATAATAGCGGAATCGAGGCAATAATATAAAGGCTTAAAGATCCAGGAAAATCCTATATATTAAGAATACTAAGCTAAAAAGAAGAAGGAGAAAGAGAAGAAAAGAAGATAAAAGAAGGGAAATACTAGCTAAAACCACTAAAATACCGGCTAGCTAGATAAAACCAGTTATATAATAGCTACTTCCCTTTAGTTCCTAGCTAGCGCTATTATATTACTTCCCCGGAAACCAAATCTAAATGCCCTTATTTAGATATATAAAGGAAATAGGGTTTTAATAAAACCCCTAAAATGGCCAGCTTTTAATAGTTATTATCTGACTAATAGCTACCTCTACCTTTACCTAAAGCTCTAGAACTAGCCTCAGACCCAAAATCGTTTATAGAACCCAAATTATTCCCAGAATTATCTGCAAAATCATCTATAGAATTATCTAAAAAACTAAGCTTATCTAGAGAATCATCTATAGAATCGTCTATAGAGCCCGAATTATCTGCAGAGTTTAAATTATCTTTAGAACTATCTATAGAACCGTCCAAATTATTTATAGAACCGGAACTAGCCTCTATATCTGATTTAAACTTGGCTCCAGAGCTAGCTTTACTAGGATCTTATTGGCTCTCGGTTTCCTCAGATAATAAATTATTAGTAAGAGGATATTATATATAAGCCTTTAAGGCAGAATTATCCGAATTATCCGAATCGGAAAAGTAGTATTATATAAGGGGCGGCTATATAAGAGGCAAATAAGGGAGAGGTAAATAAGGAAGAAGCAAATAAGGAAGAGGCAAATATAAGATAATTACTTCTATTTTAAATCGGTAAACTGGAACTAATTACCGGGTTTCTTCCGTTTTAAATTAGGAATCCAAAACTAATTAGTATATCTCTTATTTTAAATTAGAGAATCGCCGATTCTTGGAGGAAAGTACTAGTTTTTTTACTCTCATTAATATTAAGAAAGCATTATCTGCTCTAGTTAAGGGCCGGACTCCGAGATTAACTAGGTTATAAAGGACAGAAATCTTTCTTCTTTTAAGTTAGTAAAGAACCGACTATTGGGTTATTATCTATTCTAGTTAAGGGCTAGACTCCGAGATTAACTAGGTTATAGAGAATAAGGAATATTATCTGCTCTAGTTAAGGGCCAGGCTCCGAGATTAACTAGATCTTAGAGGATATATCTTTCTTTTTTGAGTTTAGGAAAATTACCTATTAAATATTAGAAGCGGAATTCTATCTTTACTTCCTAAGAATAAGTACGGATCCTTTACTAGTAATATTATATTGCTTCTATAGGCCAAGTTAAATAAGCTTAGTATTATATAATAGCGGAATTAAGGCAATAATATAAAGGCTTAAAGATTTAGGAAAATCCTATATATTAAGAATACTAAGCTAAGAAAAAGAAAGAAAGAAAGAAGGAAAAGGGATAAAAGAAGGAAAATACTAGCTAAAACTACTAAAATGCCGGCTAGCTAGATAAAACTAGTTATATAATAGCTACCCCTTTTTAGCCCCTAGCTAGCGCTATTATAATTCTAATAAAATTAGTACTAATATAAATAGATTTAGCTAAAAAATAAAAATAAGAGAATTAATTATATAACTAATTTTATATATAAAGCTAAAAAAGATATTAATAGCTTATTATCTTATTTTAGCTAATTAAATAGAAATATACTAAAGTATATTTATCTTATATTTAATTAAGATATTAATATAATTTAAGAAAGAGATAACGAGATTTAGGATAAGTATAAAAAAAGAAATAGGGAAATGCCTTTACTAAATTTTACTTCTTTATTAGGGAGATCTCCTAATACTACCCCTAATATAATATCTATATCTATAGCTATATCTATAGTATCTTCTTTACCTGCTTTGACTTCTAATTAATAAATCAAAGCCCTATAAGAGAAGGTTACTTCTTTAAAGAACTAGTCAGGTAATAACCCGAATTCGGACATTTATTCGGATAACCTTAATTCGGATAATATACCTATTCTAGAACCCGGAATTATAGTTTCTCCTGCTCCTGCTCCTGCTTCTATATCTAGTAAGTTAATAGATTTAAATATACTAGTAGATCTAATGTTTTTACTAGCCTTTACTTCTGCTCTACCCACTAAACCCCCTCAACCTCCTCTGAAGTCTATATTAAAGAGGAAGCGGGAAGTAGTTATATCAAGTAATAATAATAATAAATCAGATCTTAATAATAGAGAGAAGGAGGATCTATTAGGAGATAGTAATTATAGGCCGGGGAGGCTATTAAAACATAAGGGTAATCAGGGGTAGTTTAAAAAAGCGAGAACAGAGTAATAGTACTAGGTACATATAACTATAATACATGGGAATTGCGTATTTGGCCATTATTAGGTATGTTTTCCATATAAAATATGGCCATTAAATAAATCGCGATTCATTATTTTGCGATTTTGCGGAAAAAAAATAATAGATGCAGTAGCGTCGCTAAATCAGCCCGTATGAGGCCATTAGCTGGCTAGTCGACAAAACCGAGAAGCGAAAAGTGATTTTCTGATTTTTTGATTTTCGCGCCCACACCTAAGCTACATTGGGTTTGGTCTAGTTGACAGCACGGGTGGGGCCTTTGGCCTTCGGGTTCAGGCACCTGTTCCACTCCACACCATCCTGGTCTCCCCCGACGTTAGTCTGCCCGGACTTAGTGTCCCCGAATAGTGAGGAAGGCATGACATGAGTACAACAATTTACCCCAGTGGTGAACGTCCCGACAATAGAAAGCCATTCAGCTGCTATGCGCCCCGCGCCCCATACCCCGCACAATGGCCGTTCCTAGGACCCCCAGGGATTCAGGCGTGTGGCACTCCTAAATCAAAGCAATTCTGAGGTCCAAGGTATACCCAGCAAGATGGCTTGTAGTGGGCCAGAGACAGCGGAAAGCTTGATTGCATATATAATGCTTCCCGGCACAAGCCTATATTGGACGACAACCCTCGTTCTTTGCACGTTCCAAAATATCTCCGCAACCGTCTTCCACGATGAAGTCCTTCAGAGAGCTTCCGTTTATCAAGTACTTTACTCGAAATTTAGCAATTGCCACCCTTCTTATCGGCATGAGCGTCTTCAATTATGGCTTTGACATGGCAGGCTACAACACCATCCAGGCTATGGATCGTATGTCTAAACCCTTGTGCCTCCTGTTCCTAGACTTATCTAAAATACACAACATAGCCTTCATCGAGCGTTTTGGAACCTACAACCCGACGACCAAGAAGTTCGCGATCAGCCCCAAGAATCTAAGCCTTTTGAATTCTCTTCCACGCATCACCTTCGGCTTGGGGATCGTCATGGGTGGTCTTCTAGGAGAGCGCTTTGGACGACGTCCCGTCTATATCTTGATGCTCCTGATTTGTGAGATTGGCACGATCATCTCCTATTTTGCCAAGAACTTTACACAAATCCTCGCGGGGCGAATGCTGAATCAAATGTACATTGGAATGGAAGGCTGGCTGGTTCCCATGTTCCACGCAGAGATTATTCCAGCTCCAATCCGTGGTGCCGTTGTTGTTGGCTACGTATTCAACCATATCTTCGGCAGCTTTATCATGTCTTGTATCACTTTCAAGACTTCACAATGGGATACCGACCATTGTTGGCAAATCCCCGTGGCGGTTATGTTCATCCTTCCTACCATTGCTCTGGCGCTGTGCTGGTTTGTTCCCGAGTCGCCTCGGTGGCTTCTGCGTAGAGGCAAGGATGAGAAAGCCTTGAAGATGATGCGGTACATATACGGATCGAATCCAGAATATGCTCCAGAACAGGAGATGGCCTTGCTAAAAGCGTCACTGGAAATAGAAGAGGAGAAAGGGACCTGGAAAGAACTTTTCGTTGGCACCAATCTTGTCAGTATTAACACTTCATCAAAAGTTCTCAAATTTGTTCCCCAGTACTGACCATGCAAATCTCTAGCGCCGAACCTCTATTATCTTCTTCATTCAATCCTTCAACCAACTTACGGGCCAGGCGTTTGCAAGTGTATACGGAACCATCTTCATCAAGAGTCTTGGGACCATTAATCCTTTCGCATTTACCCTCATCTCCAATGGACTGGGCTGTATCGCTCCATTCGCTAATTTCTTCCTCATCGAGCCGATGGGGAGACGCAATATGTATCTTTGCTTTGGAACCCTCTCCGCTGCATCTCTCATTGCCTTGGGAGCACTCGGCCTTCGTTCCCCTACTTTTGGAGTTAAAGCTGGTATTGTGTCCATGAGTATCATATATCCATTCTTCTACATCATGTCATTTGGTGGCATGTAAGTGTTACAAACCGCGCTTATTTATTCAATGTTACCTAATAACTTTTACAGGGCGCCTGTTACAGGTGCAGAGGTACCCGCGCTCAGGCTGAGAGATAAAGCAGCAATCGTCGGATGGAGCACACAAAACGTGATGGCGTTTCTTGTCACATTTACGGTCCCATACCTTCTCCAAGCGCCATATGCAGCCCTGGGCTCAAAGGTTGGCTTTATCTATGGCGGTTTCTGCGTCATGGCACTCCTGTGGGCGTGGTTCTGCTTCCCCGAGCTACGCGGTCGCTCGCTGGAGGAGATCGATGAAATGTTTCAACTGAAATTGCCAACACGACAATTCAAGGGTAAGCCACTTTGGCTCATCTGGGGCTTGGCTCTCACTAACCTCGTTCCTAGCTTGGAAGTCATCCGATCCAGACAGCGTTGGTGCCAGGATCACTAATATGGAAGGCCACACAGGTCACGCTGGACATGCTTCTCAAGAGCCGAACGAAAAGAGGATTGATGTCGATCATGAAGAGGAGATCGGTGCCTGAGAAATTAGCAGAAAGTTGCGATGTCGAATAATTTTTACGACAAAAGAAATCAGAAGCGACGGGGCGATTCTAGATTGCATCACAATGCAACTTTCACCTCATTTTGAAAGGTTTGGATTTGATTTATATGTACGCTACTGAAACCCAACAAATTCGTTGTAATCGTTTGTGGGATCTATGGGGCCACCAGGGCCAAGCTCAGCAAGTCCATTGAGCCAATCAATGTTTATACTATTCCACCAAGTCTCAGGTATTCCAGAGTTTGCTTGTATGTTGGAAGCCGAAATACTAGACTCGCTACCAACATTTTGGTGCAGCTGGTAAACTGCACGGGAACTTTCGGAGTGCGATTGATTTGTGTTGTTGATGTTGGCACCGAAGCCTCCGGCATCTGGAGATCCACGGCCAGGGCATAGGTAAGCTTTGGATATTTTCTAGAACAAATTGCAGGCTTACCAGACCGCGTCTGCCTATCTACTTCTCCGTCCTCGTGCACCTTTCTCAGTGTCTCGATGCACTTCTGAGCCGCGGGAACACCGAGGCGCTGGAATTCCTCTAGTACCAATATACATTGGGTCCAGGACCGTTCCATAGAATCCAGTTGATCTGCGGGTAAGATATTTCGAAGTGGAGGAGCTCTTAGAATGACCACGAGCACCGTACCAGCGGTGTAGATTACTACATGCCAGGGAAATTAGCTTCATCCTCCGATGATCCCTCGGATTACGATGAAGACGGAGAGGCTTACAGAAGGTAGTATACCACGCCGGAGGTAAAAATCCCCGAGCAGCGTTGGGGCCAAGATTAGAATGGACTAGATCAATCAGGTCTTTGGCAGCGGACGAACAGCCATCCAAACATCCCTTCATTAAATGCCACTGCAGGGTTGTTGTGGCGGAACGAGTCTGCGAAAGGGGCTGCGTGGCAAAACGTACCAGCGCAATACGAAATACCATGATCCGAGTATTCAAAAGTCTATGTTAACCATTTTAGCATTTCCGCAATGGGCAAACCACCTGGGCACGCCTGGAGAAAGGGTTGGATTACCGAATATACAGCAAACAAGATTGTCGAGGGAACAATTCATCACCGTCTGGTGGTCTATATGGCCTGTGATACCGAAGGTAGCTTGGTATTTCTTCCCAATACTGCTTGACTCTCCTATCATAGTCGAGAATTGTAGCATACAGCTTGGATGTATCTCCCACTGTGTTCTGCTCAGAGGAGTCACTGTAAAAGGATCTTGTTGTGGTTTGATTAGTACAACACTAGGGGTTTAAGAGCTCCTACTAGAAAACACTTACTTCAAAATATCCATATTTATCTCGGAGAATTTGAGCGCATAGACAAAGAAGCTTATTATCGGTGGCATATCAGCCGGTTGATGTCCATCTTCTCCTAATGGATCTGTTTCTAAATACTCATCGTCGATGAGCTGAGGCAGAGATACCTGGGGATAGTTGGACAGCATCAACGGCCGCCCGAACGTCATACTCTGGACTCTGAATGATTGTAAGCAATTGCATTTACGCAACTGCGGATATTAGTTAGGAGCATCACCGATCTAGTGAGACACAGGCAGACCATGTCCTTCTTCTCTCCTCTCTCTGGACCTGGCTTTCCTCATCTACATCCAAATGGAGACCGAGACCTTGTGCTGCGCGAATTGCAATCCCCACAATTACCCAACATCGGTTGGGTAGTCCTTTGTGCTGAAGGAACCGGGCCATAAGAACCAAGGTCTGTACTAGGCTCAACGATGGTCTGGTAATTATATCAAGGTTCAACAGACTTGTCGCTCGCTTGATGAAGTTCTCTTGTAGATTACTTGAAGAATTGTGCCCGGAATAGGGCGGTCTGAACTCGCAACCTAGTGCAAAGATGATGGCTAGCATACAGTGAAACAACTGATCAGAGAGAGTTGGCCTTTGGTGGAAAGACGTTGGTCGTGAACCAGTTGTAGGAGGACTGGCCGTCCACAGACGCTCATAGCTAACTCTCATCAGCAATGTATCTTACTAGCAAGGGATAAAACCAACCGTTGGAGAAATGTAGGCTTATGGAAGACCGGCATCTCGTGGTGAATGATATCAAAATAAGTGTGGAGAAAGGCATCGGCGGAGCGTCGAGGGGGTAGTAGGAATTCCTCCATCGACAAAGCAATATCGCCTTGACCTGCGCCATGGTCATAGAACCAAGTGGAAGTGGCAGGGAAAGCTGGGCCTGAGGATTTCGGAGTGTCAACGCTTGCAGCGCTTGTTCCTTGGACGCCAGTATGAAACGATCCATATACTTCTTTCATGAAGCCAACGGCACTCGCACTCCCCAAGAAGGAGGGAGAGTTGTTGTCTCCATCAGTGTTTGCCATATCATTGGTCACAGGCTGTCTATTTCGTCCAAGGTCGGCTCCAGATCCATGAGCATAGGGGCTATTCTGACCAGCTGGGTCACACCGGGATGTCGAAGGCAAATAGCTCGGTCGTGAGAGCATCGGGCTTATTAGACCCTCCGCGACTGTTGGCTGCTGATGGCCACGAGGTGCCGGCTCACCACTAGGTGGTTGCGATTCCAGGGGGAGAAATGCCGGTTCCGGTTCCATGGCTCTTCGCTGCGAAGATGACCTTGCTTCCCGTGCATGACGTCCCTCAAATTCATGGAGCCGCATCTCAAATGATTTCACATAGCTAAGGTTACATCGGATATTATTGATGTGCGTATAGGCGGACGTTTCCGAAGGAAAGAAGAGGAGACATACTCTGATGCTTGTGCTCCTGCTCCTTCACCTCCTCGGGCGCCCATTTCATACAAGCACCTGCTCGGGCACCGCCTTCGCGTACAGGAATTGCAAACGGGACGGATTCCATTGCAGCGGACCTTCCGGTCGCGGCATTCTTGATACGCGATCTTCAATTTTGGGCGTTTGAAGGGCTTCGCGGCGGGTACTGGTGCTGGTGCTGGTGCGTTTGGTGAACTCATTATTCAGCTGGGGCATATGCTTACGGTAACGGGGCGGGGGCGTTTGCGCCGGCGTTGGTGGTGGTGGTGTCGGGGAACATGTCAATATATGGGTAGAACAAAGGGAGGTAGAAAAGGGGAAGAAAGAATATGTTGCAACGGGGGCCGGTGACGACGATTCGACGGGACGGGGACGATACGAGACCCGAGGCAAACAGCCGAAGCCGAAGTACGGGGTACCAAGTCCTGTTCGGCGGCTCTCCCCTGATCCTCATCCTTTTTAGCACGTCTGTCAGGTGCGGAGGGCAATACGCAAAAATAAGTGATATGTAATTATCCCTTTGGCAAATATACCAGGAACTGGAGCTTAATAGAACCGGACATATTATTCTCAGGTGTCGTGGCAGAGCAACCGTAGCACTCGGACGCTATGAGAGTAGCTAATAGGGCCCTTTGGCGACACTGCCCCTGTAAGTACAGGGGCTATGCCTTCTAAGGTGTGGTACCCCTTGTTTTACAGCGTGCTTATATAGGGGAGTGGCCTGAAAATATAGGGAGCTTTAGTAGGTGGGTGTAGTAGAAAGTGGCCTGAAAGTGTGTCACAAATACCCTGTAATCCCGTCACTTTATGCCGCAATCTTCGCAAAGTGCTATGTCTAAGGAGAGTCGAGAGCGATCAAGGCTGCCGGGTTACGTGCATCTGCCCTTGGCTCCTGAAAATTCAATGTCCTACTTCATTAGTTTCTGTACCTTTAGCTTGCTAGAATTCTTTCAGTATGACTTACCCAAATCAGTTCCATAAACTTTACCAGGTTTCAACTTCTCATCCTCCTTCTCGACCCCTTTCTCGCTATCACTTTCCCCCGCAACAAGCAATTCCAAGTTCTCCTCACCAACCTCTCTTATTTTCACAATTTCCTGCCATGATCGTTTTAATTTGATACCCGCACTCATATTCATCAACCTCTCATTCGGCCGCGAGTTCATCGCAAGAACAACCAGACCACCAATGGTCCCCCAACTATCACAAGTCCAGACTTTCTTGGGGAAGCACACTACGATAGTATGGCCGATAGCAAGAGCTGAATGAAGGAGAAGTACGGCGATCGCAACCTTGGCTGTGATCGTCGTGGCAGAGTACCCGTACCCATAATGCTCCTCCGTCCATTCCAAGTGCAGCCAATTTCTAGTCTGATCAGGAGAATATGGTACAGTATTCAGGAATTTTCCCTCGTCTGATATAGTAGTAAGCATGAAAGTATCTGTCCCTTGCTTCGAAGTAAATGCAAAGCGCTCCTGCCAACCTATCCTCGCCAAACCATCCGTGATCGTTAGCCCAAGTGAAACTGCGAGTTCTGGTAAGAATAATGCAGAGTCATGGTTGTGTGGATCCTCTAAGTCTTTAGCGACAATGGATTGGATAAGTGTTTCCATAGCCGTCAGATCTGTGCCTGGAATGGGGAGATTCAGTGATTCAGCCCAGGTGGGATCGATTTGTATCTGTGAAATATTTGGAGTTCGAATATCAGGGTAAACGTTGTCGGGGTGAACAGTTCCATCGACAAAAGGTTGGAAGTACAACTTAACGGGGGCCCACCTTGCGTCTATTGTGCATGCGAATATCGTCTCATTGGAAAGCTGCACTGTTGTCGAGCTGTAGGTGACGGTCGAGTTTGTTAGATTGCTTGGCAATTGGGACAATCTAATGACTGCACCCAATGAAGGACCAGGATTGATTCCGGATAAATTTGCCCATGAAAACTGAATTGGCTTTCCTAAGTTTGGTGGAAATTCCGAGGCGTTCAAAGTCCAGTTCGTAGTGTTTGGCAAATAAAAGAGCGGCGCATAGAGTAAGCTGCTGAACGGAAAGTCAATCGTGGAGCTGTTCGCGGGCATCGGCGCACATTGAACTTGAACCAAAGGCATAAGCAAAGGGGTCTTGTTTATGCCAATCAGCGTCAATTTCCATTCATGTAGCCATTGGAAGTAGTTCGCAAGGGATCGCGCGAAGACGTGTTGCGGCGATGAGGTGATGGCAGAGTCCAATTGGGTAATGTTCAGAGGGACTGATACCACGTCTCTGCCCACATCGTCATTAAAGAAGGTGAGATTCCACAGTCCTAGATACTCTGCGTTCCAGTTCGGTAATGTTTCGAGGATCGTCGAGTACCCTCCTGCTGGGCAGGATTCGTTCTGCAAGGCAGAGGAGCTCAGACAGGATCCATCTGGTAGGGATGATTGCGTTAGATGCCGTGGGTACAATTCAGATCTGTTCGCAATATATGCCTCCTATGTGGCGGGAGAGTTAGCAAAAGATCGTACTGGCAGTTTCGGGGGACTGGGACATCGCCAATGGGGAAACCCAGGAGACAGTCGGAGTAGGAAAGGGTGTTCTTCCGCTACCCACAATTAACATGAGGTCTTTTTGTTTCAAAGAGATCGCCTGCCAACCGGGCTTTGGTACGAATAACATGGCTCCCATAGATTGACCATAGTGCGCCAAGAACATGCAGAGGCCAACCAAACCAACAAGAGAAAGATGATGTAGACGGGTGCTTCCACGATTTCTAGCATAAGAACCCGTCCAAAACTCTTTGGAAAGCAGTGTCGTCAAATGATTTAGCTGATATCCGGCAAGCAGATATCCAAGTGCAACTCCATCCCGTTCTGCAAGCTCATATCGAATTCTGTGTAGCGCTATTGCAGTCACCGAAGCCACAATGAGAGTACCGTAAGCCCCTGCGGCTAACTGCAACGCGTTTTGCACTTCGCTGATATACCGATCTCCTGCAGATATATAGATGACATGGACAAATTGGAAGGTGATTAGAGCGGCAGTTATGGGTATTGGGGCCAGCACAAGGAGACATCGTCTCAATGCAACCCAGCGGCTGTCGCTAACAGGAATTTTGGGTGCTTCTTCAGTTGGTGTTGGACTTTTAAGTGACTGTTGTCCATTGACCGGCTTGGGTGTGGTGACTTTGGGTCGCTGCTGTCCGTTGATTGGTTTTCTCTCAATCACAAAGGCTTTCTTTTCTTGCTCGGAAGCGATTAAATCGTCAGAAAGCATTCGCTCGTTCTTTGAATGTTTGTCACTTGCAGGTCGAGGCAGAATTTTTAGAAAGAAGAAACGTACCATATTTTGAGCCATTTTGCATGCTTGAGAGATACAAACTAGCTTCTAGACGGTGGTTCAAGAAAACATAACTAAGTAATAGCATCAGTCGAAGAGTTTCTTAAATCTGTTTAGGGAGTCTTTGAAAAGCTCTTCAATTCTCTGGAAATGTTGATTTCTTATAGATTGCAGTTAAGAGGGGCGATAATCGGTATTGGGTAGCACAAAAACTGAAGCCGGGGTTAAACTGTCGTATTCTTGGGGGCCACAACTGGCAGTGCATTCCATTGGACAGGTTTTCGCAAAGTCCAACCCATATGATCTATGCCAGTGACATATCGGAGCTATTTGGTTGGCTCAAGTATAGCATTTGTCGTCGGCCCTGTCTTTCTCTGTCTCTATCCAATCCTTTGGTTGGGATTCGGTCAACCTACGCCCAGAGGATGCAGCCTTAACTGGAAATCAGCCCTATCAAACCACCCCAAAAATTTTCTCAGCTAATGGCAACGCCCACTAGCTGTTTGAAAGCCCCGCTGGCCTAGCTGAGTTGATTGGACAATTTGGACCCAATCAGATACTGAAGTGGTCGCCCAATGCTATCAGTCTCTATAATTAGCAACAAGTCTGGCGCGGTCTTGAAAATAACTCGACAACTTGCGACTTCAACATTGTTACTATCAAGACAAGAACAATAACAATACCCCCCGCTTCTAAGCTTCCAGTTTGGTAAGCAATGCCACCATTTAAAAGCAGAGAAAAACGAGTTTTAATATATCTACGAAGCTAACAATTTAGCAGTTTTTGCGGGAAGATTTGAGGCATGTACAACGTCTTTGGCTTTTGGAGGGTTCGGCGTTTTTAGTGGTGGCTATGTCAAGCCTCGTGGCTTTTGGCTTAACAAATGCCATTCAATGTTCATAACGCATGTGAAAATACGATAAGCCCTTCCCTAATACGAGAATTGGAACAGCCTTTGTCGACAGGAAGGTCGCTCCGGTTGTCTTTGTCATCCTAGAAATGACGCCACGAATATTTGTGAGATCCCGCTTGGTCTGATCCATTTGAATAGTAAAACCGTCGGCACTATAGCCCCTCAGCTCAATGACAACGCTGACTGCAAATGGTGGCTTATCGCCAGCCACCCTGGGACTGACGAAATGCTTCACGGTGGAATTCGTTGAAACGATCTATGTAGTAATGGATAGTGGCTGGCTGCAGCTGGAGGCCCAGTGAGAATGACCGAGTTTGAGTATATCCTTGCCGTGGGAGAGGTTGCCGAAGAAGCCGCGCAGGCTTCTAAGGTCAGGGCGATGCTTGAAGCTGCATACTGTACGCAAGGTTTTCTTAGCGCCTCGTATGTATTCCAGCCTACTGAAATTGCTAAAGTAGACTTAATATCAAATTGACCAAGGAGGACTGGTACAATTAGGAGCAAAGCCCACCATTTGGACCATTGATAACAATTCGCTGCTGAACAGGAGTTGTCAAATCTGCTGGTTTGGGAGGGTCGCTGGCTAATGCCATTGTGGCAGTCCTTTGCATAACGCTGAAAAATGCTTCCATGATGTAGATGTTTGAAGAGAATGGAAAGCTTGCACTTCCCTTCAAATAATACACCGGCAAAGTGTAGTGGCGCGAGTGGGAGCGCCTTTCACCATATGGCAGATGAACCGGACTTATATACTTCGTATCTCACATGAGATTCAAGTCGATCTGGAAGCCGGTTGCCGAACAAGATCCACCTGCGATGGCAGTTGTGCAAAGACTCAGCCAAGTATCCCATTCGCTGCTTGTGTCGCGCTGCAGACTGTTTGAATGCATATTTACGGCTCATGGGATAATGGCTGGGCGGCACGAGAGAGATGGAGAATAAAACCAGGTACGTAAACAAGATGGAAGGTCCACCTGAACCTTGCAAGGACTCTCGTGCCAAGATTAGCAGCTAGTGCTGGTCAGCATCACGTGCCGAGAACCACCTCGGTATTTACCACAGGGGAGAGAATGGGACTCGTGCTCGCTGGATTGACTTGAAGTGAGAAACGACTCTAAGAAAAAGGGAGATAGAATTTGAGGCCTCGAGAGTGCAAATAGTGAGATGAAGAGTCTGACGCATCACGTGCTGGTCTCTGAACCGAGCCGGAATATGAGGTATTGAGCACATGTGTGTTTGGCCGTAGTAAACTTTATTTGCAAAGAATTAACATTAAACAGGCAACTCGGAACGCAGGGCGTGATATGAAATGCTTTGACGTGGGAAAAACATCGAGGACTTCGGCTTCATTGGAATGAAGTTCGAGGACGCGGACTGCCGAAAAGACAGGAAACGACCATCCCCAGTGATACAAGACCTAGCAGTCCGTACTGAGTGTTGTAAATTCTGGCCTCACTTCGTCATCATCGAGCGAGCTTGAAGTATCGGAGGCAACTCGCCAGCCAGTGTGTGAAAAAGGGCTTCTGCCATCAGTCAGCACATCCAACATCTTTCTCATAGCACCCTTTCGATTCACTTGGTCTTGCAAGTGTGCAGTGGCTGGACGAACAGCTTTTGAAGATGTCTCTGGAGATTGGCCGCGTTGACATTCTGGAAACCAGTGCTGTGCCACACCTCATGTGACGTTGTGGCTGGTGGTTTTAAAATGATCTGCCGCTAGAATAACCTTAATGGACACCAGCCAAGCGCAACCGACTTCATCAGGAGGCGTGCAAGTCACAGAACCTGCAGAAGCCGCAATCTGGAGATCATTAACCCTTGATCGAGAATCCTTTCCTTCCTTGATGTCTGACGTGATACGACACGCTTTTTAGGTTATTCGTCGGTTTTGGATTTATCGGTCTCTCCGCAAAGTCACAAGCTTTCGCCCTCCAATCAAGGGGACATGCGATTCTCGGAATTCGATCTAGACTCCGGAGGGCAGAAGCTTCACCGCCCGGTCGATGCTAACTTTCCAGGCGACTTGGAATGGCCAAATGGCAGACCGCCATGGTGGTATTTGTGACAGCTATGGCGAGCGTTGACGACATACTCTGCTGCAGCATGACAGCATTGGTGCCCCTCACGACTAACAGCAATCTTCGTGGTACTCGAGCTTCAACAAGGCAGCTGGCGATGTGTCAAGGGAGCTCTCCAGCTCAGCTTACGCCACAGACGACATCACTGATCTTATTTACCCCTCCTGTCTCGGTAAGTATATACTGTACGTACCTTCCTCCCGAAGGTAGTTTTGTGTTATTTTTCTTCACATTTATCAAAATCTCCACATACACGTCGTATACCCGAAGAACAGCAGAACCGTTCTGTATTTTGTCAATTAATACCCAGAGCGAGCAACCATGGACACCATCAAGAATATTTTGCATGTGCACAACTCGTTTATTATTCAGTCCAGCTACGCTAACTTTGTTGTAGTTCATCAAACATCGCGAAAAACGACGAGGCCGCTCACGGATCAGGGCGAGATCTCGGAACATACTGGAGCTGGAGGTGTCAGTGGGGAAGGAAGTCATCTGGCAGAAAGCCATAATACAATTATAGGAACTTCGTCAGGTCTCCCCGGCAGCCAGGCGTCTGGGATCGGAGAAGGAAGTCACTTCCCACAAGCCCACAATACAACGGCAAGAACTTCATCAGGCCTCATCGGCAACCAAACCTCGAGGATTACAAACACATCGAACACCAGCACTCAAAACCCCGCTGCAAGAGATGCTGCTGTAGCAGCAAGTGGAGTTGGACTTGCAGAGCAGTAAGCGGCCACCTCCCAAGCCCCTGCTTACAGATAGCTAATCTCCATCCATTAGTGAACACGAAAACACGAGAGCGAACGAGGGCTAGGTTCCACAACAACCGATCAAGGCTTTGGAAACACCCAGGGCGTTGGAAGTGCTCAAGGCGCGGATTACTCCTCGACCCCAACCAACGATCTTCCAATTCTCGCGAATATAGAAGCGGGTGGTTATACTGGCACGAACAAGAGGTCTTCATATCACACTGGACCTACAGGAGCGTCAGTACAAGGGGTAAGCATGCTTCGGCGTCTTTGACAGGATTCGTGCTTATGTTTCGATAGCCTCACTCCACCAATACTGCCAATCGTCTCGACCCAGCCGTGAATAAAAGCGGGACTCCACACCTTGAAAATACGCACGAGCATTCAGAGAAACATGGCGGTGGAGGTCGCGCTGCTGATAGGCACCATTTAGATCAACATGACGGCGATGGGCAGACTGCTGAAAAGCACCACCTGGGCCGGGATGCGGCATTGGGAGTGGAATTGGTGCAGCAACATACTTAGCCGACAAATATCACCACCGGAGTGAGGCAAAGGATAGCAATCCTGTAACCAGTGCAAGCCACCTAGCTAAGACTGCTGCTACCACTACAACCACCACTTCTGGGCCCCAATCCTCTAGCATTGCAAGTACAGCAGACTCTTCTGTTGATACTACACACCCTAAGGATCATCATTTGGGAAGAGATGCAGACATCGGCCCAGGTGCGGGTGCAGGTGCCGCCGGCCCTGGAGAGCAGTGGGTAAAAACACTTTTCAAATTGAAAGGCCACTAATATTGGATTTAAGTGAGCATCCCAAGCGTGCCAGTGAGTATTATCCACACGAAATCGTCCAAACTCATGACTTGGGAACTACTTCCGCCGCCCCATCTTCAACCAAAGATCCTAGCCTACTTCCTGGACCAGCTCCTAACACGGCAGGACCCCACAAGAAAGATTGGATGAACAAGCTCGATCCATTTGTCGATTCTCATCCTTCCTCAAAAACAGCCGATTCAGATCATCCAACAAATGAGTCAGATACTGTAGCAAAATCAAGCCATGCAGCTACCACCGGACAATCCATGGCGACTACCTCAGCGACCTCAAATGAACCTCAGTCTTCAGTTGTTGACAGTAACACTTCGGGGGATCACCATTACGGCAGAGACGCCGCCATTGCGGGCGGCGTTGGAGGGGCAGCCTACAGGGCCGAGACGCATCACCAAAAGAATGAGATGAATGAGCCAAGTGCCAGTACTCTAGCAAATCCAAGCCGCACAGCCACTGGTCAGTCAACCGCAGCAACAACCACAACGACATCTGGAGCCAGCTCTTCCATTCCTGATACCAACACCTCGAAGGATCACCATTATGGTAAAGATGCAGTGGTTGCAGGAGGAGTTGGACGCGCCGCCTACGAAGTCGAGAAGCATCACAAGCATGACAGGGACCTCACACAAGCCGAGAAAGATGCCAAAAAGGAACATAAGCACGATGTGAAGGAAGCAAAGAAGGAACTCGAGAATGGAGCGAAGAAAAAAAAGGAGCGTGAGGATAGCAAGGGTGGTCTTTTAGGTTTCCTCCGTGAGTATTTTCCGCATCCTGTCTCTCATTACGCTTTCGCTGACCATCACTCAGACCGAGACAAGAATAAGAAATACACCCCAGATGAAGAAGCCGAATTCAGTCGTCAAGAACGTGAGCATAACTCATCTCACAAAGAACGCAATACGGCCACTGCGGGAGCAGCAGCAGGTGCGGGTGCGTTGTACTCGTCTGATAAGCATCACTATGCTGGGCAGACTCCTACTACCAACCCATCCCCCTCGACAGCTCCGAGAACCACCAGCAACAGCATGGCGATAACTCAGCGTGCCGCGACAAGTGATGCCATATCTTCAAGTCATCGTTATAGCAAATCTCATTCAGGACCTACTCCTCTTGCGGAGAAACCGAAAGGAAAGGACATTGGTGATATATTGCACGGTGCAGAACGAAACCGTGGTGTTCCTGGGTCCTCGGGATATCCGGGTTCAGAAGGCTTCGCGACGGGGATTGGTGGAGCACTCGCTGCGAAGGAAGCTCCTCAATCCTGTAAATCAGAAGCAACTACAGATCAATCAGGTGCTTCCTTACCTGTGGACCCAAAACCTGAGCTTGGTACACACCTCGGGGTACAACTGCAAACGACGGATTCTGATTATGCAGCTGACGAAAACAATCATCAAACGGGAGAGTATGATGGTATGGGATCTGGCTCGGGTCTCACTGGGCCTTGTCAGAATGATCACAGCTATAATAGTCGGACTTGACGTCACGCTAAAGGGGCCCTTCCCTTTAGTCGGGGAAAGCGAGTTGGCCCGCGAAAGCGAGATGGCCCGCGAAAGCGAGATGGCCCGCGCCAAATAAAATCCTTAATAACTTGAAACATTAACCTTTTTAAATAATTCTAAGTAGTAGAATTAAAAATATAAGGCTTATAAACTAGATACGATTCTCTAAATCTTAAAAAAAATATGTAGGTAGAGAGTTATTAAGGTTTTAATAATAAAATTGCGAGATATACAAAAATCGTAAGAATTATTTGTTCGTAACCGTTTCGCGAGTATTAGACCTATGACTTTTGCTTGATTATAATTTTTTATTCTTTTACTTAAAACTTTAGCCCTTAAGTATGCGATAGGTAACTATGAGATTGCGAATAAAATGTATTAATTAGATTTTCTATAGCTAGTTTCTAATATTATTTTTTAGAAGGCAAAAAAGGCCGAAACAGGCCATCTCGCTTTCGCGGGCCAACTCGCTTTCCCCGACTAAAGGGAAGGGCCCCTTTAGCGCGACGTCAAGTCCGACTATTACTGTTCCCCGACGCACGGGTCTAGATACTGCCAACGAATACCGAAAGCAGGACACGACATCAAGCCTCACAGAATCCAATACTCAATCTGGTTTTACTGGCTCCAATCCAACTGCTACGTGTGTCAACGAGAATTCTGGTGAACGGAACAGACTTCATAAGGATCCTCCAGCTAGCCATCCTGCTTCTCAGGCTGATGTCCTGGCGAGCAAAGACGAACGAGAGTAGGCGCTAGACGAGGGGGAGAAGATGATTGATAAGGATACCGGGGCTGCGACTTCGTATGCGACAGGTGGAGTTAATGAAGCTACCAATTATTAGGATTATTCTTTTGTTATCGTCTTTCGTCGGATAGAGGATGCTTTTTGGGAGCATATGAGTGATGAGTATACAAGTTTTGTTTTAAGTTCGCCGGCAGCATTATCAAACATCCGCCAATTCTCAGGTTGTAACGTGTCTTGAAATTTTGAAAATACAGCTCGGCTGGCAAGATGGTGCGCCGGTCCTCAGACAATTAGTGGTCAAATTGTCTCACTTCGCGAACCCCACCTTTCGAGCTACAGCTTTTGACGCTATTGTCTTCACTAAACTTCCGATGCCAGTGAGACATGCATCACCTTTTTTGGTATCGGAAAGCCTTGTGAGGCCCTTTTTCGCGCCATTTAATTCGGTGGCTTGACAATCACCAACTCAGCCTCAGCCACCTCCAGCGAAAACCCATGAAGTAAGCCACTGGACTGGGACTATGTTTCTCAGCCGCTGCACATCGACGGAGGAAGGCGCAGGGGTGTAATTACTTTTGGAAGAAGGTAAATGAGACATTCCCCTCCTTCAGTCTCCTGATTCTGATTTTTTTTCTGATCATCCTTCTTGTCTTCTCATTTTTGTACATTCACTTGCATTTTCTGCTACATTTGATTCTAGAAATCGGGCAGCTGTGTGTAGAAATGGATTTTGATCCTAGGTTTGACCACAACGGTTCTCGTCAATCACGCCACATCCCAATACCGGATGTTCCTCCTGTACGTACTTACCTTGCAATACACACAAGGCTTTGACTAAGATTTCACTAGATTCATGACCCGCAAGATCATTACCCTCCGCGCCCTGTTCCTGTAAGTTATTTCTTCCCATATCACAGAAATACATTTTCTTGCGCTAATTTCGAAATAGATTCCAGAACCGCAAGATCATTACCCTCCGCGTCCATACAGCGCCCACCAATACAGTAGCGCAAGTCCATTAAGCTCGCACCCAACCTACAGCGAATATGCCCCGAGCTATCACACATATGATGGCCCCGGACCCGACGACGATTTTGATGCAGAAGCCCAATCCCAGGGTGGATACCACGAGAATTACCAATCTTCACCTCAAGATATTCCCTTGCTAGCAAGGCCGATCTCCAACCAGCACCTCTACAGCGCAAGCGTGGAGAACCTCGCCAGACCTGTATCAACGGGACCATTGTCTCCACCAGGACCTCGTCCGCTGCATCTAGGGCAGTCAATTGAGGAAGAATCAAACCATTTGAATAAAGCCAACTTTGGGCATCTAGTTTACGACTGCCCCGTGCCGCCAAAGCTGTTGAAGAACATTCCTCATGCGCAGCCCCCAGGACGAGATGAATTCACGCATATGCGATATACTGCAGTGACATGCGATCCAGAAGAATTTACAGCGGAACGCTTTACGCTTCGGCCACAGCTTTTCCAACAGCGAAGACGGACCGAGTTGTTCATTGTGGTGACAATGTATAACGAAGACGATGTCCTGTTCGCCAGGACTATGGCAGGAGTATTCAAGAACATCGAATACATGTGCTCGCTGAAAGGTAAGCACAAGGGCTTGTGGGATGAGAATGGGTGGAAGAAGATCGTGGTTTGCGTTGTAAACGATGGCCGTGCCAAACTCGATGCGAGAACGAGGGCAGTGATGACCGCGCTTGGTGTGTACCAGCATGGTGTAATGGTCGAAGAAGTCAACAAAAAGCCTGTCACAGCTCACTTGTACGAATACACCACCAAGGTCGGTATCGATCTCCGCAAAGGCGTCGTGGAAACAAAGCCTGGTATTGGTTGTCCTGTCCAGATGATCTTCTGCCTGAAGGAAAAGAATCAGAAAAAGATCAATTCCCACAGATGGGCGCTTCAAGCTTTTGGAGGGGCGCTCCAACCGAATATCTGTGTCCTTCTCGATGCTGGAACACGGCCCGGCGACAGGTCGATCTACGAACTCTGGAAAGCTTTCGAACTTAATCCGAATTGTGGTGGAGCTTGCGGTGAAATCAAAGCCATGCTGGGAAAAGGCAGAGGTGTCGAGAAACTGCTTAATCCACTGATTGCAGCTCAGAACTTCGAGTACAAAATGAGTAACATCCTCGATAAACCCATGGAGTCAGCATTTGGTTTCATTTCCGTGCTTCCGGGTGCATTCTCTGCATACCGGTTCGTTGCTCTGCAGAACGATGCTAAGGGCAAAGGTCCCTTGGAGAAGTACTTCGATGGCGAGAAACATCATCTGGATGCGGATATCTTTACCAAGAATATGTATCTGGCTGAGGATCGAATTCTGTGTTTCGAGCTCGTGGCTAAACGCAAGTCTCGATGGGTCCTCACGTACGTCTGCTCGGCTCAGGGAGAAACAGATGTTCCTGAAGAAATGCCGGAGCTGATCAAACAGCGAAGACGATGGCTCAATGGCTCCTTTTTCGCGGCTGTATATGCCCTTGTTCATTTCTATCAGATTTTTCGCAGCTCTCACAGTTTCCTGAGGAAGTGCATGTTCATGGTTGAGTTTCTGTATCAACTTATTAGCATGATCTTCGCTTGGTTTGCTGTTGGAAACTTCTTCCTCGTCTTTCAGATCCTCACGACTGCGCTAGGTGGGCCGACGCTCCTTGGTAAGACTGGTGAAATTCTCTCAGTCATCATTGAATGGGTCTACCTGGGGTCTCTGGTCGCATGTTTTGTCCTTTCACTGGGGAATACACCTGATGGTTCGAGGAAATTCTACATGACGATGGTCTACTCTTGGGGAGTGATAATGATGTTTGTGTCTCTGATGCCCCTTTATCTGGTAAATTCTAACGATTTTCAGATATCTCCTCTTCGCTTCTGTGTTCATCACCATCAAGTCTGTTGAGGCAGAAGCGGAGGATGGAGTGTTCACATTCGGAAAACTGTTTACGAACCAGATATTCTTCACTCTCATAGTATCGTTGCTCTCAACCTACGTTCTCTGGATCTTTATTTCGATTGTGTTTCTGGATCCCTGGCATATCGTGTCATCAGTAAATTTCCCTGCCATCCTTCCTATATTTAGGCTAATCAACACTACCTCAGTCACTCCAATACCTCCTTCTATCCCCAACATACACAAACGTCATCAACGTCTACGCCTTCTGCAACACCCACGACGTAACCTGGGGTACGAAAGGCGACGACAAAGCCCCAGCCCTGAAAACCGCAACCGTGAACTCGGAAGGCAAATCCGACCAAGAACCAAACTTTGACGACGGCGACCTCGACGAACTCTACGACACGGCGCTGCAGAAATTCGCTTCCGAAGCAGTTGAAGAGCCCAAGACCACAGATGCAAAGGATGCTGATGAAGGGTACAGGAAGGCTTTCAGAACGTATGTTGTGCTAGTGTGGATGTTTTGCAATGCAGCGCTGGTGGCGATCGTGTTGAATGCCGGGGGTTTGAATAGGCTGGAACTTAATCCGTCAGGGCAGGAGGCGACGAGTGCGAAGGTTAAGACTTACTTGCTGGTTGTTTTGTGGAGCGTTGCTGGGTTGTCTGCTTTTAAGTTTGTGGGTGCGATGTGGTACAAGATTCACAGAATCGTGAGTCCCCCCCCTTGACCTGAAGTATACTCGCTAACATTTGACGTAGTTCCAGAGGTAGGTAAATCGATTGGGACGGCGAGGTAGATAAGAATGTTAAATGGGGAATATTTTATGTTTACACAGCACGGAATAAAATGGAGCTATAGGCGTAGGAGGAATTAAATACGCTGAATGGTCTGTTTTCATGTGCATAGTGTGTATAGTCCCAATAAGCTGCTGTACATTCCAGTGATGTGCCCGAATTGCACTGTAAAGTTTTGTCCTCCGAGGCCTGAAGCATCCACTGCGGCGGTGTGTATAGCCCCACAACCACAGAAGCCGAGTTGGGGGCGGAAAGTGCGGGGTTGCCCGCAGGTGCCTGTCTCCATCCCAATCTCATTCTCAGCTTCTAAACTTTCAGACTTCGAGCTGTGCATGAAGCGCTCCTCGATGTATCCCATTATAGATGCTATTTCGGGATGCATCAACATTTCCTACTCTCAAAAATATCTGGCAAAGATGACCTACCGTGACGGAAGAACCACGTCAAAGGTCAGCCCCTCAAGTCCCACGAATCAAACAATTTGGAAGACAAAGCGATGAAGAACTTTTAAATAATTAGATCTGAGTTTTAGTGTACCGGATATGAATTATAATCTTGATGGCGTGACTCGTGATCACGTGATAGAGATTCATGGGCAGGTTGGTGAGCTACCCACCCCCAACTCTAGCTGGAGCTATATTTGGGGCGCCGATCCCGAGCTTGGCGAGCACCACAAATTATCCATTTAGGTTGTGAAACATTGTCCACATGGACGAGTCGAAATTTTGAAGTGATTGAACCTTCTAATGATCTAGCGAGAATGTCAAGCCCCGCAATCTATCGTGAGCAAAGCGATCTAGTTCTATTATATCTTGAATCAGGATCAAGCATACTGTACCTAACAGATTGACAAGATGGACAAGAATGGTAAAATGAAGTCCAGGTGCAAAGACCACATGTTGACACCCATCACCACCCCCTACTCTGCTTTCGTCACCGCCGCCCAATGCCTCTTCGTAGCCAAAGTTTCCTCCCTCCACAGCCATGCCGCCAGAAGTGTCGCACCAGATCCAATGACGATTACTGATGCAACGTAGCCAGCAAGTAAGATAAACCAGCTTGTCTCGATCATCCTTGCGTTTTTAAGATCTTTGAACAGAAGCACCATCCAAATAAAACTCCCAAGCTCGGATCCAAGAATACCTCCCAACGCTCTTGGGATATCCTGTAGTGGCGAAGCTATTGGGCCCGTGCCGGTAAACCTGAGGTATTGAAACAATATCATCGTGACGAAGGCAGCGGGAATGACGGCACGTCTAATCGAAGGGAGATCTGCTTTCACACGGTAGAAACGATCAAATGGCGTGCTATCTTGTACCAAGCTGGCAAACAAGCGATGCAAGATGACAAGGAAAATGGGCAATACAGGCCAAATAACCTGTAAATTCTTAGATAATTCGGCTTCTGGGTAAGCGGTGACTGTGAGCGCTGGGATTATGGCTCCCAAAATAATCGTTGGAAGAAGTGTTTTGGCATAGTTAATTTGAAGGAGACGTTGATCGAGAGCACCAAATAGTTCGATAGGCGACCATGAGTAGTGGAGAAAGAACCAAAGGCTGGTTACGGTGGTAACCTCAAGGAAGTAGGACATGGTGCTGAACAGCAGAGGCCTATTGCGACCAGGTTAGACTTCTTGGTATTATCTTCAGGGAAAGGCTTACCATAGAATGGGGTTTAGAAGGTACGCCCGTCGACTTCCTTCCATCATTAAAATCGGATACATCGGTAAGTTCAGTATTTGCGAGACGAGTGTGGGCTCCTCCTTGGTTCGCCATGCGTTCGCAGCGAGCAGAAGAAGAGGTAAAGCAAGCACTGCCCTCGGCTTCCGAAATTCTTTTTTACCATACCCTTGAGTTGGATTGAATGCCATTGTTCTTGTGAGAGATCGTGGCGGGATGGGCAGAAATTCTATCCTCTCGGCAGCAATGTATTTTTCACTTTGCGCTGATTCCCCACCAACAATTGGGGCAAGATACTTGAATATTATTCTTGTCGTACGAGTTGCCAGGGTAAAGAACCTCACGTTTCGAGACCCGTATTTGGTAATTAAGCTAGCCCGTGGGCGTCCCAACGCTCTCGGGGCAGACAGATTTCAAAGACTGTCTGCCCCGTAATATTAACGTAATATAAGGCGGTGTAGGGAGGCGTAAGCTTACCCCGCGCACTGTAACCTTATCCACCTAGCTATTGCTTAATCAAGTATAGAATCCATGGTGTTATCAAAGCACATTAGCCCCATATGCAACCTGACTCCGTAGGCTCCTATTTCAGGAGTATATCTGCATCTGGCGGTAAGGACAAGCCAGCGATATCGGGAGGATCGTCGTAATTACAAGCTGTCTGCTCCCACTTATTATTATTAATTGGGCTGGACTATTACTAGTATTATTGCATACTAATTCTCCATATTTTCCTCTTCCCAGTAACGCTTTACCACTAATAATACTAATATAATTAATGCCGGACTTCGTCGTAAGATTGAAACTATAATTGAGGCTATTCCCGAAGCCTATTAAATCGCCCCTGAAGCTAGTTCTATTATCTCCGATCCAAATTCCGCCTTTGCATATCTCTAGGACTAGGCCTTTACCCAAGGGTATGCGTTCATTATCTCGTTATTAACTAATATTCGGGCTCGATTTCTTTATATCTATTACTCCGAAAAGACTCGTAATTTTAGGAAGCTTGGGGAAGATAAATGCCAATGGCTCTGGATAAATATATATTAGTAGGGTTATAAAATGAGCTTTTATATGAGTAAATAGAAAAGAAAGAGGGATAATTAGGTATTTGGAACCTCATAATATATAATTCATACCTATTTACCTACTCTAGATCTATTCTAGCTAGCTTTATATATATCTCGTTATCCTGGTTATCTTGAGGCTATTTGAATTACGATAGCTTATAGAGGCATAATTAGGTATACGGTATTAAAAGAGATCTTATAAAAGCAGGGCTTAAAGCTTAATATAAAGACGTTTTATAATCTCTATTATAAAGAGCAAATTACTAATCTCACTAATTAGGAGTAAGCTCGTTTAATTTTTACTATTTTTTAAGATAAAGGCTTCTATATAATTATTAATAATTTATATATTTACGGCCCCGATAGCTCAAAGCAGGATCGAATTATTTAGGCTATTACTTGGATAAATATAGAGCAAATTTATTAAGGCCGTTGCTTTATCTCTTGGCGTATTAGTTAATTAGATATAACCTTTAATACGAATAATAAGAGAATGCTTCTTAGTAATATAGTTGGAATTAATAATACCGGTTTAATATTTACCTATATATACCTCTTTTATATTAATAAGCTAGCTTGATTCTTTCGCTTTTGCGAGTAGATATGGATAATCTACTTCTTTTATAATTACCTTAGACCTGCTATCTGGTATAGTGATTTTGCTACGGGCTTTATTGCCATAATAGCTAAATCTGCCGTATTACAAGCTATTAAAGCTCGTAGAGCTTTATAGAAGGAGAAGGAGAAGGAAGCTTTTAATAATGAATTAGATAATTTATTTATAGAGTTATTTTTAGAGCCTTTATTTCCTGCTCTTATTAAAGATTCTAGTACCAGTAATATTAATTACCTCGGCTAACTCGAGCTTTCTATAACTATTTATAATATAAAAATGATTCTATAATATTGCGAATGGCATACCGTTATTACTATTAAGAAAAAGCTAATTTAAAGAGGATATAAGGATATGGTTCGTAATAAAATCATAGATTTAATCTGGAAATAAGTAAAGGCCGATTCTATTAATAAGCTAAATTCGTTACGTACTATGATTTTGGCAGTTCTTAAACCCTCTAAATAATTATATTTACTCGATTATTATTAACCTAAAAAGCCCTTCTTTTATTATAGTTATATCTCTTATTATCCAAATCTTGGCTGCCATGCTTTAGTACGAGTAAAGAAGGCTTATAATATTATTTCTATTAGATTAAGCAAGAACTAGCCTATTAGTCATATAATTAAGATTATTTGCGAGCGAGCTAAGGCACTCCTATAAGACTATAACGATAAGATTAATAAGAAGCGTCTCTCTATACTACGACTAGTTAATCGTAAGTTCTTTAAGCTATACCTCTTTAAAATTACGTATTTTGCCCTGGAGAAGGCTATAGTAGAGTTCGTATAAGCTAAATTACTTCTCGATTTACTAGAGAAAGAGTAGCGTAATTATCTCTTTAATACTAAACGTGGGTACCAGGAGAACTACTAATTACCTTTATAATTCGGTATTCCGTACAAATATTAGATGGCATACTTTATATCTCTCGAATAACCCTTATCTTTAATTCTCTTTGATTCCCGCTAGCTCTATAATGGCTCCGAAGTTCTCTATAAATTATGGGAAATGCAACTTAATAATCCTAACCTTAATAGTATAATTAAAGCTCCAGAAGACAAATATACCGGCAATTAATTTAGGGGCTATAGGGGGGAAATAATATTTAATATGGCAGTTTCTATAGCTGAGAAGCATAAGACTCTTTTACCTAAAGATACTAAGTATTTTGCTCTTGTATTTAAGAAGTTAAACGAGAGGCTTGCCATATAACAAGATACTTTATTCAAATCAAAAGAAGCTATACTAGCTCGTCTTCCAGATACCTTAATTTCCCCGAAACTAATATTTATACCGGGCCGCAAAAGAGCACTTACTAGTACGGAGCTTGCTTTTATGGAAGAGGCTAATAAAGCTCGATAACGCCGGAAGGAGGAAAGAGAGAAGGAGCTATAAGAGATAGCTAAATTACTAATAGACAAAGATATTACAGAGCGGTTAAATATATAGCAGGAATTAATATCGGAGTATTTGAAGCGCCTATAATATAAGAAAGATAGAGAAGAGAAAGATAATAGGAACAACTTTAATAATATAATAATTAATCCTACTATTACCAAAAGCTTAACTTTAATACCCTTATAATAAATACTACTACCATTAAAGGTAATACTAGCTTGGGAGGCACTTAGGAATCGCAAGAGATTACCAAGTCCGCCTACTTTAGATATAGATACCTCTTTTGCCTCGAATTACGATCCTAATTACGTCCCTGAAACATAGTATCCGGACGTTAGCTTATTTGTTTCCGATAACGATTTTTACTCTGCCTATAAGGGTAATATTAATACTAACTAATTAGCTCGGTCGTTCTCCTCTTCCTTACTATCCTATAACGAATTTATCTCTTAAATCATGGCTATATAAGCTCTAGAACTTGGAATGCCTTCCGAACCTCCTCGATTAGAAATACTCCTACTAAGTCGACCAGTTCGTGCAAAAAAGCTTATATTAAAGGCTAAATCGCAGGAGCGTTATAAGGCAGAGATAGAGAAGGCGAAGGAGCAAAAGTAGAGGAGGAAACCGAAGATATCGGAGACTTCTTAATTAATGGATCTTCTAATCAGGAGCCCGTAAAGGTAAGTAAGTATAACCTCGTTTCGATTCAAGTACTAATTATATGCTAATTATAGGCGCTCGACTATTCTTTACCTCTCTCTTTACGTCGATTTCTAATGTCAGTTTCCTATATTGATTTCCTATAAACGAACCATATATAAAATGGGGTGAAGGCTAAATAAGGAGAATAGTAGATAATATATTTCCTGTTTCTTAGCGTATAATCTAGTTTTATGTTAATTGCGATATACATTTTTATATTAGTATAGTATTCGTAAAGTAGATTACGGGAAAGTTAATACATGTGGGCTTATCTTGAGATTACGGGGCTTACCATACTAATTAAGATAGCGAGTAGTGCGGAGCGGCAGAATCGAACTATCCGATGATCGTATGGGGCAGACAGTCTTTCGGATCTGTCTGCCCCGAGAGCGTTGGGTGGGCGTCGATGAGCTTCGAAGCTCTTCAAGCAAGCTTCGATATCGGTTGGGTTGGGAATCTTCCCTGAACTGTTGTCCACGAGACGTTTGAGATGGTTGGCCAGAGATGCTACACTTTCGGTTACGAGGGTGGTTCCGAGTCCTGATTCTGGAGTGACCTGTTTGCTGTCAGTGTGAGTACTCGAGACCGAGATTCGAAGGGTCATACTTTGTGCACGCTGTCCCCCACGCATACAATTTGTCCATATGTCCACCCCCTGAGGACTCCCTCTTCGAGAGGAACCAGGACAGCGAGCTCCAAATTCTTCCACAAATCACCAAATTTAATTTCTTCCTTATCCGACACAAGGATCTTGTCGAGTTTGCTTTCGGCGAAGACCTTTTTATCTTCGTCGGCGTATCGGGGAATATTTGGTAAATGGTATTTCTTGTCCAATTTCTCGATCAAAGACCATATAACAGTGCCGTTTTTGAGAACAAACCAATAGCAAGCCGCGTCTCGACCTGCGACGATTTGGACATTACCCGTCTCGAGGCCTTTAACTGGCCCTGAGATACCATACAGGCCCCTCCATTTGGCCGTTAAAACTGTTTGAATATTCCAGTCAGTAATAAGAAGCGACTCGGATATAGAAGACTAACAGTCCTTGTCGCTGCTCGGAATCTTTCCTGGCTCTTGCCAGTCTTTGATACGCCACATATTCTTGCGAACCACACTGTGGACTCCGTCACAGCCAACAACAATGTCTCCGGAGTACTTCGAGCCATGCTCGCAAGTGACAACTGGCTTCAATTCTTCATACTCATTATTGCGAACTCGTTTATTGGCAAGAACCTTGTCCTTGTCGTGGATATACTTGTACAGTGTTTTCAGAACTGCCGGGCGTCTGTGGAACGAAGAAGGGTGAAGGCATCAATTAGGAAGTCTAAAGCAAACTGAAATGGAGAATGTGGGAGCCAAACCTTGCTTCACACAACGCGTAGAGATAGGTTTCATATAAGTACTTTCCAGTGACATCTCGGAAGAGGGCGAACTTTGTCGGCGAAGTCCCGAGAATCTGGGCTGCAGGAGGCTCAATCTAGGTGATCTAGGCGTCAGTCTGGCCTGGTTAGGACGGGACGGGATGGGGGCGTAGAAACAATACTTCGCGGCTGCGTGGCAGAAGAGGTAGGCCCGTAATATTGTAAAAAAGTGACGTGCTCAAGAAAGAATTACTTACCCCTGTACCGCCAACTAAATTTAGACCGATCTCCTCCGTGATTCCAAAAGGACAAAATCTATGTTCGCATGTTGGAGACAATTCGCCAATGTGAGCCCACCAATACCCCCTCCAACAATTATAACTCGGAAACTCGCCATTTGTTGAGGTACCGCCTTGGCTATACGTCTTCGAAAAGATGTCGAGGGGGAACAATCTGTTGTGCGACTTGGGGTTGACTTTAACTTATAGCCATTGGATCTTTACGGGCCAGGGAATTGGAAGCCAGGGGCGTTTTAGGGTTCTGACTGCGCTGACAAGACACGGACACTGCGGAACAGACATCCTCACACTTCGTGCACCGCAGAGGTTAAAACTGCCGACAAAAGCGTAATTAAGGCAAAACCATATACCAAAAACAGTTGATTCGATTAACTAACATCTGTATTACGTTAGATACCTTTCCGATTCCGTGGAATTTATTTTTGACTAAAATATTACGCCCAGGACAGCGCTCTTGACCACATTAAAACGCCGCGCCGTCCAAGACGACAACAGGGAAGTTGAGTGGGCAGCTCGGCTATTCGAAGTCTTCCCACGCTAATGAGGGGCGTTTAATAACACTGTAAGCGAAAAGAAATGGCCCGAGATGTGAATTGAATAGTATTATAGTAAGCGTTATTAGTGTGGCAAGATAGATACAGTCAGAAATATGGTCGAGAAGTATTTAGAATATTCATGTATATGTGGTTGCTGAGGCTCAAAAGTTTGGGGGGGGGGGGGGGGGGAGGTTCGGATAAAGTAACGTCTCCAAGTCTCTTTAACCCTGCGATCAAGAGCCAATTGTAGTGGGATTTGCAATTAGGAGCAAATTCACACCAAGTGGATGTACTACCATAGTCTGCTCCAATACCAGGACGGTCAGACGGCCATGCTGGTAAAAGTGACAGCGAATGAATGTAATATATTATATTACGCCGCGCCCAATTGAAGCGAAACAAAAGGAGTTTTCATCTTCCCTGGGAGTCAACACAGTGCCTGCTGCACTCCAACCAATATAATCGAATCAAACGATGTTGTAGCAATAACTAACATTTGTCATTAATCTCCCTTCAAAATCTGTAAAATCAGGGTGCTTACCTGTAAGCAGAAGGACAGGTTTCTATACCATACCCCATTTTAAAGACACAATTTATGGGACCATTTAGGAGTTCTCGACCTTGCTGAGTCCCTGCCACAAGAGATGAGAAGCAGGCAGTTATCGTCAATCGCAGGCCAGATATGGCTTGAAGGCAAGAGAAAAAGCTCGATGAAAATTCTGTAAGTGAACGCCCGTTCGAGATAATATGGCCTTAAGATGTAATTTCAGCAAGAAGACATTCGCGATTACAAATTCAGCCCGGTGCAGCCAGCAAATGCATACAAAAAAGTGTCTTTTAACCTTCCTAATTGGTACACCGTTCCGCTGTTCTGGGACGGTGGCTCTGCACGTGCTTGCATGGTGAGCAAAGGGTTTTATGACAGCAAAAACCGCCGTACTCGAAAATCGAAGGCATATGTGAATTTAAAGTATATGAGGACTCGTACTTAAGACAAATTTAGGCTATGGTGGATATCGTCTAGAGACCTTTCTCTCCTCATTTCTACGAGAAGATCGACTCCCCAACCACGTGTGACGTGAGAAGAATGTGTTTTCTTGACCGGGGAACAGTATCAAAGTCAGCCATATGATACGTTATATACCCCTCTATAAACTCGCAACATGTACGTTGAGAACAGCAACCGCAAATGGATATGGTAGCAATACCAAGTAAGGAAGCAACAGGAATACCCCACTCCTACTTTGAAAAGCGGCAGAAAGGAGTCAGTTTACGCCACACGGCAACGGCCCATGAACATCGCACCTCCTCACTTCGTCAATGTAGCTCAAAAGTAGTGTGTACTTCGAAGGTAAAATTCTCAGTCGTGGGCCATTGCTCCCCTGCTCAAGAAATATAAATAGCTCAGAACATAAGCAACAATACGTCTCTGTAGACTGAATCAACGAAGCTCGCCGGGGGAGGCGGGGTCGATTGGGATTTCTTCTGGTATGTCTGTGCCCAGCCACGCCTACTCCAGATCTGTTTGCGTTGAGGGGAGTGAAGAAGTGGAATCAAAGTAAGGGTGGAGAAACTGAGGCGAGGAAATGAGGTGATGAATGTTGTTGTCGAGACTTCAAGTTATTGTCAACACCCCCAAACCACACAGAGGGCGAGACCTCGCTGGAAGTGGTAACGTGACGACCGTGTGGGCAAGTGGGTAGCGTACAGAAGAAAAGCGAACATGTGCTCGGAGCAAGGGGCAAACGAAACAAAAAGACGCCCACAAGGTTGTTTAAGTTGAAGGGAAGAAAGAGCCCTTGCTCTTCCACTCAGCTTTTAAGGAGTTCAGATGTGGGTCAGGTCAGTACAATCCATTACACGATGTGAACAAGGTGAACAAGTAAAAGGTGAGAAGAGCCATTGTGGCTCGAACTTCATTTCAATATGCTCTATCAGCATCCTCCCATTCCAAAAACAAATTGAGTTGCCTTCACTGTATCTTATAACAATAATATTATAACAGCAAAGAGAGGCCCGCCCTTCAACAAAAACAACTAAAATTACGACCCTCCATCCAAGTGAGTGGTCTTGCAACTTCGACTTGGAAGAGCAATCAAAATAAAATATCCAAAAAATAATAACAAATTTGTAACTTTTCCTTGTCCTCCACTCCCGCCAATTCGCAGCAAGATCCAAGACTATCCTATCCAAGACCAGCACCGGCGTGAGGTATTTCTGGCGAGACACGGCACTAGTAGCGCTCATAGTCCTTCTCCCACCTCTCCTTCCTCGGGTGCTTGATAACAGTACCAGGTGGGTGATCCTCCTTCCCAAACCTACATCCAAAAGCATTGCACACCGGGTCCTTGCCACTAGTTCCCATACTAACAGACGGACAATGGTGCCCGTAAATACAAAATTCCAGTTCACAGTCCTGACCATTCAGACATGGGTTGAGTCTTGTCAGATATGCAATAGCTTTCAAATCTTCGTCGGTGGCCTTGTATTGGTGCTCGAAACAGCATTCATCGCCCTTGGCGCATGGCCCGCGGAGGTAATGGTTATTGCAGAGTTTGTTGTTTGTGGTTCGGCGTTTGATTTTATCGAGGACTGTTGCGTTGACGGTGATTGGGGGATCGAGACCGCGGGGATTGGGGACCCAGGCTGGCTTTGCAATGGGGGTAATTGGTGTTAGTTTTTTGGTTGTACCGTTGGTTTTCACTGGAACTGGTGGGACGGCCACTGGAGCTGAGGGAATAGCTATGGAGGTCACTCCTGCCCAGGTCGATGGTGGCGTGGGAGATGGAATTAAACGATCGACGAGCTTTTCTGCGCGGAATATGTTGTTGAAATTTAAGACTTGTAGGCCGGTACTGACGAGCTCGCGGACGGTGGGAGGCCCTTCGATAATTGTAATTCGGCAGCGGTCGTCTTGACTGACTACTTCATCGAGGAAGGGGGCGTAACCGGCGTCGTGGGAGATACCTAGAAGAATCTGTTTGCAGTTGTGGTTTCGAAGGTGCCAGCGCATGCATTCTGGGAAGCATCAGCCTTGATCTGCTAGCCTTCAGACAATGTATACCTTTGATCTTCGAATCTGCCCGCTCCTTTCCGTGTCCAACATCGATGAAGTCGAACGAAGCTTTTCCTTGTGTAAAACCTAATGTAAAATCCCTCAAATCATCTGGGTTGCCGAGAGATCCATCCCGTCGCATAGCCTTCGAGAGGCCTGTTATATTTGCACAAACTTTAGCCATAATTTCGATTTCGTCTGTAAGTTCGCTGCAGTGTTCGAGGACGGAGTTTCGAAGAGCGTTGGCTGCCTGCTTTCCCCCTTCGATTCCCTGGTGTATGAGGTCTTCATTGAACTGGACGAGTCAGACATCATTCGATGCGAGGCTGCAGATACTCACGATCATACCATCCCCGTCAATCAAGACCATAATGTACGGATTGCGATTCTGCAAAGATCAGCATGCAGGCATCACTCTCAAAGCCTGCTCGTACCCTCATGGAATCGCAATCGACACTGAACTGGCCAACTCGCTGCTGGGCCAAATTCAACTGCTGCTGCAAATCCCGTCTCGAGCGCCGGGCATCGTCGAGATCTAATTGCGCATCTTCTAGCTCTTTTGCAAGTCTCGCATTTTCAAGCCGCAGACCGGTTTCCATGCCCTCGCAGTAAATCAAAAGATCCTAGAGAAGTCACGACAACGTCCTCAGCAGCTGGAGCACGGCAGCCTGGACCTACCTTTATTAACTCATTGCCGGTGTCTCGCTGCAGCTGCAGAGCTTGGAAGCGCTGGACGAAATCCATGATGGCCATCGGGGGCAGTTGTGCCATCACAGCTCCAGGCGCCGGATGGGGAGAACGATCAGCTGAAAATGAAATTTTGAGGTCGTCGCGTGTTTTTCTAGGGTCTGCAGCGGGAGACGCGCCAGTGGGTCCAGCCAGAGAAGCCTGAAGCCCTAAAGCCAAAAGTGGGATCTCAGATATACTTTCTCTCGCAGGCGAAGGATCTGCTCGACGACGGATCGCATGAGATAGAGATGGAGCACCAGGAGCAGAAAAAGAAAGGCCCCGATCAGAATGAATGGATGCTCCTTCTCGCACTTTCCTTTTGCCAATGCAATCCCAGCCTGGTCACAGCTGGCAGCCCACACCCAGCCGCAGCCCAATTCTGTGCTGTGTCTCGGTTGGCAGCCGCTGGCTGGCTTGCCCTGCCCCAAACCCAATCTGCATCTGCATCTGCCCAACTGAACGGACAGCTGCTGCCTGTCTTTCGGATTTACCCTGGCGCCTCTCTCATGCTGGAGGCACGCAGCAGGGCTGCTGTGTAGATGCGCTTAAATTGCATGGCGAGACGGGGCGTACACGGTAACAATGTGTCGACCCGTCGGTGAGCAATGAAATTAATTGCAGGGCGTAGTTGTGTGGCCTGACAGGATTGGGCTCCGTCACGTGCAAGACACACTTCAATCATCACACTTCCCCAGAAATCCACAGCTCTTTACACAATTACCAGGAGAAGCGTTGGATTTGTTCTCTGGATGCCCAAGATGGGGTTTGATGCAAGCTAGTGCACGATGCCTTGAACTTCCATTGCCGTTCTCGCAGCCTCTGTCAGTTGTGCTTCGACACACTTCACCCTATCACTCCTTCTCAGAACTCCACGACCGCGATGCAGGATGACGAGGAGACCTTTTCACAAATATCCAAGATGATTTTTAATGCCAAGTAGCAACGATGAGTCGAGTTTCCACAGTCTCCTCCACGACGCAGCACCGTGATGTCCGGGAATTGAATTCATATCAAGACTGAAGAGCTCGCCCGTGAGTTCAAGAGACTCTAACGGCGGCAATTGGCAAAGAAAGCTTCTTGCAATGTCAAAGAATTCGTTCGTTTGTCGACGGTCAATATATCTGCCTGCGAGTCTCAACACCAACCTCTTCAACGACGGAAGGCTGGAATTTGCAGCCAAACATGCAAACGTATCTTGTGAAATGTATGACTCCAGCTTCAGCGTTTCTACAATTGAGAAGTCCGTGTGTGCCTTCCAGGTTTCGATTAGCTGTGGCTCGATCATCGCGTGACCGACATCTATCTCGAGACATCGCAGAGAGCCAGAAACTGGACGGGAGCTTTCTATCTGGTCGCTAGATGTAAGGCCCCTCCATGCCTTTGAACGGAGATAACTATCTAGATTTGCCTCCCAGTCTGCATGGAAGATTTGCAGTTCTTTCAAGTTAGGTGCTAGACCGCCTACCATGCTCTGCACTGCTTCATAGTTGAAGTTCGGGATATGCTTGGTGATATAGCCGTGTTGCATGTCGCATTCCACTCGAATGCTGGTCAGTGAGGGTGAGGTGGCAAGCATCAGTTCATATGGATCTGTAGAAGGAGCGTTAAGGCTGCGAAGCTTGAAGGTGTTGATGTGAAGCCTGCACCGGGGAAGGTATTTGTGCAATGCCTCGAGCAGACAGGGTGGAAACTGGCCAGGAAATCCGTATCTCAGATCCATGAGTGCAGGCAACTTCTTGAGAAGACTGGCAAGTGGCTTCCAGGCGTCGTTTGTCTTGTAGGTGGCCATGGCAGGCATGATATCTGACTTGAAAACATGCCGCTGGGGTCCATTGAACAAGCGGTTCTAGTATCCACGCTCCTCAGCGGTGATATTGATGTAGGGTCTTTGGTCTCTAGGATGAGATCCGTCGCTGTCATCCTGAGGCCAAGCGCAATCTATAATCAGACAATGTACACGGCCGAAGCTACGAGTGCGCTGCAGCATCTCATGACTTCGTTGAACATCGCCAGCGATATGGTTGAGAGACGAGACTCCAAATTTGATAGTTCGGAAGAGGAAAACTGTTGCGGCTGCATGAGAGGACTTGCTGGTACGTGCGAAGGCAGCAAGGCTCGAGGTGTGGTCGCGATCAAGGTAGTCGCAGACCCGAATCAGGACAGTGGAGGGTAGGTTGTCGAATGGAGGGCCCATCTTGGGATTTTGGATGAGATACGGAGTGGGAAGGGGGAAGGTGTATAGGAAATGAGTTTGGCGGGGGCGCATCGGGCCTGCAGATGACCCCGCATGGATGCGACAGGGGGGGGGGGGGGGGGTCACGTGAAGACACAAGGTAAGATTACTTTCGTCCTCCATGATCACTTCATAAAGTCGAAATAACCACCATATTTATGTATATTTGAAGTGATCTCAAGTCAGCACGATTGCGCGAAGTATCGTATTACACCCTGCAAGTTATTGAAACTTTGTGATGCGGGTTTGAAGTTTTGAAGTGTTCATGCCAGAGCTCGTCAACAGGTATGGCATCAAGATAACACCGTGTATAGTACGCCATTTAGCATAGTAGTTATAATGAGAGTATCGCGAAAAATCCAAGTTTCTCACTACTTAATAAGAATATGTCACAGATCACGACTATCAACAATTCTTTCCAGTCTTATATCGCTTCCGTGATCAACTGTTGCCTGCTAGAGTTGCGCCACGTGAGCGGGACGCCACCAAACGCACCATCCTCAGCCTTACGATCTTTCGAGAGCTTGTTTTCTTTCCCATCGATACATCAGATCCCTCACGAGCCGGGAACCTTCAACTTACCGTTCTACTTCATCCCTTAGAAGGAAGACACTCGACGCGCTTTGGAGTTCAAGGCACGACTCTCGACCCCGTGTGAAGGACCCAAGATGGCCGAGGACAGCAATCGCCGTAAGGCTGGGGGAATGAATGATTCATCAGATCGCGGTGATGCTAGAACTGGCGGTATTGGCTCTAACGACAAGATTGTCTCGGAATCTAGACACAAACAAGCCATTCCTCCAAACAGCCTGCAACGTGCCACCTCATGCGACTCAATGTTCCAGATTGGGCGGAGGAGACAGCCTCAGTCTTCTCTTTCTCCACTTGTGTCATGGGATGATACTAGCTTGATCAATAGGCACCATGTTGCTCCAATGTCTTATGTCGAGGATTCCGTGTCGATCCATCAGCCTGGCGCTGTTCTGACATCTCGTATCGATGATTCTGCGTCAACCCACAAGCCTCAGACTGCTCCAACATTTCGATCACGTTTTTCTACCTTGATCAGTCAACTTCGTGTTGCTCCAACATCGAATTTCGAAGATCTTTTGGCTGCTATACGGGAGAATCAGCGCAAGACAACCTTGTCTGGTGCTGCGTTGGAGGGGGAGGAGAATCGGCGTCAGATGGACAAAATCATGGCGGATCCAGCTCAGATGAGTGCAGCTCAGATGGGAATAATTATCAGACGAACCCAAAACATAAATGCTTTTGATGGCCCGAGGAGCAAAAAGCACAGTGATGCAGAGCAATTCTCGGGATTTTCTTCGCCAGCAGAGAGTGATTCGGAGGTCAATTTTGCAGAAAATCGTCTTCTACACCCCGATGAATATTTCCAGGAGCTTGATGATCTAGGTTCTGTGGTGTTCCAAAAATCAATGTTCCATTTCTACACGGTAAGTTGCAAATCATGAAATGCTGATAATATCGCTGAATGGCCACTAGGATGGAACAGTTGGCGCCCCATTCGATGGTACGATTCGCTTTAAAGCCTCATTTGTCGAAAATCTACCGTTTCAAAAGTTCTCTTACAATAATATACTTGACTTTTGTCTCAAGGTCGCAAGTTCGGCAAACGAAGATTCTGTCGGGACTATTTCAGGAGTTGGCGGACACTATACCAACCATCAAATGTATCATCGAGCAATCGAAGATTTGAACCACCTCATCGAATGTCGCAACATCATTTCCGCAGTCTGGGAAAGTCTTCAACAAATGAGATCTATTCATTACTGCGAGGAGTTTATCAGTCTGATTGTTCTCGACAGCACTCGGGCTGGTTTAGCCAGGCTCGTGAGGATCGAACGTAGCAGGATAGAACAACTAGCGTTAACGTTTGAGACATGTCTGTTCCAAGTCATGTCTCAGGATCCTGTCATGGTCTTGTTCGGCAATGTCTCTGAACTGTCGAAGGAGCTCACAATCGCGTGTCAAGAGCTGCTCCTTAAGCTCGATGTGATGATTCCAGGCGCTCATGACAGGAAAGATATTTGGCGGTGTGTAGTTCACGTTCTTGATATGGCAGTCCTCTCCTACACTGGTGCGCATACACAGTTCCTTGGCAGTCATACAATTACATCGGTATCACTCCCTGGCCCGTTCCAGGAAGTGCAGCGCTACAGATTCTGCCGAAGATCTTTTTCGTGCCTCGACGGGTTTCTAAGAGGACAGCAAGCGTGGGTACTTGAAGTGGTTCTGCCAGGGATATTTGAGGTCAACCCGCCCCTCTTGTCCCTGTTAACAGACGCCGAGACTTTTGGGGACATATGGGGTCCAATGTGGAAATCTTACGCTCTTGGTGAAGAAGAACGTATCGTTCAGTACAATGTTGGGAACGGGGTTATACTTCCTTGGAAGCCACAATCACCAACCTCATCCGAGGTTCGAAAGGGTGAAGTATTCTGTCACTGGATGGCGGACGAGGATCGTCGTGACGACGAGGGCTCTGCCGATTCAACCACTCTTCGCCCAAACGATACTCTGCTAATTGGAGCCCCTGTAACATTGGCAGTCAATGGCCAATGTGAATCCTCCTTCATTTATCAAAAACAAAGTTTGAGGGATTCTGGAGCTCTTTCAGAACCCGGAACAATAAGGAATGGAAGGATACTAAGTTCGGAGCTAGTTCGAGTGCAAGTTGGCGGAAGATATGCGAACTTTGAATACACTCGAAAACATAAAAGACGAGAACAAACGCTAAAGCAATGTTTGATCGAAGACTGGAAGCACAACTCTCAAAGCCGCAAGGTTAGACATCTGGAGTTCAAGCTGGGTCTAGAGGTTTCGACATGTACCCGTAACGCCCGCCGAGTCAGATTGATTGAGCTACTTGGCACACGGACAATGCGAAATCATTTGCAGAATGGATCTTTCCAATGGCACAGCAAAGACTGTGAAGAAAGCTTCTACTCAGCAATTCAGGACCAGGATTACACAGCCTTTCGTAAGTTGTATGACCAGTCCGAGCCTGAATGGCAAACAGATCTTTCAAATGCAATTGAGTATTGCTTGGACGCATTAAAAGACACTGGGAAAAACGAGAAAGACCTCGAAATGTTTTGGGCACCTGACGAGGAACCAGGCCTAAAAGTGACCTTGAAGTCCACTGAGCTTTCTTGGATTGGTTTCTTAGAAGAAACTGCAACGAGCGGGACACTGGCTGTACTAGAAGACCTGTGCCTGGAACTTTCGATTCTGGACATAGGGAAGAAGTGCCAAAACGCTCATTTTGACCCAAGACATATCGGCAGCAATACTTTTACCCCGGAACGAGCTTGCAAAGGCTCGATACTAGAAACTTCTGTGCAACTCAACCAGCTATATGTTCCTTCTTCTATTAGCGGGGCAAATGGCAGAAGGTTCGGCTATGATAGCTCGCCTCCGAAATATGATTACTTTTGGTCTCTGTCATCGCTAAAAGAGGGTGATAGTTTTAGCTTCGGCCAAAAGGGCTCTTTGGAAGTTATCACAGCATTAAATCAAGGCCAGATACTGGCAAAGTGGATCAAACCCAAGGTTATCTCCAAGGTACTCGGCAGCAGCCAAACGCCGAGAGAGCACTACGAATGCATACGAGACGAGAATGAGAAAACCAGCCCTGTACATTTTTTCATTCTCAGTAACGCTCCAAGCAAAGTATCCTCAGGGCAATATCTATACAGACCATCTTCTCACGCCAACTCGTCGTCAGTCGGGTCTGGGGGGAAAGAATATACTGTCGACTTTTCTAAGGATGGGCAACCTCGAACCGGAATCAATCAAACAGTTATCCCTCAAGACAGACCCGACGCACTGAGAGACATCTTCTACGGCGGGGAAATTACCAACTCGGATGCCCCTGAAAACATGAGTATGTCCGTCAATTGAATATCGGTCACAATCCTACCTTCAGCTCGTTAACTGAAAATAGACATGACTTCACTGCCTGATGCGACGTGACGAGAGAGATTAGTCGGGTAAGAGGACATGGAGGCGGACAAAGAAGTGAATGAGCCTGGACTGAGAAGATAGGTATCACGAAAGCGGCGTTTTGTTGTGGGCGAGGCTCGGTGATTCGGACAGATCCGTCAATGGCGCATAAAAGCACGCGGAATTTGTTGGTTACAGTTCACTCTTTTCTTACCCATTTCCTGTTTTTCTACATCCTCTTTCTTTTATCGTATAAAGTGGTCCTTTGCTTAGTATGAAATGTACCTTGGCTTGGCAGAATCAAACTCTGCTCACGCCAGCATTCCGTTAATTAATGAAAAGTTCAGCGGCGGCAATTTTGTTCAGTTGAAGAAGCTGCGTGTCAGGCGGGATCTAAAACCGGTTCCCGAGCCGACTTTGGATCCTTGCAAGCTTGACAAGGAGCCAGAACAGACCCCTTGATATAATATTACCAACCCTATTAATAGGTCAAAGGAGGTGGCTGTGTCCAAGGCAGCAGGTTTTATATATCTAAAGGCATAGGAAAATGTAATTAATTTCCAGGAGACGGGAAACGGGTCACTCTATAGACTCGGGCTGACTTAGTGCATGCGCAGGGTTCAGGGGGCAGCCCAAGTCAAAAGACGGAAATGGACTTTGGTGAGGTCAGATTTCGTCCCAGATTAATGGGGGAAGACGCCGCTCTCGCGGGCTACAGCGAATGGGCACGAGGGGTGGTAAAGCTTCTCTCGCCCCAGCTCTGGCCTATTTCCCGCAATCTATGAGCTAGTTACTATTCTTTCAGATATTTCTCAAGTGACGCTTCTAAGACAATCGACCCTTTAAGAATATGCGGGACTTCAATGTTTCGGGGCGGAGCGTCCGGTGCACGCCAGGCACTCGTAACTCCCTTACCTTACCTACCATTGTAACCCTCCTTGCAATCATGCGAAATACCGTAACGTTAGACCCTCTCAAATAAATCCAAACCTCCTGGACTTCCTTCTAAAGATACTACACATGAATATATAAAATGTGAGTCCTTCGACACTGACCGCACTGGGAAGACGCTCGGCACATTCATAATCACATGAACTCCATACCGTGAGTGTCTTGTGTCGCTGCAGGCAACATTCAGCCCACAATTTGGATCGGACCTCCCTCCCTACGGTTATCGTGGCATAAAGTCATGCGACTTCAGTGTATGTCCCCTGTGGTGCCTGTAGCTATAGCGCTTAGACGCTAGAACTTGGAGGTCTATGTGGCCAATTCCCTCGAAGCACCACCCATGACTGACTTCTACCCCCCTTTCTCCACCGCGAGATAGCAGCACTGAGCGGAGACGCGAACATATGTATACGCCGCTACCGAATCTGCTCCCGCCAAATGTTCATGAACTACCAGTTCGTACCTTCCACTAGTTTCCACTGGTGGTTCGTGAAAGCGACCTGGCCATACTAACGACCTGGCCAAGTATTTCACATAGTAATTTGTGTAGGAGGTACTTCTAACTAGCTGGTCTGTGCTGGTCTGCTACAAATTTAGCGAGGAACACCAATTTTGGGGGGTTGGCCAGGTCGCTAGTATGGCCAGGTCGCTAGTATGGCCAGGTCGCTTTCACGAACCACCAGTGGAAACTAGTGGAAGGTACGAACGGGTAGAGAGATTCGGCATTCCAACGAGGCCTCGAGAACCTCCTCAGCCTTCATTTGCCTCTACTTCTGGGCTAATTGGAGGCGCCGATTCGGGGATCAATGTCATTTTAAATATAACGCAGCTAGCATTCAAACAACAGGACCTTATAGGCCTTACAGTCCCTTTGTCAGGGGTAGAAAAGCGGATCGAGAGGATGGGTGGACTTCGTCGAGTACTGACTCGGGGAATGATGGTTCTTCCGTCGGAGTTAGTACCAAATATTTGAAGAGAAGTAAGAACGGGCGGGCAGGTAAGGAGAATAAAAAGAAAAGAATGGACGGATTTGGGGAGAGGAATTCAAGGCGGACAGATTTTATATAATTCCAAGACTAATTTTCGGAGATGATGTGGATTGTTCACCCAGATGAGATTGACAAATAAAATGACTGAATTGATTAATGAATCGTTGTTTCGATAGTAATTCGGCATTGGCCAAGGAATTGATTCAAGTACTAATTGAAGATATCTTCGGGATAGACCACTATGACGTGGTTTACGGAGCGATGATAGAGCAGGCTGGAGAAGCAAAAAGAGTTCAGGTTACTAAGTAATATCATTAGGGTATTTAAAAGCCAGGTATAGAGATGGGCTGAGATAAGAAAAGAAGGCAAGTGAGGGTTGCATTCGGTAAGTCAGTCCTGCTGCCTAGTTCTTATTCTTCCGGCTAAAAGCGGGTAATAGAAGCGTAAATACGGCGCCACTTTAGCGGTGAATACAAACCTTAAAAGAGAAGCTCGAGAATATAAGTAGTAGTGTCTGGCCTCTTTTTATATATCATTTTCTGCCACTAAAATCAAGATGTCCGTAACTCAAATCCGTCCTCAATATCCGTACTCCATTTCTCCTGCTCGAAGTCCAAACGATATCGATACTATCCGCAATCTCATCCTTACCTATAGCCAAAGCCAGGTACCAAAACAAATCCTAGTTCTTATATCAGAAGCAGCTTCTCTCCCTGGGCGTTACTTCCTACTATATGGAGAGATGCTTCTTACCCGTACCCCTGAACAGGCTCCAATCGGCTGGGTTGGGCTCCGTCCATTTCCCGAGATATCAGATTCCTAAGCTCCTGTATATAATACAGATATTTGCCAATTCAAACGACTATTTGTTCTAGAGGAGTATAGAGGGAAGGGAATTGGGAAGGCGCTGGTACAGGAAGTTATTAAGACGGCGAGAGAGAAGGGGTATAAGGAGATCAGGATTTCCGCCGAGATACAGCTGGAGAGGGAGATTGAGAGTTATAAGCGGTAGGGTTTTGTGGAGAGAGAGAAGTATTTTGAGGGTACTGAGCCGGATTTGGTGTTTTTGGCGCTTTAGCTGTAATTCTCTGTTTATTCACTTCTGTAGAAGATCCGCTGGAGTTGATCCAATGGTGTTATCCTCGAAAACTCGTAGGGGTAGATCTATTTCGAGAAAAATCATATTTACTTACGGGTAGCTTCGTATACTGAAGTACTCTGGCGCGAAATCGTTTGATACTGCAATATCTTGCAACAACTAACCACCAACCCTCACCTGACCAGCTCAGTCTATATTGGAGAATCCCTCTCTCAACGGCAATTATGGCTTTCTTGGCCCTTACTTAGAGTGCCAAGGGTGATGTATACTTGCCATCTTTTAAGTATCTCGAGATTGAGATACCTGCCATGATCTCAATCCGCAATATAGCGAGCGCCACCCGGCAGCTTGGCGACTTGATGTTGTATTATCCTTTATCTTCCCCAAGTACCGCGAATGAAGACAATACTCCTGAAGTATCTAAAGAGCATCCTACGAGTACGGCGCAATTCCTTTACAGCGAGATCCCTACTAGGGTCAAGTATGAAGTGAAGAGATCGAGTATTCCTGAAACCGACCGTGGACTGTTCGTATAAAACAAGACAGCAGAGGGAGAGATGATCTTCAGTATTGCGGAGCCAATATTCAATATAGTACGTACTATGCGCCAGCTTTTGTTTTAGGTGGATACTAATCTGGAGCAGGTTGAGGACGGTACTATGTCTTGCTGTAAGATATGTGATAATTGCATGTCCCGTAGCGTTATTTGGGGTGATAGGGGAAGAATGTATTTATATAGCGTTCTCGAAGATCCCAGCTTGAAGGTCAAGGTTTCTGAATGTACCGGATGCCACGTTCTCCATTACTATAGCAAGGCAAGTTTCAACTCATGTGACGATGCAAACATTTCCAAAACTGACTGAAATTGGTGTCTGCCCAGGTATATCGAGCGGAAACTTGGAATCATGATTACAAGTTCTAGTGTGGAATACTTGGCGCCTTTAATGACCTCACCAGAACCGAGGGTGATCTGATGGATGCGGTACTGACGGCTTATGCTTGGGACTTCCGTTGCTTGCTTTGTTTGCTGCTCCTCTACGCCAACTGCCAGATCTCACCAAATGAATGGGCTGGAATCCGTCTCTATATCGTCGTCTTGTTTCTACAGAGAAGAGTCCGTATACAATGGAGGAGGCGAAGGTCTTCGTACGTATACTGAAGTTAGCTACTGAATCAGACGTTAGCGAGGAGGAAATCTTGGAGCTGGTCTTTGGAGTTAGTTTCGATTCCTATATTGCGGGCAATTACTAACTGGTCGCGGATGCATCAAAATAAATTGGGCACTCGAACTCCCGTCATGAACTGCACCCGTGGAGTAGCTGATGCTACGCTTCCTTTCTTCGTTACGAAAGGAGTCTGTATCGATCCATTCCTGCCCTCGTAAACCACGACTGCGAGCCGAATGCGACTTGGGTTACCGAACGTAGAGGCGTCTTTGTTCGCGCACTGAAAGAAATCCCAGCAAATACCGAAATCACATCCTCATACCCGGGTGTCCATGGAGACCGCCAATCACGTCAGGAGAAGCTGCAAGCAGTCTGGGGCATCAGTTGCGCCTGCAATACTTGCAAGAAAGCTACACTGAGTCTGAATGGTGCCCTGCGTAAACGAATCATTTCGCTCGCTGGTCTTGGCTTGGAGAAATATCCGATGCGCGAACTACATACGCTAGTGCTGTACTGCTATATGCAGCAAAATGACTACACGGAGGCATTGAAGACAGCGCTCAAACTCCACTACCCAATTGATAAGAAGCAGATTCCAACAGTCTCCCCAACTGACCACTTGGGAATGGTTAGTGTGCTTGTGGGCGCTGTCAATATATCGTTCGAAGTTGACTGCAAGCCAATGCATAACGTCATGCCTCATTTGTATCATCATCAAAGAGAAAGTACATCGAGGGCATAGAAAAAGTGGGTCAGTTCCGATAATGCTGTGAGACGCGAGAAGGAGGTGTTCAAGGAAGATGGGAAAAAGGTCACTCGAGGATGCAAGAAGATCGAGGCTCTGATGGAGATTGGCACGATCAGAGAAGAGAGGCGGGCTTTCGCGGGGAAGATGAATACATTGATAAAGTGGGCTGGCTTCCTACCTTGGCGGAGAAAGATTTGCCTTACGCTGTGAAACTAAGAAGCACTGTTAGTACTTTCGCTATGGAGGTAGCCTAACAAGTGAATTCTTATGAGTAAAAAACCCTGCACCAAGGTGTACCAGCCATTAAATACCCTATAAATTATCATTTAAGGGCAAACTTCCTTAACTTCCTATGATATTAACCTCTAATAACCCTATTGAAGTTATCCCCGTAGTAATCTCTGACTTCCTACTCCAGCCCAAACGCCCGTAGACTTAATTCGATGAACCTTATTATACTCCATAACAGCCTCCACGAAGCACCCAAAGCAACACGCGCTTTCCCGTACAAACCCCTCCCCGCCCTGAAAACCTATCGCGATATTACTCTTCAACCAGTTATCCTGCAGTAACGCTATGTGCGGAAACGGTTCTTGAATGTCAGGATTCAGTAGTATCCGGGGAATAGTAGCGTAAGAGCTCATCGTCCATTTCATTGCTACATCGCTGAACGTATACGGGTGAACTTGGACTTGTTGTTCATCGTGGACATCGTGGGTGCAGCAAGGCCGTCGCGCTTGGATCAGTCCAAGGTAAATATCTGCAATACTCAAAGCGCGAATCGAGCCTTCGGTGCGGACAATCATCATCTGACTATACAGATCTCCGCCTCTAGGAAATATGGCGTATGTGATATCGCACGAGGACTTATCGTCTGAACCGCCAGAGACAAATTCTAGTTGGGGGCTTTCCTCGCCGTCATCATCTCCTGCAAGAGTATCTTCCGCTACAATCACGGCCCACTCGCTCTCCCGCGAGGTCAAAAGGGAGACCAGTAATGGCAGAAGTGCTAGTCGGAACCACGTTTCCCAATTTATACAGCGTAGTTGAATGAGCTCCACAAGGAACTGCATGGTGACTTTGATGAGACTGGAATAAGAGTCCTCGGCCCTCAAGTTTGAGATGTCTTTGGCCCCTGCAGCTTCTGCCAAGGCGTGTCCCATCAACAACATGATCTCTGTAAACATATGAGTTTGAAGACAACCATCATTAAGCCGATCATATTGCAGGGTCCTAAACTCTCTAAGGTTTTGCTCCTTATTCGAATTACAACCACATTCACAGCGGTTTCGGGCCACCGCCAGTGCGTCGTAAACATCCGGATACCGCAAGATTATCTCATGCGCTGGATATTCAACTCCCCCTCTCTTGATATTTTCCATATGATCAACGTCGTCCGGCCCAAACGCAAAAGGTACTATCTTGTCGTTCCCAAGGTTCTGTTGAAGAATGGTTGGACTTGTCCGCACCCACCACTTGAATTTTCTACCCTCCTTGACTTGAGGTTCAAAGCTGAGGGAAGGAAAGACTCCAGAGACTGTGGTATCAAACAGAGATGCAACAATTCGTTGTGCGGAGCTCAAAGCCATATTGAGCTCCTTCTTGTTCAGGGAGAGATAAGTTCCGCTGTGAGGGTTTGCGAATCTGTACAAAGGAATACGAGTTCCAGACGTAGAGCCTGGTCCCATATGACGGGCAAAACCGTTATTCCAAGATATCTTTGGGTCTATGTCGAATGTCGAGCCATAGCGTCCACCGATTCTAAAGCCCACGACATGATCCGCATCCCTACAAAGCCTTTCGGAATTTTCGGTAATGAGACACCCATTAACGGGGGTTTCAACAACGAAAAACGTGAGAATCTCGGGAGACGTGCCGAGAGCTTTATCGAAAACCAATTTCCCCTGCATGCTCACCACCAAAACGCCATTCCAATGATTGTAGATCCAACACAAGAGGTCAACCGCAAAGTACTTTACTTGAACGACGACATCTGAACCAATTCTTTCCTGGATATCATGAATAGTACGAGCGAGATCTGGGTGCTCCATACAATGCCCGACATACTTCTCAAAGACTTCCGGAAGGGGGCTGATTTCTAGTCCAGCGTTGACCGTATGCAAATGAATACTATCTGTCATCTTCTGAACCACGGCCTGAATCTGAGCTGTGGCGAAAAATAGTCTCGATGCGCGATGCTCGTTGGGATATGCATTCATCAAGAAAATATCAATGAACGTTTTCTCAGCAGCTTTTGACGGGTGATATTTCAAAATCACAGCCTCGGTCGTTGCTACCCAGCGTAGTTCCTTATCTCGAAGGATGGTACTGCCCAAAGCGCCTGGCATGACAAGACGGAGGCCGAAGAGCTTGCTTGCATTGACCTGGAGTTGAGCGAGAATCGCCTGACCATTGGGATTCGGATGTGCGAAATTCTGGTAAGCCCGCATAGTCTGGAGAAATGCCTCTTCGTTAAGACGTTCTCGAGCCAGCCATTTCACCACTTGTATTCCTGCAGTGGTTCCTGCTTCGGCTACGAGACTGATGAGATCTAGACCCCCGGATTTGCCAATGGCGGTGGTGAGATCCATGGCTCGAGCGGCGGCAGCCATCTGTGCGGCTTGTAAAGATGTGCCTGACATTCTGAGTACCTTTCAAGAAAGAAGATTCTAAAAAGAGATGAAATCAGGAATTTCGGGGAAGATTGGGAACTGGGTTAAGAAAAATTCGCCAGGCTTTTTGGGATCAGGCTGGGAGAATGAAAACACTGAGACATTCGGGTGGTTATGGGGGCACCTGTTAAGGCTGTGTAACAGAAGCGACGGGAAAATGTAAAACGAACCCCCCCCACCCCCCCCCGGGTGTCGATTGGGGGCCGGACTAACCCCAAAGCAGAGAGAGGAACACCAAAAAATCTAGTTTCCATTTAAGTTTAATTTACTGTAACAAAGAATTATTGATTTTACATTTTGCTGTGGGGGGGGGGTGGGGGGCCCACAGCTAATATACTTAGTCACCTAAAATCTCAAAATTATTACGGATTAATCAACGAACATGAATGAATTCAGAAAGAGAGCTTAGTCTAAAGGATTATATCCATATTCCTTCAAATATATATTCTCGAGATTAAACCCCGCACCTTGTCCGCTCCGCTATTAACGCGTGCTCCATTTAATCAAGGTCCGCGAACTAGCGATTTAAAAGTCCGAGAGTATCACGGAATTTTTAAGGCTGAAAGGAATGGAAGAAATTTAAAAGAATTTAGATGATTAATAATATATTATTTTTGAAGTATAGGATAATCGAATATTAGACCGAAAGATATTATACCCGAAGCGACAAGCCACAATCATCGGGGAGAGGACGTGTAGTGCGATGGTTGGTTACGAGCCTGCCAAGATAAGTCTGTGCGCTTCAGGCTAATTTTCAGGCTTCGGAAAACCAAAGTCACTGTGTCGAACCCAGTCAGCTAAACTCCTGAGGTTTAGCCTTACCTATAGCAAGCACAGGTGTAGCGGCTAAGCAGGGTAGAAAGTGGTGGTTCTATTAAGGATCTAAAGCTAAGGAAGAAAGAAAGAGAAGGAGAGAGAGATCTACGGGTAGGGAGATATAGCTACAGGTGCGTTGCGGGTGTATTTCAAGCTATACCCGTTTACGGATAGTCCCTGGTGGACCGTGAGAGCTGTAGCGGGCCGTAAGCACGTGACCCTGGGAGCGTGCCCGTGACATTACCCCCCCCTTCAAGTAGAGCTAGCCCTCGAGCTCTGTGGCAGCTTGTCCTCGTCGTCGTGGTACTCTGGTTCGTCCGTACCGTCTTCCCAGCTCCGTAACCAGTCCGCAAGGTAGCGTGGCGGGCCTGGCAGCCCCTTATTCTTGTCGTGGAACTCCCGAAGCTTATGTGAGCAGCCAATAAAGTCGGAGGCATAGTACCAGGCGGGATCCGGTTTGCTATTTACCCACTTAACTCGGTACTATAGCTTTCCGTAGTGCCCCCGGGAGGCTAGTATCTCGTCCACGTCCCATTCCTACTATCTATTAACCACGATCGGTAGGCCTGGTTCCTGTAATTAGCCCGGTAGCAGGTCATCTACAGCTTTACGGAGCTTATCTGCCAATATGACTAGATAAAGACGGATAGACGATGAAAGGTCGATCCGGAAGGCGTTCCCGACTTGCTCTAGGATCATATACGGACCTGCCATTTACTAATCTAGCTTACGGCTCGGCCGGTCCATATTCCAGGTCTTAGTAAAAACATAGACCTTGTTCTCTACTTGGAAGTCTACAGGTCGGCGGTGCTTGTTTACCTATACTCGTTAATGCTCTTGGGCCTACTAAATTCTATTCCGGGCTGTCTCTTATGCTCCGTGCATTCTCTTAGTAAAGATAACTGCTTCGTCCCTAGAAAGTTACTTGCGGACGCTTATAGATTCGTCCATAGCAGGCCGTAACTAGTCAAAACTAGTACGTGAAACATAGCCTAACTCTATTTATATTAGTAATAAAGTTATTAAGTCTTAAGAAAGCATAGCTTGGGCATAGTCCATAATAGGTATTAGCTCCGACCAGTTGTCCTAGTAATAGTTAATAAACGGACGGAGGCACTAGTCGATCCACTAGTTCATGTTCTCTATTTGGCCATCCGTTTAGGGATAAGCGGCCATTAATAGCTTAATCTTAGTTCCCAGAATCCTATTAAACTCCTACTAGAACTCCGAGACAAATTACGGACCATAATCTGAGATAATAGTATCCGCCGGTCCATAATAATACCATACCCGGTCTAGATAGATCCGCGCAATCTCTTTTGCGTCCATATCCTTCTAATAAGGGACCGAAATTAACCTCTTATTAAGCCGGCAAACAAAGACAATTAGCATATTACATCCAGACTTATCAGGGGAAAACTCCTTAAAGTCTATAAAGATGTACTACTAAGGGCGGTCGGGAATCGAGAGAGGTTTAAGTAGTCCTGGAGGTCGGTTCCGGGACACGTAAGAACGGCGGCAAGTCTGGTAGTTATTAATATAATAACGGATATCTATACAAAAATTCGGCTAGTAGTAATAATTACGGACAAGCTAAAAGATCTTAAACTGGCCCGGGTAAGTAATCGAGACTTGGTTATGGGCCTCTCGTAATAGACGGACTCTTAGCTCGTTCTTTTCTGGTACGGCAAGCCAATTATCAAATAGTACTAGCCCGTTATAGATAGCCCAAGGCAAGTTTGCGTTCATTACCTTCTCTCGGAAGGGTTCTAGCTCTATAGCAGATCGGTTCACTTAAAAAAAATCATTAATCAGGTCCCGGGACTCTTTACTTGCGCTTACGGGTATAATCTCTACGATTAGATCGAGATCGAGGTCCGTAAGGATCCGTGAGTCGAGGTTTTCGGGCTATAAGAGAGTCTGGGAACAAATAAAGATAGCGAGCGCCCGTTAATTATCTAGTTCGTGGTCGCAGCAAGTAAGGAAGTCCGCTCGGTTTTAACTACCCGGTTTATACGTAATCATAAAATTAAACCGGGAGAGCGTTTTGGCCTAATAAGCTTAATAGCCCATTAGTACTTTAGTTATTATAAAATACTCTAGTACCTTATAGTCCAAAACAATCCGTATCCTAGTAAGTATGCCTTCTAGCTCCGGGCACCAGGTCTCCAGGGCTCTTATAATAGCCAGTATTTCTTTATTATATATCAGGTAATTAATTTCGGCCGAAATCATAGTCTTAGAGAAATAGGCTATAGGGTACTACTCCCGGTTTAATTATAGCTATAAAAGCACTTCCCCGAGAACTCTATCTAAAGTATCCGTTTCTATTATTAACTCGTATTATGGGTTAAAGTAAACGAGTAGTAGCGCATTAACTAGTCTTGCCTAAAGCTTAGTAAAGGCCCTCTAGTAATAGCTATCCTATAGAAATACGTTCTCTTTCCGGGTAAGTACTATTAACGGGCATATAACCCGTTTATAGTTATAAATAAACTTCTAGTAAAAATTACAGAAGCCCAGAAATAATTATATGCTACGAATAGTAGTCAGAGATTACCATTTACGGATCATTTCTGTCTTTTCCGGATCAACTTCAATACCTTCCGTACTTACGTAAAAGCCTAGGTACTTTATATACTTAATACTAAACTCGGACTTCTTAATATTAGCCTATAAGCCAGCCTTGCGGAGCCATAAAAGTACTTTGCGGACGTGCTCCTGGTAATCAAGCTCGTTTTCGGAGTAAATCAGGATATTATCTAAGTAAGTAATATAGAAATCATTAAGGTAATTAAATAGGACGTCATTTATAAATTACTAATAGGTTACGGGCCTGTTAGTTAATCCGAAGGGCATGACTTTATACTTATACGCTCCGTAACGGGTCTAAAAGGTCATAAACTCTTTAGAATCAGGATTAACTCGGATCCGGTAAAATACTTAACAAATATCTAGCTTAGTAAATACCTGTGCCTTTTATAGCCTAGCTAGGGTCTCCTCAATTAAGGGAAGTAAGTACTAGTCCCTATAGGTAAGAGTATTAAGTTTCCGGTAATTAATACAGAACCATAGAGATCCGTTAGCCTTCTTAATAAAGAGAATTAGTATTACGAAGGGTACTTAACTAGCTTTAATAAAACCTTTATAAAGGTTCTCTATAAGATATTACTTTATGGCTCATAGTTTGTCCGCTAACTAGTAATAAAGGAGGCTATAGAACAGGTCATTCGCATTACCGTCTATAAGCTAGATCTTGTGGTTATACGAATATTACGAGAAAAGGGCATTAGAAGCTGCCTTAGAAAAGACGTCCGCGAGATCCTAGTAAGCTTCTAGAAGGGTTTCCTATACCCGTAAATTATCCGCCTTATTTATAAGTTCCTTCTCAAGAAGATAATTAATTTCGTAGAGAGAAGTACTAAAGATAATAAAGCTAGGGACTTGGAGGTTCCGGCAAAAGCCAGTAGCGCCAATAGCGGCAATATTCACAGGAAGTAAGTCAAGATTCACGACTTTCGGATGCCTTACGGGTTATAAACAAGGTTCCTGGCTCGCGAGTACTTGATTTATTACCCGTAAGTTATTAATACGGTCCTAGTATTTACTACGCTTGGGGCCTATAAGGCTACTACTCTTCCGTTTCAGGATCTGGATAATCGAGATCCTTAGGGGGCTATTAATAGAGGCAGTTTTGGCCCGTAATATATTAATGGCCGCTCCATATGTGGCATGCTCTATAGCCCGGTCACAGCGGTCCGCGTCTAATTAGTAATCAGCCCGCACAGGCTAGTATTAAAGGGCCTTCGGGTCTAATAGTCATAATTAGACCAGGTTTGGGAAGTAAGGGAAGTTTACGGGCCAGACTAGCTATTACCAGTAAGGGTTAAGTTAGATATTAAGATAATCGAATTATATTTAGCTAAGGATAAGGTCTTAATAGCCAGTATTAAGGAGAACTATAGGGATATTATATTATTTACGGCCATTAATATAAAGGTAAAGAATAATATATTATATAGTATCCTAGTAGCCCTAGCTATTAAAGCCTTAAACCATAATTAGTTTTAGGAGGATATAAAGTAGTAATAAAAAGAAACGGGCAAGCCATTAAGCATATTAAGTATTAATTAATATAAAAGTATTTGCTCCGGTATTAGCTAAAGAGAGGGTTTTAAATCCGTATCTATTAAAAACTAGAGTATAGGAGACCGTAAATTGCTTTTCTCTAAGTAACTAACTGAGATTAATAGCTAACTAGCCAGGATCTCTATATAGCAAGCCTAGAAAAGAAACTTTATCTAGGCTTATTCTTTTTCCGAGTCCGAGTCTATTCCAGAAGCGGGTTCTACTAGCTCCTTAATATCTATACGGGGCTTGGGGTCCTCAGGATAGTCCTTAGCAAAGTGCCTATACTACTTATAGCAGAAGCAGATATTATTAGAGTCTTTACGGACGGGGGTTAACTCTCTTACGGGTCCGTAGATTTTCGTTACGGGTTTCGGAGAGCCAGCTTGTGGGAATACGGGAGCGGGGGCAGTCGAAATAGGCTACCGGCCGGGTAAAGGAGTTACTACGGGCCGAGTAGCTAGGCGTATGGTCCGCAACTAGGTTCAATATTATTAGAGACATTATAAGTTCTTATTAACTAGTAAGCACTTGTAAGCGAGTACCTTACTAGTAAGGAAGGTATCCAGGAATAGTAATACCAATTATTATAGGCTAGGCGTAAGTTTATTATATAGGTCCGGCTATAAGTCGTCCATAAGAATCTTCCCTATACCCGCGAGATAGAGGAAACAAGTATAGAAATCTGAAAAGAACTCGTCTTCTCTTATAAAGAATTTACGGAAATCAATACGGGCGTCTTATGCCTCGAACAGGTTCTCCAGGATTTCTGCTAGGTACATAACTATCTCTATAGCGGTTATAAAGGGTTCAGGACCTTTCCGGTAGCAGGGGGCCAGGTATTTCTGGGTAATATCGGCCGTCCGGTTAAAGATATAGGCTATCTTGGCCTGCTCCGAGTTAAATATACGACTATTAATAAGGAACTTGTCCTTAATTTGGATACGCCAGTTCTTAAAGGAGGGCGAGGCGCCATCCGTAAGGGTATCGGAATCCTTGAGTTTAACTATACCCGACTTGCTAGATCCCTCTAGTACTAGGGTGCTTCGTTATGAAGCCGTACGGGCCTCGTCTAACTATTCCTGTAGTTAACGGACTTGTTTGCGGGCCGCAGCGAGTTACTAGGCTTACGTGGGTTGGTTTGCTGATATTATTTTAATAGATTCAATGATCTGGGTTCCGGAGGAGGGGGTCTGGACGCCTTGCTCTGGATTGCGGGTGTAATTGCGGGTACTCGGGGCCATATACGGCGCCGCGGACATTTATGGATGGTCTGTATGATCCGTAAACTCTAGTGGTTGCTTTTCGTGCGGTAGATATTCTATTCCTTCCCAGGAGCGGTAGTAATTGCGAGCTTTAGATAGTGTGTCGAACCCAGTCAGCTAAACTCCTGAGGTTTAGCCTTACCTATAGCAAGCACAGGTATAGCGGCTAAGCAGGGTAGAAAGTGGTGGTTCTATTGAGGATCTAAAGCTAAGGAAGAAAGAAAGAGAAGGAGAGAGAGATCTACGGGTAGGGAGATATAGCTACAGGTGCGTTGCGGGTGTGTTTCAAGCTATACCCGTTTACGGATAGTCCCTGGTGGACCGTGAGAGCTGTAGCGGGCCGTAAGCACGTGACCCTGGGAGCGTGCCCGTGACAGTCACTCACTTTACTTTAAATTCCCTAAATAACCACAAAGCATTATTGTTTATTATTTAATACTATAAGTAAAAAGAAGCTAAAGTGTATTATCTGATAATAATTCGGGCATTTCTTATAAACTTTAAAAAGTCAAAAATTTCTTACAGGGCTCGTTAGTGAGCAAATGGCTTGAAGCGCACAGACTTATCTTGACAGGCTCGTTAGTCACAGCGTCTATGCGTACCCACTCATTCTTCTCTAATGAACGTCCTCGAAAACTCCCGCTTTCTAGCAATGTAAGACCTTAACCCGAGCACTTGCTTTGACATATTAACACCCTATATAAAAAGCGCAACTTGTCAAACTCTTTCTTAACCATATACCATTTATAATCAACTCAGCCCGAAAATCGTACAATTCTTGGAATTAAAGTCAGGCGTCGGCCCTTGTCAGCTCAGCTCAAACACACCCGAAAACTTCATCATGGCTTGGAAGGATACCGTTTCGATAGTCTCGTCGATTTCAGAATCCTGGGATTCATTGGAATTATAACTGGGCTTATTCCCTCTGTACTGAGCCGTCGAAGCGCGCCAGAGAGAAAGACGCAGGACAAGTCTGCTGCGTAATTATAGTTTTATTATTTCTTATATACTGTATTAATATAATATTATAAATTTTTTTTAAAAAAAAATTGTAACTTGTTTCCAAAAATTATAACTTCTCTTATATTAAATTAATTATATATACTTTTTTAGAGAGCTTTATATAAAGTTTTATATAATAAGTTAAACTAGTTTATTATAAGACTAATATTAATAAGAGCCTTAGAAATATTATATAATTATATTAATTTAAAAATATAATCTTATATATAAGTTAAGAAGCAAAATAAAAGTCTATTACTTAAGTAACTTAAATTGAGTTAAGGAGAGTAGAATATAATAGAAGATCTTTACAGACAACTATGGTCTTTAGTAACTACTTCTGAAAGAGGGAAAAATTCCAATGTAAGTTAAGACACAACTTGCTACAAGCTTCTCATGACTGCGTACACCTTTAACCCACTTTTTCAGGGCGCGACCGGGGTAACAAAATTGACTATTTTTATCCAGGTCGACTGCTCTTTTTCTTGCAGCGGCTAGCCTCGACAATTCTATTTCCTCTATCACGCAAGCACTCCTCATAGATATTTGCTATGAAATAATGTTTTCGATAGTTTCTAACCAAATCAAGAATCGGTGGTCTTTATTCCGAGGTGAATAGAAATGAAAATTACAAAACGGGAAGGCTGGTAACATGCCTGTCCAGCCCTTTCAACTCTCTTGTCTACATTCATAGCCGACGTAATTTTGCCTTTGAATGTTTTGATAAGGACAAACGTTCCTCATTTCCATGATAGACGCCATTGGACAAAATCTCAGAGTTGTGGAGTTCGCGCAGCCACGAATTCGAGTTGTGGCCAATATCCAAAACTTCATTCAATATTTTCTGAGCGAAAACCCAGCAGCCACAGCTTTCTATCCTGACTGCACGAAAACACAAATGATTTTTTGCACAGCTGACAAGTTAGATATGCGAGTGCGATTAGGAGGTCAGGGCTGATTAACTAGTTGGAAAGAATGATGATGAAGTTCTGATTGACTGCGTGGAGGCAGTAAGCAATCAAGATCACAACCCTCGATCTCGCTATCGTATCTAAATGCGATTCAACAGGATATTGGATCAAGTGAGCGGAGAGCGGCGATGTAATGACTAATCTTTTTGCAAGTTTTACAGGAGTCTGCCACATAACGAAATCTGCGGTTGCTCAGGAACTATCGCTTTGAAAATTATGGGTTTACCCCAGGATATGCGGACCTCAATATCCAATCGCCTTGGAAGGGCACTAGATTTATAGAGAGTGGAAAGAGAACTTAATGCAAAGTAATTCAATAACCGGGGAGATACGAAAGCGCCGGTATTTCCCCTTGGCTGGGAGTTCCAGGGCACGAGATCGATTCGTGCGAGATAAGAACAGTTTGGTGGTTTGGCATGTGTGCCATGGCTGCCATATAAGGAGTTGATGTCTTAGGGTTTGATCTTATTAAGAATATTGCAGGCAACGATTTATTCTCGCGAGAGGTGGGATAATCAGTTTAGAACTTTTGAACTCAAAGAGCACATGGCATCATGACAAAGTCTATTTCCTTTGACCAAGCCTCTCTTTTATAGCGCCGTGCCATCGCCTAAATCTAACCCATACATTGACATTGCCCTTCACAGCTTACTGGACAAACTTTTGACCAACTTCTTGGTATCCCTGTTGTCTGTTTTGTGGTGCTCGAAACATTCAGTATCCATAGTCGGTTTCTCCTCGAGTCCTCAAGCGTCAATTTCCTCCAACCCTCCAATTGTTTAGTCTCAGCTACTTTCCATTGTGTCATCTCCAAAGCCAAATAGTCTGCGATGGTTTTTCATAACACCGCCACTTCCTCCTGGTGCTGTTCCTCACGATTCAAGTCTGGTTTCCTGATGTCAGGGAATGATATTGGAGATTTCTCCCCGGGGATGGAATGTACATCTGGGCGCAAAGTACGCAGTATGTGGAAGGCTCGTCTTTAAGCGGTCGCGTAAAACGGAGCCTGGAATTGTACACTGCTATCCACATCAGGATGCATCCTGTGTTCCACGACTGAAGCTGGTGAGCAAAGCGTCGAGATATTCTAAAAGTTGTGCCTCCAGGGTGAGAAAAAATCATGATGCTTTGATGTTCTTTTGGTCACGCTACCGGATGGTGCGTCTAGATACATCAAGGTAGGTGTGTCTCTGAATTGAGGCTTGAGATATCATCCAAGAACGCGTGAGTCACGGTTCTTGTAAAAGGGACGAGATGTAATGGCTGCTTCTGCTTCTTAGCGATATGACCTAAAGTCGGGTTGAAGTGCGATGGCTTTCATATGTGCAACCGCGTTTCTTGAAGGAATGGTTGTGATTTGGGAGTCCAAGAGCATCAAAAGCACCAAGTTGGTGAAAAGTCACGGGCAGAGGTATACCAGAGCAACGGCTGCGAAGTTCCCACACTATGTCTGATCCCAATACTTGGCAGTGGCAAATCTTTACCGAAGACATCGACCAAGCGCAATAGATCTTGGGAATGGTCGAACAAGTAGTAATCTTTGCCCAGAAATTCCTCGTTGGTGACCACGTTGGCGTTCTTGTGAGCCATATCTGCAGTCCGGATACCCCTGACCTTGAGCCCCGACGTTCCAGAGCGAGAATTCTCCAGCAGAGTGTCCCACAATGGTTCATACGATTCTTTGGGATATCCAGTGACGTGGGTTGCCACAATCGCGACCTCTCCTTGCTGTGGGCTTAGGCTCACCTGACCAGCGACCCCTTGCTCAAGCCGGCTCAGGCGCGACCCAGGTCTGCTAAGGTCTGCTCATCCTGTCGATGCATCTCGCCAGATGTTGTTAACTTTTAGGAAAGCCTCCCCGCCTCGGCCAGCCAGGGGTCCAAGTATAAAGCATTTGACGGGATGTAGGATCTAGTAAATCCGAAAGCTAAAACCTTTCTCAAGCTGACAGGTCTTGGAGCAAACGCTATGTAGGGCGAATAGGCCTTGTCCTAGCTCTTTCGGCTCGAAGGCATTGTATTGCGATGGGATAGGGTTCGAAGGCTCAATCCATGGCAGGAACTTGGATATCACAGAGCTGGTCTTCTTCCAAAACGGTTGTTTCGCCTTATCTCGTAGCAAGGTCTGCAAGGCGTCGACATTTTTTGGTTGCCTAAGGCTAACCAAGTCCTCCAGGGAAATTGAGAAGAGTTCTTGCTTAGGTGGTTCGCTCTTTTCCTTCCCTCTGCTTGTTATCTCCCGCTCGTTTTGGGAAACGACAAGCTCCCCAGGATTGGATATCAGGAAGAAGATGTCTGTGTCAACCCCAAATTTTAAGTACTCTTCTAACACTAACGAGCATTGCTCAAAAGGTGACGCCTGTCTTACGGCACTACTCGCGAAATAAAAGAGGAAAAGCATCCAAACGGTTGCTGTTTTCGCCTCCGGATTGGGCTGGTCCTCTAGAGTGACCTGATCTTGAGGATCTGCGCCAGCTTGTAATAGAACTCGCACCGTCTCGGAAGCATCCCCGAAAGATGCGGATAGGAGCAAGGTCATTTCACCGTTCCCTTTTGCCAAGTTGGGATCTTCCGATAATTTTAGAGTAACGTATTCGTGCTGCGAATACCATGCTGCGAAATGGAGATAAGAGAATTCGGCAACCCCGACCAGGTAAATGTTCCCCCATTCGTCATCTCTAAAGCTTGTGCCCCAAAGAATTGACCCCGAATTTACCTCTATTTCCTCGGGGTGGGAAAAGGGTAGTTGGCGATAGCTATTTAGGACGTCGCTAGCCTCTTTGGCAAAGTTGAACGGAGCTTTGCGACCTTCCTTGGACAGAAAGAGGTGCCATTTCAGTTTCCATTTCCAATACCTATGACAGCTTTCGAAAATGCACATAATCAAAATATTCCCAAGTCCGAAATAGGATTGCTTTGTCCTCACGAACTTCAATTCAGCGAGGGACAAACGAAGGTAGACCTCACCAAGATTAAAGTCAGGAAGCCGACCTTGGAATTGACGCTGCCTTGAATCGTCGCGGAGGTAGTCTTTAACAGTGCGGTGGAAGAACTGAACTTTGTATCCGAAAAAAATGTCTTCGGGAGCGCGAGCGTCAGGAACCATCTCAAGCAATCCTTTAGATAAGCTATCGAGTTGCGGTCGTAAGTCGCTATGACGTTTCTTGATCTCTTCATCTGAATATCCTTGAGTAGGAGAGCTGAAAGGAAAGTTGGGGTCGTTGAGGTCTTCGAGCCAAGAGTAGGCGAGAGCATTCACCGAATCTCCGGGTGGGTCTCCAGTAGCAATGTAGAGCATCTGATCCGACCTTTTACGATCACTTGGTTTGATAGTACCAAGTAATTTGGCAAACAATTCATCCAACTCTTTTGGAATTGAGTTTAGCTTCTCTTGAAGTGCGGGTTGGGAATCGTGATGTCCAACGCCTTCTAAAAGTGAACGAACCACAAGACGAGCCCAAAGAAACACGCCATTTGCCGTCTCGACTATATCTCGTACTAGATCCGTATACATATCTTTGACACGGTCGAAATTAGTATCCTTTTCGAACATTGCAGAGGCAAAACGGCTAATATCGGCCCGTGTTAGTTCATGGAGGCGAAGTCGAAAGTTTGGACTGTCAGAGAAAGTATGCATAAATTCCGTGTGCGGTCGACTACTCACGCAGATTTTAATATCAGTGGAGCTGGCCCAATTCCGGAGACTATTGGCCAGTTCCCAATGTTCAAGGGAATCTCCCTCGTATTCATCGAGGCCATCGATGAAGAAGCAAAGACGATGCTTAGGGAAAGTCCATTTGCTGATCAATTTGTCGAAGGCGGCTTTGATCTCTGCAATTCGAAATGAAGGGCTTTCAAACCTTAATATCGCCGAATCCAACGCGTCCCACTCTTCAGGGAAAATCTCTGGAATGAGGCCTGGGTATTGTTTTAAGGTTTCAAAGAGAAGGGATCTGTAGAGTCCCTCAAGAGACGTTTGAAGCTTTTCCCCGGAGTTCCAGAAGAAGAACTGAGCAAAGACTAATCTCTTCTCAGCTGCCCAACTTTCCAATTCTTTCCGCACCCGAGAATGCTGACAGAGAAACTTCATGAGGGTAGATTTTCCAGAGCCAGCTTTACCAGAAATGTGATAAATCTGGTTGCCTGATCCCAGCCATGCTAGGAATGAGTCCCGTGTCTGCGTTCGAAATCGTCTCTGTTCGGCTTCCTGGGCATCAGGAGGACTTTTTGGGGTATTTCCAGAGGCCCAGATCTCAATTTTGTGCTCCCCTCCTGGAGTTGGCTCGTTTTCCACCTGAACAGGGGGACCGGATTCCAAGTCTACGGGTGACTCTTTCTCTCGGTCTTGGACTTCATCTTCGTCGGCCAGAGTTTCTTCTATTGCCAAAACTCCTTCCGCATTGCTCGAACTTTCACTCGGATCAACCAGCTCCCGGTCATCCTCTTCGGTCGAATAAAATGAACCATCGTCGTTCTCTGCAATTGAATAGATAGACTCATCTTCATCTTCCTCGAGAATCCATTTCAACGTTCCGCTCTCTGCATCCGTAATGGTATCCTCGCGAGCGTATATATTATCGAAATAGAGCCGGCGCAAGATTTGGTTCTCCCGTGATAGTGACCTTGACATTGATTGCAGTGTTAAAAGCGCAGAGCAAATATCCATTGCGGAGTACATCTTCTTTTTATCCTCGTCTGGCCTTGCGTTATCTTTTGTTTCTAGCAATGCCTTAACCGCCTGGTTAAGTTCTTGTCGGAGGCATGTGAGCTGAGCTGAAGTCTCGGTTGACATCCGAACGCCTTCTTTTTGGATTTTGTCTAGTTGAACTTTGACGGATGACTGTTGTTCACTATCGTATGTCAATACCAAGTCTTGGACGGGTCTAAGGATTATGAATCCTTACCAGAGCATAAAATTCAGCCGAACGAGAATTTGCGATCGATATCTGTCTAGTCTATCTTCAATAGAGGCTATATCTTTCTCTTTCCTCATGCTTGCAACTTTGACTTTGAGACTCAGCCATTTCGAATTCTTCTCCGAAGCTTGTAATTTCTTCAAGATCTTTGACAAATCCTGGGATAATTCGTGACATTTGTCTGCAAGCTTGAATAACTCCCTCTCGTTCTTGGTTTTCCGTTCAACATCGGAAATCAAGCTGTCGGTGGCTCTCTCAAGGTCATTGACAACAGTGCTGATGTGAGCGTTCTCATGTGTTGTCCCAGTTGTCGATTTATAGACCTCGTAAGTGCCCGTTATAACGCCCCACGAGAATTCAATGAATTGCAGAATGCCGGCAGCGAAGCCCACAGCTGTTATAGGATCCATGCTGGAGAAGCTGTAGATGGAGCCCCGCCAGGCGTCAGGCTAGGAACCGACTCAGCCAGATTAATAAGGTACCTGCCTGAAAATCTAGTTATTTTGGCTACCACGGCGGATGGAGATAGAGACGATGCGTAGTCTCTGGGTAGTGTCAGGCTGGACTTGAGATGACAGCGAAGTAGTAGCGACAAAGTGGGCGCATATCGCAATAATGCCCAAGAAACAAATGGAAAATGTGAGGCTGAGCCAAGGTCATGCGCAGAATCTGGAAGAAACGAGGCGGACGTGTGGCCCTGTCATTAGCTGGGCGACGAGGTTGTGCTAGCATTGAAGCCAGCCAACCAGCTTGTTAGAATTGGTAGGGAACTGTGGCTTACAGTATATAACCCATCGTCACTTATTCCCCGGTCCGACGGCTCAAAAACGGGGTTAGGCGTGGACAGCCTGTAAGAGCTATAGTGGACGCGAGTATTACCTACTTTTTTAACATTCGAAAGAGGAAATAAATAGTCGCTAAGAGCCCCCTAATTAAGTTTAAAGGAGAGGGCCGAGGAGAGAGGTTAAGCGAAGCGAGACTAGAAGAAGTTTAAATAATTTATTATATTATTATTTTATTTAAGAATCTTTTTTTAGCTTTTAGCTATAATATATAAAGTAATATAAAAGCTCTAATACTTTTTAAAAAAAAGTCTTAAAACCTTAATATATATTATAAGTTAATAAGTTAATATTTATTAAAATAAGAGAAATATATATATTATAATAAAGCTATATATTTTATTACAAAATATAAAACATTTTTTTAATTTTTAATTTTTAATATTTTATATTTGTTTTTAAGTACGAAAATAACTTTATTATAATAACTAGGTTCTTACCCTTTAATTTAACTAATATATATTTATTAATTCTAGCTTAATTTGTTTTTATAAAAGTATATTAAATATTATAATCTTAAATTATTATTTTAAAAAGAGGCTTATTACTAAGTATATTAATTTATTTCCTTCTTTACTAGCTCGGCCTCTTATTACTTTATTATATAGGAGCATTATTACTATAATATTAATATTCTAATACTACTAGCCCTTTACTATAATTCGTTGGGCACGCTATTAATATAGCATGAATTCTCCACGACTATTGGCATTGACTAGCTGGTCCTCTGCTCTTTTATTTGTGAAACTCTATTCATGCAATCCTAACTTACCAAGATTTACATAAATTTACCCTCGGAATAGCGCCACAGCTACATAATCTAACCATTACTACCATTAGCAGGCTTGCCACCGGCGATCTCCCCTTTTTGTCAACCAAGCCAAAAGAATTGACCTTCTCCCACCTCAGCTTACGTGAACCAAACCCGTCGTCCAAGCGCCTTGGCCCCTTGTTTTCTATAGGCAGGGCAATTGCTAGGAGAAAGAGAAAAGAAACATGTGGGCAGAGTATAGAATTAAGAGGTCCAAAGCAGAGTGAAGTAAATTGAGCACAACCGAAACTTGATTATATGAAATTGCCTGCGGAGACGGAGACGTGTATGGAATGATGGGGCTGAGCTATTTATCATGTACATGTAAGCAAGCAGATCTAAAATGATTTAGGAATTACACCCGTTGAGGGTGAAATGGGGCGCGCTTTTAAAAGCAATACCCGAGCCAGAACGAGCCAAAACGAGCTCCTTGGGTACTAAAATGGGCCTCTTCATACCTTCGTAGGCTAACTCAGCTTGTGCTCAGGCAGTGCTCATGAATGCTTACTTATAGCTCAGGCTAATAAAGCAGCAGCAACCCAGGTCCAAAGACGGAAATGGAACATGCTGTGAGAACATTTTCACGTGAGATGGCCTATTATGGAAATCAAGAAGTTGTATGGAAATACTGCGCAAATATCTCAACGCGCCCAAATTTTCCTGATAGACAAAATGGAGCTTTGCCGGAAGGTGGTGGGGAGATGGGAGAGAACGGAGGTTACGCCTTGATGAAGCAGCATCATCCCAGAAGAAATGCTTCTCAGATGGCATGAATGCGATCCGATGGGGCTAGACTTCCTCCTGCCATAATAAGTAAGCTTTTAGATTCTGATTGAGTGTGATATTAGCAAACAGAACATTTTATTTTCTATTCAATGGGTACCTGAAAACCCCTAGTCTTTCAAACAGCAGGTATGTGGAAGTTTCTTTGGCAAATAACAGCTTGTTGTTGTTGTGGTCTGATTACAATTTGCTCTTTCTTTAAATCGTTTGATTCCTGCTACCCCTCCTCAATCAATGTGTATTGAGGCTCTCTAGCTATACACTTCCTACAATGAAGATATTTTGCGCTTATGGAAGAAATATTACAATAATAAAGAAATGTGACCATGTTATACACCCTGGCAAAGACTCCGAAGCGCTTCCGGCTCCTCCCATACATAATATTCACTGGACCGCTTATTGATAATTTGCAGGTGAACTATTTCGCGATCTTTCCTCTTCGGCATGAACCTCCCTCCTTGCAACCACAACCTCCGACCTTGCAACAACTCCCCAACACAGGGTCGCATCAACAGCTAATACCATGTCTCAGGAAGTGCAAGACGATGGTATGTTCTCTCGAGTTCAGGCAACGGTCCCCCTTCAGCTTCGCATATCCGCCATTCCCGGTGCTGGACGTGGTTTGTTTGTGTCCGAGGCGGTGCCGTCGCGGGGTCTGATTTTCCGCATAGCTAAACCGTTGCTATGTATTGTAAGTGTCCCTCTCCTTCCTTCTCGTATAGCTTTGATACTATGTGGCTAATTCTAAACCTCTTTCCCAGGTCGAGGATGGTAAAGAAGCACTGCGGAGAACTTGCGATAATTGTTTTGCTGCGAGGAGCGGAATATACCAGACTACCAGCCGAAAGAATCTCCGGTAAGAACCTTCCAGTTCTACTTGCTGTGTCCTCGATGTTCAAGGACTTTCGGAATGCTCGAATTCTTGGTTAATCAATGCTGATTCGAGGAATTCCAGGTTTGGGCCATGCCCGGGCTGTGAAGTCTTGTATTATTGTAGCGCGGTGAGCTTTCCCTCCAGTTCTACTGTACTCATCTAACCTTCGGACAGGAGTGTCATTCCGAGGCCTGGGAGCACCACCATAAAGCCGAATGCGCTGTGCTCTCTAGAATCAGACAAGACCCACAAGATAGAGTGGAGGAAAGAGTTACCCACAAGAACGTTCGACTTCTCATCCGACTGCTCTGTCTCCACGAAGCCGGCATGATCCCAGAGCAACAATGGGACGAAATATTGGGCCTGAAGACGCTGATGGGAGCTGGACAAGAAGAATTAGAGAGACAGGTTCAGTTTCTATGCGATTTTATGGCTTCCTACGAGGTTACGAGTTTAGACGAGAATGTGGTCAGACAGTTGGTGCATACAGTGAGTTTGCAAACAGTCTGTTTTGCTTGTTGGGGTGCTAATAATCTCGTACAGCACTTCAACAACAACCTCATCATGGACCAGCCCCTCCTCAGAGGTGGCTTATTTTACCCCCCAGGAAACGGCTGCGTTGCAAGTGGCATCTGTCTCGAACCATTTGCATCCATGGTCAATCACTGCTGCGACCCAAACTCTTGGTGGACTTTCAACGGCTGCGAGTTCCAGCTCAGAGCTATCCGAGAGATTCCTGCAGGAGAGGAGCTCACAATTTCCTACATCGGCATCACAGAAAGCTTCAAGTTTCGCCAGGAGATTCTTTTGGAGGATTGGGGTATTAACTGCGCGTGCTTAGTGTGCAAACAGGGTCCACAGGGTCCGACGGATGGTCCGCTGTACGAGAGACTTCAGAATATCCAGAGGCTCGAGCGGGAGTCTGTTGATGGTACGTCTCCCTTGAGCTCTCTTGCAACGCAGATTTTCGACTAACTTCTTTGAGGCTGTGCTCCATTGAATGAGGTTAAACACTTCATTATTGACATGGTTGGTGCCGGTTACGATTTCGGAACATGGCCGCTTCGCCAGCTATACCGCCAGATCTTCTGCACTGTTCTAAGCAGAGGAAATTTCATGGGTGCGCTGAAAGTCTGGCTGAAGCTTTACTACGTGGTTGATGTTGCTTCCAGCCCTCCGCAACTTCCTGATGATAGGCTCAATTCGCTGAAGAAGCTGATCAGCTTGATTCGGGCGGTGCAACTGATGGAGTCGCCTTTAATTACGGAAGACGTCAAATGGGCGCTCTCGTATGCTCGAGGCTACCTGAGTAGGAAGTTATGTGAGGAGACAGAGAAGTGCTTTGGTGATATTGAGGTTGCAAAGTTTGAGAAGGAGCAGTTTCAGATGGTGTTTGGTCACGGTGCCGAAAGATTTGATGACAGAGCGAGATATGTACAGGGTATGAAAGTACTCTTGGAATGGGCGAGAATTCCTGATGTCTCGGAGAGCAGTTTGTAGGCACGGTTTGTCACCGGGGGGGATGGTGGATGAGGCCATTAGAAGAACGGGACCCTAGTTAAGCGAGCCCCCTTTCCCGGCATAAATTCGTACCTGGAGCAACCAAATGAAGAAACTTCCAAATTTGGATCCCGATACATGAGTGCGCACAAAGCTGTGGATCGTAGATATGTAGAGTGAATTTAATCGTAGCCTTGATACGGCTACCAACAAGCTCCTGTTTGAGCCCATGTCACAGTACCAATACTACCAGATATCCGTGCTCTAAGTAAGTCGATTCAATTCCAAACAAAAGAAGCGTCCGATTCCAAATCCCAACGCTTCAGCATTCATCGCTTTCCTCGGCATCCTCTGTTTCTTCACCCTCATTGTTTTCCTCCTCATTGTTTTCCTCCTCATTGTTTTCCTCCTCATTGTTTTCCTCCTCCCTCATTGTTTTCCTCCTCATTGTTTTCCTCCTCATTGTTTTCCTCCTCATTGTTTTCCTCCTCATGTCTCTCCTCAGAATCCATCTCATACTCCCACTCGCGATCCTCTCTCATCGCATCCGCTCTCTCCTCGTACACTTTCTACACAAGTTCTGGTTCTTTGTGCCGGGTTTACTCACCCTCCACCTCTCCAACCTCTTTCGATTTGCAAATTCCATTAACATCTTCCAGATGTTTTCTAATATAAGCGAAGATGACCTCCGCAATGGATGGAGGCACCGCATTGCCAATCTGCTCCTTAATCTTTTTTACGAAAGACAAATCAATTAGGAAAGCCTTGCGATGCTGCAAACTAGCCCAGTGTTATACATCTCTTGCCAGTCAGGTATGCGCGGTTCTTCCCACCATTCTTAGTAATGCATGCCGTGATCTTCTTGTCATCCCAGGGCTTATATTTTTCGTTTTTCATTTTGAGTCTTGCTGTAATCTCGTGGTTCTTAGAATCGCTATCGATTCCACGTAAGACGCTGCGAGATGTGGTGTAGCACTTGATACCTGTTGCCTTGGGAAATTCGGTGTGTGTGCGTGGTGAGAAGCCTGGAAGAGGCTCGCCTGAATTGAACAGAGAAAGCTATCAGTCGCAATGGTTTTTCAACCGTGCGGAAGAAAGCTTACCAAGAAGCGATGATCGCCAGCCTTTCCCTGTTTTGTGGAGGGCCTAGATCCTGGAAGGGCACAATTTGCCAACTCACAGAAAAACCCGGGTTCGTGGATGAAAGCAACAGCTTATTGAAAGCATCATTATGCTTCTTAAGAACAACGAGTCCAGCCGTTTCTTCCAACACTGCAATGCAGGACCTTGCTTTTCTCAGCAGCGCGTCAGTGAAGAATATTTGCGTCTTGTTGTTCTCGTCGTCGAATCCCAGAATAGTATGTGGCATGCTGTAGTATTGGCAAGGGGGACTCAAGTGGACAATGTCAACCTTCAAGGTTCGGCGCGGATCCTCACGGTCAGCAAGGTGCTCTGTGTATTCTTAATAGAAGTGAGCTTCTGGGAACGCTGTCTCCCAAGTCTGGTGGGCATTGAAGTCGTAGTCCATTCCATATCCGATTTCCAAGCCAGCTAATTCAGCACCACAAGTGGTCCTCCCGCACGACAGACTTCGTTATGTAAGCAGTTGAGACGGATACGAGGCAGCAGTAAATACTCACACATGTCGCCGTACGTATATCGGCTGCTGAAATGTTTCTCACCCACTTCCTGTGGACGAAATAAACTTCGTTGAGCTTTTTCGGCAGCTTGCCTCCAAAGTCTGTGTTTCTCCGGAGCAGCAGGCCGGAGAGGATGATGGCTTGGTCTTGCCGGAAGATAGCTTTGATGAGCAAGAAGTCACCGGATGAAATCTCGACTATTGTTTCGGGTTCCAGGGTATGGTTGTTCCAGGGGTAGGACTTGAAGGGCACTGTCTCGTGGACACGAGGTTTCTTTCGTGAAGGCATGCTTGTTGAGCTTTGTGCTCCGCTCTGATTTTCCCGGAGAGGAGCATAGTGACGGAGCGAGTGCGCTGCCAGACATCAAACCGAATTATATAACTCTGGTTTGGACATCCAGAGAGATGCAGGGACATTCAAGCGCCTTCCTTTCGAATATCCCTCGCGCGGTGGCACATTTGAAGCCGTGCTTCATCTGGATGTCACGTCTCACGATGCACAAGACATCCTGCAATTTGGCCAAAGGAAGTTCGGAATTGCTCTGCATCTGCATATCTCCCAAACTATAAGAGCAGGCTTATCGAATCAGGTCAACCTTGACGCGGAAGCCCGTCAATTTCTGTAGTATCACTCTCGATGGAAGTTCTGAGATGCCATCTTAAGACTGCTTGAGTCTTCTCTTCGAGAGAAACGGACTTAACTCAGAAACCTGTGCATGGAAGCTGGCGCCTATCCACTTCAATTTCGCACCAATGCTGCATTTGCAGAGAAGAGGCTCGATCTTATGGATCTCAGGGAACTAAACGTAAAAATCCCTGGTCTGATGTAGGACTCGGCTCTAGGAAGAAGTAGGAACTCGACGCAATGAGATAGTGGAATGATAGCACTTGCAAATGGTATATCAATTCGCTTGATTTGCTACAAATCTAGCATTGGCCATGAACATGTCTCAACGGAGCACTGCCATGCAATCATCTCCTCGCTCTTCTGGAGACATCCTTCTCCTTTACATATTATCTAGCATGATTTTCTTCTATATTCTCCAAACTTCGAAGCAAGCAGTGCTCCGTATGCACCAAAGGTATCCCTCGCTTGCCAATAAACTCCCGTCAAGCCCTAATCTTCTTAACCTTCTTCTTTTTCTCCTTCGCCTCTCCTCCCCCAGAGCTTGGGCCCGCACCTCCCATCCCACCCATCATCCCCTGTAACGCACTCATATCCGGCATGCCCGGCATACCTCCCCCAGCCGCCCCAGCCGCCCCCGCATTCTGCATCTCAGCCATCATGTCCTTCAAAAAGTTCTCACTAACCCCTCCACCCGTCAGTCCAGGGCTGTAATGAGGCAGTATACTGCCCATCTTCCATCCTTTTGGGATTGCTGGTTTGGGGTATTCTTTCGCTGGGTCGGGGGGAGGAACGCCGGGGACACGGACGAGGGATGCAGTTGCGGTAGTGGTGGGGTTTGCTTTGAGGTGTGCAGAGATGAGGGTGTAAAGATGATGCTCTGTCCAAATATCAGCTTTCGTATCCCATTCCATAACCCAAATACCTCAATGCTTCAGAATGAGAGACAGAGGGAAGAGAGAAAATACCCACTGTTCTTAATACCCTTATTCGCACCCCCCTTTAACTTAATCTTCACGCGTCCCGGATTCGCCCAATCCTTCGGATGCAGCTTACTCGGCTCAAACAGCGTCTCTAACCTCAACCTCGCACACGCATTCACAATCTCCCTCGCCATCGGATTCTCGACCGCCAGCTCAAGTCCTACCCGTCTTCCCTCGGCTCTACTTCTATTTACATCAAAATATACCGGGTATATGCATTGGAAATTTTTGTATTTGGATTCGTCTTGAGTTGTGTGGAAAGGCTGGCCTTGGCCGGGAGCTGGGGAAGAGGAGGTGGTGTTGGTGGTGGAGGGGATCGAGGAGGGGTTTATGATTGATTGGGAGGCGGAGGCGGGCGCGCGTTGCTTGAGGATTTCGCGCTCGTCGAAGTCATCGGAGACGTCGCTGATATCGCCTTCCGAGGGATCGCTGTCGGATACTTCTTCGATGCGGGCGTGCGACATGGTTGCTAGTGTTGTACGGAGAGGATTGAGGTCAAGGCGGGGGTGAAGATCGATGGTGGGGTTTGGCGGCGGTTTTGAAGCGAGCACGTGATGACCGAGGGAGATAAGAGGTATTAGCAGGAACACATGCAACTGGCTGGACTCAAGTTCCTGCAGAATTCGTGGAAGAAACGGCCGATTGCTGACCAGAAACCGTCCCAGCTCATTGTGGTGGTCTGTTGTTGTGGTGGTGGTGGTGGTGGTGGTAGTGGTGAGTGAGGAAAGGGCAGTTTGTCAAAGTCTTGGCGTTTGCAGGTTGCAAGAGCTTAATTATTTAGCAGGGGGAGGAGTGAGGAATCTATGTTTTATATATTGAGCAGGAAAGAATAGAGTCAGTCAGTGCATACGAGAATAAGCATTGAGGCATTGCTGCTTTCCGTGATGGCAATCAACGATGAGTGGGTAGAGTTGTGGCTGAGCCTTGAGCGAGAGCGAAGGAGCTTAGGAAGATGTGAAGCGACCACAGCTACAGCCATCTTGCGGCAAAGCACAGGTTGAATACGAAGACGTGTATGTGGCCTCTGGCCGTTTTTATTGTAGTGGTTGAGAATTCTCCCCATCAAGCTGTAAGCTGCTTTTAGCCTCGGCAGAGCTGGTATGAAAACCAAAACTCAGCATCAACCTTCGAGCATAATTCGTATATTCAGTAAATTGAAAACTGTGCATGAAATCATACGTAACCCCAAAGCCCTTCGTAAAATTTGCAGCATCACTCCCTATTTTCAACTCTCCTCGCCCAATCATCACCAACCCGCAATCCCTCCACGACCACAATTCCTCTACCCCTTCCAACTCTCTCCTCTTTCTCCCACCAATGTTCTTTCTTCTCCACATGCTCAGCTTCGCTCTCACTGTCTGCTAGCCCGCCGTGTCCTCCATCTGCACCCACAACAAGAACCACATCTTGTCGTAACCAGCTTTGAAGATGTGTAATCACTTCACCGTCGTTTCCAGCGAGCGATTCCTGTAGGTAGACAGTATCGGGGCCGAGATGTCGAAGGATGTGGACGTGGCCTGTGGGAGTCGTGAAGGGGATGACCATTGTTTCTTTTTCGACCAGGCTGAGAGCTTGGGAGTACACAGCGTTGAATGCTGGGGATGACGAAGTAGAGGTCCTGGACTGGTTAGCATTATCTGGAAATCGGGATGAGGATACCTACAATGTTTTCTCAACTTCTTGGCCTGGTGATTGTGCTTGTTCGTGACCAATATTGGAGAACGAGGAGCTCAAAGACCCAGGTGCACGCGCAGCAGCTGCATCAAGTGGGTGTTCCTTCAGACCAGGCGCATATATCAAGACGAACAGTCGGATCTTGGAGAAATCGGTATTTCGAGGAAGATGGGAGAGAATAGACTATTATAGTCAGAATCTGCAAAGCCCGTAAAGGGAGAACTTACAGCACGCTCGTAGAAACCACCCTCATCATCAAAGTCATCATCGTTAGTGGTATCTGCAGAAACCACAATTGCGACCGTCTTCCTCTTTCCATTTCCAACAGGCGCTCTGGCTGTCGGTTGTACGCCAGGCTCGCTCGCACTCCTCATTTCGATTCCTCCTTGTGGGACAGGACTCACTCCAGAAGCCCTCCCTTCCGCCTCTTCACTCCAAGTCCTGTGGTCCTTATATGCATTCTTATCCTCCTCTCTAATACTGCTCAATGCGCTTCCCACCACTGCGCCAGCAGCCGCAATGCCCCCAAGAACCGTGCGACTCGCTCCATCATAGATCTGCTGCGGGCTAGGCGTCCTCTTCAACGCCCCGGACATGCGCGCCATATACGTCTGCTGCTCTTCCGGCCTTCCTTGAGCTGTCCCATACGCGACTTCTCCCGGCCTGACATCTGCGTATGAGGGCGGTCCAGTTCTCACACTGCCATCAGGATTGCGCCCGTAATCTGGACGGTTATAGACATTGTCTGCCGGGCGGCCTGGGGGAGGAGGCAGCTCGTCCTCGTCATCACTTCGCTCACTCCATATCCAGGCTACGATGCCAACTGTCGCGACGGTGACGGTGAAGGCGAGGGGGAGCCAGTAGGAGAAGGTGCCGCGTCGCGACGGGGCGGGCTGGGGTCTGCGCGCTGAGCGCTCGTAGCGGTCGTAGGAGGAGGACATTGGATTGCTTTGCTTGAGACCATTCATCGATTGCTCACATTCTTCGTGAAGCCTTCATGCTTGGAGGAGGAGAGGAGAGAGAGGTGGGATGCGGTGGCGCAGGACGGGAAAAGGGTGAGGCTGGGAGGGCAATCTTCCTCGGCTTGGTCTTTGTTGACTTGCTCGTTTCCATAGGGAACTCGGGATTTTGCACGTGATCGCCAAACGGCCGAACCCTTGATGGATGACTTAACAATTTTTGGCGATGATTCAGATTTTGATATTTATCACAACTCCACACAGGTACTCATCACATCTCACCATTGTCCCTCAGACGTCGCATTCTCGTTTGGTGCTACCTCCGTTGATAAAATTTAGGAAGAAGCGCAACAAGAACATTGTCCTCTCCACATAGCGCAAAATCTTTCGAGTGCCGACTCGTTCAGGAATATCCCCACAGGTCTCAAGATGCCACACGCGCTCTCGTTGCCAGCTCCTGGGTTCCAGGCCATTATTCTTTGCGGGCCTGGATCCTCATTTCCTACCTTCACCGCTAATCCTGACGAGAACCCGAAAGCCCTCATCCCAATCGCGAACCGGCCGATGGTCTGGTATCCGATAGATTTCTGCTACCGTATGGGTGTTACAAGTGAGTACATTCACTTTACGTGCGCTTTGGGGCTTGTAATTGGCATTGAGAGTTTTGCTTGTGCCCGTATCTGCTCCATTATTGCTTCAAGGAAGTTTGCGATATTTTGATATCACGTGATTTTATAGTCTCCCTTCTCTTTGACCAACGGAATTTTGGAGCTTGATGGGAAAGGACATCTTTCTCGACCAGGGCAGTGTGCTTGCAGATTTTCAGCAAGATTTGATTCTACCATACCTCCTGGGATTTCGACTCCTGAAGGCACCTGCTCCTTCGTTGAACGATCTGCATTTTTCTTAAACCACTTTGCAGCCCATTTTCTCTTGCATTTCGATCCATTATATTGCACTGACTACCAAGTCCTGCATTCTTCTATCTGGTTTTGTCTGATTCTGACCATCACTTCCAGATATCACCTTGATCGCACCTCCATCTTCCGCTCCGGCGATCACTACTGCACTCAACACAGATCCCCACCTAACAAGCCTTCCTCTACCAAAGCCTTATCTTTTATCACCGAAGAATCTAGACCAGAACACAGGCACGGCGCAAATCTTCCGCCTTCCGGAAGTCAGGGAGATAGTGACAGGCGACTTCATCGTCTTACCTTGTGATCTTGTCTGTGAGCTGGGCGGCGAGTCATTACTGGAATCATGGATGGTCAAAGAAGCAAGTCTCGGGGGAGCCACTGGTGGAGGTCTTGAGTTTAGAGGTCCAAAGACGGCGCTGGGTGGTGAACGAGGCGGACGGAGAGGAGGTTTGGGAGTCTGGTACGAAACCAAGGGCGAGACGATCATCAAAGGTGAAGAAACAGACTTTATTGCAACAGTCCCAATCGAAGGGGGTCCCGTGCCACCATCAAAATCTTCACTGCTCAACAATATCTCAAAATTAGTCTACTCGGTACCAACAGACACCCTAAACGATATCACTGAAGATAAGAAGAGCTTGCCAATTAGACACGGCCTGATCCGTGAACATCCTAGAATCAGAATGCTGAGTTCACATCGGGATGCGCATATCTACATATTTCCTGCATGGATTCTAGACATGATCAATGCGAACGAACATATGGACAGCATTGGCGAGGATGTGATCGGATGGTGGGCAAAGGCAGGCTGGCAAGAAGGGCTCGGTGACAAACTTGGATTACGAGAAGTTCTATCTGTTCAAGCACCTACAGATACTGATGACAGTTTACTGGACAACAATCCCGCCCACGACGACATTGACTTCAGCAGTCTCAGCACAACGTTTACCTCCAACCTCCGGTCAACCGAGACATCAGGAAAGGAGAAGTTAGCCGTCCCGCCAGTTCTTGCATACGTTCAGCCGAAGGGTAGTAAGATGATCAGAAGAGTCGACACCGCACCTCTACTGCTATTCGTCTCTCTCCAACTCGCGAAGCTCGAAGCGATTGATGCCGTTGGCCGCGATACCTCATCTCCTTTTGCACACCAAGCCAAAGTCGCCTATCCAGAAGGAATCGCGTCCAAGACAACAGTTACTCGACCCGACTGCCTCCTCGCCGAGAACGTAACAGTAGAAGAAAAATGCTCGATCAAAGAATGTGTTATCGGAGCCAACTGCCAGATCAAGCAAGGCGCAAAACTACAACGATGTGTGTTGATGGATGGGGTCGTCGTTGAGAGGGGGTGTAAGCTTACTGGTTGTATTCTTGGGAGACGGTCGCAGATTGGAGAAGAGAGTGTGTTGTTGGATTGTGAGGTGCAAGAGAATTTGCTGGTTGAGGCGAGGAGTATGCCCCCTTTCCTTTCCTCCTTACTGTTTTTAGAAGAAGCTAACTTTTGAGTGTAGCGGAGGATAAGAATAGCAAGCTCATGTCCTCGGAAGGAATGGAGGCCACAGAAGAAGAAATCCAGGAATCGTTTGCCGACGAAGAATGTTGCGACGCAAAGGAAGCCGATGAATCGCAAGGCATCTCACTCGCCAGATAGACGTTCCCGAGTTTCCTGTACCAAGTCACACAATCCCCCGTCTTACGGTGCGGCCCCGGAACCGAATGTCTTCCTATCGCCAGCAAACTCTCGGTCCGGAGTCACACGGCATCTGCTAGTGCACGCGGAGCTCTCCATCAGCACATAATCAATATTTCTGCATATGCAGCATAGAAAACCAAGTACGGGCGTCTGCAATGCAAACAAACACGGGGCAAGAAAAAATGTGACGGCCTTGCATTCTGTATGACGCAGTAGTTGTCAAAATGCATGATAGCTAGCTGCATGCGACCCTGAATCCCCTCGATGCAATCAATTGAGCTTTTCAACCAACATCTTGTACCACAAGACCCTCTCTCTTTTGTGCTACACACCTCGATCTCTCTTATTTTGTGTAACCATCTCGCGTGCTGTGACCATGTGCTGTTCTTAAGATCTTATGACGGTTGTTATAGCATGCATATGTGGTTGGAGTTTGTTATGACGTAAAGTTATCTGCTAATTCTAACCAATACCCTTCCGCGCACCACGAAGATAACCAGGCGGCAAGCATGCGTCTTCTTGCCCGCGAATAGCGGTGCAGGTGTGTTGGCAGAGTTGCCACTGTAGGACTGGGAGAGGAGAACCGGGTACATGGGACCCGACAACCTGGTAAGCTAATCCCTGGAACCGGGGACGGGCTGTCCGAGATGGAGGGGTCTTGCACACGGATGGGTGTGGAGCTGGGAGGGAGTGGAGGATGGATGGATTTATTATTGAACTTCGGCAGCAGAGAAGATTTGATGATGCATGTTTGAATGTCTCGAGCTGGCATTTGCGCCTATTGGGGCACGAAAATGCTAGAAGAATGATGCTTTGGTAGAAACCGAAAGCACGAAGGCAATGATAGACGTTAACGGCGGCCAGTTCTCGAGATATTTGACGAAAGGATTTAGATGCAGACCGCGAGTGAGATCAGGTTCTCGAAATCTTGGACAGTGATTTCCCGGGAAAGCCTTTTTGTGGTTGAAAGAAATCCGAACGCAGCAGTCCGCTTCGCTGTCCCGAGATTTCGGGGCCGCACACTGAACCTTGCAAAACCCCGATGAGGGAAATAGTCAAAATAGAAGACAGCTGTTCTCCCTGCCGCTTTGCAAAGTCAAATAAATGGGAACCCTTGCGAATGAGACCATCTTCCGCTCTAAACTTGGACGACTTTCTATTGTGGACTTGAGGTCAAATGGCGAGCTCCGGGAAAGAGAACAGGTGCGGATGAACACACGTTGGTTCGCAAGGGGAGTCAAATGATTCCTCATGTTTTACCCAATCTTCGTTTCGCCCGTCAAACGCGACCACCGCCCTCACGTTCTTCAAACAACAGCTATAGAATCCGTGATATAGCAGCGTTACATGTGTTGTACAAGCGGCTCGGGCAACGAGGAATTCGGCAAGGCGCTAGTGAACGGCGCGAAGGACGGAGCAGTCTGCAAAGGATCTTCGGGCCATGCAGCTCGCTGAATTCGGTCCGCGGTTTAGTGGCTCGGAGGAAATCGAAGGCGCCGAATTGGAGGTTTTACAGGAGAAAAGAGATCTCGAGGCCCTGGCAGTGTGGGTGATCGAAGATTTGGGTGCCCTTGGCTGCTGTAGGACGGTACGGGAGGTGTGCTGTTTGAGTGGGGGCGAGATTGTGAAGGTTGGAGAGTGGGGTGGTCTGAAGTTCATATTTTGAGGGGTTGAGATCTCGTCATGGGGGAGTTTCGATGAGTTGGAATCGGAAATGGGGCAAGTTATTTGAATAGGTGCGTTTGATGTTGAATGGTTGATGGATCGTAATGGCATGAAATGATATCATTGGATAGTTCGTCAAATCATAATAGCTAACGCAGAGATAATAGCAAAAGAGATGAAATGGGTTGGGTTGAGTAAAGCTTGAGCGCAAGTTCCAGCATGAGATAAGAGAGAAGACGCAAAATTAAGCAAGAAAATGAGTGCGATTGAAGCAAAAGTCCTTCCCAGCAGCGTCCTAAAGACCACGAGGCCGTGCAACCTGGGAAAATCAGGGCCTCTCCACAACACCTGCACGTCCCAATCCACAATGATGCAGAGCAGTCCCCAAAAGCAAGAAATTGGTTGTACGCGGTGGTACGAGGTGGGAGTGTCGTCGCACAACTGAAGCGATAGTGGTTGTGGTTACACGGCATACGTTGTTGGAACCTCACTTCAACAGAAGAGATGATGAGAGAGGTCGTAAAAGCCGTAGATTGAATATAGAGAATCGAAGGTAGACGGAGACAAGGCGAAAGAAAGACACCGTTTGACACCATGGAGACACGCTTGATCGGTGAACAGATGTGCTCGGTATGCTCAAAATGCGAGGATTGCGTGTTGAAGATCAAGGTGAAGCTTGCGCAAGGAGGCAATTTCTTTGGAACAATGCCGTAGAAATTGAGATATGTGCGTGTCTTTGTTGTCATATACAGATGAGGTGCTAATTGAAGACAACAGCTATGTCAGCTTTCGTTTCCCGCCGTACAAGTCGTTTTTCGGACATGAAGTAATTGCAATACTCGAAAATAATAAACCAAAGTCATACCTATTTTGGCAGAGGCGCAACACCGGCAGGCCAAGGCACCGAAGGTGGTGGGGGGTGCTTTGGACAATAGGTGTTCTGTGTGATTTCTTGGATCCACGGACCCCCATCATCTGGTCTTTTGTCCTTTCTGTTATGTCCGCAATAACTGGGACCCTCACATATAAGCAACTTGGATTTCCCACGGCATCTACAATCATGGTAGACGGGAATCTCGAGAAAACACATCTCTCGAGGCGTTGAGGAAGGTTGACGGAAAAAGTGCAGATATGTGTATATAGTGTAGCAAGGAAGTGTTCGAAGAGAATAGATATCTTGAGTGCAAAGAACTCACTAACACAATAGAACGTCCCACTTGTCCCGCCACATCCTCTTTATATACACAAAGATCGTTGCCACTCGGCCAACGCCGCATCACCTCAAGGTGGCCCATTGCATTAAGGTTGTTCAGCTTTGACTCCAGAACTGATCTTTCGACCCAGAGACTCGGTAAGGGGGTATACGAGATAGTGAAAGAATTAGAAGGCAAGCAGGTGATCTTTGAAGGCTGACCATTCTCATCGTCAGGAATTTTTTCTCCGGAGGCGGCTTCATTAGAGAGCTAGCGAGTAAGAAGAGAGGAGCCATCTGTACAGTAACACAGACATCTCCTACATTGTGTAACAAACGGTTGATGTATGCAAAGTCTGAAAATAGGGCACTGAAGTTGCAATGGTTTGATAATGGGTAATTAACTGGCCACGGATGAAGAAACAACTCCGAGCCACCAATGATACTCGGACGTGATCACTGGTGGCTGCAGTCGGCCATGGCGGCGGGCATATTCACCACAAGTTCCCTGCACCTCGCACATGAAAGCACATGGATGGCTTGCTTTATCTAGGAAAGCTTCAACCTTGGGCAGGTGCAGGGTGTCAAATGCTGCGGCAGGAAAAGTAGGTTAGCCCTATAATGTGACTTTTCAAGGCACCGATAGTCCGGGAGCTAGACCGTAGCTCTCAAAGTGGTCTGATATTCTGTGATCTGGGTAAAAATCAGGACTTGGACGACGAGGAAATAAACGGGTAACGAGAATTGAAAGTTTTTAAAGATGGCAAGGGTTGCACAACATCGGCGTTGCCCCGCACTTGCGGCCAACAAGAAAGGATACTGAACTTGGAAGGGAAAAGAGATGGAAGATAGGTAAGATCGAGGCAGGGACGGCAGAGATTTTGAAGGTGGGAGCATGGTGAAAACGTACGAGACCCTCAACAGAAATGGGAAAGGTTTCAATAGCACGTGCGAGTTCGTCTAAAGAAGCAGATACTCTACTTTAAACATGAGACGGTTAAGATCTCGTGCGTCAAGAAAGGCTGGAAGGGGGCTGCTTGCCGGACGTAGGTCCGCAATGAAATGACACAGCGGGGAAATGGCAGAAATTCTGAAGGCGATGTCGGTCCAGCAGTCTCGACTGCCGAGTTCTGCATACCAGTCTCACTTCATGGCAAATTTCCACAAGTGTTGGTAAACTCGCTAATGTGAATAGATTATGAATTCTGTGGAGGGAAAGAGAGTGGACCCGAAACTCTGGTTCTGCCGCTGAGAGGATTAATGCCTCGCCGCGACTGCCGGCTGCTATTTGTCAGTGTGGGAGCGTCAAAACACAGCAAAACTGTACTCGGTAAATCTCATGTAGCAGAACTCACACTCACAACTTGTTGCTCGTGACGATCATAAAGCCCATAACTCCTTAAAGCTGGTGTTTGTTGTGAGAGGGGAAGTGAAACTTAAACTCGAACAGTGACGTGATTAATTGTTCTCTCGAGTCCAAGATAGTGGGGCCATAATATTGCTGCGGTGGGGGATGTCTGACTATTGGATCGGTAGCCACGATCACATCTCGAATGTGATACATCTGCTGTCGGACGGACCCCAAAACGTGCCTCTTTCGCATTCTACGGAATTTCTCTGCATTTGATGGAAGCCATGTACTCGAAATGGTAGTGGTCCTCGGAATCTTTTTGTTGCAACAGTGTGTCTGCAAACGGCCAACGCAATAGCCGCGTTAGAAATATTTCAAAGCAGGCGATGAAGTCGTAAGTTTTAAAAGTGTCCTCCGGTACTCCGTTGCAAGACTATCGCATTGTCCGTCATTCTTCTTCGCGTTCTCGGTGAAGGTTCTGGACCCTTGTCCCGCCAAGCAGCATCTCGTCATCTCAATCAAAAGGCAGGGGGCTCAGTGGATCTACCTGCGGCTTCCGCCCAAACATGCGCAATAGATCTGCGAAATAAGCAAAAGTTTGTCGGTTATCGAAAGTCTCCTGTCCAAGTATGGGGCAGTCAGGAGTGAGCCTTCTCATCTCACCTCTTGTTGTACAGGTCAAGGCGCGAGAAAACGACAAGCAGTCGGTGCTGCTAGTTTTGTTGTATCAGACCTGGGGTAGCTCATTCCTAGAGGCGGTGACTCCATTCCTAGCGGCTCTGGAACGTGTCTAGCAGCCAGGCAGCTTCTGGACTGTGGAATGTAAGATCATAGAATATCCAGTGTAGGACTTGGGTAAGCCAACATCGACTTCTTCCCGTAGATCTAAAAGTCCGATTCGAGCGTTGATTTTCGGGCTGAAGGCGAGGCTCATGTGCTGCCATGGTATCCAGGCAAACAATGGGAACTTGCTTTCCAGGCAAAATATCGATCTCTTCGGATGATCCTCTCCGGGGCTATTGGGTTGGTCAAATGAACCGAAGGCTGAGACCAGACTGCAGAGGCTAGCTGTGCCTATCCCACCATCTTCGAAACCAGCCTAATTCCTAATCTCTGAAGCCACAACGCAGGTACCAGCAGTTCGGGCCGATCCAGCCTGCTCGAAGCCTTCTGACGACCATCAGTGGCGATGCTGTAGTACCTGCGTTAAGAAGAGACCCTGTCGCCCTTCCCAGGGGGTGATGCATATCAGTTTCTGCAAGGTAGAATATACAACGCACTCACTGACCTGAGATATCGATTCAATCCTTCGAAACCAGACCCTTACGCTCGAAAATAGGCTCCAGAGCCTCCTCTTGTGGTAGAGTGGTCACTGAGGGAGAACTATCACACAATGGCTAACAATTCCGTCAGTCAACTTCGCCCGAAAACAGCGGAAACGGCCTCCCTTTTCAACGCGCCGCCATTCCGTCATCAGTACCTTGCTTATTAGGGCAGACTCGTGACTCAAGACGTGACTCACTGGTTGATTATATACTCAATAGTCAGGTAAGCTCCGTTTAATGAAACCTCTTCTGGGTCGAGGTGATACCAACTACCGAGACCGTATCTCATGTTTTCGTCGAAAGTGAAGCTCGAATTCAAGTGATATATGAAAGCATATTTCTCCCTGTCTATGCTTCCTTAATTCCAAGAAGTTCATCCACTCATTTGGACATCTACAGTCCTTCATACAGTCCTTTCCGGAACACCATAGCCACCCCTTGAAGTCACTCCTTGAAAGGACCCAAGGAACTTGTTCGTGAAAGCACCTCCTAAATCACCAATGATTGAGCTAATCAAGATGTAATAGATACCACAACTTTCTGTGTTTTTCAAAACATATCCAATCCACAATGAAGATGTTTGTTGATCAGAACCTGCGATACGGATCAAATAGCCACTCAGCCGCCTCGTCCTTCTCTTCCAGCTCGTCCATCAACTCATCCTTCTCGGCTGATGCCTCTAACTGGGACTCATCATCTACTGTAGACACCCCACTACCCACGCCGACTCGAGTAAATTTCGACCTCGTCAAGCTCGAAGAAGCTTCCCTGTGTGCTCCAACTCCTTCATGCACACCAGAAAGGAATGGGGTCGATGCAGGATTCTATAGCATGAGTTCAATTTCGCAAGATATGCTTTCTGGGTACTCCGACCCATCTATGATCTTCGCTGTGGATGGAAAGCTTCTGTCTGACCAGGCCATGATGGGTTACAACAACTTTGCCACATATGTTGGTCCAACAACAAACTCGTTCAGCAACCAGAGCTGCTTATCACTTGATTCGCAGTCATTTGATGGCGACATGTTCTCGCCAATCTCTGATTTGGGTCATTCCCCCACCGAAGATTTTGTTGTTCCCTCCCAGACAACATTCATGGACACATTCGATTTCCAATCTCCCTTGCGGTCGGCGAAAACTCTCCAGCTCAGCCATTCCTACGACACCCCAATTTCGGACTACGATTCCGGCTTCGAACAATTCGTACCAACATACCACGAAGCCAAGTCTTGCTCCACAACTCCATCTCGGCCTTCCCCCCTCCGCCAACCTGTCCTCTCCCCTCTTCCTACAACAGCAGCACTTCAGCAAGTCCAAGAGCAGTCACCTGCCACCAAAGAGGAACTCAAACGAACACTTACAGCCCGCAAGACCCGAAGGGCGATCAAGCGAGCCGGACGGGAGTTCTTCTTGCCCAACAACGTCCATTGCGTTAAGCTTGCAGACAAACAATGCCCCTTCGAGGGCTGCACCAAGAGATTTGTCCGCCAAGAACATCTCAAAAGACACGAAAGAACGCATACCCAAGAGGACTCCTACCCATGTCAATTCTGCCAGAGACCTTTCGGTCGACCTGATAACCTCAAATCCCACATCAAACTCCATACATTCCCACACAAGAAATCCTCACGCACTGCCTATTACCAAGAGGCGCAGGAGGTATATGATAGAATGAGCAGAAAGTCTCCTACCAAGTCAGAGAAGCTTGGCCTCCCGACCAGGTCACGTGCCAGACCATCTGGGTACTGAGCTGGTCTGCTCAACACGATTCATGATATTTCAGTCCACAGTCGCGATGGCATACATGAATGCACGACAGCTCATGCTGCAACGTGATTGGGATGACGGATACTATCTATGAACATTGTTAATGATGATATGGATTGATAGAAGATGGAGAGAAGAATATTTCGTGTTCGCATTTCGTGTCAACGCTAATAAGCGACCCCCTTTCGGCCCCTATTTTACCGTGGGGCTGTTTTCCTAGGCTTGTATTTTGCATTGATGGAGCTTTTCAGGGCTCGGCTTTCATATTACCAACAACTTCATCATTATGATTCATCTGTATCAGTAGTAACGTTGTTGCTCTTTGGTCTGTTTTTCTTTTGGGCATTTGGGGAGGTGCAGTGCATTGCAAGCGTGGTAGTCTGGCATTTAGCATAGGAGAGGTTCGATAGCATTTCCGAATCGGAGCTTAGGGAAATATTTGTAACCATTTAGCATATTGGTGTCGCTAAAAGTTTGGATTGGAAGTTCATGTTGTATTCGTAGCTTACTTGGAACTTCTAGGTCTGTACTTGTTTGTTAATGGAAATAAAATTCGTGTATAACTTTTTATTAATATTCTCTAATTTTCCAACTCTCAAATGTTTAGAGGCCGTTCTTCCCAAGTTCTACTCCTGGCTATTTCGATTAATAATGAAAAAAGCAATGGCAGTGTGTGACATTGTCAAGATGTAAAAAAGCGTGAAGGTAGGATGAAGCGGGGATTAGAAAATAAACTTCCTTATTAGGAAACAATGATGAAGATCTGCTCCGCAGTATCTTAATGCTTCACAACACTAAGAATGCAGTAGTAACGGTTGGCTTGCTTGCATATGTATATGCATGCACAAGGATGGCCCGAATCCTTATTTGATTAGCGGTCTAGATCGATGATGCAAGGAGTTTGGTTTCACAACAAGATGCCGTCTCATTTCCTTGCGTAAGCCTCAAAAGTATTAGTCGCAACACTCTGAGCCTCGAAGACAGTCAATATATTAAGTGCAACCTGCCGCACTGCGGCTGGTGCATTTGCGACTTTGCGGATTGAAATCATGTGAATGCTTGGGGTGGTGGTCTTAACGATTTCCCACGATGAAAGACTGGACTTAATTCAACGTACTTCCACCTCACTTCTCACCGCCACCCCACCATGCCTCCACCCAGTGCGAAAGCATCAGAGCATCAAAGGGGGGTGTCCAGGGCTAATAGTTTCTGTAGAAAGCAAGGAAACAAGGTACAAGTCACCATTGCCCGCAACAGGGTATTGGGCAAGGTGACACTGCGGTCGTGACTTTGGAAGGAACCTTTGATTGACTTCGACAGCAATAGGTCTGTCTGCACAAAAGCAATCCAATGGAAACTTGTGAAGCAACTTGGGAGTGGTAAAGATCCTTCCGATCTGAAGAAGGTGAACGATGATATACCAAGGAGTGTGGACTTAGGTAGGGGACAGCCTGGCCGGTAAGCACCGCCCCCCGGAACCTCGGTCTGGTCACTCTCTCGTGCGTAACATCGAGGGAAGGGCGAGAATGGATGGATTGCGAGGATACTAATGAATGATCCTTGACACGAAAGGAGAGTAACTGCTGCTAAATTCGGTGAACGAGCAGATCGCCATCTTGTCGGTGCCTCGTTTTACAGAAATAGCCCCTCTCAAGGATACAATTTAACAAGCTAGAACAAAACATACACAACATTCGAATCTGGTCCGAAGAAAGAGGAGACGAATGCTACAACCCACGACACATACTCCCAATCTAGCCATCGTTGATCACAATAGGGCTTTGCGTTTACCATCCCTACCTCCTTGCGCTCCCCAACCTGTGCTGGCCGGCCATTGAAAGTAGTGCACAAACATCTTCAAGCGGTCAACTACGCTCCGGTGTGCCTTGGAGCCGCAGAAGATACGTACCCGCAAAGCCCCCAGCTTGACGTCTTTTAGAAGCGCGGTGAGCCGTACGCTTCTGAGCCCGCCAAAAACAGTGATGGAACTGGGCAGAGCTTACTGGCTTCAAGGTCGGAATGACCTAGCTCTTGCTCTCCGACCGTCAATGCCGAAGGCAACAGCACGGAGACAGAATCACGACAACTTTGCAACCCTGTAGGCTACCAAGGCTGTGGATCAAGTAAATCTGCCTAAGTTTCAAGTCCACTTGGCCCTATCCCATCAATGGACGTGCAGAGATCAATCCACTGGATCTTTTGATGATGACTAGCCGTTGCCTCAAGGACAAGGACAGACTTCTAACTTCCTTCGTTGGGTCGCCATCAACTTCCGTTGGACAAATGGAATGGCTGCCGAAACAAAAAGAGACTGTCCTCGATCAAAGTGAAGTCAACTGGATCACCATCGCAACTACCCTTCCCCTCTCCACTTTTGCCATCAAGCTTCACTCAATCTGATCAGTTCAGAAAGAAACATAACCGTATCCGTCTCCGTCAAGGACGAGGCCTTGAGCTAGTTAGCAGAACCCGCATTATCGAACAAGCGTGAAGTCGCAGATGGCTTGAAGCCAGTGTCTCTCTCGGTCTCGTAGACACGTGCGGGGATTTGGCCGCTGACAACAAGATATGTATGTCACTTCCTCGTCTCTGCCAACCCCGAGGTTGGCGGATCTGGTATCGCTGTCTCTGGTACGCTCCCCATTCTTATCTCTAACGATGTTTGTGCCGATAAAGCAGTTGGTTCTGATGTCGCTGCCCGTTCTGAGGTCACCGGTTCTGCGTGGTCCTCACCAGCTTCGGCCGGAGTCGTCATAATGCTTAGTAGTGTAAACGAACCCCTCTTCGACCCTCGTGGCCGCTTTCCTGGTTACTTCCCCCGCCCGTTACATCAACTCGCGTTGCTTCTTGCGGTGCGCACTCTCGTCGAGCAAGCGGAGACCTGTTGCTGTACAAGAGCTCAACGCTTTGATCACAGTTCATCGAGACCCCGGAATTAGGCAGGAGGGGCTGAGGAAATATCGGAATAATGTGTCGAGGAAAGAGGAGGTCGTTGAAGGCAGAATTATGCATGATTTCCCCGAAAAACCCATCAAACGGATCTCCTGGGCAGACTGTAGCTCAGTTCTTTCAAAACATGGCCTAGCTCATCTCATCTCACCATAAGCAGCCTAGCGTCCACCTCGTGGGACTCCGCCTCTTCGAGTTCTCATCGTCTTGTGAGTCAGTCGGCTGGAATAAATTCCATCAGATAAACCTCCGGCTCCTCCTCCGTACCATTCGTCTCTAACATTTCCTAACCTCTCCATCCATCGCATTCTCACCCTCGCAGCTCTCCCTTGTCGTCGTGGTATGGAGGTAACATGTCGTCGGCGTTCCCAGATATCTCCGAAACACCCCACCTTCCCAAAAGCGGCACGGAAGACAAGGCCGTTTCATTGGCTCCGGCATCTCGGACATCATGACGACGGCTCCTGTCGGATGATCAATCATGAGCAAGCATAGCCACGACGAGAGACCAAGATCACAGCCCCCTCGATTTTATGTGCGCGAATATTGAATGAGTTTGATTGAGAGATATAGATGAGAGATATAGATAGGAGGAGAGGCCGTGAACTGAGCCTTGAAGGCAGAGAGAGCGGGGGTTTGATGTTTGCTGTGCGCAGGCTGCACTGCCGCAAACGCCAGGACGGCGGGCTCTGCCAGCTCGTGACAGTGAAGAAGAAGGCTGCGTGGGCGACTGAAAAGTAGTTTCGAGGTCCAAGAAACGCTTCGAGGTATAGAGGGTGTGATTTTGCTGCTTTTTGGAACATTCACGGGAGCTTTCCTGACCAGCAGCATTCCGGAATCCAGCCCCGTCTTGGCACCAACGTTGGTATGTCTAGTTCATCTCCTTGCCTCTTCTGCTTTGGTACACTGCCAACTTCTTGATTCTGAAAGCTGTCCTTATCGACCTTTCGGTCCGTTTCAATGTCCCACGGGTGGCCCATACAAGTTGAGACTGTCGAGTGACAGCGGTTGGTGGGGTCCTTGATTGAAGGAATGTAGCTGATTTTAGATGTACTAGATCTCGCTGGCCTTTGACCTCCATTGTTTTGTATCGGTCCTGTACTTTCGTGGTACTCTAACGAGGCTTGAGTCCTAGGCCAAAGGTTCTCGAGAAGGACGCGCAGCAATCCCAGCAACCTAGTCCCTCCTTTTCGTATCTTGCATCTCTTGCTCTTGATCCGCCTAGAGTATTGGCTAGAGACTTCGACGACTTTGAATATGCGGCGGATCCCAGAAAAGGCAGACCAAAACCATTTCCCAACATCGAGGTCCCGCTCTCTGACTGATCAGCCACTCATCGAGGTAAATGTTCGACTTCCTTTTCATAGATTGGCGAGGCTGATTGTTTGATTCATCAGACATCCTTCGGTACAATAACCTGAAAGGGGCTAGGTGTTGTAATTGTCCTTTGACTAAGTGAGGGGGGTGTTTTGATGAGAAAGACTTTTTTTGTCAATTTTTTGTCGGTCGCGGGTCACGACGGAGTGGAAAATTCACAACGCCGAGTCGTATTATATTTTCGATCTCAATAAGTCACTTTTCTCGACAACGACACGACTATATCTCCTTTGCTTCTGCCACTCACAGCCAGACAGAGCTCTTGAGATTCAACCATCGACCATTAGAACAGTCAGCACTATTGTATCTGCATCCCCTCGTGCGGAGAGATCTCTGCTGCTATGTCTCTCCCTACCTACGAATCTACTGTCAAGGGACCGAACAAGCTCACGTTTGTGGCTCCGTATCTCGGCCGGTCCTCGTTGTTAGCTGCGTCTCTTGTCTGCAAAGAGTGGTACTCGATCTTCGCTGCCCAGCTTTGGAGCGATCCTATCAAGCTGGCTGCTGACACACGCAATCCGTTTGGTAAGGGCTCCCTCCCGGCCACAGCATTCTGCTAATACCCTGCATAGCCAATACCTATCTTTTCTTCACCAACTCGAGTGCCTTTCCCGTATTTCCTCGTAAATGTGTTCTCACTCTGGACTTTCGACCACTCAAAGCGTTGGAGAGGCGTTTCCCACAAGACCATGCCAATTTCAGCCAAGTCACGACTCCTAAATACATATTCAGATGCGTCCCATTCTTCGAGAACGTCCGATTCCTTATCATCGACAACACGGGAAGATTCGACTACGATACCCAGCAACCCGTTGAAACCATAGAGTCCGATGAAAACAACAAGCTCCTGCTGTTTTCGTCCGCCTGCATCCCACAGTTGGACTACAAGCTTTTCGTCTCAACACCTATTCTCTACAATGTGATGTACCTGGATCTCTCGAACACCTCGAATACGCAGGCATGGAACTCGCTGCTTTCGTTCCACTCCCTTAATAATCTTCGGATCCTCAAGCTGTGTGGGCTTCGGCTCACAGACCAAAGTTTCCCATTTGACGCCCTCCACACCTCGTTACGTCTGTGGAGTCTAGATCTCCGACTAAACTCATTGACGGATCAGACGATTGACTTCCTGCTAGAGAAGTGTTTCGCTCCGATGGCTCCTGTCCCAGCAATTGCGCCTGATTCCGACGAAATCCTATACGAGGACCCCCCAACATATGACTTACGGGATGAAACAGATCCCACTTATCCCTCCTACAACCTCTCCGTCCCCGTCCGCCCCGACAAAACGGACTCTTTCATCTCATACATGAAACGACACGCCGACTTCAGCAGCCCTTCATCGCTCGTCCTCCCAGAGAGGGACCCGTTGAGAAAGAGCACGGGGCTGACACACCTCTACCTCTCATCCAACCGCTTCACATCAAAGGGGATCCACAAACTCCTCTCCTCCACCAACCGCCTGCAAGTCCTTGATGTAGGCACGGTCAAGTCAAATCCAAACGTCGATTACCAACTCCCGCACACCACTTCTTTTGCGCAGCCCAACACGGCCCCTCTCCTCGATCGCCAAACAGGAGACCGCATCGAGGACCTTCGCATCCACCACTCGGTCGTCAGTTGCATTCCGACTATCGCCCAAGGTCGCCTCGAGATGGGCTACACACCTCAGCATCTACACAAAGCAGAGAAATTCGGGGATCTCGAATTCCAATCCGCTGCATTCAGCCCTTTATCCAACTACCGTCTCTCGTCTCTTACTTTGACCGACATCCCGCTCAGGTCCACCGGTCCCACGATTAGCCGTCTTATCACATTCCTCCGTCTCTGCGCCAAGCAAGAAGCCACCCTCCTCTCGGCGTCTACATCCGGGCCCCGCAAAACCCGCCATAGCCCGCGTCTCCTTCCCGGTCTGAGAAAACTACGATTGGAATTCATACACGGGAGATCAGGGATGGATGAAGTTGGGCCCAGTGTGTCGGGAGATCAGGATGCGGATGAGTTCCAGGCGCAAAGCCAAGGCGACTTTTCGTTCTTCGCGGATGAGAAGATGCAAACGAGTCCGATTAGTCGGCGGAGCAGCATCTGGGGGACAGGGAGCGGGAAGAGTTCTTTGGCGGAGGTGGTGGAGACGAAGGATGTTTGTGAAGAACTTAAGATATTTAGACAGAGGGAGCAGCCGAAGTGGGGTGGAAGTTTGGAGTTAGTTGTTCCTAGCAGACGCTAGGTAATGAGGATGCAGTTCCCATGTTCTAGAGATGGAGTGGCACTTTGCAGGTTGCTGTTCCTGCTAGACGCTGATCAGGAAGATTGAGGTGGCTCTCAAATGTTCTATGGAGTTGAATAATTGAGGACGCCATAGTCAAGATGCGTCATATTCACTTGGCATAATCGAGGATGAGTCAATTCAATGTGTTTGAATACCGTAGCAACAATACCAATGGATCACTTCTTCCACGTGTAATTCATCCTCGAATACACCCTTCTTCCTTGCAATGCAATGCATCACCCAACTACAAGCTCTCAACTTCCAGCTTGGCTCCGTTCGGGGCAGCGTTGTCGAGACCGTGTGCTAGCTCCCATTGACGGAACTCCTCAGCCGAACCTTCCTTCTCCTTCAGCTTCACCATCAGCTTGGGCTTCACGAAGAACCCGATGACGCGAACGCGGTCCATCCAGTCCTTGCTCTCCTCTGCCAGCTCGATGTCGAAGTGCCAGAGGAGTGTTGTTAGGATTAGCTTCATCTCCATGATCGCGAGACCTTTGCCGATGCAGTTGCGTGGGCCGAGGGAGAACTTTGTGAGTGGAACCGAATCAGATTCATTTCATGCCAATTTTAACTCCTGAAGGTGGAGCACGAGTGGGGTGGGAAGAGGAGAAAAGTGACTCACAGGCTTCACAGCACCCAAGTTATCGCCCTCAAAGCCCTTTGCATCCTTGAACCACCGCTCAGGCCGAAACTCATGCGGATACAGAAAGTTACCAGAATACGTATTCGCGGACAAGACATTAACGGCGACTAACGTTCCTGCAGGGACCCAATTACCAGAGATAAGCTTTCCGCCTTTAGGCACGATTCTGCGTAGATTGCCGGGAATTGGAGGGAAGAGGCGGAGGCCTTCGTTGATGCTTGCGGAGAGATACGCAAGATCTTTTGTTTCAAGAGAAGGTAAGGTGATTTCGCTAGGTGAGCTGAGTTGCTTGCGGATTGCTGCGGTTAGGGTGAAGAGGTAAGGTTTCTTTGTCAAGGGGGATTGGGAGGAGAGGAGGTAGTACAGCAAGCCGGTGAGCAAGGTGGCTGTTGTTTCGGCGCCGCCAACGATCAGCATGCGGGAGGTTTCAACGAGTTCTAGATAGCTGATTCCGTGGGGATCGTTGAGCTTCCTTAGGAGGTGTGTGGTGCTGCAAGACGAGGGTTGTTAGTAGGGAGAGAGTAGTTAGGGACAGGAAAGAACAAACAAGTCTCCTCGAGCCTCGTCAATTTTCAGTCGTGCGTCAAGTCGTTCCTTAGAAAGGGTAGCGTGCTTCAAGTCGCCTTCCAAAAGTTTCTTGTCAATGAATGGGGTGAAAAGGAAGCTGAAGGGCCAGAACTTAGCGGCTGCGCTGATGAGAGCAGCGCCGGAGATGCGGGCGAAGATGAAATTGATCCATGGCTATAGAACGTTACTTCTCTATATAGAAAGGGCAGGGTATATTGGACGCACGTGCAGTGTAGCGCTGGTCAAACAATTGAAGGAATCTCCAAACACCATATCCCCTGCGATATCGAAAGTAAGGAAGTTGAAGATCTCGCTGAGATCAACGGGCTCGCCAGCTTGAGACTTCAGGAGGTCGATGGATTGGTTTGTGTACTTCATAATGATTGGTTCTTGCTCACGGAGGTTGGCGTTGGAGAAGGCGTGGGACATGTTGCGTCTACAGATGTCAAAGTCAGCAGCAGGAATGAAGCCAGATATGGAAATTAGAAGCAGGCAAACAAACCTCAACCTAGCATGCTGCTCATCATCAAGTTCGAGCATCGGGCCATTTTCACCTGCCTTCGAGGCACCAGAGGCCGCAAAACTGAGGTCCTTCTTGAGCTGGCTCCTATCTGGTAGTCGAGTGTAGATGTCGTGCCATGCGTCAACAGTGGTGTAGGAGAGTTCGTTAGGCGCCAAGCGGACAACAGGGCCGTATTTCTCGTGAAGTTGGTGTATTTTCCAGGGGAGAGTGCCACGGAAGAGATAGTAGGTTTGTGGGAGGCGGGAGATCTTCCAGAGGAAAGGACCAGGGTATTTGGAGAGGGGGTGGATGTAGACGCGGTAGATGATAATACAGAAGAGTATGTATGCAACTGCGATGATGACAACCCAGATAGCTAAGTCCCTGCTCAACACCGACGCCATGGTTGTGGTGTTTGTGTCGTGTCGATGTCGTTGAGAGAGATCGTTGTTTGTGCTTAGAACACTCATAAGAGGGGAAGGGAGTATGGAGCCGATTTCGGACTGAAGAGTAATTCTGAGTGCAGTAAAGCATGGTGCGCATTTTATTCGTTCTTTGTAGCAGCGATAGAGGGGGTGGTTACACTCGTTGCGGCACAGGCTCCTTGGCAGGGGGTCGTATTTTATGCGAGGCAACCTGGTTAATAAGCCAGTCAGTCAGCTATTAGCTAAGGTATTCTGACAGCTAATTAGCTTATAAGAGTTGAGTTAACTAATTAACTTAGCAAATTAAAGACATAATCTTATAAATATTTTTTTGATTATCTAAAACTCTTAAAAAGAAAAAACTTGCTTATACTTTTTTTGTCTTTGTTTTATAGTCTTTAGCTACTAAATAGTGCTATACAGACGCAATATATACACACTTCATTTGAGCAAGTCCTACTCCCCCAGAGTACAGCCCTTGTAAGGGCTCTCACGCGCAGTGAAAGCTAAGTACTTGCCCCCCCCCCCCCCCCCCCCCCCCCCCTCCTCCTATTTTTGCTTCTGTATATCGGGTACTAATTACAACCAGCATACCGGCCAAAATGTGACTCTCCCTTATGAACGTTTTATATAATCATCTTCCATATACTTGCTGTTACGGGCACTATCCTCCTAATATAGCTTAGTCCAGGTCTCCCAAGTTCTTTATTCTCCTTATCTCTCACGTATTTCCTTATACTGCCCGAAGGGGCGAGATAGGGCAAGCTGTCCACGTAACCCACTAGTAGCTATCCGGTTTTCTGCTATCGTAATTAATAGTTTATACGCAAAAGTGGTTAAGGCCCCCATGGCTTGCGTGCGAACGATTATATTTGTACGTACCCAAGAGACACGTCGAATTCCGGCTACAAATTCCCTTCCCTCCCCACGCTCCTGCTTTATACCGCTACAGGCCCCTTCCTGTTCACTTTGTTACCGTCGCTAGAGGTTCCAAAGCCCCTAATCTAGCGTTTCTCTTACCTTAAACGTTATTTGAAATTTAGCCTTAACCGCTCGTGGGGAATACCCTTTAGCCCTAACGGGAGATACGGCTCGTCATACGTATTAAAGGAGGAGTGGATTAACGACATATCTAGAGAGAAAGTCCTCTAGTCTCCAAATTACTATATACTTGTCGATTCGATATGCCTGCTATGTCTAACCTTAGTATAACGTAGACTCGCATATACATATATCGCAATAGTTGACCTTGAGGGAATCGACAAAGTGTATACTGTGTGGTCTGTTGACGCGTTCTATAGAGCAGCGGAATCGGAAAGAGCTGAAGGCGCTGAGACAATGTAACTTCCCATACACTGGAGCGAACTAACAGTTTAGGATAGAATACGGGCCCCCCAAGAGTTTGCAAGGAACATTTCTGGTAGAAACTATGATGACTATTACAGGGACTATAATCTTAGAAGAGTATTACATACAGTGGAATTAGTGAGCTGTTGCGCAGGTCGCCCAAGGCCGATGTAAACGGTGGCACTCAACTCTCTAATTATACATGAGCAAGGGAGGAGGAACGGTTGAGGAGCAACCACACGATGTTATTTCTCGGCCGGTCCAGCAAGTACAGAAAACTGTCCCCCACACCCTGCAAAGGTAAGCCTCTTGCCCTTCACATCGCCCTTCTGTAGAAGTGTAGGAGTCTTCACAGGCTCCTCTGTCCCAAGACCGGTCCGGTAACTTTCTGAGTAGCCCCAAGAATATGCTTTGCCATCCGTAGTAATGGCAATAGAATTGTCGATAGCAGCGGCGACGAAAACTGCTTGGATATCTGGGATAATAGTAGGTTTCAGTAGAATTCGTGGATTGCCACGGCTGTCGAAGATAAGATCTTCTGGTTGCAAGTCTTCCAACTTGATACCTGTCTGACCGTAGTCGCAACGGCCCCAAATTAAGAGCTTGCCATCTTCGGTACAAGCAATTGAATGCTGATTTCCACCCCTGATCTCTCTGATCTTATAAGGCCTAAGATTCTCGACAACAGTCGGCTTCTCAATAAAAGCGTCGTCCTCCCCAGCTCCAACCACGATTCCTGCCTGTCCGAAATTGTTCAACCCCCAAGAGTATACTTGACCCTTGGCGTCAATAGCAAAGCTGTGATATGCACCACAGGCAATGTAGGTGATTTGTGGTAGGCCGAATCGACAAGGAGTAAGAGCCTGAAACCGAGTTCGATGTACTATGTGACGACCAAGCTGGCCTTGTTCGCCAGCGCCCCAAGCGTACACTTTGCCTTTATTATCAAGGGCTAGGACATGATTGGTTCCTGTAGCAAGGGATTTGATCTTCGTTAACTGAGGGATACGAGCGGGTTTTCGCCGGCACTTCTTTTTGTCATCCTTCCTTTGGACAGCTTCGATGGCGTCTGCTGTAAAAAGGCCCATCGCACCATCATCTCCCTAATATTATCAACAGATAGTTATAACTATAGGATTAATGGAGGAACTTACGCTAAATGTTCCCCAACCATAAACAGAACCATCAAGTGTAAGCGCAAAACTAGCACTATCAGTTGCAGCAACTTGAACGAAGGCTTTCACACCCTTGCCAAAGAACTCTGTTGGAATAGCGGTAGGTGTGCTTTCCTTAGGGCTCAAAACATTGTCTTCATCCTCATCTTCTGAGTCCAAATCTGTATCTCGACCAAGCGCACCGTTATCATTCACACCCCACGTCAAAATCTTCTGATCTTGAGTTAGAGCTACGCAGTGCATACCTCCTACCGCAATCTGAACGACGCCAACCGTTTTGGCATCAAGAAGCCTATTGATGCGGGGATGCTGAACATCAGTAGGTTGCATTCCATCAATCGCCTTTGGGCCCAACCCAAGTTCACCAGATTCGCCGCCACCGAATACAAAGACGTCCAACGTCCGTGATGGAGCAGAATTGATCGCCGAATCGGGTTTTAGCCTTTTCGCAACAGCAGCTGGGGCGGGCTCATTGGCGCCCTTGCGTTTTCTGCTCGGTGCGGGCTTCGAAGCTGAAGAGGTTATGTTGTATTAGCAATTTGATAGCCTTCAATCAACACCATAGGAGAGGGGACTAACAAAAAGCTGTTGTCGCAGGGTGCTTTCCATCGGCAGTCTTGGCTTGCGCCTTCGTAGTGGCGGCCGCTTTGACGGACTTCGATGAATGAGCGGTTCGTGGCATCTTTGTTCCGTTCTGCCCGCAACCAAATAGCTGCTTTCTTCACAGTTACTATCCTTAGCATGCGTTAGTGATCACGTCGCGTGCCTCGACGATAATGATTCGGCCAAAGTAGAAGAATTTTCAAAGTTCTCACACGAGTGTGTTGTTTGGAAAACCGGGAATATGTAAATACCCCACTGGGTGTTGATTAGGCTGCCGTTTGGGGGCTACTAACCCAAAGTAGAGGCGCTCGGACAGGAACACCAAAAGTCTCGCCTTCTCTTTAAATTTATTTAAATTTATAAGGAATTAATAGAATTTAATATTTACTTTATTTACTTATAGCACTAAATAAGCGCTATTTAAATATATATTTTTTAAATTAAATTTCAATTAGTAATAGTTCTTAAATTAAAGAAGTTAAAAAGTAAATATTTTATAGTCTAAAGATAAGCTTAAGAAAGCCTAAAAAATTAGCGAATAAGTCCCTAAAACTGGACGTGAGAGCCCTATAAGCCCCTAATTTATAAGACCTTAGGACCTAAAACTAGAACTTAATTAATTTAGTATTTAAAGTCCTTTAAATTAAAATTGTATTTTAAGAAATCATTTTATTATAAGTTAAGAAGCACATAATTATATTATAAGTCTTATAATATACCAGCTTATACTTATATTTAGAAATCTAACTTAAGTTCCTTAAATACCCTAGCCCCCAATTAACACCCTAATTGACACCCCGGGGGTTGTTGTTTTACATATTCCCGGAAGCAGAGGCAAATGCCACAATACAACTTCCATTTTCGATATCCAAATGTGCTTTGATTAGTAGTGATTGAGGTTCAAACTTTTTTGGTCCCCTTTCTAGCTTTTAGAGTGAACAGCTACAGTACAGAAGAATTTACAATCTTGACCCCCCTACCCCCTAGATATCATACCGGTCCGTCTCATGCTTCACCGGCCTGTACACAAAATAATCAAACTTAGCCTCCTTGGCCTGCCCATTCAAATCGCTCGCCGCCACCCCGACGAAAGCCCCCGTAAAACTGCCATGAGCATGATGACCCCCACACTCATCGCTCAAAATACTCGCATCCCACCTCTTCCCAATTTTCGCGAGTTCCTGGCCCTCAAGCGCATACCAGAACTGCCCCTCAGCCCCCCTCACCGTGAGCGCGAGTTTGACCTTCCCTGCCTTCGGGATCTTGACCGGATCCTGCATCGGGAAGGAAAGCTTGCCGTCTGGCCAGCTGGCTTCCGAGGACATGATGAGGAGCTCGCGCTCCCCGTCGCTGTGTGCGGTGACGGCGAGGTAGAAGAAGTTAAAACGACAGTAATAAGCCGTCAACCCCGCAAACTGCCTCTCATCGCTGGGCGCAAAGTCGATGACTGTTTCGGCGTCGAAGGAGAAGTGCGTCTGCCGTCTCGCAACGAGTGCTTGCTCGAACCAGGAGCCGATGGATTCTCTTCCTATCAAGACGAGTTTGTCGTCCGAGATGTTGAAAATCCTCTCGTGCTCCGGCGTCCTCAGCCATTGGAAATCCTGATGCAGTTTCTTCTCAAACGTATACCTCTTCTCCTCCCAATACACACTCTCATCCCGCATCCCCGGCACATCAACAAACAGACTCGGCACGGGCCCGTTCTTGACATACAGCCAGTCGTCCCTCCACTCCGCCTCTTGGATCGAGGTCTCGCGACCTAAGACGCACCGACGATTCTGCGTAATAGGACGCCCGGACAAATGCACAAGATACGTCCTCCCCTCCGGCGTCTCGACGATATCGCCATGTCCCGCCCTCTGCAACGCAGCCCAATGGCTATCTTTCGAACTCAAGATATACTTATCAGGATGCAGCTCATACGGACCCCAAATATCCTTACTTCTCGCTAACGTACAAGCATGATCATACCCCGTCCCTCCTTCCGCCGTAAGCAAGTAAAAATACCCGTTCCGCTTATACAAGTGCGGACCCTCAACGAGATCCAATTCCGTGCCCTTAAACACATTCTTCCTCTCGCCAATCAACCCTTTCTCAGGACTCCACTCCTGCAACGCGATCCCGGCAAAGCTCCGTGGCCGCCGTCGATGGTCCTGCAGCATATTCACAAACCACTTCTTGCCCGTCTCCGCATCGTGGAACAGGCTCGGATCGAAGCCGCTGCTGTTGACGTACACCCGTTCGCTCCACGGCCCCGCGATGGCCGGCGCCGTCACGATGTAGTTGTGCGCGTCTTTGAAACTCCCGTCTTTGCGCTTCACGTCCGTGTACACGAGCCAGAACTGCCCATCGGAGAAGGAGAGGCAGGGTGCCCAGACGCCGCAGGAGTCCGGGTTGCCTCGCATGTCGAGCTGCGAGGCGCGAGATAGGGGCCGCGTGACGAGAGACCAGTTTGCGAGGTCGGTGGAGGAATGGATTTGCACGCCTGGATACCACTCGAAGGTGCTGGTTGCGATGTAGTAGGTGCCATTGTGCAGGAGGATGGAGGGGTCGGCGTTGAAGCCTGGGAGGATGGGGTTCCGGATTTGAGGCATGGTGGGCTGGGGATGAAAGAGCTGGCTCTGGAGTTTTGGGTGAGGGGGTGAGGGTGAGAGAAAGTGTGAAGAGGGATATAAAAGTATAAGAGTGAGAGTGAGAAATGTGTGGTGTGGTGGTGGCGTAAAGTGAGGTGAGGAGAAGCGAACCGGAGCCCCCCTATTTAGCCGAATTACCCGGGCGGGCTGGGAGAAGACAACAAGCTGGGCTTTTGGCTTCCACAATTATTTGAGATTTTTCCTCCTATGATATGAGATCTTACGGAAGCGTGGACGTGCACTTGAGTTTCGTAACTCGAGTTTTCTGACGATTATTCCGAAAGATTGCGTCTTCCCCTGACCAAAGACCATGAGGCCAAGTGAAAGTCACATGATGTATGATGCGGGGCTAATGTTTTGATTCAGTGTCTTTCCGTTTAGTAAGCAGATATCGATACTTCCAGTAAGGGGGACATGGCATCCAAAGGGGGAAGGTCAATATGGAAAGTTTAGTCGAGGACTTGAGGCAGGCAAAGAAGCCACGAAGAAACGCAAACGAGCTCTTGCTTTTCCGAAGTTTTGGGTAAGACGTAGGTCCTGCTGTGCAACATAAGGCTTTCCCGGCTTCCCACTTTTTCTCTTGCTTCACGGGAACTTTTCCATCCGTGCTCTCGAGAGCGGCTATCGGGAACGAGAATGGAATGGCAGAGGCGTTCAGAAGAGCGGCGGATCCGGGAAGAGGCGACCCCGAAACCCTTGGTGGATCGACACGCTTGAAGATCTTTGCTTTTCCCCATATGTACACTGCGTCAATCATATTGCGTCCCGAGCACGGAGGCCTGCTCCGCAGGTCTTACGGAAACCAGGCACTTGGGACAGCGGGACTCGTAAATCCTCAGCCATGTCTCGTTTCTCTCCTTTACCCTCTGTTGTTGGTCTCATGCACATATCTCACAGCCGATACCCATCACTCGTACCCGCGCCCAATCAAGGATGATAGCTATTCATAAACCCCCAAAAACTATCGTTGCCAAAATCACCCTCAAACTGCCAGGCCCCTCCTTCCCCTCCCACGCTAGCCCCATTCACCCCATTCCAGCCTGCATCCAGAGCAGCGCCTCCGCTCAAATCTAGACCTCCACCTCCGTCCACGGTCCCTAGGTCGTTGAACAGCAGATCGTGCATTGGCTGTAGCGGCGCTATGGAGCTGAAATCGTAGTTCTGATTTTGAAATGGGGTAGGGAGAGGAGCTGAGAAGGCGTACCAGGCGTTGGATGTCCCGGGTGTGGGAACTGAAGGAGGCAGGGCCGAGGTCGTGAGGTTTGAGATTGTAGGGAGGTTGTAGGGCGTCGCTGTTGCGGTGTTCTTCTGCTCCTGCGAAGCATCGGGAGGAGGTGGGTATACCGGAAGCTTAGCAGGAAATTCCTCCTTGATTCTCGGCTCAGGCGGAGATTCGTTGTTCGACGCTGAAGTTGAGGACGGAGCAGGTGTTGGGAGAGGATTAACGGGATATTTTGCTTGAATCAGAGCCCGTTTTAAACGCACGTGAATTGCCTTTAGAACGCTGAGTGCATCGTTCGCCATGCTATTTCTCGGGGAAATTGTCTCGAAGCGCTCCATGCAGAAGTTGAAATGCTGCAAAACGTCGTCTAGATCTTCGCCATTTTCGCTAGGGTGTAAGATGTAGATTGCCGAGCAGAGGATGATGGCATCGAAGGTGTTAAGAACAAGAGCGAACATCTTGTAATGATTTACCTTGATCAGGTTGAAGAATGTGCGTTGGGCTCGCAGGATCTCGAGACCAGCTTTCAGGGCTGCGGTGCGAGATGAGGGGTTGGTGAAGATGTAGGGTCGATGGAGGGCCATTATTGTAAAGTTTGTTGCGTTACGGAAGTTTTGGCGTGCTGCTGGGAGCCAACTGCATTCGGGGAGGTGGTCGAAGGTGGTGTCTGGGTTTTGATGTCGGAAAAATGGGGGGCAGTGCATGGTTATTTGGCCGAGAAGTGTGTGCATTTTTTCAACTTTTGCGATATTGTTTTGACGAGGATCTTCTTTCTCTAGATTGAAGATGTCCCACAGGGGTGTTATAACTTCAACGTTCCAAAGAAGCATCGTCAAGGGAGTTGGAGGGTCGTTGTCTGTTCGTGGTGCTGGTGCTACCTCCCTTCGATTCTTAGGTATAGGAGCATCGATTGGGAAGGCCGGCTTTCCATCTCGACTATCGATTGTTGCTGGCCGTCCAAGTACCACCGCCATGTGTATATCCCATAGCGAAAGGAGCATCCACACCCGCCGTCGGAGCTGTTCAAACCATAAGTTTTCCAGGACCTCCTCCGGTGTCGTTTCCGGCTTCCGTCTGTGATCGAAGACTTCTTTGTGTAGACCGATTTCTTGTGCGTCTCGAATCGTCTGAGAGAGGTTGTGCCAACTCTCAGGAACAAGCCCGCAATTCTTCATGAATTGTGTCCGTAGAAACCCAGCTTGTACTGCGACCAGTGTCGTATTGCGCTTTCCAAGCAGACAGAGTATTTGGCTGCCCGATTTGCTGTAATCCGTCGCTAGGTCGTCCAAGGACATTGCGGCTGCATATTTGAGTGAGTCGAGACTCGGGTCATAGTCGGGAGGCTGGAATTGCAGAGCCAATGCCAGGATTTGGAACAACAGGCCAGGGAAGAATTGTAGATCACCCGACAGCTCCAGAGGTCCTTTATTGAGCGCCGAGTAAGATAGGTTATTCCAGCTCTTCAACAGATCCCTAAATATGCCCTCGTCCAAGGGATAATATTGCAGATTGACCTCCTGGAAGTAGGTTGTAACCAGTTGCTCGATAAACGGTTTGGCAGGGAGCTGTCTGATCAGACTCTTGTACTCCTCTCGCAACCCACTCTGATCACCTGAGGTCGAATGCAAGCTCGATATCAGAGCGCCGTTGGTATCGTTGTCTTCGATCTTCTTGAATATGCCGAGCGTGGTGTTGTTGTTCCCGTTCGACTTTGCATAACCAAAAGCACTGAACTGTGCCGCGGTGTTGGACTCTGCCGGTTTGATGACGCTGTATACCCCGCCGTCCTCAGCAGCTCTATTGACGCTCTCCTCCAGCAGCTGCTGCTTCCTCGCAGATTCGTTCTCGTAGTGGCAGAGGGATTGCTTGTTCCTGGCAAGGCAATTCGAGCACGGCGATGCGCGATCGCACTGCAATATCAGCAGAGTGCTCGGTCGGGGTAGGTGCCAAGTACCTTTTGTTTCCGTCGATGGCATTCCGTGCAGGAGATGACAATCCTCTTCCTCTTCCGCGGGACCTTGAGGGGACTGATCGATCGCGGGGATTGGTCGGTCGAGGTCTCCATTGTGAAGTTGTTCTACAATCGCATAGGGCTGAAGGGTGTGGATCAAGGCCGACCGAAAAAGTTGCTGACAAGCTTCGGGGGAAGCAGGACAACGATATTTCCTGGTTCCTGGTTCTTGGGTCTGGGCTTCTGACTGCCGAGAGGATAAATCTGATGTCTCGAACTTCGTTTCTTTGATTCTGGGGAGGGAATTCCGAGCGGAGGGCGTGATATTGAGCCTTCAAAGCGCGTTAGTCGATTGTCGACTGTCGATGTAATTGAGGAGGCGCATCGGACGATTCGTCAGCGGAGTTAAGGAGATAGGCTCGGGTGGGATCTCACTGCGCATCCACTGACTGCACTTCCACTGCACTTGCACGCCCACTCCACCTTTTTTGGCAGCGGGCAGCGGCAGAGATGCCTTCACATCCAGGTGTTAAACGTCAGAATATCCTGTCCCCACGTGGGAGCGGGCTTCAAGGTTTCGGGGTCCTTCAGCGCGAGACGGTCTCATGTGGTGTTCTAGAAGCTTTTTTTTCTCGTTTACTCGAAGAGTCAGTCGAATGCTTGGGTGTAGTCAATTTAGATAGTACTGTACGGAGCACGAAGCAGGCGCTGCATTCCTTCCAGGCCGGCTAGAGCCGAGTCCCAGTTCCGAGTCCAAGGTCCAAGGTCCCAGCCTCAGTATTTTGGCAGAGAGGAAGAGGGAAACTACAAGCTCACTACACGCTCACTTCAACCTCATCTCTCTTCACGCGACACGCGAAACTATCTGCGAACCCAACCCAACCCAGTCCAGCCTATCCCAGCCCACCCCCTGTCGTACGAAGACTGCAAAGACAACAAGCAGCACCGACCCAGCGTGGGGTACTAGGAAGTACGGACAGTACTGCTGTACCACCAGGAGCGGGGAGGAAGGGATCTGCGCCGAAAAAGCGCCTCATTAGAAAACTGGGATTTCTTGGCGCAAGCACTGGACTGTACTGTTGTGCTCTCTTCCGTTCTGTCCTGTGATGTCCCGAGGCCTGGCCTGCGCTTCCAACCGCTCGCTCGTCTCCTTTGGCCATTGGTGGCCACAATTCGCAGGCCATCCAGCGCAATACAGTACTTACAATATATATAATATTGAAGAGGGCGTGGGTGACGCTCCGCTGGCCCTCCGGGGGCCACTGCCGTGGAGGCGGGCCTTCCTGGTGTGGTGGTGCCAAAAAGTGAGGTTTTTTCGAGCGCAGCGAGGTCTGGGGGGTTTGGGGGGCTTGCCCCCCATGATTTAATGAAGAAGTGTAGGAAAGTGTAGGAAGAGGACCATACTCGGTACAATATCGACGTTGGGGGTAGATGTGTGTGTGCCTCAGCCGCTCATTCGCCTCGCCTCCCCTGAGGCCCCCTTTTCTGCCGCCAGGTCGTCGTCATTATCGTCCGTCCGTCCACCTGCATGTGCATTGTGCACACACACAAAGAGATACAGTATTGTAGTTCATTTATGTATATAGAGTTTGGCTGACCGAGAAACTTTGGCGGCTGCAGCTTTGTCTCCTTTGCTTTGCAGGACCTTTTGCCTGTCTCGCTTCGCCAATGACGTAGATGGCGCCGATCCTTGGAGGCGTCAAACAATCCATCCATCTTCTGCTGCCACTCCCTCTCCAGTGTCCTAGTCACAGTCCCAGTCCCAGTCCCACGCACTCCCATTCCCACTCCCACTCCCACTCCCACCAAATCACACTTCTTCTTGCAGCTCTTGCTCCCCCAAACCTTCTTTGCCTCCCACCCCTTCTTGCCGTGCGCCTGTCCCGAACCGATCTGCTTGTCAGCCGTCCGCAAATCTCTGTTGACTCTGTTGACTTTTGCCCTCTGCCCTCTGCCCTCTGCCCTCTGCCCTCTGCCCTTTGCCCTTTGCCCTTTGCCTTGCACACAGACATTAACCTTATTGAAGTGCAGCTAGCAGACAGAGTCGAACGCCTTCCCATCCCCGACCCAGACGATCTATGATTATTTCTCTCCCCCCGGACGCTCCACAACCGAGAAAGAACGCGTCCTTGGCTGTCTACTAAGTAGAGCCCTGTCAGACTTCGCATTGCAATCCGCCCCCTCACAACAGAAGAACTGGCTCCCAACAGGAGACCTCTGAGGGCCCATGGCGCCCGTGGAAGCCACCATCGCCCTGTCGCATCAGGAGGGGATTACTGACAGCGCCCGGGCAAGAGAGCTGTACAAGTATGTGCCTCCCTACTTGACAGATGTGTCCCAGCACTCCTGGGGCTGCTTCCACAATACTGACAAAGCCCTTTGCAGATACTACCAACCCAATGCTCCCATCAACGCTGACACATGCTTCCCTGCCCCGCCCCCCGCTCCAGAAGATGATGAGCCGACGCGGGACCTCAAGGTCAAGTCAGAGGTCACCTCGTCCAAGATCTCTTCTCCCGATACAGCACTCACTGCCTTCTGTCAACTGACAACATGGAGGACGGGGGCCCAGAGAGCAATGATAAGGTTGGTGACACGTCACCAAGTCTGGGAACATTCTAATTGTTTGCAGCGTCATTGATGCAGAGACGCAATACTTCATTGCCGAGAGCACCAAGACCGTGGATCTTGTGGACAACTCCAGATATGAGCTCGGAGACGACATCTGGATGGGTTGCGGCAGTGTAACCAAGGCTGGCCGGCTGTGCGAAAGGTGAGAAAGCTATCCTGCTACAGAGGTTCGCTACTAAACGAAGCAGAACCATTGCAGTTGCCCCTGCCAAGCCTGGAGACTACCCATGTTTTATTGTCGAGAACTTGAGCCAGGATGAGCGCTTCAATACCCTGCCATTCGTTACCGGGGATCCATTCCTCAGGTTCTACGCCGGAGTACCACTGATAACCAAGCGAGGGATCCCAATTGGAAGCCTTTTCGTCGTCGATGACCGAGCCGGACTTCCGTTGAGCCGAGAAAAGATACACTTCATGGGGACAATGGCGGTGACAATCATGAAACATATGGAGATGGCGAGAGAGGTAGAGGAACATCGACGGGGAATGAAGATGAGCCGGGGTCTTGCATCGTTTGTCGAAGGGCGTGCAGAACTAGCTGAAGCAGACATGGAGGCTGAAGATAATGAAGGCACGCGGATCGCTGGCCAATTTGAAGAGCCTAGTATCACCAAAACAAAGTCTAAAGGGACAAACTCTATCGCTTCGGCCATTGGATCTGCGGCCAGCATTGAAAGAAAGGAGAGGGAGTACTCGGCTGCGCTTTCAAAGACGGAGGAGGCGATCATGGAATCCCAAGTCCACACTCCCCAAACCGAAACCACGAGCACTCGGCCCGAATTTGAATCCGTTTCCCAGCCAACCTCATTTGGTGGTACGAGTGTGAGTGTGTCGTCACCCAATGACACCCAGGACAGATTGACTCCCGCCGGGGATGATGCATCTGAAACGTCGTCGCTGCGATTGTTGTTCTCACGTGCGGCAAATCTCATTCGAGAAGCATTCGAAGTGGATGGTGGCGCTGTGTTCTATGACGCCCAAACAGGATTCAGCAGCAATGCCGGAAAGCAGGACCCCAGCTCAGCCTTCGTGCGAGAGGATAGTCAAGCAGACAGTTTAGCTGATAGCAGCCACGCCAGCGGCGACGACCAACCTTCTTCGGGCGAGCAAATCTCTGATGAAGAGACCAAGATCATTTCTCCCACTTCCCCGGCCCAAAGTAGTCCACCGGGACTCGGCGAGGGGATGTTCTCACGGTCGACGAAAGATTCGGGTAAGACCGTTGAAATTCTAGGGTTTTCAACCGCGGACGCCTCTTCTATTCACGGCGATGCGCTCCCTGGACCAGAATCATTTACTCCCTTTGAAGAGACGTCCTTGCATACTCTACTGCGCCGGTATTCTCGAGGGAAGCTATGGACTTTTGATTCGGACGGAGCAGTCTCTTCATCTTCCGAGGACGAAACATACAAGCGCTCAAATCGAGAGATAGATCAACGGCGAAACGACAGTCATCGACGTAAGGTTCGGGGCCAGAAAGCAAAGTCCGATGCCAGATTTCTGGCGGAGCATTTCCCCGGTGTCCGTCAACTGCTTTTCGTTCCTCTTTGGGATGCAGGGCGTTCTCGCTGGCTTAGCGGCTGCTTTGCTTGGTCCACGGAGCCGACTAGGATTCTATCAAAGCAAAGCGAACTGGCGTTCCTGACTGCCTTTGGCAACTCGGTCATGGCTGAATGGGCACGGATCGACACTGAGATCGCAGACCAAAAGAAGGGTGACTTTATTGGAAGTATCTCGCATGAGCTGCGATCACCCCTTCATGGAATTCTTGCCAGTGCTGAATTCTTGGAGGAAGTCACAACCGGATGGGAAAGTAGACTCGTTGAGACCATTGATAGTTGTGGAAGGACATTGCTTGATACCATTGTGAGATTTCTTGATATCGCTTTCTTCCGTTTAATCAGCGCTAACTTCTCAGAATCATATCCTCGATTACTCAAAGATCAACCATTTCGAAAAGAATTGGCGAAAAAACAAACGGGACGGCCGCCGACCAATGGCATCCCGCGGCGGCTCTCTTTCTCTACGGCAATCTGACCTTCCGATGCTCAATTTGTTCCAAGATGTTGATATCTCTGTCATCTGCGAAGAGGTTGTGGAAAGCGTGTTCGCTGGTCACGTCTTCCAAAATATCACAGCTCAATCATTCGATATGGTACCCGATGCTCGCGGAAAGATGTCTGATCCCAGAAATTTCATCGCAGCACCAGATCAATTGATGGGCCCTGGACAAGCCCCGCCTTCGGGAGTGGCCGTCATTCTCGATGTCGACCTCCAGAATTACCATTTCACAACCCAGCCTGGAGCACTGCGGAGACTCATTATGAACTTGCTCGGCAATGCTCTCAAATACACTTCACATGGCTATGTTCGGATCAAACTTGATTCCACTGACATGGAAGATTTACCTGGCACTTCTGGATCACAAGGCAGCAGTGATGCTGTTCCGAGGTCTTTGGTAACCCTTACTGTAACAGACACCGGAAAGGGTATCTCAGCGGACTTCTTGAGGTCGAAACTCTTCATGCCCTTTGCGCAAGAGAATTCCTTGTCAAGTGGTACAGGTCTTGGTTTGTCTATTGTTCGGAAGATCGTGTCATTGCTGGAAGGAGAGATTACAATCGACAGTGAGGTTGGACGCGGTACCCGTAAGTTATGCTCTTCTCGTAGTGATTTCGTAACTAATCCTAAAACAACAGAGGTCCGGGTTACACTTCCTCTCCTCCGCGAAATGCCACGAACTACCGACTCTTCTTCTAGTACTACGAAGTCCGTAATGTCCGTTCCTCGCGAAACAGATGAATCAATTATAGAACTTCGCGCACGAGTGAGAGGTCAGAGAGTTGTCCTCCATGGCTTCGATATTAATACAAAAGACCCCATTGTCCGCGAAATGGGCAAGATACTGAAGGCTTCGATCGCTACCTTCTTGGTTAACTGGTATGGGTTGAGGATTGTTCCACTTGGCCAAAAAGCCAACATTATCATCTCGAACGAAGGAGGTCCGACGGCGATCTCGACACTGGTCGAGAAATACATTAGCCTCCACAAAAGTACTCCATCGATCATTGTTCTCTGCTCACATAGCTCAAGATTCGATCGCAGCCTCAGCTCAGCCAGTCAATGCAACGTCGGGTTCGTCGCCAAACCAGTCGGTCCCCTCAAACTCGCTAAAGCCATCACACAATGTCTGGAAGGCGAATCCGGCACCGTCACGCCAGGGCCGGATGGTCCCACTTCGCAACCGGAAAGCAGCGACCTGAGCAACGTCTTCGAAGAACTCTCTCTAAGCCCTCGTGGGGGAGAAGTCCTTGACAACACCCGCATGGCAGCCGATAGCGCCAACGCACGAAAGGCGATCGAAAGCCCAACGCCCAACGCAATTGTCGAAAAGCACGCTGAATTCCCCTTTCCCCCAGCTCTTGACACAAAGCCTAGCATGCCAAAATCAATCACAATACCCGCAGACAAGGCTACCCTATCCCCAGTCGCCGAAAACGCTGCTCAACCTGCTTCCCTCACCCTCGCTGCTATGGAAAATGCCTCCCTAGCCTCCAATCCCAAGACTTCGAAAAAGAAGATCCCGACCATGCTCCTGGTCGATGATAACCAGATCAACCTCAGGTTGCTGAGTACGTATCTCAAGCGGAGAAACTACGAGGTCATCGATGAAGCGAGCGATGGCTTGGAAGCCGTGAAGCGGTTTGAGAGCAGGGGCGAGCAGGGGTACGACGTCGTGTTCATGGATATCACGATGCCGGTTCTCGACGGCTTCGGTGCCACACGACAGATTCGAGCCATCGAAGAAGCGCGACAGGATAAAGCCGCAGCCGATCCCGCTCAGCCACACGCAGGTGGAGGCAGGAATCCGGCGCTCGTCATCGCTTTCACGGGCAGGAGTAGTATTGAGGATCAGTCCGAGGCGTTGAGGGTGGGCATTGATCTTTTCATGACGAAGCCGGTTGCTTTCAAGGAAGTGGGCAAGATTATCGATAACTGGGTTGCTAATCGTGAGCGAGAAGGACGCGGGGGTGAGGAGAGTGGTGGGAGTGCATGACAGGCTTGCGAGTCTTGAGTGCAGAGTGAGATATGGTTGTAAATCGAAATGAGGAGAGGGGGTACGAAGGGAAGCGGGGGTGAGTGCATGGTTGGTGTTTGTGGCGGGGAATGGTGGAGCATTGCATTTAGGGCGTTTATGGTTGAATGGGAGTCGGGCTGATAGACGGATGGACGAAATGAAATGGGATTAATTGATGGCATGTCAGAATACAGGATACCAGGCCGGACGTTGGCGTTGCATGCATGTTGGATGGGCTGGATACCTACGGTAGATAGATGAGAGCGACGAAAGCAAAGGAACGAATAAAAGTCCGTATACAATTTCATCCATCCATCCTACTTCCTCAGAACAACGTCTACGTCGGTCCGTCGGATGCCAACCGCGAGTGCCCTTACCCTGAGCACAAATACGCCCTCCGTTACCATCCTCCTTCCTCCTTCCAATGCTATTCCCTTATTCTCAAGAGCATTGCTTGAAATGCGCTCGCCTTCTCCGCAACCCCATCCCATAGTAACCCCCTGCTTCTTCAACGCGTCCAACTTCGCCGTCCTCACGAACTGGTAGCTCGGCCGGCCACAATAATACCTCTTGGGACCAAACTAAGCTTCGAGCAGTTCCTGTAACGGAGGGACCGTCGGGATGTATAGCGCGGTCGTTAGCCCGGGCGCCAGTAGGGTGTAGTCAGTTTAATTGTGCCGTGTAGGTTTGCGGTGTATGGGGTATAACGCTTCGCAGGTGAGGCCGAGGCAGGTTGAAGAGACAAAGCTCGGGGTAGGGAAAGATCTCGAAGTGGAGCTCGGGAAGCAGGGTGGTGTGGGGAGGAGATGATATCGCTGGAGCTGTGGCGGGATTACTGTGGCTCTTCAGGCATCGACAGAGTACCTTCTTACGGTCCATGGTTTCCGCCTTGTGCTGGAGGTTTGTGAATTATCTAGAGATAATGAGAGAGGGTGCTCGTGTTGAATTTGTAGATGTCGGGGTGTGAGGGTGAGGGTCTGGAATAGAGGGTTGACGGAGTTGGGCTCCCCTTTATAATCAAGAGCAGGAACCTATTTGTATTTCAAGATTCAAGGGATTAAATAAGGAGAAATTCAAGTAAGAAATGTAAAACACTTTTGGGAGCATGAGCTTCATTGTTGTCTCAAGGATTGCTTGAACTTGTCCATAATGCTCTTTGACAAGGACGAATCAGTTCCCCTAGCCAGTATCCCAAACTCCTCAAGTTCACCACGATATCTCTCGACGCCATTATCTCTCTTACAGTTACTCTCCATCCTTGATTGCTCGTCTCTTGCGCCTGTCTACTCTCACACGATGAAACTTGGATGAACCAAGCAGGTATTCGAGGTTTTGGCCAGCCCATGTCTCAAGCAATTCCCCTAGATAGTTGAATGATCGCCCGCCAGGAGCCCAATAGACGGCGTTGAGTTTAGCGGTGCGGTAAACTTTCTTAGAGAGGGGGTAGAGCTTCTTGCAAGTGAGACCTAGGCAAGTAGAGGAGACGGGGTCGAGGTACGAGAAGATTCCGAGTTGTAGTTCGGAAGGGATGGAGGTGATACTGCTGGAGGTTGAAGCTGGGATGGGTTAGATTGGTACTTAGAGTATTACGGGAGGAAAGGCTTACTGTTCATGATTGCTTGTTGAAGGAGATTCTCCAGACGTAGACGTAGAGTGGTAGAGAGACCGTGGGACTTTGGAAGGAGACAAGGAGTTGGTCGATAATGGTGTTTGATTTGGTGTGGAGAGAATGAGGGACACGGATTCACCATTGCACTTGGTGACCTAGATATTTTTGCGATATCAAACTCACAAAAGCAGCGTCGAGACGAACAAACATGGGGTGCAGTATTTCATTATGAAGTGAGCTTTGTTATTTCCTCTAAACTAAGCTCTCAACCCATCCCTGAATGCCAACATCTCTATGTGCACTTCCCCCTCACGCTCTGCGCTTTCCTTTCTCCTTTACTTCATCTGTTCCTCTCTCTGCTTATAAGAAGTGGAAACCCACCAAAACTTTCGCGCGCCAAATTGGTACCACAGCTCCGGACCAGCCCACGTCTCAAGTCGCTCCCCTAGCATGGCGTACGGCGCAAGATAGTACCATGAATAGAGGGGGACGATGCCGCGGAGCTCCTTGTGGAGTGGATAGAAAGCCTTGCAAGTCAGACCAAGACAGGCTGACAAGACTTGGTCGAGGTTCTTCATAATTTTGAGCCGAACTTCCGTGGGGAGGATGGCCAATTGGGAGAAGGCTGGAGGGGGAGAAGAGATAGGAGAGGCGATGGTGGTTGTTGCTGGATGACGAAGTCAGTTCTGTATCTCCGAGGACAGGCAGATAACTGTGGTGTGTGTGGCTTACTGTCCATGTTTCACCCGTTGTAATGTACTGTACTGTGTGAAATAGGCAGAGTTTCAAATAGATTGTTGACTTTTAGATATGTGGTAGAGGTCATTGGGTTGGCTGTGGATTTTTCCAAATAAGGGAGATGGAGTGGCTTTTAAGAGCTGGCTGGGTTTAAATTCAGAAAAGCGAGTCGGGGTACAATCAATGGAAATGCAGGAGAATAACATATCAGGTGAATTGTTTTGTTTTGTTTTATTCCTGATTCTCAGTGACGTCTTACCGGAGCATTGGGTTGTACTAAATCGAAAAGGTAGACCGAGAACATACATCCATACACGAGGACAATAACTGGTTCTATGGCACTTCACTCCTTTTGTTGTTCATCGTTATGCGATTGATTTTCCCATTTCAGGATAAGAAACGCATTTAAGCAGAGTGGCCAGCAAAGAAACGACCCGGTATCTCAGCAACCCTTGGTCTATCTGCAAGACCATGTTTTTCTCTTCATATCTTTCGGTGAGGGTACAGGCCGATGGAAAGACAAAAGATGTTGTGTGGAAATATCGATAGAAGCACGTTGCAGTGAGCTGTAAACGAACATGCTATAAACCTTGAAGACAGTGAGTGGGCTGACACCACAAATCCGTTTGATAGTAATACGTACTACGTATCTATTGCGCATTTTCAAACCCAGACTTCCTCTCGCCAACTTGCGATGACTTGCTCCGGCCTAAAGTGGAAGCTTTTATCTCCGACTTCATGATGGTGGCTTAATGTGAGATATTACATGGAGGCGTGTCTCTCAAATAATTGGGATGGCAATCATCAGTAAAACGAACCTTTCAGCATTTAAATCGAAGAAGTTGGCAATTTAACACCTACCTTCTCTAACACTCAAAAGCAGAAACACACACCTTACTCTCCCTTTTCTCATTTAAGATGGCGATCCAAGATCCACTCGAAAATTACAATGGGCTTCCGGCCTCCTCTAAATTCCACTTCATAATTTGTTCATACATCCCCAATTCGAACCTGTTGACTCCTATTGAATTACTTCTCAAGTCTACCGTAGCCACTGGAGTCTCCGCCGCATGTCACGCCTCAAGACTTGACAGTCCCTCTCAACCAGCATCACTGCACGAGGCCAAGCAGTCATAATCACCTCCGAATCCGCACACAGCCCCACAGCAACTCGAATAACATCATGCTGAACGGGGAAGCGGCCGTCGACTCAGAAATTATACACGCGGCGTATTTTAAGGAGAGGGGTTCATTGGATGTCGTGACCAGCGAGAAGAAGGGGAATTGGCAGAGCATGGCGCAGTCTGCAATCTTAATGATTGAGGGAAAAAAAGCGACGGGACGGTTCTGGGGAAGTGGACTATTGCGCCAAGCATGGTATGGAAGTAGTTTATTGGATACGGGAAGGAGGAAGTGGATGTTTGCTAATAGAAAAGAGATGAATATGGGTGGAGTCAAAGATAGACCCGAGTCGGGCCAGGTGTGGGATACTACCCGCGGCAAGTTGGATGGGAAACACACGGCGCATAGGGTGTATAAGATGGTTAGTGTTTGGAGCATGATTGAAGGGACGATATGTGGTTAAGATCGAAAGTTACCTCGATGGATTGTCCAGTCTGCGTGTGGGAGTCTCTGGTGTGTCCCTGAGAATAGTTTCCTTCCGATCACTTCATTGTTTTTCGCTCCTCTACAGGCCGAGTTGTGTAAGAGTAAATCCAATATAATGCCTGCTAAACTTCATATTTCCGTTGTATATATCTTGTTTGTTCCAAACAAGGTCGTTATTCAAAACCTTTGAAGTGTTTACATTGCAATTCGGCGATCATCAAGAACTTCCTTTTTCGACCATGTTTTCAAATGTGTCCCAACTCAATAGGGGAGACAAAGAAGCAACCAACCTTCGTCGGAATCTCGTAAAAACCTAGCAATTACTTCATATAACTATCATAAGTTGAATTTTCTTTGGTTCGTCTGCAGTGACACACCAACACTGGGGTCTGACTCAGAATTCAGGGTGTACAGCGATATTAGTAACAATCGTCTAAATCGCATTTTAAGCGAGAGCGCAAAAAGGGTCGAGAACACCAAAACCACGAAATTATTTTCTACGACTTCTCAATAATAATAGCCTTAATTAAAACGGCGATAGGCTCAAATTAATGGGGGCTTTTGGGGCTTTCTTTAGATAAGAGGTCTATTTGGCTAGAAGCAAATTAATTATATAATTTAGTAAATGGCGATTTTACTTTTACTTTTGGTATAAAATAGTATTAATTCGCCGGCCACGGCCCCAAACCTTATTAAAATAGTCTAAGCTCTTAGAGAGAGTCAGGGAATATCTGGGGCTTTCTTTTATTAAGAGGGCTGTTTGGCTAGAAGCAGATTAATTATATAATTTAATAAAGTGCAATTTTTACTTTTAATTTTGGTGTAAAATAGTATTAATTTGCCGGCTATAGTCCCAAATCGTATTATAATAATATAAGCTCTTAAAGAGAGTAAGGGGACACTTATGTAATCTATTTAAGCCCGAGAGTACTAAGTCTAGAAGTGTGGTTTGAAAGTTATTTAGAAAAGGAGTCAGAGGGATACGAAAATCGAAAATCGAGGGGCTGGGCTTGGCAAAGCTTGGCGCGCGAGGCTAGAAAATCGCATTTTTGCCCGATCTCAAATAACTTAGAAATTATAAGTCCAGAAGAGGACTATAGTAGGTTAAATTAATCGCACTAATGCCCCCATCTATTTTAATTAAAATTATGGAGTTCTATTAATAAATGGTAATACAGTCAATATAATTAATATTATGGGTTTGGTGTTCCTGACCCTTTTTGCGCTCGCGCTTAAAATGCGATTTAGACGATTGTTACTAATATCGCTGTAACCCCACTAAACGAAAGCCAATCATGCCCCACTTCGGCGGACTAGGCTAGGGGCCTGAAGCGCACCAGTGCTGTATGAAACCCCGTCCTTTCGAAAGAGAACTTCAACTTTCTTTTTTGTCGTCTGTCACGCCGTCGAGAAGAACTTCATTCCAATAGCAAGTCACGATCGCCAATATATGAGATGATATCAGGCCGAGAATCATTCAACATGAGACGGTTATCGGATCCGAAGCAACTGTGGATATCAGGCGTGACGACTACCTGTCTCAAACAAGATGTGGACGTCGTCGATCATATAACATGAATTGCAGTGTAGCAGATCCGGGTATCTTGATGGGTCAGCAAGGTTGCCATACAACATGTTCTTCCACCTTTGAGAGCTCCAGACGTGAGCTCTTATACAGCAACAGACTCAGAGTCTCCTGCCAGCGCATTATTTGGTCTTGCGAGTGCTCGTTCGTGATCCTTTCCGTGTTTGGCAAGTTCTACGAACACCAGCCCTAGCTACCGTTTCCTTAGCGTCGTTTCACGCTGCCCACAAAGCAATACGAAACGAAACTCTTGAGCAGTTCCAAACATTCTCGATTTTATGCAAGCACAAACGGTCGTTCATAGTGGCCAGCTGCTGTCATGCCTTAGAAGGGTCGTAGAAGAATTTAGCCGTCTCGCACGTGGAGAGAACCGTTCATCGTGGAATTCGGAGTTCGGGTCACAGAACCGTTGCAAACAGCCTTCACACGCATGTCGATGACCCGAATTTTCGAGAAGTGAAGGGCACCTTGTGCGTGCATCTGTCTCCCTCCGTGGGTACCTGTCGTGATTTCTTTCTCTTCTATCACAAAGCCATCTATACCTGGGTTAAGCGTTTTCAGTACTCTAGATGGCTGGCCTCATCGATAACGACGATTCTCTGGAAGAAGGTCGTTCCTTACTTCGTACCAATGTTTTTAATCTTGAGAACTTATTATTTCCTAATCATAATGCCGCCAATCCTGCTTCGTCGACACTTTCGGATTCCAGAACACCAAGGACAACTGCCCCTCGAGATGCACTCGTCACCATGCCTCCAAGTGTTCTCGAACTTCGACAGAACAACCCCCAAGACTGCTCAAACCTCATCGCGGCCTCCGTCGACAGAGCAACGGTCGAGATCTCGAGAACTATCATAGCCCTAAACGCCACTTTCTCCCAACAGCTTCAACAAGCATCGATATCCGCTTCCAATGGCATCAAATCAGCACAGAACTCAGCTACCTCAACCATCCAGGTTGTTGTACTGAGTGCTAGCAGCGCCACATCCTCTGCATTTTCCAGTCTCACCATCGCCAACTTAGCAGTAACAAGTGCGAACTTTGCCTTGACAAACGCGCAGTCGAGCGCCAGCACTGTGATCGCTGCTGCAAATTCGAGCTTGACACTGGCGAACTTGGCAGTGACGAGTATCTCGTCGGCCTCCAGCAGCGATGTGTCGACCCTGAGTTCGAGTCTATCCCAGCTGCAAGCTAGTCTGACTTCTGTTCAGGTGAGTTACTCCCAGGTGAGGGAGACTCCGAGCAAATTTGCACCACTAACACGAACTGGTAGTCTTCCACATCTGCTGCCATAGCGGCAGCCCAGTCAGCACTTGCATTTGCTACCGGATCGGCAGCAGCGCAAGCTTCATCCATCTTGGCATCTGCAGCTAGAGCAACTTAAGGCTTAACTACCATTGCACCACTGGTGAGTTCAAGCTACCACGTTGTCAATATATTCAAGCAAAGTTGACAAGTACTAAAGCAAAGTGTACCCACCCTCGATCTCTCCAAGACGATCTCGCTCACCCCAGCTCAAGCAGGTGCAGTAGTAGCCGGAGCAGTTGTTCTCACAGCCCTCTTGAGTTTCGCGCTATATTTCTTAGCCATGAAAATCAAGAAGAGAAAGGAACGAGACAGTTATTTGGACGAGAAGGATGTTGCGAGTAGTCGGAAGAAACTGCCTTCAAGATTAAGCTCAACGCTCCGTACCGGAAATGCGATGATGATCAAATTCAATCCACCGAAATCCTCAGATGCACCTCCCCCTTCCAAGTTCGCAATCCGTCTCCCAGAAGACCTTCCAGACACTTCTTCATCCTCCGGCAGGAAAGAGATGCCCCAATCAATATCCCGGGAGACCAATCTTCTAAAAAATTCGTCATCTTCCACTTATTCGGATCCTCCAACCTGGCCTCTGATGTCGACCAGCAGGCGAGAAATTGACATATCTGCGACCCGACCTATATCAACAGAGTTCACATTCTGGCCTCTCCAAGTCGATGCGATCAAGCACACTCGCGATGCATCCCCTGTTCCTCGGTCTCCAGAAGCTAGGAGAGAGTCGCAAACTCTAAATATTCTGGATACTGGGAAGACAGATGACAGCACTCCATATATATCTCTAGCACTCAAGGAAACGTTCGGTGATCTTGAAGTTGATCCGGATCGAAATGCGCGCGAAGAGGCCGAGAAGAATACAGAGATCGTCGCGTCACCACGGCGGGAACAGACTCATCACAGGAGGGAACGCCCTGATGAAATAGTCTTTAGCCCCTTTGAGGGCCAGATTGAAGAGCTAGCTCTAGAACAAGTTAATGAAGCACAGATTTCAGAGCCCTTGGTGGAGGAGCCATTGGTAGAGGCGAGACCTGTATCGGAGACACCGGAAAGGGAATCGTATTCGGAGACTGTGCAATTTTTCAAAACTCTCGAAAGACCAGTCAACCGATTCAAAGAATCCGCGCAAGAACCTGCCGACAATTCTACTAGGGAGTCTTCAAGCCAACTAACGCCAAAAACCTTGCACGAACCGCCCGAAAGACCCGGCGAGGCACCCGGGGAGCCAAGACTGGAGCAAAGGTCCTTCGAAAAACTCCCTCAATTGACCAAAATTCCTAAAACAGAAACATTGGCTCTACTGCAAGAAGAAGGCCAGGTCAGATCCAGTACCGTGCCGGAAATCGATAGGCTGCTCCGTATCGTCGCACAAGAAAACGATCTTCTTGCTGACAAGCCTTTGTTTTGGAGTGATTTCAGGCCAGTAGCGGAAGAGGTTAAAATGGCAATGGAGATGCCACCAGTGAGGGAGCGCGAAGTTGTTGTAGAGGCTTCACCAACCATAGAGCAAATCGAAGTTATTGCAAATGACAGCCAAAGAGGAATGGCCTTATCTCCATTTCCTCGCAAGCCAGCTGTGGACGTCCCCTCTGTCGAACCAGAACTCTTCTCTCCAAAACAAGAAGAGCTTGAATTCTTGACACAAAGAGAGCAATCACCACCTCCACATTCGCCCACAGAGGAAAAAGAGATCTTGCCACTCCGAATGAACCGCCAAATACGGAATATCACCTCCATAATCGCTGAGCACGAGGCGACTTCCGAGCTCCAAGAGCCAAATCCAGAAGAAGAAGTCGACGACTGTCAAGCAAGAGGACGCTCAATGCTCCGAACCTCAGATATAATCGAAGCCCGACTTTCTGCCATAATACGCACCAAATATTTGCCACTATTGAACACTGCCCCGCAAGAACTCAGTAAAGAGGAGAGGGACCAAACCATCTCCCCATTGAGGAGAAATCCCGTTGACCTCGCCACTGTTCTAGATCAAAGAAACAGAACTTTGTCGCCCCTCCAACAGAACCCTTTAACGTCTACTCTATCTATAAAGCGGAAATCCCGCACCCTCTCACCGCCTTCTCTACCCCGCCTCCACCCTGTCTCTCCTTCACTCTCACGAGAAGAATCGCCACTCCGCCGAACCCCCCCGTCCCCCATACCATCTCAACCCCTATCCGCTCAAGAATCCATTTTCGCTTCAAACACGGCATCGAGACCGCAAAGCAATTTTGCCTTCAGTCAGACGCTGTCGAAGTTCCAGAGTCTAGCAGAGCAGGGGACGATAAATGGCAGACAGGCAAGCACGGAGGTTACACAGAGAGCTATTGCGGGCATCTTTATTCCGGGGAGTTTGAGGGAGCAGGCTGTGAGGAATTTGAGTAAGAGTCGGGAGAGGAGTGCTTCTGAAAAGAGGGGAATTTGATAACATATAAGATATAATAAGTGGTGGGGCGAGGGGGTGATTGGAGATCGAGTTGAACTGAGAAAGAGCATTTTGAAATGCTGTAATCACACCCATTTGAAATTTTGAACACTGTAGTGTATTTCTTCCACCTGAAGTAGGTAGTGAAGTCGGTGACTTTCACCATTCAGCTGCTTTTCCCTCAGCTTCCTCATATACGAAGCAGTCACCGCCCCTGGTTAAACGCCTCCACCGCCACAATCTGATAATTGAACGTCCCAGTCTCCAACCTCAGCTTCTCCCACGCACTAAAACGATTACTTGTCGTAACCATGCCGCCCGTCCTGGTCGTCTGCCTTATAGACCAATACTGATTGAAAGCCACCATGCACTTGATTGAACTCGCACCAGTTTGCACATCCAAATAGGTGCCGTAAACAAAGCCGTCGGATGTGACAATCCCTTTGTAGGTCCCGGTCGAGTAGGGATCATAGCCTGACCCGGATTATACGAGGGGCGAGGTAAACCAGCTATAGGCCGGAGTCGTGCTCAGTGGTGCATAAGATGGGGGCTTCGAGGCTGTGTGCGCCCTCTCTTTTGAGCTCTGGTCATAAATGTGGGAAGTTTTTCCAGCGCATCACACATATTACAAACCCCGAAGATCAAAATCGTTGAAGAAACGACTGTTTGGGGACATGGACAAATAAGATGGAGAACTCGAAACCTCTCAGTAACCCTTGCCCCTGTTGACGATCTGCCGCGAGCAAGTACCCCTGAATTTAGCGATGACTCCTCAAACTGAGTCTGCATTGTTAGATAGAAATGCTTAACAATTACATTCTTCGTGTTCAAAGCGCGGAGGATATTTAAAGGAACTTGAGAGCAAATTTTATGAAATCTTGCCCAATTCGAGAGTGAGTTAGAGGGAGGAAAGGGGCTGCTCTGCAACTGGGGGTGCAAACAACACCTTGGCATTTTGTGGGGTGCACAATATACTCGACACACAAAATTAGAAAATGTGTAGAACTTTAGTTGAATTGGTCTATAGATGCTTTTTATAGCTCGTTCAATGACGTTTCATGGTCACCTACACCGTGGTTGTCAAGGTGTGACATTTGAGCACGTGACCCCCCTTCTCCCTTCCCTTCCCCCAATCGTGCAGATTTGAAGCTCTTTCATGCTCCTTACCCTTACCCCTATACCTTTATCAAAAATTGGCATCAAGAGCTCTCGTTATCTTGAGTTCGAAAAAATCCTGGGAATGATATCTTGGTTCCAGAGGCGCGCGCTGCTTGAGAATAACAGATCATTTGTTCTCAGAAAGAGCCACAAGTTATGACTGACGATGGGCAACTCTACCGTAAGATGATTGTTTCTCTTGGAGTGCAATATCTCCCATTTTGATTCTGAAAGATACTCCAAATCGTGAAACTTGACTTATTGCCCTGTTTCTTTGTCTCCTTCCGGGCTTTCACTTACTTCAACGGCAACGATATGTCAGAGGTACTTGAGTGACAAAGAGCGATTTACCATTCTGCCCTTTTTTGATTTATTCACCATTGTTGCAATTCTACCTACTCCCAAAGCGTTGTCCGAGTCTCAGCATAAGCCTTCCCTCTTGCATTGAGCAAGCTCTGGGACCCGCTGCACTCTTCCTGATTGTTCAAAATATCTTGGAGCCCTTTGGGTACACTTACTGAAATGTGCCAAGGAGACTAGATACAATTAAAGAGTTGGCACAATGTAACCTGATCGAATACACAGTGTGGCGCTGGAACATGTCAACAAAGGACTTCCCATTGTCCAGACTTCAGCTTCCTCTCTTTCCACATCCCAGCCGCCTAAGACACATTCAAATTCCTGATCATTCAATCTTCCGGCCTTCCAAGCAACATTCAATTCTCGATATTTCAACCTCCAGCCTTCGGCCGGGGCGATTGGCTTTCCAATCGCTCTGTATCACTGGCGACTCATCTTCTGTTGTCTTCCGAAGTTAAAGCGCGGGCCGCTATTGTGTTCCAATCCGCCATTGTAAATTTCGTGACTCGGATTCACCAGCGCCATTGAACACAATACTAAATTTCCTTCCTATTGTCCCCACCAAGCGAGGCACTTTCACAGCCTTGCTGTCGCACACTCTCCTTTCCAAAAATTTCAACAACTCCTCAATCCTCGATCTGGAACCACATCGACCAACAACACCAACCACATTGTCCCACGAGACATCGAACAACGAATCCACAATGTCCCACGACATGTCAAACACCCAAAATCGCAAGCGGTACGCCTCAGAGTGGCCCGAGACCGGAGCGAAGAAGAAGAAGACCGAAGGAAGCTTCTCGCCTGCCCCCGACACCGCGTCAATGTCCCAGCAAGAGTGGCATTATGAAGCAATCCGACTCGACACCGCTATCATCGTCAAGAAGAGACAGCGCGACTGGTGGGAGGACGTGAGAGTCACCAAGCGGGCAAGATCGGCGGAGCCTGAGACAATGGTCCCGGGTGAGCTGCAGGTGAAGGAACCGGAGAAGGAGAAGGAGCAGGATGATGTTACTAAGTGGAGAGCACCTGTGCTCTGCGGAAGCACTGGTACATTCCCGCCTTGGGCCGTATTGGAGGTCCCGGGTGCAATGAGGGCTGCTGGTGCAAAGGACTCTAGAAAGCAAGCACGACCTTCCAAGCCATCGAAGGTCGCTGAAGCAATATCTTCTAGTACACCAAAAGCTGGCACATTGGGAACGACTGGCACAACGGACTCTGAACAGCAAGCACAACTGCCCAAGCCGTCCAGTGTCATTGGAGCAGCACCTTCTAGTACACCCAGCGCCCCCTCGAACAATGTCTTTGCAACATCGTCTGATTCAAGCTGGTCCGCAGCTTTCGCAGCTTTTGGAAAATCCCCAACTGATTTGGGACAATTGCAGAAGCCGTCGGCACCACTTTTCGCACCCATCAAGAAGGCGGCGACCACGGCCCCTTCTACACCACCAACCAATGTCCCCAGCCAGGAGGAATCCAATTCGATTGTCCCGGCTCAAGTGGAACAACCAACATCGCCCAAAAAGAAAGTCATTTTTGCAGATAATAAGGCACTGGAGCAGAAACTTGACGAACTGGAAGCAACGGAAGTCGAGTTCGCCAGAAAAAGCCAACAGGAGTCTATGAGCCTTTACGGCCGCTTCAAAGATGATCTGATCGAGGGAAGAGACAACTGGATCAATGGCTACAAGGACTCAGCAATCGATACTCGTCGACACCACTACGCCGACGGAGAGGAAGGCGATGATGTGAACACCTTCGATTCAGACTACCAAGATGTGGATTACGATTACGGAGAAGATAACTGGGATGGAATGGATGAAGACAGCAGAGCCCGAGCCGAAGATGAGCACGAAGAACCAACCTATGACCCCAACTTCGTCGCCGAGGAAATCAACAACGGGGAGAAATATGGAATCAAGATTCCCGACTACACGGCGAAGGGAAGGGGTTGGGAGGAGTGGATGCAGATGGAGGCTAAACAGACTGCCGAGGAGAGGGCGTCATGGAAGGCGTTCGAAGGATTTGGCCAGCAGGAGGGTAGTGCCGCGACTGGCGCGAGCGCGGAATACAAGACTTGGCACCGGGAGTGCAAGGCCTTCTTTGCGCAGGACAAGAGTGTTGAGTTGTCTATGATGACCCAGGGTCTACCATTCCCGAAGATTCGGGGGCGTCTCTGTGGTGTCAGTTCAAGGGATTGCGTCAGAGGAGAGAAGTTGGGGATCTGTCAACACGATGTCATGCGTGTTCTGAAGGGAGCTGGTGTTGATATCGATGGAGAGGAATGGCTTGAGCGACTTAAGAGAGAGAGACTGAGATGGCATCCAGATAAATTCAGCAGCAAGATGGGGAAGAGATGGGAGGCGGAGGCCAAAGAGTTATTCCAGATGATTCAGGCATTGGCGGAGAAAGAGAGTAAGGGATGAGATACCGTTGGTACAATGTATGTTATTAAGGGTGGCAGGCGCCAACCAGGCTTTAGCAGAGAGCTGAGCAAGGAGGGAAGTGATGATTGTGTTGATGCTGTACAGAAATTGGAAGGAACGATCAAGGCTTTGGCTGCTTAGCTGAGCGAGGGAAGACGTTTATGATGGTTTTGCTCATAATTGCAATTTGCAAGCTCGATTCAGCCGTATATAGATCGCTCCTGCCTATTATATCAATGAAGGCTTTCTTCACCTCACGATCCGCGCCCTTACATTGTACAACAGAGCAACTGATGTCGTAACTGATGTCGCAACTGAGAAGACTTATTTGCCTCGTTTAGCACCCGAATGATCAACCTTCAAGAGGAGGGGCATACTCACACACGCAACTATCATGAAGCAATCCTCCTATCCCACAAAGTCAAGAACGACCAAGCGGGTGTACATCCGCAAGCAAATGGAGACAACGGCAGCCGCTGCGGAAACCACGCAAATAACAACAATCCATGGGCCGTTCGATCTCGGATCTACGGTCAGCTTCTGGACGTGAGTCTGCCTGCGCATCTGGAGAGATATAGATTGAGAGGGTTCCAGGCCGGCGAGAATGATGGACTTGGCATGCTATTTATGCCTTCTCTCCGGAGAACCTCCACACTCCTGCATCTCACACGGTGCCTGCTATCGAAACCATCACCACAAAATCGACTTTCTAGAAATGTGGCAAAGCGAGCAATTGGTCTCAGTGCGACCAGGCTTCGGAGGCTTCGGAGGCTTCGATGGTGTCCTTCCAGAAGTCGGATCCGGGGAAGATCTACGGTTCCTGCAGTCGATCAGATCCTGGGTTGGGATTGGATGATCTTGTTTAAGCAGTGGAGTTCTCGATTGGTTGCGGCGGAGCGCGAGGGCTGAGATAGAATGTGGAGAAGAGAAAAAGAAATGTTAAGTTCCACTATCCTCTGAAGCAAGAAGTCGACAAAGTCTTTTAAGACTAAACCAAGCATATCCTCGTTCAAAAAGCACTCATTCTATTGTCTCCCAATTATTCCAATCGGCAATTAATTCAGCCTGATGTTGTGAGCTGCTCAGGAGGTTGCTCCGATAAGCCACGATAAGCGCTCGGATCTCCTCGCTAAGCCGAAAGGGGGCGGCGGTAGGCGGCTTTGACGCTCCGAGCCAATTAAAATCTCTCGTGAAGTGCCGGTGAGCCAAGTGCCGACCTTTCCGCCGATAGCTCGGACGGTCTCAACGGTTGTGACGCAACCCCTCACCTGGATCACCTGGATTTTTTCCTGCTTCAATATCACCTTAATAGTCCAACGTCCCAATCCCTCGAACAACAGAGAAAATGGGATTATTCCCGTCCCAAAGCTTTCGTCGGCGTTGATGGGATCAACACAAGAGTTGGCCCCGGTCGCCGGGTCTGGAAAAGAACATATATCCCCACGCAAGATCATGGAGAGATCCCAAATGCTCGAAAGACACAACTCCAACCATGAACCACCACATCCCCTCGAACAAGAGCTGGGAACTCGGTCTAGTTCCAGCACGCAAACCTCTCGATCATCACTCAAATCCTCCTTCCCTTCACAGCATCCCCCAAGGGAACCTCCACCACTTTCCTTCAGTCCCTGGTCCAAGAAAAATTCCATCCTCCTCTGCACCTTAGGCCTCCTCTTCTTCGACCTCATCCTCCCCTGCCTCCTCCACTACACCCTCGCCTCCTACACCTCCCTCTCCCTTGCCATAAACCTCGGCCTCTCCTGCGCCTCTCTCGGTCTCGGCGAATTGTTGGAACTCCCACTACGAGGCTATCGATTATTCAAATACCCCTCGGAATACGCACCGCTAGGACAGGACTCAAAATGGGGTGCCGATTTCCTGCTCTGGTGGTACCTGACTGCGACCGTGATTGGGATCGTGCCGTATGTGATATCCACAAGTCTCGATGAGCCGATATTATGGCTGTTCCTCTTCACGCCAGGCTTCTTGGTGGGGTTTGCGGTGTTGACTGCTGCTGCCAGTCTGTTCCCGTTCAAACTTCCGTTCCGAGTTAGTAGTGATGCGAAGGGAGAGAGTTGTAAACCTTTCACATATTATGTTATCGAGGATTTTGTTGCTGTGGATGCGGGGCAGGGGAAGGGGTATAGGGAGGAGTTGAAGGAAAGATGGAACACGAGTCCAGTCTTCAGGAGGATGATTTGGGATGTTAATCTTTGGTGGACTATTGGAGGGGTGATCTTTATTGCGGCACTGGCCGTTGTTACCTGGGGATGCGATTTTGACACGGCGTATGGCTTGTCTTTTGGGGTACTGTTCATATGGATTGGGGTTTGGGCGCTGGTGACTTGGTTATGGGTGAACAGAAACCTCCGTGTAGAACGCGAGTGGTTTGCGAGGAGGGCCGTTCCCATAGAGGGGAGTGTAGAGAAGGAGCAGGACATAGCATGAAGATATTTGCGTAATGATAACATTGCCATCTACCGGCCACACTAGCAAAAAAAATCATGGGAAAGGAGCAGGCCTAAAAACCACCGTTTCCTAGACGAGTGAAGCGACAGAACCACGCTGGCCGATCCCAGAAAGTACATCAGAGGCAGACATGAAAGACTGGGGGAATCGTCCAGGAGCATCTAGCATTCGATTCCGCCAATGGATGCAAGTTGTACATTGAAGTCAAAATCCGACAAGCATCGGCTATGATACAAGGCTGCCAATGCTTCCAGCCATCATGCCATTCCTTCAATACGCCGCCCCAATGATGGTGTACACTCTCTTCTCTTTCAAATCCTTCTTTATCTGTTGAACCAGGTTGTCTCGTCCGTTTTTCATACTGCAGCATATCCGCCCCGCGTACCTGGTCCTGATAACGTGTTCAGTACCCTCCGCATCCAATCCTTAAGCAAGTATGGCACATCTCGGATCGTGTCCCCGTGAGGAAGAAGGTCCCATCCACGCGCTCCATATCGGTTGTAGTTGAGCCAGGAGCCAAATATCAGGTATGTAGCAGTCGATAAGAACGCGCTGTAAAAAGATTAGCAGGCCATCTCTGCAGAGTTGAGTGTTGTGGGGGGACGGGAGAAAAATACATGATGATAAACCAAGTGAAGAATCCCCAGTGACTCTTCTTCTCTGCATCCTCCTCCTTCTTCGTCTCTTCGCATGCATATTTTGTCTTCCACAACAGAGTCAAGACATCCTCATCTTTGCCCGATTTGTCGTAATCTACGAATTGCAGGCTCGGCTCCCCGCTGGCCTTCTCCTCCCGTTTGGTATTCCCATCCCCGTATTTGTCCTCCGGATCCCAAAGATTCTCGTCTCCCACTAGCGATTTATCGCATATAAACTCCACAAATGCCTTTTGTTTTTTCTTCGAGCCGTCTACCGTCCTGAAGCCCCCCTTAATCTCCAGTCGTACGCCTTCCTTTCCAGCATCCGTATCCAGCTTCGAAGTCTTTAGTCGTGTCCATTTTGCATCGGAATATCCGCCTCCTTGGTCTCTCAGTTCTCCAGCAATAGGAAACGCATCTGAAATGAAATCCTTTTTATCGTCTTTGTTGATCACACGCACGATACTGCACACTACTCCTTGTCAGCGAAGCTCGTTTGCGGGAGAAATCGGTTGGGGAAGCTCACATCGAGTACCGCCTGGACATTTTTGATCGGCCGGCACGTCGTTCTTCCGCTTCAGAGGCGCGCAGAGGTCGATTGTGTATGTCGTGTTCGTCCAGCTCGCTGAACCCTCATCAGCATGAAGGACTGACTTCGGTCCTCCCAACGGCTTGAACGTCCAGTCGACACCGTCTGCTCGAGCATGATTGCAGTCTAGAAGATTCGCAGAGGTGAGGAAGGGGAAGAGGAAGATGGCCGCATAGGCGGGACTTCGAGGTAACCTCATGATCAACAACTGAAGGAGTGTCGCGAAGTGAAGCTTCTGGTGGAGAGTTGAATTCAAGTGTGGCAGAGGAGCTTAGTGTAAGAGAGAGAGCGAAGGGAAACAGGGTTGCCGTCACAGAAGATGTAATTTGATGGTGTTGTGAGTGAAAGCGTGAGCTTGCCTACCTTCTCGGGATGACGAGCGGCAGGAATGAGGCACCAACCAGGCAGCAACGCTAGCGGCCGGTAGCCCTGCCGCTTATTTTAGCATCAGATAGGACTGGCACGTGACAACCGCCCCTTTTCTGGGCCAAGACCGATCAGTTTTAGTTCCTGTCTAGATCAAAATTGCACTTGTCACAGTATATAAAACCCTCCAACTCCCCCACAGACTTTGCAAAAACATCAAATTCATACAAAATGGCCTCGCAACCAACCTTCCACCTTTTCCCACAACTTCCCACGGAGCCTTCCCCACAAGATATGGGAACACACACTACCAGCCACAATATATCCAACTCATCGCCAACTATACTAATACAGCGCAGACAGAAGAATGAGAGCACATGGTAACGGAGGAGGGTTCGGGTATAAATCTTGGGCCTCAAGCTTGAACTTTACAACGAACTTCACAACGAACTTCACAACGAGAATTATGTTGGTCTTTTGCCACGTCCACTTGCAACTTGAACTGGCTAGTGGCTTCCCTTGAAAGAACATGTGTAAGATCGCAGATTTCCCTAAATTGAAAGTCGTTCCCCTCTACGGAAACTTCCCATTAGCTTTGATCGTCGTTCGCGGTCAAGAAACCTTAAAGATGTGTTTTCTTCTTCTTTAAATGAGCGCCGGTGGTCCGAGAATGATATCCCAATCCAGTCAATCAAAGGCACAATTCCATTTCATTGGTCACTAGCCATTCCACTCGTTCTTTTCCTTGGGGATCTTAATGCCTCATCTGCTTGGAAGTTCATAGACCGATATTTGTTGCCCTCTACTGCGCTCCTATCCACTCAATTCTGGAACTGCTCCAAGGCTTCAGTCCTCATACATTTGGAGTTCGGTTATCAAGAGCCGATTAATAAGTCGCCTCTGAAAACTCGATTTGGCAAGTTTTAGGAGAGAGGTAAGGGCTAAGTTTCCGCTATTCCGGGAGCTAGCTCTACCCCTCTTCCGCTCGGCCGACTGAAACGTTGAATATCAAGAATATTTCTTCGAATCTTCGTGTTGTTCCACTAATTCATGTTTTAAGGATGGCAGAACATGGAAGAAAAATTGTGGTAGCAGCCGTAAGTGTTAATTCCGAGACAGCCTCACGTGATCAAACCATACTCCTCCATAAGGTACATCAGCAAAGTGGGGAGCATTCTGATTAACATCACCTGACAGACTCCAACTTCGCCAATTCTATCCCATCTTATGCACGTTTTGTCACACGAGCCGTTACTGCAAATTACTGTCCTGACTCGGAAAACCTATGTCAAAATTTCTACTGCTAACGGCCATTCGCACAAGCATGACCATGGCCGCACTCACACTCACGAGTACGAGTCCAACCATAACAACCAAGATGGCCATTCCGATATGGCTCACATACAAACCGATTTCTCCTCCTCGGATCTCGTCACTCATCTTACCAAAACGGAAACCGTACTCTGCGCCTTCACTGGCTCGGACATCCACCTCACCTCTTCCATCATCGACGCCTCCTCTAGAGCCGGAGTCAAGCTCTTCATTCCTTCTGAATATAGTCTCGATACTTCAAATCCTAAGATTCGGGAACTCCTACCTCCTTATCAGACGCGCCTGGAGATCTAGCAAAAGCTGAAGACGAGCGGCATGAACTGGAAAGTAATCTATTCCGGCATTATTCTCAAAGATGCGTTAAAGACAGATGGTATACTAGGAATTGATGCTCTCTGGGCAAGTGTTGTTATATTTCCACATAAGAAGGAGACCAAAATCGCTATTTCCACATATCGGGATATTGCAAAATCTATCGTCGAAGTCGTGAATGGAGGAGAGAAGAAGGAAATAAATGAGGTTCATATGTGCAGTTTCATGGCCAACTTGGACGAGATAGTGGAAGTGGTGGAGAAAGAGATTGACAAGCCACTGGAGAGGTATGAGGGTATTTATGAAGGTGCCAAGAAGGAAGCAGGGGAGAGAATGAGGATGGGGTTCTTTGATGGTGGGGTAGCGTTGCTTGGGCGGGTGGCAGTGTGGAATGATGAAGTAGATGCTTGGAGTGGATGGAAAGAAGATGTTTCTGAAAGGAACAATGGTTGGAAGCCTGAAGTGAGAAAAGTGGTGAGGATGGTGAGGGATGGTGAGGTTGGCGGTGGGGGATGTGGTTGCTAAAATGAGCTTGAGGATAGCAAACATGGTACGGTCCTGCGAGCTCATAAAATACTTTCGATTTACCACTCTACTCAAAACCTTCCAGTCTTGGAAAAGCAACCAGCCTCAGAGCAGCAGTCTCCAAACAGCAACAAACAATCACAAACAGACGACAAAAAAGAGAAACACATTGATCATAGCAACCAACCCTGCCTATCCAAATAGTCAGGCGTCAGTGAAAAGCCGAGACCCTATCATTTGTCTTGTAAAGCTAAACCGACCTAGCGTCATTTATTGCTGTGCAAACATTCTTGAGGGCGCTTGCATGCTTGTAATCTAGGTCACGCACGTTCAGAATCACCTTTGCGTCGGGATATGCTGCTATAAGTCCTGCTGCAAAGCAGGATGCGGCTGCGTCAGTCGCAACTGCTGAGTAGCCCAGTAGTCGGTCGAATTCGGGAGCGGTGATGGTGCATTCCCCTGTTTTGTCGCTGAACCGTTTCTTCCGTGCTAGCCGGACCCAGCCTTGCACACGGCGGGGATCTTCAAAGAGCATGTCCTATCCCTGGTTGTGGTATATGTTAGCAAGAGCGTCAACTTTGTTGCTTGACAAGGATTGTAGGTAAATGAACGCAGTTTCAATATTCTGTGCATCGATAACGATTTGAAGAAAAAGAACATTGTCTCGTATGGAATGGGTGGTCAAATCCGAGCCGCAATAGTGCCTTTTGTAAAGATTCTGTTCTAGAGCGTAGTAACCCTACACAAAGAACTATTGAAAGTGACGTTACGGGACGTTAGCTTGCCAGGGGAATTTCTCATTTCTGCACGTCAGCTGATTTTTCATATGGGAATTGACAAATCACGCTACCATGTATATATATGCCCCCAGGTCATTGACTTGAAGGGCCAGCTGTTATTGTCAATAAATTTTCATTCCAACAAGAACTTGCATATGTTTCGTTCGTACGCGTGGTGATGGTTCGGCTGTGCTATACAACCGCTCCACATGGGCCAGAAAAGATTGTTCATACCCATCGTGCGAGTGACAGTCGCAAAAAAAGAAACTTTATGGGCCTTGAAAACAATCCAAGCAATTGCGTGCTTCAAGCTAGGAATGACGGGGCCTCATGTACTGTGCCCATTTACTTCAAGATAAGGCCCAAAATACAAAACTTAGCGCAATCCATGGGAAGCTAAAAATTGATCTCCGAGCCTCACATCGAATTCGCTCTGCAAATCTTGTTTCCACAACTTGAGCTATCGCCGAGTCTTCAACAGACCGGAGTACGTCCACCACGAACTCAAGTCGATGTGTAATGCTAATCAGGTTGAAGATGGTCGATGCAGCTCTTATACACTCGCTAATCGCAATTCATGTGGGGCGGATGATAATAATGCGCAGGTATCGGCTCAGTGCTATGTAGAATGTATTACTCCTACCCTTGCCTAAGCGGAGAAATAGCCGAGATCGACACGAATGTCCAGTATTGAGGACGAGTCGGTTGAAGTTCATTATTTTGCCCTTGGATGAGAAAATATACACGGCTGGGGCCAGACGATACGAGATTTCTTCATATTTGCCCACATAGTCCACTTTGATGTGAGAGTCACTCGACCGCGCTGTGATAGGGATTTTCGGCTAACCCCCCGAAATTAGACGAGATGTCTCAGATTTAGCGACGGAAAAGGGGCAAGCGATTATTACGACGACGCCACTGGACCTCGGCACCCGGAACAATCAATACGATATCTCAAGTACAGGGTAAATATATACTATAACGGCGAGTCCATCTGTCTCGATAAAAGAGAATCGGAGGCTTAACGTCTTGGTAAATTGAACTCCACGGGTTCGCACGGGAGAGTGGCCTATTTCTGAGTTCATGCCTTGGCGAAAGATTATTCTTATGTAGCCCAATAATGTCACAATTAGCTGTCATCAATGAATCACCCCCGAAGATCAGCTCACTTTGTCTTCCACATCTGTTTACGGGGCATACTCAATGGCCACAAATGCAAATTTTGTCTCTACCCGTATCCCTCCTTCCACAACCCTTCGAAATTCCGTACTACAATTATCGGCGCCTTCGAATCATTGCGAGAAGAGGTAATTTATTACGCTGTCCAATAGTGGGGCTTAGCTACTGGCTCTGTAAATCTCGACATTTATACATGCTTGAGCGCATGAATTATTCAATTAAAGGGTCAATGATTACGGTCGTTGTGATTCATGTCTGGTGCCACCCTTGAAAGTCGCAAGCTTATTCACAATTCATGATTGCTGTAATCCCCGTGATTGTACTCCCCACATGTTGCCTACTACGTTGCATTGGGGGTGCAAGGGAGATGTAGCTTACCAGCACCAGTGGAAGGTCAAATCCTAGTAGAAAGGCAATTTAATCAGTTTACAATCGACATCCTGCTCTCCTAAACTCATATCAAGAACCGACCTTAGGCAAATCTTCAAATCTTCAAATATTTTTAAGAGTTGCTCCTATGGCAGATTCACAACACACATATTCAGATAAAGCATAGGGTTCTGTGAACGATTTCCTAAGGCAACGCTTGCTTGGGTACTTTTAATAATCTCACACACTCGGAGACAAGAGGCATTTCTTCCGCTACATCAAGGAAAACGCTTAGCAAGGTAACTTGAGATTTCTGACCATAGTGCTTCAACCAAGCACAATTCCGAAGCTCAACGCATAACACCATACCACCGGGCTTAAATGCAATGAAGGCGCTTCTCGAATAGAACGAGATGTCCATACAGCTTCATGAAGGCGTCAGCAGTGGGTATTAGTGGCAATTAAGAAACTAAGTTTCCATAGTATTCGACATCAACTCGTGTACAACTTTGCTTGTTCAATGACGACGTTTGGAAACTTTGTCTCCCGCCGACTTTCCATCATCAGAAGGCCTTCGTCTTCTCGTGCTTTCGCTTCCCCCGCCAACACCACTGCCTGCTTCACTGTGTCCTGGATTTCCGCTCCCAGAAGGCCTCCCTCAAGCGGTCTCTGGCCATGTCCATAACCTGCGGACCCCGCGCCTGGAGTCACTATTCCTCCGCCAGGTGCTTCGTCTCTATAAGTTCCGCCTGCAAAGTCGGGGTCATAAGCCCAATCCCCGGAACCGTTTGCACCAATCGCCCTTCCTGGTACCCTATCACGCTCCAGGGGCTCGTAAACCCACGCATTGTTCCGTAAATGGTAGGCAACCCGCACCCGCCCCGTGTCGGGCGGAGGAGCAAAAGGAGGTATTACCCCCTCGGGACGAATAATCCAATCAGAATGTACAGGCCGCCGTCGTGCCTTATTGCGATCCAACCTGGGGTGTCCCCTGGTTTGCGAACTTCTGCAGATGATCGCGTCGGCTGTCTATAGCCCCGTCATTCTATTCTGCCTCCGGGCTCCGATCCAGTGAGCGGTGGTGGCTTTGCTCCACCCATACAGGCTCTGCTTCCACCTTCGCCCCCACCTCCAAACGTTTCCATTCCACTTTGCGACGCGAGCCAGCCTCCGGCGTGAATAGGCGGGTTTGAATATTTAACACCAAAATTCTCATATCCTCTCTTTGGCGTGCGTTTGAACTCCATGGGCACCTTGCACCTAATACAAACTTGACATGGAGAGCCACCATTACAGTCGGATTTTCTTCTCTCACTGCACCTATCACATATTTTGTAGTATGCCACCGAGGGGGCCTCTCCTTCGTCAGTATGTCCGTCATTTTGATCTTTATACTGGTACTGCAGCTTTTTAGAGACGCATTGTGAACATGGCGATTGTTTGTCGCATTTCACTTTTCTCATAGCGCAGATATCACATGCCGGCCGAGGTGATGGTTTATCTCCATAGGTGCATCCCCCTTTCTTCGTGTTGTAGCAGCGCTCACATGGACTGTGACCACTACATCTACTCCTATCGCGCCGGCATTTGTTCACACGCTCGCCCACTGGAAACTTTCTGGTTGCCGTAATAGCATCACTTGATGTCGCCCTTGATGCACTGTGAACACTTTGGACTTTCTCCAGAACAACGGCCTTCCTCCCTCTTCCTTCTGCAGGCCCAGCAGACTCCAGTGTGAGTTGTATCCTGGCTGGAGTCTCCTATTTGTTCTCCCGGATGAGGAGGAGCTCGAGCTACCTGACCTACCAGCCGTTGTTGCTTCTCGTATGCAACCGCTTTTGCTTCTTCCTGCCGTTTGCGTTCTTCCATTTCTTGGGGCGTAGGCACTTTGTACGGCTCCTCCCGCCCCCGGTAATTCAATTCTTCGTATTGTGGTAAAAGACCCGGAGCGTATCCTTTCATCGACCCATTTGCCGCGCGATATCTCGACTCCTCGTGCTGACGGGCCACTTCTCTTTTTTCCCATTCTCGTTGCCCTTTCTGTTGCTGCTCTCTGTGGCGGTCTAAAACTTCCTGCGGGGGAGGCCGATACCGTTCCCGACCACCCACATATACCTCTTGACGAGAATGTTGAGGGCTGCGCTGCCTGTTCCTCCCAGTCCAGAATAAGCACCTATGCCGTCCATAGAGAGGTCCCTAGTCGTCTGTACAAGTTGACTTATTGACAAATGGTGACTGTCTTCACCATGTTCAGGATGTCCACTCCGAGCAGGAGCGGGGTGGCCCATCGGACCTAGATGCGCTCCGCGCTGGCTCGAAGGTGCCCCGCTCATGCCTCTTGACGCGGGGGGCTATTGTGAATCCTCTCGGCTCTGAGTGTGCCTCTTGACTTGTTCTTTTCTCGTCCTTGTCCCCCTCCTTCTTCGTCCCCCGTTCACTGGCCTCCGGAGCTCATTGTGCTTGACGCTTGGTTGGCAGATGTGCTTTATGTGTCGTAACAGAATCACAGGGTGCCAAGTTGTTTTTTCCGTTGACCAATAGTTTGGCTTCTTGGTCGCTCTTTGAAAATTTCGAGTGGTGGTTGGAGATTTCAGAGTGGAGTATTGAAAGCTGTTATTTGGTATCAAAGGCTGCAAAGTATGAAATTTGGAAGCGAAAAAGATTCGGTGTAGAGGATGAAGTGCGTTGTTAATAGTTCCAAATCAACTGGGTATATCTTGCCTTTCAAGTCAAAGTCTCGGAGTTGAATAATGCCTTTGACCTTCTTGCAGATTGTTTCGTGGTTACAACTAGACAGAGCGCTAGTTCTGGGAGTTCTAAAGCTTATTTCTCTACTAATATTAGGACCTTAATATGCTAGGGGCACCCCGTGCGGCGCCTTCGGCGCCTCACGGCATATAGGGCACATCTGTATACAAAGTATATCTATATTTAAAGTATATAATACTCTACTAATACTAGGAGCTTAGGAGGCTAGGGGCACGGCATTCGGCGCTTTTGGCGCCTTATAGGAGCGTATATATACGTATACCTTAAGTACGGGAAGTATATATATATCCTTGAGGATATACTTCCTAAGTAATTACAAGTAAGGGATAGAGGGACGTACGTCTTGTCCATATTTTATACGTATACCGGGGGCTAAAGAATAGCCGAAAAAGGAAGCCTTACTTTATGATAAAATTATAAAAATTAGCTTGCGAAGTATAGGGAAAGGGGGCTAGAAGGGAATCTAATTCTCAATTACATAAGCACCCGTTCTAGGGTTTACCCAGACAGGGTGCTTATGCATTCTAATCAGAGTTGGCCTCCTGTTATTTCCCCTTTGGACGTACACTGATGTTTTAGGAATGCTACGCGAGCAAAACAGGGATATTGCAGGGATTGGCAGGGGCACACTGTTTTTGTATCTATAAAGACCTGCTATGCTCAAAGACCGCTCAATTTATGGCTGTCACGAGACCGGGTCTCTGGGCTTGGAAAGCAAGGTAGAGTGGCTCAATTCCGAGGATTCTAAACTAAGGAGAGAAGCTCTTGAGTGCGGGAGCTTTGGTGTCCTAAATACTACAGCCGTATACGTCATCATGGTCACGTGACGCTAAATTTACCAGTGAAGCAGTAGAGCGTAACAATGGCTGCTTCTCTTCAGCGAGACCAAGGCTTAGATGGTAGGAGCTGCAAATTGAATGTTTGCTTCTGTGTTCTTGTTAGCGTTATGTTAAACATTAATAAGCCTTGTTGTCTTTAAGAGATACTGGATAGATGCCTCAGATCTCTTCAATGAGATAGAGGTTGGCAATGCCAAAGCTCAAATTTGAGTATCGAATTAAAGACCCTTTGAGGTTTGTACTGCTCCCTGGAGGAAATTAATGTATCAAGAATGTATCAAGAAGTATTTGATGTAGTACCCATGCCTCTTCGACGAGATCAAGGCTTGCAATGGAATTGGTGATTTTGAAGGAAGGAGGTAAATGCAAAACTGGAAGACTCTGGGCTTTTATAACAGCGCGTTGCCTTATGTGAATCAAGGCATATCCATACTTGGTTGGGTACGCTAGCACCGATTCAAGTGTCTGTGTGAATGGAACACATTTAGCACACCGATGCTCTGACTAAGATAAATCAAAGCCTCCATTTACCTAGAGCAACATCCACCTCGGTGGAGCAAGCCTCTCCTGCTGGTCATTCAGCAATTATAAACACAATTTCAACAGCCCCCGCAGCAACAATCACCACCTCCTCCATAACAGTAGCCGCCGTGAAGTCTTTTAGCACAGCAGCCCATGCAACCACCAACGGAATCATCGTTGGCCTGGCACCAGCACCAGCTCTCCGCTCCACAGTATCCGGTCGTCCTATATTCTCCTCCCCACATACTGACTGATGCTTGATCTTCTTGCTAACACTAACATGGATTGGGGTTGCAGGTGGGGCACGGCTTTGATGAGTTAGAGTTGGTCTTATGTCAAGCTAATAGGGTTTCTCGAAAAGGACAGCATCAGACTTGCCATTGTCCCCCTGTCCAGCTCTTTACATTTCTTGTGAGGGGGAAGACCTGATGCTCAAAAACTGACCCATTGAGAAGTACTGATTTGTGTGGTTATGTCTGAGCCTTCCCTGATCTTGAAAGTGATTGTGTATCTGTGAACGACAGGCGTGAATCAGTAAGAAGGATAATCTTTGTGTTCGAGGCAAAAAGAGGCTTGCTTGCGAGTCTAATCACATTAAAAGAACATGGAGTTCGGTGAATAGTGGGGTCATAACATGAAGGGGTCGTAACTTGAGGCGGTGATTCACAAGGCTTTGCGAGATGGCCGGCTAACTATGTATAAGTGGATCCACTGCCCTAAGCTGAAGCCATCCAGTTTTCAAACATTTGTAGAATATTCAACGCCAAATGGCTTAAGCTCTAAGAACTCCCTCACAATATTTAAAACAATTCTGGCGCGAGTTTTGCAAATTTTGGAAGCCTTGAAGCTTCCCTGTCACCTTAGAGTACGTCTTCGCAATCGCAATCAAAGCCCTTTGGATCGCTCAATCCCTCTTCACCCCAACATTTCCCATCTTCCTCAAACCGAAAGCCCCAATAATGCAAGCAAGTCCCATTGACGCAAACGCCGTCCAAAACCCGGCTCGATACCCCGCCAACAGTTCCTCTTCTCTCCTCATCCCTCGATCTCCCTCCTTCTTCGTCACGCATGCGGCAACGACCGCGATCAACGTCAGTCCAAGGCTAGTGCCAAACTGCGCCACGGTATTGAACACTGCACCGGCAAGTGCTTGCGTGTGGGATGGGAATTCCTCCGAAACAGCGAGCAGGCCGATGGTGAACATAATGTCACATGACAAAGGCGAGAGCAACTGTGCTGGGAAGGCGGCATACCAATATGGCCAATGCGACGAGACGACGGCCATGAGAAGTGGAGCGCCGGAGCTGAGAAGAAGAGCGACAAGGACGAGGAGGTACGGGCTAGTTCGGTGGATGAGGAGGCCGGTTGTGAGCTGAATGAGGAATCCCACCAGGAGAGAAGGTAAGATGCGTATCGAAGCTCCGAGGGCAGACGTGTGCTGGATTTCTTGAAAGCTATAGCTTGGTCAGTATGATGTGTGTATGGAATGTTCTAGGAAGGAGATGGGAATGCATCATACAAAAGCGAGCAGAAAACTTCCATTGCGTTCGCAACAGCATTAGAAAACAACACCGTGAGGCAAACGCTGGTAAAGACTGTGTTTCTCCAGAGGGAGTTTGGAATCAGAGCCGGCAGATGTAGACGTTCACGGCGGGCTTCCCAAGTGACGAAAACAGGAACAAAAATAACGCTGATCAGCAGCAGAGCAATATTTGCGGGCCGGGATATGTATGAGACGGAGCTGGTGAGTGTGCTTTAGGGTTGTCAGCAAAGAATTTGACTGATCCAGAGCACGAGAACCCACGCAAGGATGTAAGAGAACACCCCAATAGATATCGATACTACAATTGCTCCAACCCAGTCGATGTCCTGCTTAAGCTTTGCCAAAGTTGATCCTTCAATCACAGCATCTCTTGGCAAAGCCCATAAACTTACCCCAAAAAGCGCCAGCGAAAGACTTCCACAAAGGTAGTACGAGAATCGCCACCCTACACTGTCCAGAATAACACCTTCGAGTACCATGCCCAATGAGAATCCGATTGGCTGAACAAACCCTAGACACGAGAAGCCAATGTTGCGTTTCCTGCCGCTTGGAGCGGCATTCGCAACAATAGCAACGGAAGTAGGCAGACAGAGCGAGACTGCAATACCCTGCATTGCGCGGAACATGATCAATTCAATGCCTGTCCGAGCGAGCCCGCATGCGAGGATGAATGTGCTGGTAAGGAAGCAGCCAAGCATATTGACACGTTTGTTGCCAATCACGTCGGCGACGGAGCCGGCAAGGAGCAGGCAGGAACTGCTCGTCAGACTGAACGATTTAGCGTTGAAAACTCCGGTTCTGAGAGGGAAGAAGACCTACTAGTAAACTGCAGATGGCCATAATATGAGATGCTCTGAAAGAGAGAGGTCTGATGCTATTCTAGGTAGGCCGATGGTGATGAAACCATTGCACAAGCTACCCAGAAAGTTGACGCCTGTCAAGGCTGCGATGATGACAATAATGCGCCCTTCTTTCAAACCCCCAGCTTCCAAGTCGATTGGGATTTGTATTGAGCTGCCCGAAACAGATTTTGTGTCTCCTAGAGCACGCACTGGATCCGACACAGAAATAGAGTTCCGTGGCGGTGAAGGCAAGGACTCGTTTCTTTTGTCGGGCACCAACTCGATGGCGTATAATAGCTCCGACATGATGAAGTCCGTAAATGAACATGCAATCTAGATGAGAGGGAGTGAAGCCGAATATGCGGGTTTCTGGGCTTTAACCCACTTTTCTTTTGGCAGAGCGTTCGTCGTGTCAAGGGCGTGACACGGCATGCAGGGTACATTGAAGTGCTCCACAAGCTTCGCTTCGGAGTTCAATTCCGGCGTACTTGGGAATAAAGCTTGAAAGCTTGGCGCTGCGAACACCCAAATCTTTCAGATCGCGAAAACTGTAATCCTCTAATATCTAAATAACTACAAATCAGTTAATCTTTATATTACAATAACACTAGCTTAGGTAATAGCTATAGTACAACCTTTAATGGTGCTCCAAAGTCATGTTTATTCTTATATAAAGAAAGAATTAGCATGTTTTGAGAGCTGCAAAAAAGATGTGCGCAGATGTTGTGCGTGCCACACCCGTAAAGTTGGGGTTTCACTGCACTGTACAGCACCTCGAGAGCCTTCGCTAAAATGGCTAGGTAACCCTGACAGTTGTTGCCGCAGTCGGCAAGAAAATGTATGAAGCTCAACAATCTATATAGTTAACAGATACGTAATTCAATTTGTAATGCAGCACCTGTTTTTTGATCTTATTTCCTTTGTCGGCTTACAATGTTATTGATATTCAGCGGCACCTCTTCCGTTAAAAGCTTGCTAGGCACACTCAGATCTCTCTCGCTCTTAGATTCACACAGAGCCTTTGCCTCAATCAACTTTTATAATAGCGTCCAAATTTCCAACTATTCTCCCCCGCTAACATTATCTATTCGTACTCTTTGAGAGAACTCAACTCGAAACAACCACGAACTGCGACACGAAGAACCCAATAACGAAGAGGTTTCATCTTAAATGCCTTCTGACCGCGATCAACTCCCTCGACACAAGCCTCACCCGTCAAAAATCGAGTCAGTGGCTGAAGAGGCTCGCCTGGATGCGCTTCTTCCATCCCGACCAGCTAGAGGTAAACTTCCCTCAAGACTAGATCAGCCACAAAGAATAGGTTCTTCGTCTAACACAAGTGGAAAACGCCTTCCCTTCAAACTAACCCACTCAAACAGAGACCAGCTTCCATCCAGACTAGACAAATCGCGTCGAGACCAACGGCCTTCTAGTCTGAATCCCTCTCGTCAAGACAGACCCTCAAAGCAATACTTCCGTTCCACGAAAAAGAATCCCTTGATATCACGCTTAGACCATTCACAGCCTCAACAAACTGAGCATATTTCAATCAACCCTGCTTTCGCAAGCGCGCATGATATCACCATGGCTACTCGCCAGACGGAGGACGAGTTACTTGCACCTCAAGAGCAAAAGAAACAAGAAGAATGGGCACAAAAGAGAATGGCGGAGCTGGGACGATGTCCAGCCAATTTTAAATGGATATGAGTTCCCGGCGGATACAACTGCGATGCTGGAAATCACTGGATGGCCGACGCTTTGGTTGCTGAGGGTAAGGGTGGCTTTCTTGCGCTGAATACATACATGGGCGGTTCATCTTTGGATCCCGAAGTGGTCGAAAACCTGAAGAAAAACCGACAGATCGGATTCAGCCACGGTTTGGAGAAGTTCAGTCGTCCATGTTATCCCTCTTCTGAATTGAATCCCTAGGCCGTGTATCTCACACACCTTTAAGTTCGCCCGGGAAGGGAAACTACCCCAGGGATGCGAAGCGGGCAATGGGCTCCAGCCACTTTACTTAGATGGCAAATGCAAATCGTTGAGCTAAGATCTTTCCCGTTACTCAGGGTTTTTGTAAGTCCACTGAAGTGAAACTGGGAAACAACAAGTGAAACTTTAAATGTATATACTCTCTTATTCACGGAAGATATTATTGAGTTTCAAAACACTGAGGTATTCCTTTAATATGGCTCTGCTGTATTGCTAAAGGTAAAGTGATTGTTCGGGAATTGCTAGAGACTACTGAGTCGAGCTAAATGGGCGCTATGGAATGCCGCCTAGGGCGACTAACAAGAACACCCACTCCTCATAAATATAAAAGAAACGAATGAGGATTTACAAGAGAATTGTTATTTCCCTTCCAGGGTTCTCTGAATCTCATCACACACCGCATTTGTCACCTCAGCCGTCGTAGCAGTCCCACCAAGATCCTTCGTAATAATGCCCTTCTCACAAACGTTTTCCACAGCTTCAAGTAAAGCATTAGCAGCTTTCTCTTCTCCAAGCCACTTCAACATCTCAACTGCGGTCCAGAAAGTTGCTACCGGGTTCGCTGCCCAACCATCAGCTATTTCCAATGAGTTTCGTACCAGGCCTAAGCGGCACTCACCAATCCCCATCCCAATAATATCAAGAGCAGAGCCATGAATAGGCTCGAACATGGAAGGATTCTCGCGAGTAGGGTCCAGATTACTCGTCGGCGCAATGCCGATAGACCCCGCCAGCGCCGCAGCGAGATCAGAGAGTATATTGGCATGCTATTTTCAATTAGCTGATTCCTTTCCCTTTCAAACAGAGCGGTACTCACTAGGTTTGTAGCCACGATAGTGTCAATGCTTTCCGGCTTCAGCACCATTCTCGTCGTCATCGCATCAACCAACATCTTCTCGACCTTCACATCCGGGAACTCCGCGGCAACCTCCTTTGCAACCAAATCCCAAAGTACCATTCCGTTCCTCTGCGCATTACTCTTCGTTACGACCGTAATATGCTTCTTCGGCCTCTTACTCGCTGTTTCAAACGCGAATCTCATGATGCGTTCAACGCCATGGCGTGTAAAGATCGAGACTTCAGTCGCGGTTTCCCAGGCTTGGCCAATGTGGCTTCGTCCCCCGTGCCCTGCGTACTCGCCTTCGGAGTTCTCGCGGATGATCACCCAGTCTAGGTCTCCGGTTGTGCAATTGCGTAGGGGAGATTGAGTTCCTCGGAATATTTTTGTGGGACGCACGTTGGCGTATTGCTGGAGGGGTTGACAGATTGCTAGACGAAGCCCCCAGAGAGAGATATGGTCTGGGACATCTGTTGGCAGTAATACATCAGCAAGTTAAGATCATCTTGAGATGTAGTTTATGAAAACTAACCAGGGGCGCCCACAGCACCGAACAATATAGCGTCGAATTTCTTCAAGGTTTGGAGAGCATTGCCTGGAAGGTATTTTCCTGTCTTCTTGTATGTATCTGAACTCCAGTCGAAGTTCTCGAATTCAAGGTTAAAGGTACCGAGAGTGGAAGCGAGCTTCTTCAGTACGGTGATACCGGCTGAGATTACTTCAGGTCCGATCCCGTCAGCAGGGATTGATGCAATCTTGTAAGTGGGATGCTCGGTTACTTTGCTTGGAGACATGGTTTCTGCGCGTGCTTAAAAAAAGCGTAGATATTTGGCCGAAGGGTTTGGGTGAGATGAGGAACACTGGCCCCAGGATAAAGAATGCTTTTTATGAACATTCAACAAGCTCTCAAGTTGGGAGTTCTAACTTCCCGAACCAGTGGCGACCTCGCGTGCAGACCGGCTTTTGAAAAATTCGAAGTATTGGTCGGAGTCCTGCACCTTGTGGGTCCGGTCATCGTTCCTCCGTAATGTTTTCCCGTCCATTCGGACTGGTCCAATCACATAATCCGAATTATGGATATTCATGTGCGGCCGCTAATGTGGCAATGTCTCACCGGACGAAGGGATACTTGCTGTCCATCTTCTATTCCAGGAAGGAGATCGAAACAGGAATATCGATTCTGTACTCCGGGAATATCTTCGCTACTTCGTTTGCGGGGTTGATTGCTGCTGTTGCTTTCGCATCGATTGGTGGCGCTCAGGGACTGAAAGGGTGGCAATGCCATTGCAATGGTGAGCTTGATAAGTGATATCTTTCTGGTTGTTCCTGGCGGGCGAAGGTCAAGGTTCTTCACAATCGAAGGTGTCATCACATTCGCCATTGCTGTTGCCGCCATGCATCTGCTGCCTGACTCCCCAGTGCTCCACCGTCGGTGTTGAAGATTTGGTTGATCCAAAACAAGAAGAAGGTCAGGAGAAGTGATTCTGAAGCGAGAGTATTGTTCATGTACAGATTGTTGTGTGTCGAGCATCCTCTTATGTACAAATTGGGAAGATATACTCACTGCTCCCAGTAACTGCATGGCTATTGCTGAGATTTTGTAATAAGAATGCTGGGTATCGTAATCAAAGAGTTTCTGATGATGGATCGCTTGATTGAGGCGTATCTTCGTAAGGTAGTGGAATGAAATCAGATTGATGGCTGTTCAACATCTCGCAATTGATCCCCTGCTCCAAAGATTCTACATTTCTTTCAAAGTTAAGGCAGTTAGCGATCTGCTTCTTGGCCAGTAAAAAGCGTGTGCCCAAGGTTTCCCACTGACCCCGGGGGTTGGCTTGAAGTGACCTGTCCTCTGAGGAGATGTGATGGGTCTATTAACTAGAAAATATCGTAAGATTAGTCTGTATAGTCCCGCGGAGTGCCCCGCCCGCCAAACATGTCTGGCCTGTTTTCAAGATCGTTGGAAGCAAAGGCTTTGGGAAAATACCCTGTGTTGAAGCTCTATTGATTGAAAGTCGAACAGAAAGGTGAGCTTGTGGTAGGCATCTCTGGGACAAGCAGAGCATCGACAGACGAAGGTGTTGGTGGTTGGCAGGCAGGGTTGGATGTGGACTGGTTTCTCCTCGGCTGGTTCGCATTGTGTGTGTTTCCAAAGCCCCCGCCAAGAAAGTTTCTCGTGCTTCTGAGTTCCAAGATCAATCCTTCGATGCGTCCATGTTTGGCAAGGTACGTGGGCAGCAGGAGATGGGAACCTATGCCAGCGTCAGACGCGGGAGAAGCAGTTGGTTCAAGATGACGAACCAGGGAGGCTGCTGACTTGAGCAGAGCGGTTCAAACACTCCACTGGTGACGGGTGGGTCTCGTTGTCGAAGTAGCACACCTTGAGGTCATCATCTCTCTGAGATCTAATGGAAGGCCTGGGGATTGAGAAAGGCACCGCTCAAGAGAATATATCGACCAGAACAACCGTCTCCGAATATCAACTTCTGCAGGGGAGAACTGCTCGAATCTGCCAGGGCACCAATGAAGGCCCAGGTGAAGAGCCATACGAACGATGAATGCACCAATCCTGGAAACAGCATCCAGGCGTAGCATGGAAATAAGAAAGGGCTGAACGCTGACAACCGCTTGCAAGTTGGGCAAGGAAGGCGGCCACACGATGAAGGATTGCAAGGCCAGCATTACATCGCCGATGGCTTAGGACGCGAGGGGATCTACAATGGCGAGTTGGCAGCGATCTACAGTAGATATTGACAATATAGAGCAAATTATCACGCTTTCCACTTGATCGAGCTCTGTGAATCCGTGAAGGGGTAGGCTCTCAAATACCCCCGAGGACAGTTGGAGCGTGAAGGAAAGGAAATGGGGAATGCCAAAAGTCAAAGTACGGTTTGGACTAGCGGACCAAATCCTCAAAAGTGTATTGAGAGTCGGGGCTGTTCTCGTAATTGGAGAAAGAAAGTTCATCTGCGCGCCACAGCATGCCTGGGAAAGAACATCCAGCCGATCGTCCTCACCAGGGACGAGCTCGTCGTCTGCAGCTCTTGCTCTCTCGAATGCGACATGTCTCGAACCATTGCTGTTGCTGGCAAGGCGTGTCTAATGGTCCATACAAAATGAATGCCACTTCCACTACCCACGAAGTCTGCTGGACCGGAGCCCATGTCTCGGTGAGGGCGCATCTGTCCCACCTCTCGTGGACCGTCTGCAGCAGCTGATCCTTGTGTTGAAGACTGCCGACGGCATTTTGGAGACGGTCCTTCGCTCGCACTTATCTGAGGCGATAATCGGTCCTTGATTCAGCATAGCAGTGCCGGATGTTGCCCTTGAGATAAAGATAATGTTGAGATTTGTCTAAGCAAGGTTGCGGCCCTTTGATAAAGTGCGGGGGTCTCCGATTTACAGTGGAGTGAAAAACCAGCGTGACGGATGTGGCCCGTGCAACGTGTGCGCACATTCATTTTTGCAGGTCTCAAGAATCACTATTTCCTTTCTTTTATAAGCATCAAAGCTTATATTAAAAAACGGTTAAACAATATGTTAGAACTATTAATACTCCTATTATCTTATCAATACAAAGGTTATAGTATTTGTGGTTATTTAGCTATTGGAGAGTTTCTGTTTTTGCGATCTAACGGATTTGGGGTGCGCGCAGCGCCAAGCTTTCACACTGGTTGTTCACTCCACTGTAATCGAGTACAGGCCAACTTTTGGCTACTTAGGCTTGCATGGACGCTCCAACCGAATCTTCACCCCTAAACACTTCGGAAGAAAACAGCCACTTTACATACAAGTACTGTACAAGCGAGAGACAGTGGGAGTAACATGATATCAATTTTTCGAGTATATTTATACTCAAGACGTCTGCTCCTAAGGGAAGCACGAAATGGTAAGTGTTTGGAGTGAAACTCAGGTAGGTAGCGACCATCTCGGAATTCAGCGATACGTGATAGTAAGCCGCACACAAGCATTGTCGTTTTTACCGGAAAGGGAGATGTATGGCAATCAAAAATCCTGAATTGATCCCTATAAGGCTCCCAAAGTGTATGCTACACGATATGAAACTGTACTATCCCCCCTTCTATGAATGCTCCAAACCCTCAATTAAATCCACATGCTTCTCCATCCCATATATGCTACTGCTTAGAAAAGAGCAACAAACATGGCAGATACCAAGAACAAGCCCGACGCTGCGAATCTCGAAGCGTCGCTGCTCTTCGTAGTGGTCCCGGAGGGGGAGGAGGAAGTGCCGGTGCCAGTCTCTGAAGATCCGGTGGGGGATGTTTGGCTGCCAGAGCTGGAGCCTGTCTTTGTAGCAGTGGATCCGCTGGCGGTTGCGGTAGAGGGCAACAGGCTTGCAGGAAGCGTAACGTTTTTGCATGAAAGATCATACAACGGCGATGTACCCATGGTAGCATCGCTAGTGCTGCTAGCCAGGAGACCGAAGCTGGGAACTGGGGTTGTGGGGGCAGCATCTTGCAGAACATACCACCAGGTGTTCACTTTCCCAAAGGCAGATGCACATCCAATTTCGTCCCAGAAGATCTTTGCGTTGGCAATGCTTGGGACGCCTAGGTTTTCGGTCTTTCCGCTGACGGGCCATCCAGTTTCGGTGATCCAAACAGGTTTTCCACCTGCGGCGCCGGCAGTCGCGTTGTATGCATCCCAGAAAAGCGTGTAAGCAGAATCAATATCGTTGCTCTCAGTGTTCTGAAAGTATGGGTACTCATCCACGCCTAACCAGTCGATCGCTGAGATAACGGCGTTGTTCGAAGAGTTAGTCCATGAGTTCCAGGTATCAACGTGGCCGATCAGAACCTTTTCCAAGGCTGTGCCCTTGACGGCAGTCTTCACTTGTGTAATGTATTTGACGAGAGTTGCTGGGTCCACACCAACACCCTTTGGATCATTGGCAATGCCAGTCACCGAGACTCGGTATAGATCTTCGCTGCCAACAGACAATCCAACGACGAGATCGGTGAAGTCTGTGCCATAGTTCGTGATAGCTGCGGTCAGGGCTGCAATCTCATTCGTCACTCCTGCTTGTCCACCAGATGCCCATATTCCGAGAAGGAGGGATGTTTTCGTTTTGATAGCGGCGGGAATTGCGGAGATTGGATCTGAAGTCGTCAAGCCTTGCTGTACAGGATAATAATTAGAATCTGCAAATAATCGCCGGTTCTGCCACAAGAGGGGAACAAACAATCATAGTGTAGAGTCTAGCACTGGTAAATGCTCCCGAAGTTCCAACCAAGTTCTTCGCAGATGTGAATTCGGCCTCGAAATCGGCTTGCTTCTTCGCTGCACCACCTGTGAATGTGCTTCCATAATTGAAACCTTGGTAAATAGTAGCCGAGGCGGTAGAGGATAGAGCAGCTGCAATTGAAAGGAAAGTAGAGGTGCGCATCGTGGCGGGATTGTCGTCTTATTCTCGAGTCGGTTTCCTGTTTTCTGTTGTTTCCCGCTTTGCAGATGTTGTTTCCCGCGTCGCGTTTCTTGGCAGATCTCTTCAAATTTTGCAATAGAGTCAAAAAGAATGTATCGAAGAAGCAAATCGAAGACACGAAGGAATGAGTGTCTTGCTATAAGGAAGAAATACTAAGGAACGAAGGACTGTGGGGGTTGATTCAACACAGAACGTTGGGAAAGGAGAGCGAACAACACGAGAAGATCGAGTCGAGGGATATGACGAGTGAAACGCCTTACCTAAACCGTGCCAGGAGAAGACCAATGAAAAGACAAAACGGTTTCTTGGCTTTTGGGGAATGTGGTTAGCTCAATGGGGCTGTGTAGATCAGGGGTCGGGGCCAATTTTAGTGATCGGATGAAAAAGAAAGGGAGGCGCTCCACGTGATTTATTTCCGGATTATCGAAGAGCCGGCCCGCTGAACGTTGCGACGTATTATCGCTTCCCTCCCTCCTGCATCAGAGCTCGATGCGGGACAAAGATCTCCCTTCTGCAACCAGGAAGGCGCCTACCTTCTCTAAGCAGTTTCTCTCACGTGATTTGTGGCCGTGAGTCTCCCAGGCACCTATGTCAGACAGTCATACCGTTTCCCGTAAGCCGTGCAAGAAGAAGAAGTGCATAGTAAGTCCTACTGCATCGCCCCGCCAGTTCTTAAAATAAGCTTAAAAGTCCCTAGTATGACTGGAAAAATACATGCAACATCCTTGCCAAATAGCCCTAAAAACCCAGACCATGCTGTACTGTACTCGCTGAGTTGCGAGCGCTGGATCGCAGCGTGGACGTGAAGAGCACTCCCGAGAGATATTGTGTATCTCATCCAGGCCTGCAAACGAGACCAAGTTGTCGAGAATGGAGCGTGGAAGAGGTTTCCTTTAAAAGAACTAGATAATTTGGAGACTTGGTATACAGGCATCGCCGATAGAAACGACAATAGGGAGAATTTTAAGAGCCATCTACCTCTGTTGATCTTTACATCATTGGGAAATTTGGCAGATAGCCCAAGAACAGGAAGTAACGGCAGTCACCTTCCAGATTTTCGACCCAGTAGCTCGAGCGATGCATTGGTTCCCGACCCATCCCAACAAGGCCAAGAAAGTCTTAGTACGAGAGAAATGCCCAAGGCCAGTAATGTGGCCCAAAGTTTCTCTTTTCCCACTAGAGAGACACTCGTCAAGTTAGCACAGTTGACGCGAGAGATGAACCATATTTATTTGTAGTCAATGTCACTTTAACCCTCAATCTTCCTGCCAACAACCGCAAACTCCAGCAATGAAGCCAATCGTTCCGCCAGAACCAGTGGCGACGGTGGTATAGAACTTCATCTCCGACCGATCAACACTTCCACGAACCGTCAGCCACGCCGCCTTGCCCTTTCCATTCGCGGACGTTTTCAATTCCTTTCCTCGCTGCCACACTTTGTGTTTCTTCTTCCCTTCATCCTTGTCCTCAGCAGGGTCGGCCGCAGCGAAGTCCGTGTGGGTATGGCTGAAGCATCAGTGGATATTACCTCGCCCTATGCAATTGTTAGCGAAATCGGGATCCAGCGCTGTTGAGAAGGTTGCTACATGCCACAAGAGCATCCTGTGACTTGCGGCAGCAGTGCAACCTGGGTTTTGACTTCTTTTCCGAGTTTTGGTCTATGGAGACTGGATAGTGAGGAGCAAGTTTAGATTGCATTCTGAGGCGACAGAAGAGAGTGATTTAGCTTAGCACTTGCCTTGGGGTTTTACGAGAGCTGCGACGCGGCCCCATGATTCACAAGCATGCAAACCTATCGAAAAATATAACGTATATTGGCCTAATACAATGGCGGCCAACACGAAAGCTTATTCTGGACCGAAATAGGTCCAGGTTCGAACTGCGAGACATTATGTCTTCATGAATCAAGTCCCAGAGTGAATCCGCCTCCTCTGTTCAAGAAGCGATCCGATACTAAATCCGTAGTAGTCACCACATTATCTACTCTCTTCCTCGCACTAGCTATAGACCGGACATTGGCATCGCTGACACTTCAACCTTTGAAGTGGATTCAGCATATTGCATTTGTCATGGCAAGAAAACGCAGAAGTTGCAAAGATGAAGCTCAACCTCGCTACGATCCTAATAATCTTCCTGTAAAGTAAACTTTTGATTGCATGAATCTCAGTCTTGAAGCCTTCAGGGTCTAGTGTGGCAAGTTTGCACTGTATAAATAGTGGTTTCACTATATTCGAACTCTTTCACTTTGACTTCACTATATATTGGAAGACTCGGGTAGCGAGATTAGCGGCTTTACCGAGGCCGATAGCGATGCTCCTGCCAAAACCCCGAAAAAACATTGCATATAACATTGCACAAATTGCACTTGACTTTTTCGCTACTTTTTACTTCTTATATAATAAATTACTTATAATATAAGATATTTATAAGCTTGCAAATAGCTTATATACTTTTCTAATTATTTTCTTTAATTTAGACTAATTAGAATTCTTCTAATCGGATTTTCTTAATTTGTAAAATTTTGAAGTTCTTCCTTTAATATTACTTTCTCGCTTAGAAATTTGAGGCTATTTTCTAAGTTCTTGAGATCTTTAAGTATAACTTTTTTAATTCTTAATCTTTTAAAGTTATTTAAATTCATATATATATTAATTATTATTTATATATATATATAAAAGTAATAAGAGCTTTAATAAGCTTAATATATAAGAGAAAGAGTTTTAAGAAAACCCTAATAAGATTTAAGTAAAGCGGCTATAATATAGCCGTTTTATAGCTATACTAGCTTATATATTCTAAAGGCTTATATATTTTCAGGTTATATATCCTCGAATTTTCTTTCTTTTATTTAATAAAATATTGAATTTAATTACTTATATAATAATTTCTAAAAATAGCCCTTATAAATCTAAAAAGAACTTAATAGAAAATTAAATAAATTAATAGAAATTTATATAATTACTTTATTTAAAAATCTCAAAAGCTAAATATAATATATAAATGCGAAATATTATAAAAAATCAGGATTTTAATAATATAGGAATTAGAGGCCTTAATAAACTTAATATATTTTATTTTATCTTATAAGAAAACTAATTCTCTTTTTTCGGATATTAATTAAAAATATATTAGTTACTAATTTAAAATAAAGATACTTAAATAGAAATACTAGAATTCTAGCTTTTTCTCTATTTTATTTCTATTTTATAAGAATTTAATATAATTTAATATTTGTTTTATTTTCTTATAATATTAATTAAGAACTATTTATATATAAAGGCCTATAATAATTTAGTACTTTTATATAATATAGGCTAGAAACTAAAAGCTTTTTATATTCTTAAATTAAAACTAAAATAATAAATAATGTTTTAATATACTAAGAATATATCTAATATATTAATTAATATTTCTTAAAATAATATATTATTAACTTATTCTTAAAATTCAAATATAATTATATAAATATAAAGTAATTAAATTTATAAGTATAATTAGACTTTAGATAGAAACTAGAACTTATAAATATAAATAAAAGTAATTATAGAAATAATAGGCCTTATTTTTATAAATAAAACGCATTTATAATAAATTAATAAATATATATACTAATTTAAAACTAGAAAATCTTTTCTTTAAATATATTTATAAATATATTTCTTCTAGATATATACGAGCTATATATTATATTAAATTAAGAATATAATTTATAAATAGTTCTTTATTATAAGGCAAATTAAAATATAATATTTAAGTTAAAAGAATTATTAAATAGAAGCTTTAGAACTTCTAGTAATAGTAATAAAGTAATAAAAAGAGGCCTAAATAATATAAATAGAAATATAAAAAAAGGAATTTATAATTAGAATTTAATATATTTTTTAAATAATTATAAATATAATTAATATATATAAAATAAAGAGGCCCTAATTATAATTATATATAAAGTAATAGATTCTTATAAATAACTAATTAGTTTCTAGTTATAAGCTTAATAAAGATTTTTTTTTTTACTTTTTTAAAAGATATAATAAAAGTATATAATATAATAGTATTAGCTAGAAGCTATATAAAAGTAACTATTATATAACTGGTTTTATCTAGCTAGCCGGTATTTTAGTAGTTTTAACTAATACTTCTCTTCTTTTATTTCCTTCTCTTTTTTCTTTTTTCTTTTTCTCTTTAGCTTAGTATTTTTAATATATAAGATTCTTAGATTTTTAAGCTCTGGCTATTATTTTAATTCCGCTATTATATTATATTAAGCTTATTTATTTAGCTTATAGAAGTAATAGAATACTACTAGTAAAGAATTTATACTTGTTTTTAGAAAGTAAAGGCAGAATACTACTCTTAATATTCGGATCTTTTCGAATTTAAAAAAAACAGAAAAATATATTTTCTAAAATCTAGTTAATCTCGAAATTTGGCTCTTAACTAGAGCAAATAATGCCTCTATTCTCTATAATCTAGTTAACCTCGAAATTTGGCTCTTAACTAGAATAAATAATAACCTAATAATTAGTTCTTTATTAATTTAAAAGAAGAAAGATTCTAGTCTTTTATAATCTAGTTAATCTCGAAATTTGGCCCTTAATTAAAATAGATAGTATATTTTTCTTAATATTAATAAAAGTAAAAGAACCGGTATTTTTTTTTTAATAATTAGTAATCTCTCGATTTAAAATAAGAGATATACTAATTAGTTTCAGGTTACTAATTTAAAATAGAAATCTAGTAATTAATTCCAGTTTACTAATTTAAAATAAAAGTAACTATTTTATAATTATCTCTTCTATAATTACTTTTCCTTTAATTATCTCTTTCTTATTTACCCTTTATACGACTGCTTATATAATTATTTTCTAGCCAGATATAATATTCTTTCTCTAATTTATCTAATTCGGATAATTCTATTCTAAAAGAGATTTATTTATAATATTTTTTTACTAATAATTTACTCTTTTTTACTAATAAAAAAGAAGAGAAATCAGGCTCTAAACTAGATTTTAAGAATTCTAGTAAGCCTAGTTCTAGGGCCGAGATTAAATTAAATATAGAAACTAATTCTATAAATAGTTCTATAGATAGTTTTCTAGATAAGCTTAATTCTCTAGATAGCTTTATAGATAAATCTGGCTCTATAAATAGTTCTGGAAATAATTTGAGTTTTATAAATAATTTAAGTTTGAGGCTAGTTCTAAAGCTTTAAATAAAAATAGAAATAGCTATTAATTAAATAATAACTATTAAATACTAACTATTTTAGGGATTTTTATTAAAAGCTCTATTTCCTTTATATATCTAAATAAGTATATTTAGACTTAGTTTTCCGAAAGAATAATATAATAGTATTAGCTAGAGGCTATTTAAAAATAACTATTATATAACTGGTTTTATTTAGCTAGCTAGTATTTTAATAGTTTTAGCTAATACTTCTTTTCTTTTATTTTATTTTATTTTTTTCTTTCTCTCTCTTCTTTTTCTTTTTAGCTTAGTATTTTTAATATATAAAATTCTTGAATTTTTAAATTATTATTTCAATTTTATTATTATATATAAAATATATTAAATAAATAAAGAAATTAGAAGACTTGAATTAAACTATATTAGAAAATAGTATTTATAAATATATATAAAAGAAATTATATTTAAGAAATATAACTAATTATATTTAAGCTAATTTATTAGCTATAATTCTATTATAGAATATTTATTTTAAATAAACTAAAATAGAAAAAATAAGTACTAAGCTTTTATTATATATAAAAGCCTTTTTAAAAGCTATATTTTAAGAAATAAAACTTATTTAAAGAAAGTCTATATATAATATATCTATATAATACTTCTAATAATTAAATAATTATAAAATATAAAAAAAAATTTATATATTAACTTTTTATAAAATTTAAATTAATAATAGTTTTTTAAATTAAAAAAATTAAAATCTTTTCTTTTTATAACTTAAAAATAAGCTTAAAAAAGTTCCTAAAACTAAATATAAAAGCCTTATAAGCTCCTAATTTATAGAGTCTTTTAGGATTTAAAAACTAAAATATAATTAATTAATATATAAACTTTATTAAATTAAAATATTATTTTAAGAAATTTCTTTATTATAAGTTAAAAAATATATAATTATTTCTTTATTTAGTAAAATATAGTTTATATTAGCTAGAAGGCCTAATATAGAATAAAAAGATAATAAATAACTAATTAAAGCTATATTTCTCTAGTTTATATTATAATTTCTAGATATTTAATATCTAAAATATTTAGCTAAATACTAGATACTTTCTAGATATATATAATACAGCTGCCTTATTAGAGAAATATATTTGAA